AGGGAAAGAGTAGTGGAGCATAATTTGTACGTTAATTTTTAATTAATGTCTTTAATTTTTAAAGTACCTATGTGCGGATTTGTCGACAAATTATCTAGGTTATTACGAAATTCGATATTCGATTTAAAATTTGGCGTGCCTAAAATAAACACAAATGCAGTATGATAATTTTCGAAACAAATATCTTAATTTTAGAGGTTTAAAAAATTGAAAATCAATTTCCTAAATAACCAAAAAATTCATTCATATTTTAAAAATCAAAATAGGAAGTTAGTAAGTATGTTTATAATTTTTTACTGCCCACTGGTCTAAAACATAAGTAAAATAGGTGCGGTCTGAACACCTTTTTATTGTACCTTTCAATTTTATAGTATAGGTATAAATATTTGTTCGTTTGAAAAAATATTAGTTGCGTGAATACTTTGATCGAAACGGGTAGACTTTTTTCATGAAGATCAAGGAGTACCAATATGTACAATATGAACCATTTTTCAAAATGTAAAATTCTCCGAAAAATGTCTCTGGAAATGTGCGATAAAACGTAAATTTCCTTAAGCAGAAACGTCTGTTTAAAATACAAGATTGGCGAATACTCCATTTGTTTTTTTCAAAAAACTATTTGACTATATAGTGAATAGAATTTATATTTCTATTAGAAAAATCGTCCGAAACACAGCAATCTATAATTTATGAAAATGTACGATTCTTCAAAGAATGTAGTCCACATACAATTGTTTAGCAACTGATCTATTGTATTTTCATAAATCCGAAGGTAGATAAATTTTTAAATTTTCCATTCGGAGATCGCACGTGGTACACGGATATGGTAGTGATTAAAAGGTATTTAATATTTATATAAATGTGAAAGCGAATTTCTTTGTTATACTATAATATTTAATATAGTAACTTAATTTAAAAATACCATCCTTCGGAAAAACTACCAGGATTAACATTTTTATTGGAGGGCAAATAACTCCGCGATTTTTTCTTTGGAAAACTGTTTTAACTAACTTCCCCGACTCTTCACCCACGACTATCTCACGCTTATACATGTATATCGCTGTATAATTAATTATGTTATTCATATTACAGCCGTCGATTGTTTAATACAAGTATTATATTTAGTATCGATTAAATCTAATTATGTTTACAAATTGAGTTGTTAATTAATGGCTTTATAATAATAACATACTCGTAGATACCTATGATATGCACCGAGGCCCCGAAGGGAAGAATATTTCGGTTGTCCTTTTGTCGTTATTTCGTTCTCATAACAATTATATATAACCGGACACACGAGTTTCGCAATTATTTTAATTGTTCAATTATACTGTTGCAACGCACAGCAGAATCAGTGAGGTAGCCCCAGGGTGACGGTTAACTATTCATTACCCGCCCCTGAAACGGTATCTTCGACAACTGTTGTATATTTATATATACACACAGGGCGAGCCCAAAGTTACAGAAGTGAATGTATATATCTAATATAAATATACTTTCGAAGTGTTTATATAAAAATATAACGAGAGCAGTTTATTTTTTCAATATTCACATATTTTTTATTCATGGAAAACTGACTTTTTTTAGTTTTTTAGTGGAGCGAGGTTTTACAATGATGATTATTTTGAGATTTTAAACAATTTTAATTTTTGGGAGTTTTTTGCTGTAATTCGGTTATAAATACACTTAGAGACTTGAAACTTGGTAAGAATACTTATATTGGACTTAACTAAACTTGATAAAATTTCCAAAATGATCGGACGACTTTTTTTTTTAATAAACGTTTTGAAATCAATTTTAAACAATAATCGCAAAAAAAAAACGTCAATTCAACTTATGTATTATCGACTGCACTCGGAATCGTCTTATCAAGCAGTGGTTTATCGCTATTTTCAGATATAAATAAAAGAACCTTATGTATCCTACATTCCCAACTTCACATATACAACAGTGGCCGTTCCCATCCCCAGTATCAGCTCTTTCATTTTGCAGCGTTTAATTCTCTTAACGTTAATATGCAGGACAAGCGTACGTGAAAAACGACAATGTGTTCGGATTTATTTGCTTTTCGAAATAAAACCTTTTTATTTTCAAAATTTTATAAAAAAAACCTATTGTAGTCGAACCATAAAAGCTTGTAGATTATTAATAACATAATGTGGTTATCAATATCGTGGGATCAAAAAATATCGATTCTGTGATTTCTGTGCTTTTGTCAGTCTGTAAAAATAACATTTCGTTTAAAAATCTTGGTTCAATCGTGAACTTCAGGATATTATTATTCTTTTTCTATGAACAGTTTTTCTATCAGAAATTTTGCTCCAATTTTCAAGTTTTCAAGTTTTCTGTTTAAGGAAAATATATAATACATATTATGTAAATATATGCAATTATTTTACCATAATATAACATATATATTGTTGATAAAGAAACACTATGAACCGAACTCCGCTCAGAGTCGTTTTTCATTAGAAATGGTTAATCGTTGTGTACAGATACACATTAAATTTCTCCTCGAATCTCCCTTAAATTTTCAATTTTTCATCTATAACAGTGCCCACCAACGTGCGAAGTATGTCTGTCTTTTTTGTCATTGTTGTTGTTTGCACGATTGAATTTCTCATCAAATTTTTTTTTGGGCTACTCCACTTCAGCAGCAGGTACAAAAAATATCGTTCGTATCAAATAGACATCAGTGATGAGAGTATTCATTGGATTTTTGAAAAGTATTTTCTGTGCTCAGTGTATATAGGTACACGTATGACGTTATTAGTAGAGAAGAACCGCGGAGAGCTGTGGGACACCTGTAACAGTTAATAGTCTCATCTGACAAACCCAATTCAAGAGCAACTTAAATGCATTCCTTTGACACCTACTATAATAATAGTGGCCGTGTATTATTATATCAGCTGTTGTATACAATTAGGTCGGTTATGACCCAATATTTGAATCTTGACGATTTCCTCCTTGGAATATCGATTTAAATATACATTTTTTAACGTAACCAGTTAATTAATTATTGTGTACTAATAATCAAATTTAACGCAATGAATTCGTATATAGAGTGTCCTAAAGTATTATCCGAATGTTGATAACTATCAATATTGGTTTTTTTTTAATCGGGTTTTGTGATAGGGGGGCAGTAGAGAAAAATTAAATTTCTATTTTCATCCCTTATAATTACTGAAAAAATGACTATTCTTTCACTTCTTAAAATTTTCAAAACAGTCAATTTATAAAACATATTATTCTTAAATGTTTAATGTATCATACATTTACATCCGTTCAACAGTTGGTTAGTAATAGCAGTTTTAATATCTAGAGCAGGGGTTCCCAACCTTTTTATCACCGAGGAAAGATAACAATCCGGTATGCATGAACAATTTTGTTTAGGAAATTAGATAAACGCCGATGACATATCATATTCAGTGCCAAATGATAACATTTTATTATTAAGAACATACACGGAGACGACAGGGACGTCCTTATGAGGGAGGGGGGGAGGCGACGGAGCAATCGCCCTTCCTTCCCTCGAGAGAAGTGGACTTATATTGGCATTTGGCATAATAGTCATTGGTCCAGAAGTAGATATAAAAAATTATGTCAGATAATATATCGATTACAACATATTATTCGACATCATTATTTTTCTTATCAATCATTACTAATTAATATTAAATTTAATTATTTCGCCTGTCCTCCCAATAGTCAATAGCCAAGGTCTGGAGACGCCCCTGGAAGATGTAAAACATCATTTAATCTCAAACGAGATGTAGAATTGTTTGGGATTTAAAATTTTTAAAAATACGCACTGAGTAACTCGATTTGTTTTAAGTTTATTAATTGTGTAGAACTATGAGACAATTGTACAATTTGTTATATCGATTTTTTACCCGTGTATTTTATATGGGAAAAAAGGATGAACCATGATGCGATAACGGTTGTTTTGAACCGTCTGCAATATTATTGCAACATTTTCATTATCGAATTATTTTTTCCAAATTGTCCAGCGAATTACCTGTCATGACAAATATTGTTCCCGTCTCCCCGACATTTATTTTATTGGTTTATATAAGAATCCTCGGAAATATCTTTCCGACAAAATACGATTCTCATATTATAATACAATTGCTCAACGAAATTATTATTTCATGCTAATAAGTAATAACACCCAGCAATAATATAATTTCCTCTGTGAATACGAACCCGATTTATACGGCCCCCGTCCTATTTGATACGATCCAATATGATAAAAATGTTGTTTTTTTTTTTCTAATTTATGTAATGCACTTTTATAATACCATACGCATTCAATTACGGCGTCTATTATTATTCCGAAACGGGTTTTCGAAAAATAATACAAATACGAAATGACGAGGATTTCAAACGCGCCGTCGAAATTGATATCCGGACAGAACGCCACAACACGCAACATTATACTAATGGTGTGGCGTATTCCTTTGAAGCGAGTGCGGGAACTAACCTTAAAACGCGAACGCGTTTACCGGTGGGAGGGGCGGGGGAAGGGAAAGTGTATTATTATTGTAACGAATTTCCGTGATTTTCGAAAACCGGTGAGCCGTCGTCGGCAGCTGTTTACCGGATCCGTCGGTCGTGAAAAATGCGTGGTGCGCTGTCGATCGCGAGCGAGCGAGACGACGCAGCGGCGCTGGTGCGATCGGTGAGGGGCTCGGGTGTTGTTCCGAGCGCGCATAGCAAAATAAATAATATTACGTATAGGTAGGTATTCCTATTCTCCGAGAGAGAGAGAGAGAGAGAGAGTGACAGAGCGAGAGAGCCGTCGCGTGACGGACGGTTACCGCGGTACACAACACGACCGGCCGGGCAAACCGAACAACAGCCGGGACCGACTAGCCGACGGCGTCGCCGTCGACGAGGAACGGACCGAACGGCGGCGCCCGCCGCCGCCGCCGTCGTCGACGACGAACACGTACGCGCGCTACGGCGTTTTGCCGTTTCAGACGTTTCAGTTGTTCGCGTCCCGTCGCCACGTTCGGTTGTGTGTTTAGTGCGTTCGTGTGCACTCGTCCGCGCTCGTCGTAGTCGTTACGCGTTACGCGCGCGTGCTTGTCAGTGCGTGTGCCCGTGTGATTGTTGTGTGTGCGTGCGCGAGCCCGCCGGTCGCATTGTTTACACCGGTTGTGTCGTATTTTTTTTTTAAATTTTTTTTTCATCCACTTTCCTCCCCCCCCTCCCGACTTGTGCGGTACGCTCGACGATTTTTCGTATTTTTTTTTCTCTCTTACCTAATGCCATTATTTTCGCCTCTTTTTCCCTATTAAACGACCCGAGTGCGCGCAGGTATTATCCCGACAGAATAATAATAACAATAATAATATTATTATCATTTATCATTCGCGCGCTCTTGTTAACCGCCGTGTTGTTCGCCGTCGTCGCCGTGTAAAACATCGGGTCGTCAGTCGGGACTCGGGAAACACGCGTACGGAAAGAAAAAAAAAAGGTAAGTTATGATTTCAATCTTGTCGTTTCCCCACCCCCCGATCCAGTCTCCCCTGCCAAATCTCCGGGCGCGGTTTTTTTTTTCTGTTCCCAAAAGGCGATAAAAGCCGCCGCCGTACACGTGCGTCGGTATCGTTTTACGAATATCGTCGCCGGCCGTTTGTCCGGAACCGGTTCGACTCCTCCGGATTATTATTAGATTATTCGGTTTCCGGAGACGTTTTTGTTGCCCCGACCATACCTACTGTTATTTTCCGGCGTATTATTTTTTTCCAATCAAATCGCCTCGTCCGCGAAAACCACGTTCCCGACGATCGCTGCCGGACATTCCCCAAATTTCGTGCGTTTTCCCCTCCCCCCCACCCACATGTAAACGGGAAACGTTTTGTTTTTCTACTCGTTTAGGCGGACATGGCCGTGTTTCGGAATCGAGTCGGGCGCGTGATGTTGGGTTAGGTTATACTCGTCAACGTGTTATACCCGAGATCCTTGACGTTGATCGAATGCCCGCCCGCCCGTCAGGCCCCGACCGCACCGAGGCGTATGACGGTCGCTGACGAAACATAGACGGGTTGAAAAAAAAAAAAAAAAAAACGAAATTAGGCGCGTGTGTTTGTGTGTGTGTGTGGGGGGGGGGTAGGGAAGGGCCAAAAAAACCTTAATAAAAGTTTCGCCCGCAAACTTTTCGCGACTAATATTTTATTAAAATATATTAGCGTGTACGCGCGCCGAAAAACCCGGTAAATCGTATTTATTTCTCTTTCCCCCCCACCCCTCCGCGACGGCATATTATTCGTTATTGAAATAAATGGCGGACGACGCGACGTGATCGCGTAATAGTTGCCGGCGCGCGGCGGTGCCCGGGAATTTTCGAACGGTAGGGCGGGTAGTGTAAATAACAGTTCCGCGAACGGCCGCGATCTCTTCGTGTTCCCGTAACCACACTTGACCCGCCGACGATAAGAACGTTTTATAAAACGGGCCGACCCGGTTTGCCGATCAATCCCGGGTCGGGTGTTTCCGCGCGTCGGTAATTATTTCAATACGGGATCGCCGGACACGAACGGTCGTGCCGTATTTTTCGAAGCCGTTAGGCGGCGAAAGGGATGGGGAGGGGAGGGGTGTGTGTGTGTGTGTGTGTGTTGAATTTAAAGGATAACCTGGCACGGACGTCGGCCACTCGGTCGCGCGCGACGATATCGGGTACCTGTTGCGTAACGATTTTATCGATGCGATACGGACGGTACCTATTTAATATTTTCCGTTTTTTATCGCGTCCTCGTCGCCCGGCGATATTTATCAATCCGTTCGCCCCGGTCGCGTACCACGGACGACAGCCGCGCGGTTGACGCGTGTTTGTTGGCTCGCTGCCGGAAAAAAAAAAAACAACCGTACACGAAAATCTCGACGCTCACCTGTATCGCGACAATTTATAGCGCGACAATGTTGTATTGTATGAAAAGAAAAAAAAAAAAAAAATTGTTCCTTCGAAAACTGTCAGGATGCGCCGCCCGTCCGTAACAGGGGCATGACGTTGCAGCCGTTCATCGCGACCATAATAATAATAATAATAATAATAATAATATTATTATCATCATCGCAATACTCGCTTCCAGATTGGATCCGATTACCTTGTTTTTGGTTTTTTTTTTTTTTTTTTCTTTCCCGTTAACCGCATAGCGCGCAATTGGTTACCGTGCTTCCTGTCGGCGTTTTCACCCCGCGGTCGCGTAACGAGATGTACGTGTATATGTACGCACCGGCCATAAACCCAGGTAGTGATAATAGGATTTCGCACGGGTTTTCGATTTAAATTTCCGTAAACGAGGTGAAACGGTTCCGACGCGCCGACGACGACGACACGTCCGATGATTAAGTACCCGCGATAAACAACGGAACCCGACGAATTATTATTATTATTATTATTAAAAATACCGTAACGGACGCGCGTATTTCGTGAGACCCCTCGGAGAATATTGATATAGCATAATACAGTATAGTATTATTACTATTGCGACGGCGATGATCGAATTAGATAAAGACCGCGGAAAGTAAAAGAAGAAAAAAAAAATTAAAAAAAAAATAACGCTGCAGGAGGAAATTTGTTCGTAAAACGTTTCCGATAATGTGCGGCTCAAAGTGCACCGTCGTGTTTCGTTTGTATAATATTCGCGTTCAAATCACGCGGATCTCGCGTCGTTGTTTTTCGATTTTTTTTTTTGTCTTCTTTGTTTCGTTCGTAACAACACCCGTACAAATATTGTTAACGCTGGGTGGCGTAACTATAAGAATTCGGCCCAAACGCGTAGGTAGGTAGATAGATGTGTACACGATTTCAAGCGTTCCTTTCGTATTGGATTCAAATGTAAAAAAGACTATTAACCCCGTGATAAAGTTAGAAGTAGTTAGGTACGTAAGGATACACTCTGACATATTATACTAGTAGTTTTAAAGTTTCTAGTATATTTTTATCGTATAAAATAGGTAAATACATAATATGCATACAGTGTGTTTCTCATTGAAAAAGTTTACTCGTCCGATTTGCAGTCTGACGGGGAACCTCGGATTGACAGTCGAGGTAAACCTTTTTTTCTTTAATACTTTCCCGAATCAGATTACATAAAACTTCACTATCTCCATTTTCAATTATGGGCGTATCCTGTACGTACATTAAATTGTACTTGGACCAAAATTATATCTATTCTGTGATTCGAATGCCCCGTATAACAGGACTGCATTTTAAGTTTGAATACTTAATATGAAATAGTGAACGTGAAGTGGAAATTTGTAGATAATAGATTTCGTTGTCAACATGTATTAACTCACTTATTGAATATAAACCGTATCAATTAATCATCTCGCACACCAGCCATGGTTGTCGGATGCATCGAGAAGCAATCGGATTGGCAATCTGATGTTTGAAATTGTTCGACGAACATCGAAATCTATCGGATCGCTAATCTGATGGATCAAAAATCTAACGAGGAACGTAAGATTAGATAATATATAACTTATTAACAGTTACTACTATATAAGTATATATTATAATTACAGTTTAAGTTTTACTTTGCTAGCTTTGAAATTCGATTTTATTGGTTTTCGTTGTTTATGAATAAATGTACAGTGAAACCTGTTGGTGCAACCAGCAAAAACCGTCCGTTACCTTGGTGTCCGGTAGCGCAGGTTTTACCGTAACCGTCGATAGGTATTATTTTTTTCGACACGTAAATATTTTCGTTGATGACAAAATAACGGCGTTCCGAAAAGGCAGTAAGGCCCCTTATAGATGTAGGGCCCGGACGCAACCGCATTCCTCCCGCTTTACCCTCTATTTACGCCACTGCTTAGGCTCTACTGTTTATTTTTCAACTCATCTTTTATTAACCGGTTTAGTAAATCGTTGGAAAAAATCCGAACGGTGTGGCGCGGGTACATCACCACTGTTAAACGTTCAAATGTTTCTATACGGTCAAACCGGGTAAGACGGGCCACGCAAGTATCGAAATATATAGAGAAAAAAAAAATAAATATCGGAAAACATTAATTGCACGATAATAATATAGTATAGGAAAGTATATAGAACGTATTTGAACGAGTGTATCGGGCGGGAGTTATTCGCGCCGAGCGTCGTACGTACCTATAGTATATAATAAATCGTATTAAATTAACGGTTTTTATACTTTTACACGTGTAAATACGTATTTTACACCACACCGCGTATTGCGTACGTATTACCAACCCGAATTACGAAACGTACCCAAAATAAATCCGTGGCTCGGGTTTAAAAGGGCCAATGTCAAAAATAAAAAAAATGTTAAAAATGTTGGGTGTATAATATATTCGCGTGTAGGTATATTATATGTACATATGTTATGCAGGTATATCATTTATAATCGATTTTCAATTTCCATTTTTTCATTTTAAAAAAGACTGACATGTTTCGCACGATGTTGTTCTGACCCGTAGGCGAGAAGTTGGGACGTTAGAGAGGGGATTTTACGTATGCGCAGCGATTAACCGTTGATAACGAAAAACGATTCTGAGCGGAGTTCGTTTATGAATGGTGTTGCTTTGTTAAATATATATTATGCCATATTATGGTGAATTAATTACATACGTATTATATATTTTCTTTAACAATATAAATAACAAATACATTCGTTTAATATTGTATCTATTTTTTCATCTGTTGGGGATTGGACCCAGTTGGATTTCTATTTAGATAAAGTGCTTTACTTGTAGATCCGAGCGCGAAATTGCCGGTAGAAAAGTTGTCCGCGGAAAAAAAATATAATAAAACAACGTTGTAAAACCAATACATTCTTCGCTCCGCTCAGAATCGTGAACAAAATAACATTGGCCCTTTTAGAGACTCGAGACACGGAAATGTATAATTGTTTAATCTCCTTTATCGGCTTTATTATATACGTCACTGACGGCCGCGAAACGAAACTTCCTCCCGGATCTACGTGTGCGTGTCTCTCTCTTTCTCTCTCTCTCTCTGTGACTTGCCGAGCCGCTCGCGTCTCTTTTAAAAGGCACGGAATTATTCGGACTCGCGCGTTTCCACGCATTCCGGACGTTCGGTTTCGGGTATTTTCGGTCGTAACGTACTGTAGTATTGTCATACCGTGTTTTAATTAAACCCGCCCGCGGTGTGCTACTACGGCAATTAAGTGTGTAGCCCTCCCCCTCCCCCGCGCGTTAAAACTCCGATTAAAACCGTTTAACCGGCGCGCTATGACGACACTAATATTATTATTATCATCGTGTGTTCGAGCTCGAAATTATACATTAGGCGTGTATTATTATTATTATTATTATTGTATTATGGTACGATATTCATAAGCATTGCGATATTGTAACGGGCTGCGTGCGTTGGGTATAATATTATATAATATTATGATAAACACTGGAAAAAAATTCCGTGAGGACGTACTTAAGAAAAAAAAAAAAAAAAATGAAATACTTAACGTCTCTTTAGTATAGTAGGTACCTAACCGGCGTCGACGAATTAACAGTTTTCAAACGCGGTCCGCGTATACGCTATTACTTTCGTTAACTTACACAATATTACCTACCTGTCTATTTTTTTGTTTTCTTTATTACAATTTTGAGATTTTCAGTCGTTTTCAAGTGTGCGCGCGTAAATGTAATTATGCGGCGGCGGCGGCGTATCGAACTAAACGGACGTTTTTATACCGTCGTCGTCTGGATTTATTTCCTCCTCGATTTCTTTCTAATTTATTTTTAAAGCGGACGGCGGCGACGTAGAAAATGCTGCCAAGACTAACGTATTATATTATAAATATTATCGAAACTATTTACTTATACTCGTTCCGTCGGGGTTTTTTTGTCGTCTGACGTTGTTTTATTTTTTTTTTATTATTGTTGTGGAATCGGCGCGGCGGCATAAAGAAACGTGCCCTTGATCGCGGTCGGGAGACGGAGAAATATTATATAGTCGGAGAGAACAGAAAAAAAAAAAATAAAAATATATCTAGGCAACGGTGCTCTGGACACAATGATGCTCTTTTAGAGTTCTCTAGAGCGGCGGCCGGCCGTAGTCACGCGTTCCTTTTCTCTCGGCCGACTCCCACAATAATATTGTTATAGGCCCACCGCCTATCTGGGCATTGCCGAGCAGGTGAATATCTCTCACCGGCGGTTGTATAATATTCGTCTGCGAAAATAAAAAAAATAATAATAATAATAATAATAATAATACGAGAGATAGGTATTTATAGGTAGGGTACCATCATAAATAATAATAACCGGATAGGTACACGCCGCATCCATGGAAGTACGGAACAACGGATACGCGCATACGTATATACGACTCGCGCGTAGGTTAGTGATAATTTATTGTAACGCCTTTTATACCCCCGGCCGGCGTACCTTACGTGTACGTTACTTTTTAAAAACGCGGGCGAAGAAAATGCGAAAAAAAAAAAAAATTACATAACGCACACGAGTAGGTATAACAGATAATTTTATGTCGGTGTCGGTGTCGTGTGTACACTTTATGTGTGCGTAGGGTATAATGCCTGTCTACAATTGACCCGATACAGTATGTCGGTTATGTACTGCAGATCTGCGTTTCACGGACGTTGAATTATCGAAATCCGGATTGAAAAAAACGTTTGAACCTGCCCGAAACTACCGATAACTAATCGCCTACTAGTGCAGTGGATTCCGCTTAACGTGGACACGTTCCCAACCAGCTTGGTTTGCCCACATTAAACGGCTGTCCATTAAAAACCGAAATCAATTCAAAAACTCAAACAATTTTTAATATAAAAAAAAATTTTTATTTTGCATACGTGAACTACACAATTGAAAAAAAAAAACAATGTTAAATTACTGCAAAAATCATAAAATTAAGTACAGCGTACTAAATACAATTACTATTTGGACGTGGAAGGTGTACACAACGTTGTAATTGCTTGTTGTCTTCACGCTTCCAGCTTATAAGACGGATTATTTTCGTTACCCTCTTGCGTGAAGTCACATGGTTCTACGGAAGTCTGTATCGGTGCGTACCAATTGCTTCCCAAAATGTACGAATAGCCTCTCCTATCCTTATCGTAAATAAAACGGTTAACATACACTAGTCGCCTCCGACGATTCGGTAGTTCATAATTATATACCAATCGCCTCCCAAAAATGTTCGTACTATCCGACGATCGGTTATCAATAAGTAACGGCCAATAAAATATTACTTCGTGATTTAAAACAATTCGTATATTTACGCATGCCGTTTGAACATGTTTGACTCGTTTGCGAACCGCTTATACATTCATTACCCGCCACCTATTGGGAGGCGCCTGGTAGTAGACCCTTTTCGTTTACGGTAAAGCGTAGGGCACGCCGGGAGGCGACTCGTACATAGCCGAGAGGCGATTCGCATTGAAACTATCGACTTTTTTGACCCCCGTGAGGCGACTAGCATGCGCCCGTCTATATCGTATTCAGTCAACAAAATCCCATTAACGTTTAAATGATAATGCTTTTTATGATAATAATTTTCGATCTAAACGTCTCGTAGATACGACGAAACCCGATTATATCAGTCGTTTTTCAACACACGCGTAGCGTAGCTATGATAAAATAAAAAATTGCCCATATTAATCTAATCGAGGGGGTTTTTTGTTTTGTTTTGTTTTGTTTTAACCTTGTTAATTAGACGTTTGTATTGGCACTAGACCGTCGTTTCGCCCGTATTACGCGGACGCGCGCTCATAAACCGGTGCTCACATTCGGCGGAATCCACTGCATTGCAACATCGTCGGGATTCAAACGTTCTGTACTCTCCAGGTTCCCGATGCCCGCGAAACCGGGGATTCCTGCGGATTCGTACATTCCGGGTTTTTGCGCGGTTTACCGTACGACGGCGGGCGAATCGAAATCGGCGGGCCTCGGAATTGCGCGACCCGACCCAATCTCTATCCCGCCCACCCGTAGGTGTACAGTAACCGACCCTTAAAATTATTCCGATAAATTACCGATAGTCTCTGTCGGCGGAATTCGGCGAAAATATTCGTTTCAAACCGCGCCGGCGATGATATTTCATGCACGCGTCGCGGAAATATCGTTTTCGTCGACACGGGTCGACTCCGTTGATGATACGGGCCGTTCGACGCGGCGCGCTCGGCTAAATTATTGTTTTACCGAGTATTTTTCCCAAGGGCGGGGGCGTAATCATTATTTATTATTCGTATTATTATTATTATTATTATTATTATTATTATTATTATTATTATTATTATTATTATTATTATTATTGTATTACTATACGACGGTATTGTACGCGAAATCGGCGGCGGCAACAACGTTTTTACACCTCCGGTTTTATTATACGCGCACGTGTCCGTGCCGTCCCCGGTCCCGGGGTCCCGAATTCCGTACGTACGCGTAATAATGTTACGCCGCACGCGTATGGGACGCCGTCCAGAGTATTCCGGCGATTTTTCTTTTGGTATCCCGTTTTATAGCCGTTCGGTCGCGGAGGGGTGTGACCGTGTACGGTGATAATATCGTACCGCCGCACCGCGCGCGTCGCGCGGATTATTGCGCCGCGAGAATTATTCGTGGTGTCATAATCGTAGACGTGATCGCGGTTGAAGCACACAAGGTCGTTGCATACAGACACCCGGACCGTCGTCATCGCGCAAAGGCCGCGCGAACACGGATATCGCAGACATCGATTTTCTTGTCGTGAAAAATACGGTAAATACACGGGGGTGGCCGATTACTATTGGCTCCCTTTGTTGTTTGCGCCGTCGTTTTCGTTTTTATCGTCGAAATATATTCGATCGAGAAGGGATTGCATATACGTATATGATTATGCGCAATAACCTTGTAAATTTCAACCACGGACGTAATAAAATAGACGGACCGCGCCTTTACCGCGGTCGGCGAACATAAACTCCGGTGGCGGGTTAAAAATAAACACGGCCAAACGTTTGTCTACGTTACGCTTTTTTTCCCACCGCGGTAGGTGATCGTGTTTTTTTTTGTTTGGTTCACAAGTCTACTCGCCGTTATTCCATCAAAATAATGATAAAACCAAATATATAACAACAGGCGTGTTGTGGCGATTAACCCGGCTATATTCATTATCAGTTGTGCAGCGAGGTTAATGGTTATAGATTCGCGAAAACTACATGGTTTTGGGGTTATTGAAACGAATAACTTTATTCGATAATCAGAAAAAAAAAAAAAAAGTATTGGCCAGATATTTAATCGTTATACTTTATCAATAACCCTAACACCGTAACCGTTCGTTTCGCTTGGTTATGACATTTCAGTGGCCCGTTTTATCAAGGCGATAAACGAAATCGCCGATACGACTTGTTTTTTAAATAACAGCGTGACCGGGTTACTAACGGTTGTTCGCCGAAACACGTCTGATATCTCGCAATGAAAATCTAAACGCATTTTCTTCCCGGTTATTTTACCTAGTTGTTCGTTACGGTGGCTGGACCCGTCGACGGCGGTGACGGGGGGCAGGGACGCCGCAGTCCATCCGTCACACGCGTGTCCACGGCGATAGCTAACAAATGTGTCGTCGTCGGTGTGCATTTTTTGGCCAGAAATAAACGCAACAATTGACAATATTTTGATCGGGCGCGTGTTTCCGTTCCGTCCGGTTTTATTGCGCGCCGCGGGCGTTTCCCGCGGTATTTCCGTTGTTTTCGCCACGCGCGTTCGTGCGGGCCCGAACATGTCTAGACAACGTCCGGGCCGGTCTTATCAATGTGCGGTGTATATTTAGACGCGATAGCCGAAACGATTATTATGGACCGTTGTTATTGGTATTGCCTTTTAATTAATAAAACACGTACATTTAATGCGCGTACTGTTGATGTGTCGGCGACGGTTTTCCAAAACGCGCAATTTCGGATTGTTTGATAATTTTTTCTTTTTCAACGGCCGCCTTTTCATCGCAAGACTCCGGCCAATCCGTTGACCTATCCGTTGACCGTGGTCCGTTTGAGGGGGAAAAATGCGTGGCCGTTTTACAGACCGACACGACATTACAGACGGACAAACCCCGCTAAAACTCTTGGAATCGCTTATGGTGGTTTTCAATTTTGAATACGTTTTATCATGGGTATTTCGGTTCTTTACTATGTCGAAATTTATGTATTTTTCTCTTTTTTTATTTTGATATAAATTATCTTTTTCATATCTTATGACGCGTAAAAGGCGGAAAATCGTAAGTACTTCTCCCAACTTATCATCAACATTTTTCTTTACGATTCTTTACGCAATAATCAAATATTCATTTCCAATAACATATCTCAGCAAATAACCTAAACAATTCGTAATGTGTTTTTAAAATCGAAATCCTTTTAATGTATTTACCTATGCGCAGTTATGTCCGGCTTTTAGGCCTACTACCAAAATTCACACACAATCCGTAGGTACTATAATCCCCCCCTCCCCTCCACCCACAGACCAGTATTGGAAATATTTCGTATTATTATCGTCGACGTCCATATTCCCAGTTTGATTTTATTCTGGATTATATTCCACCGAAACGCGCGTTCGATGCGTACCTATAGATAATAATTTCCGATCTGTACATATTTTTGTTAATAATGTATAAGTTGGCGTGTAATAAATTATTTACCACGCGCGTGGTTCGCGTCCCTTTTAGTTTATAAAATGGTTAAAACCGTAAAACACAATACTTAATATCTATTGAATCTAATGAATTGTGGCCAACGTGAAATGCACACTGTAATATACAGCATCATTCGACCCATTTTTTTTTCCCGACACAGAGTGCGGATACCTGCACTGCATTCGACTTAAATGTAATACGAGTATACGTTTTTATTTGTTCGCGTTTTTACGTGCTGGCCCAGACGACGTCTTTTTTTCAAATTAAATTTCAAAGAATAACACACGGGTACCTCCTGTTAATAGTATCATGCCCGCGTGTTTATATAAATAGATTTTTTTTTTTTATTTAACAGAGCAATACGCGGGTTTAGGGGGAGAGAAACACTCGAGTACTTATCCGCGCGGATCTCGAAACCGTTTTAACGTCACCGTGTATAAACAAAACGGACAATTAAATGTTCCGTATTGCTATATTGTAATAACTAAGCCGGTGATCCGCGCGCGTAATGCATTTTTTGAAATATTTTCGAAACCCGTTTGGAATTATATCATGCGATTATTAAAAATTCATAGATACATTTGAGCAGCAGTGACCGTATGACCAGGCACGGATCCAGAGCAATGATCTAGGGGGGGGGAGGCGACTATTTTTTTACAACACGAGTACAATTAAAATATAATATGGTATATTATGTATATTATTTTCTCGTACAATTCTCATACGAAAACCGGATAAATAATATGTCTGAGGGGTGGGGAAGCCTGGGTCCCTAGGCCCCTTCCTCCGGATCCGTCCCAGCGTACAACTGTTTGCATACAAATACAACTGATTATAGCCGATAAACAGCAATCAATTTCGTTCTGGATTTTGCGTAATATCGGTCTTTTTAGCGGAGGAGGTTTGTGCCGGATTTTATCGCGATATTCAAGTTAATATAATTTTTATTAAAAAAATTAATTTTATTCGCCGCATCGACGAACGCTATACATAATAATATGCAATATAGTATTAAAATAACAATATTTTACCCGGCATAATTTTGCTAATCATATTATTATATCGGGTTTCGTTTCGCAATAATTTAGGTGTCCGATTAAATTCGAACGCGTATACCGTGTAATATTATTGGATTTTGATTTGATTTTTACCGCCCGATCGCCGTATAATACATTAGAATAAGTAAAGTATACTCGTATGTTATGTTGCTTGCTGGCCGCGATTTATTTTAATAAAGGGAACTAGGTTTTTTTTTTTTCGGCTAAAAACGGAATTGAATAATTCGGTCGGATCGCATATTTTTACTAATAATGCCCTCCACTCGAATCAATTAAGGATATTTTAAATGCGGATTTACATAAATGTAATTTCATATTCTATAGGTATGTTATTTTACAGCGTGTTATTATTATAGCAGTTCGGTCCCTAACGTTTTTCCCCTAATTAGCCGGTAGGTATGTATTATAATGTCGATCTGCTATTTTTTTCCCTTCTAAATACCTGACGTATTTCAATCGTTTAAAAATTTAATCAGAGAGATATTCGTACACGATTATGTATTTATTAATAATTAGATTCCAATCGAAGTCGGGAGGAGTGTATGGGTATTTACTAGGATGTGGTTTTTTTTTTTTTTTTGTTCGTAAACAAGTTTTCTACCAGAAATCTCGATCCTACCGTCTGCTACTTCACTGGTGGTTTCTCATAGTGAATTTTGTCTAGTCGGTGCGCTATTTGGTACTCGGGTCATTTATTTTTTTCCGATATTCCTCGTAGTTTCAATTAAATTTGAACTGTATGCGTAATTAATTTCAGAAAGCGGACATTTCCACTTTTCGTCAACGCCCGATTTGTATGTTCTGTGAGAACAGGCCTATCCAGACGTTGTTGAAATATTAGCGCCTAAAGTTAGGGTTCGGTGCAGAAAAGGACAAATCCGGGACATGTGCCAGTATTATTTATTTTTTTTTCTGCGACGCCCTCTGTAGGATTTGGTTTTATGGAAACGTTCCCTTCTGCAATTAACGATCCATATACGTCCATCGATTAATACAATCAAAATAAATGTACAATATATTTTATCTATTCGTAATAATATATATTGTGTACAACTTTTCTTTTGTTTTTAGACAACATTATTTTCCAGTCTTGTACAGTCAATAACACGTGTATATGTTAATGCGGATCGCTGTATTTCATATATTATTCCTGTTCTTTTTTTTTTTTCTCCGTGACCGTCCGATAAATTTGAAACGACCGGTGTCTGGCCGTCTATTATTATCGCATTAGATATTAATGACGAAAACGCGGACGACCGTTATTTTCCGGACAAAAATAACATTATAATATTTTAACGGGCGGCGATATTTCGTATTTAAACCGACTCGGTTTTCCTTCGATTTTGCTTCGGCCGATAACCGTACGTACCCATCGCCTATACACCGGCCGTGATCTAACTTCTGTTATTATTGTTATACTTGTACGCGTACAAAGTGATCGCGTACATTACGTGTATTATTATTATTATTATTATTGCGCGGGTGGGTGATGGTTGGCGGCCGTCGTAAAACTTTCCGGGGGTAAACCTCCGCGGTAGGATTTACGCAGCGTAAACGTCTGTGGCGCGGCGTTACACCACGCACGCCGATAATCGATACGGCTGCGATAATTATTGTTACACTTTGGTGTAATTGATTGCGTAAAACGAAAACCCGTTTTCATACGCGCGCGCGCGCCTCGCCATGTCATATTTTCTATACGATTCCGCACAGCGTTCTTTCCGTCCCGCACGCACATTGTAATATTATTATTTGTACATCGACCGCAATACGTCGCGCGTCTAACCGCGCCGCTGTCCAATTAAAATGACGGCGGCGGCGGCGGCACCGGCACTACTACCGGCCATAACTCCTGTGCCGTCGGTCGTTTCCGAGTAGGTGCCTAATATAATAATAATAATATTAAGCGGTGAGTATTATAAGCGCGCGACTCTTCTCGTTTCTGCCGGGTTCTTCATCCGTCGCATTCGTCGTCGTCGTCGTCGTAGTCGTCGTTGGCACCGTTCCACCGTTTCGCCGCCGCCGCTCGTATATTTTCCTCTTCACCGCGTCGTCGCCGTCGTCGTTGTTCGCCGTCACGGCCGCGGCGGCGGCGTCGTCCCCGAGACGCGTTTCGTTCCGTCTCGTCGTTACACGCGCGCACGAATAATATAATAACGCGTTATATTATACAGGGTGATTGCCGGTCTTTTTCATTCTCCTCGGCCGAGTTTCCCAATCGGTTCGGACGACACCTAACCCCGCATTTCCATAGTGTTTTCTTCCTCGGTCGGCCGCGGCAGGACCGTCCCGCCAAACGCCCGCTCCCCCCACCACCATCACCAGTCAACGTTTATTTTCCAACGTCTAAACCTCCGCCCCGAGGATTATGTTTATCTCATTCCACCGCTCTTTCCGACCGGGTTCATTTCCAGTGCCGCTTTTACTTTTTACTACCGTCTCCTGCAAGATGACGGGGGCTACGGAAAGCCGGTTCTAGTCCATTGTTCACGGTCTCTAATTCATCGCCGATCGCTATTGACGTCCTTTTTACAAGCTCTCCTCTCCCATACTTTCGGTTTTCATTCATCTTGCCTTTCGTAATTTCCACGTTTTCTCTCCATGTATGATAATCGGACGGGATAATCTGTTATGCAGCCGTCTTGATAAGAAGTTGCTAGATCCGAGAATTTTTTTTCAGTCCGTATAAACATTTATTGTCTGAAATTATCCTTGCCTATATTTTCTTTTCTGTTTAATTTCGTTCAATGAATACTGGCCCTAAGTATTTGAATGGCTTGTTTCTGTTAAAACCATAGATTCCTACTTTCAGAGAGGAGGGGGGATATCGTTTGTACAATAATATGAGTATTATGTATACTCGTAACTAGAGACTCATAATGATCTGCTAAGATACAATTTCACTTGAAACGACAAACTAAAAATTCCGACTATTTTTTTTTTTTTTTATGGAAAAATAATATAGGTCAAAAATAAATCAGATAGATATTTGGCTCACGAGGTATAGACACTCCGCTGTAGTGATTATCTATAGACCTACCAAGATTTCTAGTAAATATTTTGATTTTCGTATTTTTTTTTTTTTATTTTCTATTGCTACGAATAACGACGTTTATAGAAATATACATATACATATATTATTTTTTCGAATATAGTTTAATAATAATAAGTATACGTGACCGATAATAGCTAGGTATATTTAAATCAAAAGTAGATTGTTATAGGTACTTATACACGTACTCGTTTCCGGTGTGTGTTGTAAATATGGTAAATAAAACGATTTAAACGTTAAAATGATCGCATTAAGTATTAATTTTATTGAATCGTTGCGGGTTCGCGATAAGCGAATCACTCTGTATAAGTTTCGGTTAATGCAATCTACAAAAAAAAAACATAAGACGACGGGACCGAACCGGACCGAATTTGCCGCCTCGTCGTCGTCGCTCCCACCGCTACTTTATACTACGACTACTATTACTAAAAAAAAAACACCATCAAGTACTAATAATATGGTGTTCGTATAGGTTATAATCACTCGTGGGTTCATTGCATCCGAATAGATATTACAATAATAACGATAACAACACATTTTTGTAGTATAGACACTGGGGATACGGTTAATTTTTGGTTCACCTCCCTCCCTCCCGCCACCACTAATAATTCATATTTTTGCTCGGACGTAAATCTATACTTAAAAAAAGAAAAAGAAACCATATTCATTCAGCGTTTTTTCGTTTCTTCCCTACAATTTTTTTTAAAAAAATTTTCTGTTGAACGGAGTTCGTTTAGAGCTCGGGTCGATTAAAGACTCGAGTCAAGTGGCGGCGGCTGCCCGGTCGAACAAACACTCGTTTTCGAGGTGAAAACAAAACTATATTATAATATGTATAGTCTCGACGAGTATTTACATTGGATAATAGGTTTTTTCCCCTCTAAACCGAATGCTGAGTTAATAATACTGATAGGTTGGTACAACTTGGTTAAAATAATAATATACCTACGAATAGACTAGTCATCAGTGAGTGAAAATAAAAAATCCCCAATATTAATCATAGTAATGCTTAAATCATGATTTTAAAAATATCTTCCTTTAACAATATATTATGTTTTAATGAAATATTCAAAATTACAATAAACATTTATTAATAGTTAGGTATCGTATATTATCTGATCTTACTTAATATCATCTTAATCGGTTACACTATCATTAACAGGGGTATATTAATTTCTTATCGGGTAATGTAGAAAAAAAATCAAACGGCCGAAAAATTGAAATCTAGACAATATACTAAATTCAAAACATACAAATATCGCCCTAACGCCAAACCTGATATTGCTCTAAGGAATTTACCTAATGGTCTAAGTGTAAATCCTAAATTGAAAACCTTAAGTGGGCGAAAAACGCCGGTGGATGTAAATTTTTCCATGGAGGGGTAAAAGGCAAAAGTCACATCGGGTAGATGAATTTTGATGTAAAATAGTCGATAATCTTGTCTATCATAGTTTAGGATAGTCAATTTGATGGAATTAAATTCGTAATGTTACTAAATTTTAATTTTAATCGTTGGTATTTTTTTTTTGCATGTCACCTGTGGAGAATTTATTAAGATAATCACATACTATATAATATATAATAAACTAGATTGATGATATTTTTTATATTTAAATATGAAATTAATTTACTGTAGATTCACTAGGTTACAAAATATTGATCTTAATGGATTTAAATAATAAAGTAATTTACTCGTAACTATCAACCAATTATATATTTTAATTTATCCGATTTAAATTGTATTAATTATATTGACTCACATTGCAACTCTACAAAAGGATTACAAATTAAAAATGTCGATGAATACGTAATAATATTATTCGAGGGCACCTATACTTTGACGGTGACTTTACATATCTTTAGAAACTTTTGTGCGGTGTATATTTGAATTAATAAAGGAGTTAGGTAGGTATCTATCAATTTTCATCTGGATTTTCGAGTACCAATTTTGTATGTATCTTCGATTGCATTTTTTTTATAATTGTATTCTCGTGAGTAAAAAGAAAAATGCACTTTTCACCGAAGTTTTATAATTGCTAATTTAATCGAACGTTTTTCGGATGTGGAATAAATTTCGATTTATTATTTTCCCTAGCTATACGATAGTATTATGTACACAAGTTAAGAAAACAGGTTTTTTTTTCTAAATTTAATACGTGACGGAGAAAATGTTGCTAGATATATAAAAAAATCAAAATTGATTTATCTAATTTATAATATTTAACTTTTATATTATTAGTTAGCGTTTTTCATCATCCAAATAAATATTAAATATAATTTTATGCATAAATAATATTGATTTTTATTTATTAAGGTTTTAAGGACTTAGTTGGCTAATCTCGCATAATGAAAATTATAAATATAAATTAAATTCCGTGTCAAATAATTTTAGGTAGGAAATAGGGATTGAACTCGGTAATTGTCACACTAGGCTAATCATGGACTGTACCTCGAGTAAAAATTAGTCAGGTTGCATCTGATGATTAAAAAGAGAATATCTGGAAAGGAAAACAAAATATTTCTTTTTTTCCCGCGAAAAATATTGGTTAATCATAATACCATAAGTAATATGATAACTTTATATGTTTTCAACGATATTCCGGACATCCCTTTTGGTTTATTAGATGTCTGATTTTTTCTTTGAAGAATGACGCAGTTCACTAGTCAATAAAGGTCTATAATAAACACCCATTCCAGAATATTGTTATTTTAAAAAATTCCAAGTGAAATTCGTGTGTGTAATCGCTGTGTATGACTCACTAAATTATGTAGAAGTACAATGTACTGAAGGTACATAGCCACATAGGTATATAATAGCTATACAAACCCCTGCATTTATAATTAGATTGAATTACAAATTGAAGCTTGTTGTATGTGCAGGATTCTCCTATTTGAGTTGCTGATTTGGTTAATAGTTACCGTAATATTCACACGAAATAAACATTTCAACTTTTTAAATTCCTCTAATGATTACTATTATACGAGTAATATTACTATTATTATGTGTTATTAACTGACAAAAATAATTTCAATGTTAGTTTTTTACGTTTTATTTTTCTTTATGACCTTTTAGGCCAAAACACATGATTATTATCACAGTGAAAGTTCCTTTTATGACATTATAGAATTATTTGCATAGAAGATGCAGTAGGTATTAAAACATTTTTGTATTGCACATTTTTTCGTCTGGATGTTTTGTAACTACATAGTTTTATAGTAGGTATATTATTCATATTTATTTACACTGCGATTTCCCCTCTCGTATCAATGTCATTTCCGCCGAATAATAATATACATACACTGCATGACGGGCCCCTAAACACTCCTTAGTTTAGCCACGAGCTAAAACATTTTAAAATATTGAAGCCAATAGAAAGATACTTATAATTATTATCTAATATTTTAGAATAGTTACATCATAGGAAAGTCATTTTGTTATTTTTGGAGTTAATTAAAGACAAAAAAAAATGTATGAAAAATGTAATATTATATTATAATATGTACCTCAGATTTTAATTTTATTGCACACTTGTAGCAGTAGAAAACAAGTTAACAAAATCCTCGCCATACTTGACTTCTTATAATTTTGTTTTGGATAGGTACCTACTCGAAAACAATGGTATTCTCTATACTAGCTATTGTGTGAAAATGTGAATACGAATTATTGTTGTACCACGGAACAATGTTTTCAAATACATATATATTTTTCAACTTTTTGTTATTGAAATTGTATAAAATTATTAATTAGCTAATCAACAATGAATATGTTAGGGGGTCGGTACGATTTTGGACTCCTTTTTATAGCCAAATATAAAATGTAATTATGTGCGGTCTATGTATTGCAAGCATTGCAAATCGTTGTGTTTTCGCGTATTATAAGAAGTGCGCTAAGTACCTAGGCTAATTATTTGATATGAAAATCTTGAAAATGTTGGTTTAATGTTTTTAGTAAAGAAAATAAAATTTAAAAAATCCATGTAGGTAGGTACAATTAGCACAGAAACTCAAAGGTAAACGTCACGATGTCGTTTTATAGCGATGTTCACATCGCTATAACTTTTGAACATCTTTGTGTAGGTATGTATTTACAAATAGTGCGACGAATTTCTTGTTCGAGGACACGTATTATATAAATTAGATACTTCCAAAATCTGTAGAATAAGATGAGAACCTATAATTATTGTACTCGGGTAATATTATACAGGGTGATTATTTTACCACGAACCCTTGGTTATTAACGATGTAATTACGTATTATAGGGCGGTAAGCAAAGATATTGAGTAAAAATCGATTTTAAAAGAACAACACAAGTATAGAATATTGTTATGAAGAAAATAAACGTTGATATTAAAATTAACCGAAATCAAATTTTACTCGAAATCGTCTTTTATGATATTGCTAGTTCATCACGTTAAAAAACGAATTGCTCTGTATACATATGTCTTGCGTTTGACGAATGAAACAACTAGGTACAATAATAATATTATAAAACCGGTCGTCAGTAAATCTGCCCGAGGTTGGTCCGTCTGTGCTCCGGTGTGTTGCTCTCTTATATGCACGGTGAGGAGGCGTGAGCGTAGGCCGTTGGCCTTCGTTCTCCCAGCGAGAGCATTGCTACTGCAGCTGTTCGACCCGCAAAGTCGCCTCTGGCGAATAAAAAGTCAAAATTAAGTGACCGGCGGGAGGGTATAATATCATGGGAGATGGTATTAATAGGTATGTGGTATAGGAGGTATGACCACTACATCAGTGGTGGTACACCGGTCGAGTGAAGTCAATTAGTTATTTTAAGTCTGTAATGGTTGTCTTATTAATTATTGTACAAACCGTATGAAAGCTTCAGGACGAGCATTGAAAAGCAAATTTGTTTTACTTTTACCGCCGTTTATACGGTTCAAAGTAAATTCGATATTGTGTGTATAATTATCAGTTATCGGATATTTCCGCGGTTTATTGTATGGATTTTGTCCTTGATTAAGGTTAAGTTAAAGTTAATTAATTAATAAAATAAATATTATTTTGAAGATGTATAAGTTATTATAATGTTACATGTTATCATTTTTCGTTTATTGAAAGACAATGATTGTCAATTGTCAATTAATATAAGACAATTGATGACAATAATATTACAGAGTTTGAATTGTCATTTAATGACAATAAACCGAGTTCGGGGAATTTTTAACTTGATTTTTTGAAATTTTAAATTTGTTAAACTTGTAGATATCTTAAAATTTATCTTAATATTTTTGTGCTTTCTTGGGGGGGGGAGGATTTTTTTGAGTGATGTGTTTTGAGTTGTTTATTTTTTTTTTTTTTTTACACAGAAACGTTACTAGTTCATTTTTTTTTTTCGATTTATTTAGCACGTGATTTATAAAACCTAGTAAACAACATGACAACTAGCTATAAAATTATATCATCGTAGGTACTTTTATTTATTATGCGTGAGCTCATTCATAATATTATGTTCATTTTGTCGGCGTCTGCAGATTTACTTGTACTTATTTAATCTTATCTCATTCGCGTGTTGTTATTTTTTTTAACAATTATCATAAAGATAAAAAAGTTAAAATCGAATGATTATTATTTTTAGTACTTAAGTATAGAAATTCACATACTGTATAGGCAGATAATTAATACTGTAGACGGGTGTTCAAGGATTTTACTCGTCCCGTAGGTGTTTTTTTACGATCGTCTTTTTAGAATAATCATAAATTCATAACTTACTATGGGAAACTGGTATATTATGCAATGTATACGCGTCTTTTAATTTTAATAACGACGAATATCCTTTATCCTGAATTTAATTTATTAATAAATAGACAATTTCATTTCAATATATCGTTAGAATGTTTTTTTTTTGTACAATTAAATTTATTATACTCACGATTAAAATTAATTTCGTCATCAAAAATATACAACGTTTGTAATACGAATTAATAGCTTTTTTTTCACTATCTATTTCATTTCGTAATATTTTCTTCATAAACTGATGGTTATAATAATTTATTAATACGTCAACTTTTAGTTTAATTTTTTAAATTGATATATTATAATTATTATACGATTGTGTTTTAATTTCGTAGTGTTAACAATTTATCAGTTTCTAACGTTGTGTATTAAAATACTGCTTAACATCTTTAAACTGTATGTTTTTATCATGTGTGTTTTGCTCAAACGGTAAGCTGAAATATTTCAGCTGTACACAATTAGAATGAAATAGTAGTGTTTTTTTTTAGGTATAGAAAACGTTCCAAAATACACATGTTGAGCCTATTTGAAAAATGTTAATCCTTACGTATGCGTGATGAAATTGTTATACTCTTAAACGGAAATTTATCTTAACTATATTATAGCTTTGTTTTCCGCATCTCGGTAGTTAAATTAAATGTCTATACACTTTGAAACTCATGCATTTTTAATTTTTTGAAAAAAATCTAAGACCGATATCATATTTAGATGACTGTGTGCATCTCGGGCGAGTTTAGAGATATAGAAAACAATTTTTTTGTCCGTTTTTCGAAAAAAACCGCACTGTATTTACTTTTGGTCTCAGAGAAGAAATCATGAGTCAATTTTTAGATTATTTTTTATAATTTATTTTATTTTGTATAGTTTTTGAGTCGAAATGTCATGACGTATGTATATTTTAACACGTCGTGTTATACTGAAAATTTAATTATCTGAAGTCCTATAATGTAATTTTTGCTAGCCAAAATTATGAATTATTAAGTCATTTTTAATTATATACGAGCCATTTAGAACGCAATATTTGATTTCGGCCATTTAGCAATTTTAGCCATTTAGTAATTATGTCTTTATTTCATTTGGCAATATTTCAAAATTTAATCCGCTTGTATTGAACACTTCAAATAATTGACTTAGGTATCTCTTTTCCCCGGAACCAAAGACAATATTTTTATTTTTTATCAAAATTTTTATATTTTCAAACAATATTATTTGTTTTCCTGTTGCGAATACAGCTTTTCCGAATTCTATGAATAAATAAATCCCATATTGTATTATATTAAGTATTTTTCATTTCGCGTAACGTATGTCGATATATTATACCATTATAAATATACAATATTATACTCTGGTTGTTTTTTAATACTTCCTGGAACTTGTTCCGTTTAACGGTTTTATAACAATTATGTTTACGAAGAAACGAACGGTTACGATAATGTACCTAACCTAACAATAATCATCACAGAATCCTTTGTATAACTTATTATATTTTCCTCTTGTACCTATTACCATTATACACTTATAATAATAACCATAGAATATTTTATAATGCTAGTGCTTGTTAAAAAATTAAAAAAAAAAAAACACCATCATAGTTGTTATTATTTATAATATGCCATTAATGAATATCTAAAATATATTATAATATGTGTGATGAGCAATGTGAAATGTGGGAAACATAATGTTGGTAATGTGGTTTTGTCCAGGCAATGAAAACCGCTACTAAGACAATTTATTTTAAAGGGCCAGTGGCGGATTCAGATATTAATTTTAGGGTCGAGAGCAAAATCATTCACAACAATGAAAATTTGTGTATATTTGAATAAATTAGAAGAAAAAAAATATTATATCTACCACGATTTTTGGACAAGGACGCAAATTACTCTTTACTTCCCCTTCCCTCCTCTGGATTCGAAACTAGCTTCTACTCACAGATTGTTTCACGTGTACTGTAACAACAAATACACATCAGCGACTATTTGATTGAGTTAGGACAAGTGGACCTATTATATGTTTTATAAAGAAAGAGCGTGTTTTAATTGAACTTAATTTCTCTTGATTTTAACTATTAATAATTTATTGACAAATGAAAGTATAAAAAAAAAATCGTTCAGCTTAGGCATAGTAGATACTTTTCTAGATGTTTTTGCCTTAAATTCAACCGAAGAGGCGCAATAGTTGAAATCCGAAACATATATTTGTTGCTAAATTATGCGTGAGGCAGACGGAAAAAACAAATTATGAGTAAAAAGGCCTTGAAATGTTTGAACTATAATATTATTTAAAGAGAGGGGGAAAACTATCAACATATTATATTAACACTGTATAAATACTATAAATTAATGTATTATAATATTATTATTATAGTATACCTATTATTATTATCCCATATCGAATTGATTAAAAGTATAATTAATTGTTGATAAAGTCTATCCCACTGATTGTTCAGTTGAGTTTAGATGCTTTTTGTGACACCCCATTGCAATATTGTTATATTATCTGCACCTCGTACGTTTTACGTTTATTGAACGTTTTTTTTGTTTTATATCTGTTTTATAGTGGTTAAATTAATTTTCTTTTCAAATGGAATCTAAATTTGTTGATAATTCGAATAAAGTTATTTAAGTTGAAAAACTATATTTCTCTGTATATTTTATTTTGATTGGTAATTTAAATATGTTTACTTAAAAAAAAAAAAAAATAAAATAATAATTTTCACACAAAAAAGAAATAAACGTATAAATAAACTGTTTAACATATTATATACATTCACACTTTTCACGTTACTCGGTAAAAGTACACTTTACCCGATATTCTACATTGCTCATAACATGTATACCGACATAGGAATTTCGTTTGGTTTTTTTTTTTTTACTTTTGAACACTCGTCTGCGTCATCACTTATATCCCACCGACTATCCGTTAACCCCTGTATATCATCATCGTAATATTTGTCCGGGTCACCGCCGGGGTCCATTAGGCAAAGCAAATACTTCACGCGAGTATATTAAAAATGGTCGCCGTCTATAATGGGCTTCAAATCGGACATTGGCCGATCATATTGTCGAAAAAAAAAAACTTTTATAGTATGCTGATTCACTCAGTAAGTTTAAATATTACTAAAGTAAGCATATAAATACAAATCCGTTACACCTGCATGATATCACGAATAGTATAGTTAAAAGTGCATCGTGGTGAAGTGATGCAGGCTGCCGTATTATTAAAATAACATGTTTTGTCTTTTATTATTAATATCGACATATTTACGTTTTAATCATTTTTAAACGATACATATATTCGTCCAAGCTGCCATTATTATTATTACCTATTTTACGGTTAAGTATTTATACATATTTTCATCAGAATTTTTCGAATATAAATGAGTTACTGTAGAATTTAACTAGATATACCTATAGGTATGTGTTAAAATGTTTATAAATAGTTTTCTGGAGTAAAAAACTGGAAAAAAAATGCCCAGAGGATATATATTTAAAGTTTATTAAATACAAAAAAAACTTGTAAAATAAAAATTATATAATTTGCCAAACAGTCGTAATATTATTCGTTCGTTTTTAACTCTAAATAAGATAAACAATTTATGGCAGGTATCAATGGCATAGCGAGAAGAGGGGTTTGGTGTGCAAACACTACCTCTCCCTTGACCATATTTATGCCAAAAATAGTAATTTTTACTATATGCATTCGATTTCTACATGATGTATTGTGTTACGTATAGACAATTATTAAATAGGCATATGTTATGCACTTCAGTATGTTGTATGCCATATTCGCACAATAAAGTTACAAAGTTACATTTAAACACAAAATAAAGACAAATCACGGTTTCGCCTCTGGTAGGTATGAGTTTAAGATATGTATAATCGTATGTGTGTGAAAATCGGTTTTATACGCTTGATTAAAATTGTAACGCTCAAGCGTATATTATACACAATGGCAATCCTTTATTCTTTATTAAAATTACTAAATTGATAACTGCGCCAATTATTAGTGATTTCGGTTTAGAGTATTATTAATACGAATATATGACATGACTATTTTTTTTTTTAATTTTGTTGCACTGTACGTTGCCGACGACCCATGCGGTCGTTCTGTAATGAAACTAAATTGAAGTTAATAAAATGACCCTCGGTGCAATGTGTGTATGTGTGTGTTCTGGGCGCCATCCAGGTTCCCACATTATAGTTATTAGTGGACTTTTTTTTTTCTTATAGTTAACTATATTTAATCAAAATATTTTTTACTAAGTTCCTACTATCCCATTTATCTATATTGCAATAATTTATAATTATAATTACTGTACTTAATGTATTTTACACCTATTTACATAATATATATATATATATATATATATATACATTATTTGAATACACTGTATAGTATTCAATATAACAAGCGAGTGTTTTACTTTCATTTTTCGACAAGTTCAGTAGTAATTGATTTTTTTTTTTTCTAATTGGTACTTCATGCTTCTATCTTAATTATTTACTCGTTCAATAAGCTACACTGCAGCATATTTGTATATTGTATATATTGTGATGTCAAAGAAAAAAAGTTCACTTAATATATTACTTATGCAGTATATGTCTTATGTTGAACATTATAAATATAGTAATCGACATTTTTAAAAATATATTTTGTATTTTTATCAAGCCAATATTGGCATGCAAAAGTGTATATGATATTCCTATGAATCTTTTTTTCTTGTTATAGTTATTATAAGGATCTTATATAATCATTTAATTTTATTTGATTTATTTTTCAATTAAAATAATATGACAGTATGCAACATTTTAATTTCACGATAAATACTATTCAAAATATTCGGTCGGATTATCGGACGAACATTAATTTCATACTTTCTTATCAAAAAATAGATTTTAACATTCCAAAAAAAAAAAAAAAATCGTTTATTAAATTTATTTGATGTTCTATTAAAAAAAACAATGAATGTAATGGTTTTCCTACTAAAATAATAAACATATTTTATATGATGGGTTTATTTAAATTTAATTTGTTATGCCTATAAACAGCTTTGATACCAAACATCCAAACATCTTAAACCAATCAAAACATCAATTGTAGGAAGTATCTTGTAGTATTGTTAATCTAATTGGAGTGCATTCAGAAGATTTTTTGATTTTCTTTTTAGTTTTTTTAATTAAAAAAACTGGCAATTTTTTGGTTATTATTTGGATTAATCATGCAACAATGGACATAAGACGGTTATTAATACTCTGATGAGAATAGTTTTTTTTATTAGCAATTTGTATCGTTGCAAACAAATATAATTTAAATTACTCTGTGTATTCTCCATTCTACCTCAGCAGTATCAGCCTTTTTTAATTGCAATTATTTACTATTGCTTTCAGCATATAAACTTATTCATACCTATAACTTTACACCTATCTAACTGCAGGGGCCTATTCATGGTTTGAAGTGTGTCGGGGTTTTTACTATTAAAACAAAAAAAAAAAAAACACCTACCATTATTATAATTTATAATAGTTTAAAACTGTACGTGTAAACTATTTCTTTAAACCATAGATATATGTGAACTTTGTCTAATTAGAACGCATTACTGTATTAGATATTATGTATTATGTTTGTTATGCAACTAACCTCTGCAGTAATATCCCATCTTAGTGCTAATTATTAAGACAACAAATCATTGTATGTAGCTAATTTTCTGTATATTAATCAACGCAGTTTGTGTCGAGATTTCACTATGTACTTACATATTTGTTCTAGATTAAAACATTTCTATATAATTTAAACGATATTTTTCGTTATTAATTTTATTAATAATTATTAGGATAACAGAATCTGTCAATCTAATAACTGATTACCTATATAATGATACCTATATGAACATTACCAGTTAACAGTTTACTGATCGCCACTCAGAATGAATGTTTGACTGTAATGGTTTATTGTTGTTTTCAGTATTTATTAAATAAAATTTAAACCACCTTGCATCTTATACCTTTCATACTTTCCACCTACAGCAGGCTACTGGCTTGGCTTTTTTAATATTATTATTTTTGTGTTTTCCGGAACGAGAAACGAACCTATTACTCATTTTTAAAGGAAAGGTAAAAGAACGGAGTTTTTTAACAGAACGAATTAGATACTGCTAATAATAATGATTATTTTCATTGTTTAATCAATGTGTTATTTTTACGAATTCGATTTTCGATTCCTTTAGCTGGTAAAAATTATAACCAAGTTAAAAATATCATATATTATTATTTATATAAATATATATTGTACTAGTATACTTAAATATAAATATTAACATTTAAAACTTATATGTCACGTTAAAATTTGTTAGGTTTCTTTTATTCTCTGGGGAATCGTATACATATCAAAAATTTCAATCATATTACGGAATTTGAATGGGTATGGTGTACAATATTATATTGTTAAAACCACATTGAAAAAATAAAAAAAAATATCGTATGTAAATTTATTAATATTAGATTAAATCCCAAAACGAATAGGTTATGTAAGGGGTTAGGTTTATATCATCTAATTTTGTTGACCGAATTTCTATTTCCTACCAAAGTTCTGTATAATACGTATTGTTTTCGTTTTGTTTATACTATTACCCGCGTATTAGTATATTCAAATAATTTCGAAAATTATTAACTCGCTATTATAGGTTTTTGTATTGCTTGAGTAGGTCACTATAGCAGCTAGCTATGCAATTGGTTATATAAAAATAATTTTAGTAAACAGCGGTGAGCTACGTTCCAAATCGTTAGCCTATCTTTCTCATTAGGCGTGTGTGATTTTATCGCCACAATATGCAACTCAACACCGTAATATTTTGAATAAAACGAGACGAGTGTAATATAGTGCACTAATGTATCTCGTCTGAATTTGGTTTTTTAGAATATATTTATAGGTAATTATTGTTGCATTCAAGTACATGTAACTAAACATACGTTCCAAATCTAAAAAAAAAAAAGTAGGCAATAGGTGGATGTAGGTATTAGTTTCGTTTGTAAATAGGTAATAATAAGAATACGGTATAGGTTTAATATAATAGCCTCTATATTTTTTCACGTCAAAATACTTTTATATAGATTCAAAGGACTTGATTGATTTTAATTTTTACGAAAATGTCGGAAGTATAGTTACCTACTGCAGTTTTTGATACACTGCAGGTAATCGTTATACATCAACCGAACAACTATACGAGAATATTATTTAAAGCAAGCATTTTTTTTTTTTTTTTTTTAAAGTTTAAAACAAAATTTAAAAAAAAAATCATAGTAAAGTAATAATAATAACTAAAAAATTATGCTGTACCTATATAATACCAATACCTAATTATATTGTACGCTGATGAATATATCCTTCGTATATAGCATTAGTTTTTTTTTTTTTTTTTTTTTGTTAAATACTTATATAATTAGTACCTGCCTACAATGTAACATAATCTATCTCTATTGTATATGTGAAAACTTTTTTTTTTTATGTGAAATATTATGAAGACAATTTTTTGTATAATACACCAACGGTCGTGTTAGATTATAACGGCGACATTATCTTTTTGTTCATAGTCGTATTCAAAGTATAGTTGTTTTTTTTTTTTTTAAATTCAATTAGTTCGAAGTACATAATATAGACATGAAAAGTCGTATAGTACGAGATATTGCGTGAAATCTGTAATAAACTTGTGCGGGTATTACAGGAATTTCGGCCCCTCGCACGTGAACGAAATTACTAATAAAGCAACAAAAAAAAAAAAAAAATCCGATTGTCTTTTTATACGTCTATAATATAATAGGATATTATTGTATCATACGTAATTTTTCGTGTTCGGGATATTTTGCAAGCGAAACACAGACTTGTTGTTGAGCAGTGTTTATAATATTCTTCATCGGTGGTACCTACTCGTATAAATATGTGGCGTGTCTATATAATAAATGCGGGCACCTACTCACTTCCGTGGGAGTCGTCGGATAGGATAGTATTAATTATTGTTCTTCCAAAGAGGATGTGTGGGGGCAAATGAAAACGAATCGAAATTTTGATTTTTTTTTTTTTTCTATTGCCGAGGTATACATATGTACGATATAATAGGCACATAATATTATTATGATATATTATACAATATGTTTTGTACGTAAATTAATGTTAACAAATTTAAAAACCAGAAAATTATTTCGGATGTTATATCAATAATATACTTATTAGAAATTAACACGGTCGAGCGCAAATATTTTTTCAAGAGGGCTAAAGTAATTAGGAGGAAAAATTGTTTATTTTACATTATATAATATAAAGTAAAAGTATACAACAATATTTCAAAAATCAACGTTTCCAGCAGTACTGATTTCGCCATAATTCAAACCTCCGTTGATTGACCTCCTATATTTATTGATGTATTAAAACGCCGCCGGGGGAGTGGATAATCGTCTCGTTTGATCATAAAGTAATACTTAAGCAATTAAAAATGTATTATGTACCTGCAAATATTAATTATGTAAAATAAAAAATAAAAATGCCATTAATTTTATATTAGTAAAACCAAATGGGAATAATTTTGAAATTATATAGATTTAAAAAGGTATTATACTAAAATATAATTTCCAAAAAAAAACAAAAAATATTCTTCTATTTTTTTATATAGCGTTTTAGAAAACAATCGTTTAGCATATTCATTTTTTATTAACTCTTATACAATATAAGAGATACTTAAAAAGATTGGCGTAAATAGCTTGAATATTTTGGGTGGACTTAAAATCCCATAATATTGATTGTTTACTGAATATATACTAGATAGACGTCTTGATTTGGGAAGGATTAAGCCGCCCGACCTCTCCCATATTTGCACCTCTACTTGGAATGTTATTGAAAACCACCATTTAAGTACATTACTTCTGTTTTTGGAAAAGATTATGCATTATGTTAGGATAAAGAAGACGAACAAAAATACTTTAGCAATAAAATAAAAATGCATACAGTTAGATTAAAAATGTAATTCCTTAAAATTACATTCTAAAAACAAAACGTATAAAACGATATCATACAATTAATTTAATATTAAAAATTGTTAAATATTATTAATTTAAGTACTAATTATTGTGTTTTTTTTTTTTTTTTTTTGTAGGGAACAGATCATCAACAAATTTTCATCAGATCAATATTTCGGTAAGTTTTGTTTACACAAAGTATAGGTATTATTTGATATTATCTTATTTTAAAATTATTATGAGGTATTTAACACGAATTTTATGAACACCACCGGTCTCTCGGAGGTTACTTTTCGTACGTTCTGTATCGTGTGTTAATACTCTTGAGAAACGAATCGATAGTAACCGCGAAGCTAACCTATTGACTAATTTAATTGTGTTTAGTATAGAAACGTTCCCCGCTAAAGTAATTATGAGAATTACATGGGTAATTCACGGACAAAAGTCTGCTTATGGGGTATATCATATTATTGTGAAAATCTAGGATTACGGGTCATTTGACCACCGTGTACAGATTATTCTTATTCGGTTTGGTTAGGTTCGGCACGGTTTAGTGGTTTTTGTGTTTCATCATTTTTTTTTAAATCTGAAAGTGGTTTTATCATGAAAAAATCGATATGGATGATCACAATTTTTAAATTTTAAAAGGACTCTAATATTTGTTCACTTCACTTAATAATTTTCCGTTTCTTGTTAGTTAACTACTAACATTAACATTGCAGATAATAGCAAAGAATAACGTCTAATAAAAATTTAGTCTGGGTGTGGAGGAGATGAACATAACGAATGAAAATATAACACACTATAATCGTATTTCGCCATGAGTATTATGTAGTTCACGTTTTTAAAACGATGTGATCAAATCAAAATCTAACCGATGATGTTAAAGTATTTATTATGTGGGCAGCGTGGGCGCTAAAAAATAAATTATAGTGTATCTCATTGTCTGGCACACGTTTTAATTTAAAACGTTAAATAATATTCTTTTAGACGTTTAAATTGATTACCAACGATTTCGTACCGTTTAAAAAGTCAATAGTGTATACATTTTATAATATAATCTTTTTTTGGTTGACATAACTTTATTATATACAATATTTGAATGCGTCTTTAAAAGTCAACATTTTGTTTTATTTTTTTCAATTTGGCGAAATATTATTACTGTTAAATAATGGACTATAATTCCTTATAATTCTATGAACTTTTGATAGAAATTATCATTTTGACGTATAGTTTATTAAACATAATTTATTCGTATTTTTACATTAAATTAATAAACTATTGTGTCGGCTAAAAAAGATATTTGAAACAATTTCGATTAAAAAAAAAAAAAAAAAAAAAAAAACGTAATTTCAGCGGTATCGTAAAACACGAGCAGGGATTATTCAACTTTGAGGTTTCGGGACCTCGATTTGCATTTTAAGGTTATGGTTTTTGGGAACCAAAAGTTTTCCTTGATAGAAGTTTGAAGCGTCATCGCCTATTATACTGCAATGCTATTTATAAGTGTATATATTACCTACCGGTTTTTGTTTCCGAAAATTTCGTGAAAAATAATTAATGTCATAGAATATATTATTATCTCATCTAAAATTCAATCATATGTATTATGTATGCTGCGGAAACGATTTTGATATAGTTTTTTCATATACATAAAAATGTAGTCAATAATTCGTTATACGATGTTCGTTTTACTTACCATTTGTAAATTAAGACCTATTTAACATGTCAAAAAGACGATTCCGAGCATATTTTACACTTGTATATTATAGTTTATTTTTTTTCAGTTGTTCACGATTTCTGCACATCGTTAAATATAGAATTCCACAAAACACGCGTCATCTTCAAACTTTATAATTATGCGCAATAAATTTTAAAATGTCGCGTAAAACTACCCGAACAAATTATTTCTTAAAAAAATTAAGGCGGAGCCCCCCTCCCCCGTACATGGAAGAAAACTATAGTTTCGTAAAACAAATATCACGATACTTGTTTTGTAATTGCCGTATATCAATAAAACTAAAAAAAAATATCGATTAAAAATAAATTATTAGTGTATAAAACAAAATTATAAAATATTAATTAACATAATACGGAATTTGACAGAACTTGAGATGTAAAACCAAAATCACAAGTTTCACGAAACAACAGTTGCGCAACTATGTGTGCAATTTTAGTTTTGCGAATCTCAGTGTTTGTATACTTATTTCTTTCGAATCCAATGGTTTCATGAAACGCATACAGTTTCACGTTTCGTATATAAAAGAAAAGTGTGTTCAACGTGCGATCCCGCCTAAATTGCCCCCGAAATCATAATTTGGTATAGTAATTAAATTAATATACTATTTTATTTGAAAAATATACGTTTTCCTTATTCAAAATTTAAAATGTATTTAGTCATTAAACGGGAGACCTTTTCAAATATACCTATCTTGAATAATAATAATAACCGTATGATTGTTGGAAATTGTGTATTATTATAATACGAGTAGTATATGCACGTATAATCACCACCGATTTCGTAGTTGAGAAATACATTGTTGCTTACTTTATTGTTTACCGCTCTGTGGTACCATAATGCTTTATTCAAGTTTATATTCTCTGTACGAGAGTCGAATACTTGGCACTTAAGAAGTTTACAAAGTTGTTTGACTTTCGGTAATAAACATGTCTAATGTCGTATTCTATGTAATACTATTTAGATAACAAATATTTTGATTTAAGTCTCTGTGCGAATTATTGATAATCATTATAATAGCAACCTAACCTAACCTAACCTAACCTACCTAGGTATAATAGTACATGATTATTTTTTTTTTGGTATACATGTTTGAGTTTATTAGGCATTTTGAGAGTATCACTCAAAGTCCTTTATTGAATATTCAAAAGAACAAACAAGTCTGATAATGCTGTTAGGTATGCCACTGTTTTAGGAGAGAAGTTTTTAGGAGGATTTATAGAACAATATAAATTATACCTAATTACTAACGAACAACGGGTTTGATAGAAGCATATTATTACTCGATTATTTTCCTTGTGTATAAGGTAACTCAGAAATCAATACAAATTATGACTTCCTAACTAACTAAATCAAAAAGACTACAAGAAAGTTCCTATGAAGTTTTTGATTGCAGTAAGATTTCTTATAGAAAAGTTATTTAAAGACACAAGCAAAATATACTAAACACCTTTGCTAAGACCAATACATTCCTTGCTTCATTCAGAATCTAAAAAGAATCATTATATATTTATTTTAGTTTTAAAAATAATTATTTTTGTGTAAGTACCTATAATCAGTCGATATATTATAAAAAGTGCAGTGAAACATATTACATTTCGTATTTTTCAACATAATAGTAATTCTTCAATATGGTTTCTGCGTTAAAAAGATGTAACAGATATTTTATATTAATATCTATATAACAGTGGAGTAATTACAGAAAAGGATCTGGATTAGTGATGGGTAATCTGAACTGATCTTTGATAAGATCGATATATTGGATCGATTCATTTTTGTAAAGATCGAATCGTCAATCCGATAGTTAACATTTTTTTATATAACATGTCTTTTCATATAAAAGCAATCAATTTACATTTTAAACATTAAAAAGACGTTCTAGAATAATGGGGACAGGTGCAACCACTGTTAGAGGTACTTCAATGTATACCTGTTAGCAAAGATTAACCATTGCTAACGGTAAAACGATTCTGAGTTGATAATGATACTTTGTAAACAATATATATGCCATATTATGGTAAGATAATTAAATAAGCATTACATATTATCTTTAATAATATTTGTTTAATGTACCGATTTTCCCATATTTTTTTTTTGGTTTTTTGCATTTGATGAAAAACTCTTGAGAAAATCAAAAAATAATCTCCTTAAAATACTTCGCCACATCGATTTCCTTTCAGAAAAGATGCTACATATAAAAATAAAAATAAGTTCTCTGGTAGAAAAGTTCACAGAAAAAAAATTAAACATTGTTGTAAAACCATGGGCTTCTTCGCTTCACTCAGAATCTAAAATAAAACTGTGGAAAAATTAATAATTTCTATAAAAGGGTAGGGATTATTTTAAATTAATAAATATAAAATAAATCGAACTCTTTATCGTTATGGAATTTATGAGTTTTTTTTTTAAACTAATTTGTTAAACGTAAGTAAATTATTATTTAAAAGCGCATCGTAACTTTTGTTTCTATAAATAGAAAAATATTAACAAATATAATATTTATTTCGAAAAATTGAATTGCCTTTGATATTATACCTATTCAAATTTAAGAAGTAAAATTGAAATAAATCGACAATCAAATTTGAAAATTCAATTAGCATCCCTTTAGTAATAAATGTAGTTAATTTATTGACATTTTTTATTATATTCTGAACGAAGCAAGAAATTTATTGGTTTTGCTATGACGTGTGTGACTTTGTTTTTGTTTTTCTGTTTGTTTTTTAACGATTTTTCCAGAAATCTTGCTTCAGTCCATATGTCTTTATAGTATATTGGATCTAGTTGGTGTATCGGATAGGTCATTTTCCCGATTCTGGCTTGTAGTTTTATCTATAACTGTGTAAAACCGAGAAAAAACGTAGGAAAAACAAGAAAGTCTTACACGAGGTCCATTACAAGTTGTACTGATAGTGGCAAAAAACAAATTGAGCGTAATATACTAATATAGTAGTTTATTTCTAATAGTATTTTAAAGTCAAATTTTGACAAAAATCTTAAAATAGCTGTATTTTGAAATATGTTTAACCGAACTTCATTCAGATTTGTATTTCGTTAGAAATGATTTACTATTACGTACAGATGTATAATAAATAAGTTAGTATCCTATCTTCCCTACTTTTCATCTATAATAGTAGCATACCCTTTAGCAGTATAAATTATTTTTATTTTTTGTCTTTACAGGCTTCTCAAGATTTAAGTCCTATTTACTTTTGTCGTATATTCTTCTGCTACTCACTGGTACTCTCAAACGCCATTAGTGTAATGGATTTTTTTTTTTTTTTTATTTATATTTTCTTATCATTTTTTTTTTCTGACCCGTTTTGAGTTATGAAGATGACGGTGAAAAATATATTATTTTAAGACTCGAATCGGGTAAATTTGGCAATTGCGTCTATCTGTATGGCTGTATATTATATTTATTATAATAATATAGTTATGGTAACTGTTAAACTGCTGCAGCATATATATATATATATATGAATGTATGTATGTATCACTATTATTGAACTATTGAACGTGATTTTTTTAAAAAGAGAAAGAAAAAAGTTTTCGTTTATTATTTATGTGCAGGTATTTTTGAATGCGTAATTTTACTATACATGTGCCTTATTTATAATACTTGCGTTTATATTCCATGTTCATATTTTTAAACAAAATATATTTGAAAATATGGTTAAAATCGCTGCGATATATGTCTCAACGGAAATATTTTTTTATTATTTCAATTTTTTATTAAAATATGCGTGTTTTAATTTAATTTAATTTAATTTCTCTTAATTTTATTTATTCCGAGACGGATGAAATAGTATTCGTGACTTAATAAACAGGCATATCATCAAAATAAACTAATAATAATTATCGATAGGTGCGCAATTGTTACTCCGGATGATGTCATTGAGAATGGCGGTAACCATTTTCAACATTTTTCATATTATTAAGGTATGGCAAAACATTTATGCCATATTTTTTTTCCGTGATATAATGCTTTATGCCATGATTTTTTATGGGCTCACTCAGAGCGTCGTTACTTCAATGCGCACTGTTATCTTGCTGTCAGGCATTGTTTATGTCGCCATGATATTATTGACGTTTACGGTTTTTCTAATAATTGTCAATTCTAATTTTGAAATTTCATGAATTAAAGTTTATTAAGTATCGGTAGGTTTTACGCTTATAAATATTTTGTTTTTTAATTTACAGTGAAAATGTTATTATTTATCGTTTCATAATATGTTGGCGTGGTACTTAGTGTACGTAGTGTAAGACGTGTATTATTTTCTTCGGAGTCGATTGTCTCAGTTGTAGGAAAACATTTGTACGGTTAAATGTATTATAATAATTATAACCTTTGTGAAATACGATATTGGTAAAGTCACATTACTTTACTTTTGGTTACCTCTCGTGTTGATTAAATGACCACGGACTGTAAAACGGTTTTGTTTCCCTGTTTTGCAACGTGGTGTCCTGCTCATATTTCGCTGGTTTTGGATCGTTACAGCGTGCCGCTGTCAAGAGTCTGTGAGCCGTTGCGATTACATTTTTATGGAAACTGCAATTTCTGTTTAACACAGAGTACGCATGAATGATATGTATATATATATATATTGTATATTATGTTGTGATAACTTGTAACTTTTTCCTGTTTTCGATTTTATCCTTTCCGCGAGTGTATCCGTATACTTTTATGCTCGTCCTTCACTAATCCTTCCGAAAGATACGCTACCCCTAAAAGTAAAGTTTCTTTTTTAAATTCATGGTTGTTTAATTGGCAAATAACGCGGTTTTTCTCCCTCTAATTTGGCTACCCCGAATATAAGTATCTATACGTATTTTATAAAAACATTAGTAAAATTTAAAAATATGTAACGTAATCCGATAGTTAACTTTCCGAGTTATCCATCTAGGTTTTGATTATACTTTAATGATATCTTAAATTACTCGAATATTACACGACTATTATGATCCGTAACAGCGTGGGCTTGAAATATACGTATATATACATATCATTTTTTAGAAATAAACACGGAGACGAAATGATGTAAAAATTCGATTGTGTTGTTTAAACGATAACCGTGTGGATTGAATGTAAATAGATTTGTTTAAAAATAAATCGCGACGAAAATCCGAACTCATTCATATTATAATGATGACGAGTTCGAAGGACACATGTGGTTCACATAATATCGTATTATAAACACGCGGCCTACTGTATACAAAAAATAAAAAATAAATTATATTCTATTGACATCACGGTAGGTATAATCTTAAACACGTAAAAGATGAATAGACTGGTATAGAATATTATATGTACCTTTGTATAAACTCTTAATCTGCGGTTATAATATTCCACGGAGTCGTATAACGTATTAGATTAATAATATTTATATCTCGATTTATATGCAGGCAAATTTAAATTTTGAACCGAACCCGCCGCGCAATCTAGTGGCGTGGCGAAGGCTGTTTATTGAAATCCGTGCCTCGACAAAATGAATCATAGAACAGCGAGTTAGATGTAAAAAATTATAAAAAATTATAACTGATTTTTCAATAAGAGTGGTGTTAGTGGTGGTTGCTGTGTGTTTATAATATAAGGACTGTATTTTGTAAAACAATTTCCCTATACGCCACTTATGCAACCTGTACATTTTTCTGCGAATTATTATATGTTTCATATTATTTTTGTTTTATCGCGGCGATGATGGAGTAAATGTTTATTTAGACGCGGTCTTTTTTTTTTTTTTTTTTTAATTATTTCCAACGACACAAGTTATGTCTATATCGATGATTTTGTTTGTTTGTTTTTTTTCGTTTTTATTTTTTTTTTTGAAAATCGTATCTAATATAATACATACGTTTTATTCGCGCATAGTGTGCGTAGCTTTTTCAATATGATATATCGAAATTAGTATAATATTATTCTCAGTATGCTCCGTGTAAATATTAATAATCGCAAAACAAATTTGTATTGTATTTTTTGAATTGACACGGTTTTGCGTTTATGTATAATGTTCATTCGGATTTTTTTGATTAATACAACATTGAATGAACAGTTTCCAGTTTATAGAACTATGATGCAATAACATTTCAATATAAATTCCGACTTATGTAAAAAATATCGAGTTAAGCCAATGTTTAAAAAATCCTCACGGCACGTGTGTATAGAATCGGCCGTGAACTTTGAGATGGAACGAAAATATTTAATGGACATGTAAAACCATATACTTAATATAGGTACTGGAGTAAAACGGTCGATCCCAAGCGTATAACTGCGTGTTTTTCTTTCATAAAATATAATAAAAGAATCGAGATATCACAATCAATCCCAACTATCATATTATATTATATTTTTACTGATATATAAATATTATAATTATTATCACAAACCTGTTTTTTTATAAAATATACACACACACATATATATATATACATATATACAATTGAGTAGGCATAATATTTTTCATTCGATCAAGATGGGATAAAATTTAATGAAACTATATAAAATATTTAACTCTATTCAGCCTAGGTTAATTAAACGAAAAAAAATTAATGTCTTTAGCGAAAAGGTATAAATTAACGAAACATTCATTTTAGTGACTCGTAAAATTGAAAGTTCAAATAAAAAAAAATCAGGCAACTGTCAGTTCAATTAAAAAAAAAAAAAAATGACAGTTTAGATACTGATTGAAGCAAGAAATGTGTAGGATTTACTGTGATGTGAGTTTGTGTGTTTTTTTTTATGTCTATATAATTTATTTACCGGAAATCCTGTTCCAATTAACAGATCAAACTAGATCATTTTTACAATACTATTGAGAGATCATTTTTAATTTCCTTTATAGTTTTATTAATAAATGGGAAAAACCGTCAATGTGTTGTATAATTTTTGTTGATTTCTTGGATTATCTAGGCAATTACAGCCTACTAGGGAAAAATATTACTAATAATACTCTGATCAGAATTGTTTTTTTGTATAAGCAATAGTTCATCGTTGTGTACAGGTTTACATTTAATTATTTTATGTATTTTCCCTTCCACGTTCTCTCCTAAAACACACACGTCAGCAATGTCAGACTTTTTCATTAAAAAATATTAAAAATTACGCACCATACATATTATTGTTATTATTGTAATCGTTTTTCAAAAGTTATACAATAATATATAATACTATGTATTACTATATTAGATAAGAAAACAAAGATATTAATATAATTTAAGCGATCTGTTTTAGAGTAATGAATTGAATACCGATAATTATCGTTGATCGTCTAATGAAGAAAAAATTAAAAACAAAAAAAAACTCGCTCAGTAAATCCGTGTAGGTCATTCATGTTTTAGTGTTAGTGATAATATACTTTTACTCGGAATTCTTATCACTTAGAGAAGGAAAAAAAACCATTCCCGTGTATACTATATTGCTGCGGTCGTAATATATATATTATGATGTTTATTACTCAATATATAAGTACACTGTAGAGGTTATCAAAAGATGTGCTCGTTAAAATAAATATTGTTGCAAGTTCGGTATTTTGTTTCGCTTGTGTTATTATAACCTCGATTTTTTTTTTTTTTTTTTTTGTATTACACTTTGGATAATACTATATTGTTATATAAATTATTGCAGTACTTACGTGTAAGCCGACAAATTATACCATTATATTAAACAATAATATATCGAATAATACGTTTTTCGATTTTATTTTTTTCGTTTTACAAACGATTATGTACGAATTGCATTTTTAAAATCTGCAATAATAATAAGTACTATTCTTAATTAAATCAATATCGTTAAGTTGGTGTTTTAACAACGACTTTGCGTTTTAATTTCTGCAACGATTAGGTACTATTTATTAAATTGTATATTAAACTTATTATGTTTATTTTAATTCTTTTAAAATTTTGAGAACAGGTACATAGGTACATAAGGTTTAACTAAAATTATATTTATGTAGGTACACAATTTCAGTACGATTAAGTTCAAAACGTTCGGAAATATATTATTAGTACATTTAATATTTTCGGTCCCCCCCTCCCGTACTTTAGTTTATTTAACAAATCGAACAATTAATGAATAATTTTTAGATTTTTTTATGTATCGCAACGTTTGAAACTGTGACGCGACAGCAGGTATCATCAGTATATAGACGCACATGTAGGTATAGATAATCTCGACTAATTAAACAATATTTTAAAACGTTTTGAAATTGTTTAGAAACTAAACACCGCGTGTTGATAACGAACGACGCCAAATTATGTAAAGTGGAGTCCTGTGTCTATGTTATAATCGAATGTTTATGATGTTATAATCGAAAAAGGTCATCTTTATTGATAATAACGTCTATTCTTAAAGACGAATATAAAAAAAAAAATAATACGCTCAGAGTCTAAAAATTAAAAATTCATAATAATAATATTATGAATACTGGATACGAGACATGAAAATAAAGACATTATAATTAAGTATTAAAAATTATTGCATTTACTTATTGATTGACAATTAAATCACATAGTACAAATCTGAAAAATAGTTGAAAGTAGGTAATACAAATAAAAATAAATAACTTATATACATATTTTTATACATATATATATATATTGTTGTAAATCTTAAAATGAGACTTGTTATTAACTGATAACTGAGCGCTGTGATAAAATTATATTAGAAAAAAAAAAGAATATTATTAAATATTTAGATAAAGGGGTTCCTTAACGTTAAAATTCTATAATTTATAACTGGTGGAAAATGGAAAGGTCATTTCTTGCGGAAACTGGTGACATCTGTGTGTTTCTTTAAAATTTGTGCCAAAAAAATATCTACCAGAAATCAGCTTGTTCCAAATAACATTAGACCTTTCTTGTACTGTATTTTTTTTCTACCTAGTTGATAAATCGAGAGGTTGTTTTTTAATTTGTTTTTATAGTTTTCTTAATAAATGGAAAATACTGGCAATTTTTCTGTACATTTTGTTGATTACCTTGATAACGAAAGAAAAATACAGCAAATAATAATACTCTATACTCAGAATTGTTTTTTGTTAGCAATTATATTTGATCGCACAGATATTATATATTATAAATTACTATTTTTATTTGTTTACGCAACTAACTTTTTGCTGTAGTACACCCTCATTAGTATAATATTAATTTTTTTTTTTCCAAAAAACGTGACTGTTCTTAAGTATAAAGCGTATCATTATAATATAACCTACGGTTGAAAGATTTATTTCGTATTTAGTTATTATTTAAATGTTTAACGATTCAATGCTTATAGTCTAAGTGTTTTATGATGAGGTAACTTCATAATGACTGCATATTATTATATATAAATTGATATTATTTTCTGGTCGGTATTATTTCTTATTCGTATTGTAACTTTTTTTTTCATATCTTTTAGTACCCGTATAAAATATAGGAGAGTCAAATAGATAAGAATCGAATCATGGACGCGTTTATATTCCTACTCGACTAAATAACCTAATATTATGTTCTTATAAACTTATTCATGTAGTGTGCTATGACAGCAGCGTAACACCGCCGGTATGAGATTATATTTTCCGTTTTTTATTTCTTGCCATCACATGTTTACAAAATTTGTTCTCACAGTTTTGGAAATAACCAATCGAAAAATCCTATTGTTGTAGTATTCGACAAACGCGCATTCAGGGTAACTTACGCGAACCGTGAAACACATTATTTACCAGATGTGTAGGGTGGAAAAAAATATAATCTAAAAGAAAAATGTATTATATTATTACATTATTACTGTAGGTACCTACAGGTATGCTGCAGTCGATGTACACCCTCTTTCGTGATCCCTCCAGGCAGACATATGTATACGGAAAAATAATAAAATACCACCGTCTATGCACCTGTCCTTTTTTTTTCTTTCCTAAAGGACAATAATAAGACGTTTTTATGAACGTCGTAGTATGTACGATGTACCGCCAGTCATTTTTTCCCGTCCAAATCTGTATACTATTTATTTTTTTTTTCTCGAGATTTTAAGATGATTGAGATTTCGGCGTTTGGTCGTACCTATATAATTATGCCTTTTTTCCCCTTTGAGTGACACGACCGATGGGAGTGATTGGTTAAAGGATGATGTATATTTCCATTTTGATAAAATCGCGTTTAAAACTCATCTCGTTATGTATATAGCTTTACGCATTGTTATTTTTAATTTTCACTTAAAATAAACGTTTGTTTATGTCATTTCGTTTGTTTTTCTAACATCATTTTTCAAACTACGTACTCGGGAAATTGTTGAACTATGGCTTTTCTATATGATAGTCCAAAAACTTCATCGTCTGCGTTCTATTCCCTCGCAGATAAATACAATAATAATTTTTTAATTCAATTTCGCCCACAAAAAATGTTAACGTAATAAAAAAACTCGCCAAATTGAATATAATAGTTTCTTCTTTGATCTGAAATTTGTGTATAATAATAATAAAAAAAAAAAAAAAACAACACTATACTTTTGTGTCCTGGCCGGTGTAGGTCACTGTTGCGAGATGGCAATACCGGAACCCGGGGACAATATATCAGAAATTTAAAATAATTGACACGAAATTCAAGATGTGATCAGACTCCAATCTGTTCGCTTTATTTATGTATTGTTAAAAACTACGCATCTTTGCACATACTTAGGACCAGTGGTTTCCAAACATTTATCTATACCGCCCACTTCAAAAAAAAAAATTCTGACAAACGCCACCTTAAAGAAAAAAGTGTGTAAGTACAAAAGTATACATTATATGCATTGAAAAATTAATGTGTTGTTTATAAATAAGTATTATGTTTTATTATTATATAGTATAGGTATACGTACGGATAAAAAAATATCCTAAAACCACACTTATAAAAATAATAACAACGATAACGAACAAGATCGGCATCCGCGAGTATACTAAATTACCAATACCGCAATACAGATAACATTCAAATAATATAGAAGTAGAAATAGTGTACTATGTTACATTTATTGAGATAATGATGGGTTTATTTGTCAACGTATACAATTTATATTATAAACGATTATTCAAAATTTAAAAATACAAAATATACAGGTACAATAATTTATACTACCTACAATCTACATTCTACATAATGTTGTTGAAAAAAATTAATACATTGACCGCCCTTTTTTGTAAGTCAATGCTCTCCAATTAAACTTGCAGCTTCCATCGCCCCCCTGGATGGGCTCTAGTGCTCCCAGGGGGGCGATATCGCCTACTTTGGGAAACACTGCTTTAGACGTTGTATCGGTTTTCTTCGATTTTCTTTTGGACATCCCGTTGCCGGGGATCATCTATAGAAACAGCGTTTCGAATAAAGTAACGTCTTCGGGCCGAAATCCGGATCTTTTTTAAGACACTAAAACGGCGTCTGAAAAATTCGGAGCGGTTTTTATACTTTATGTACTTTATTGTAAAACCATAACAAAAAACGGCCATGCAGAAATATTCTCTAAACATATTGTGCAATATCAGGGCCGCTGGAATTTCAATGCGTCATGGATTTTCAAATCCTTTTTTTTTTTTTTTTTTTCTTATGAGAATAAGACACTTTTATAGTCATTTTTTTTTTTCATACACTTGCAAGTACGTTTTACGCAGGTGTATGGTTTTGAATGTTTAGGATTTTTATGATTTTTTTTCCGTGGATATTCTCGGTGTTTTACGAGACATTATTATTCCAAATACTAATTATAATAATTTATATTATCGTATATTTCCATTGCAGTATTATATTATTGTTATATATATGTATAATATACATATTATTATAGGCGGCAATGAGGGAGGCGGGTGTGTAAAACGCGCACTGCGCGTTTATCATTCATCAAAACCCTTTTCGCGCGCGAGTATTACTCCGTTGATTGATGCGTATATTTATACGTCGTCTCGTGTATTATTATTATTTTAACCGTTGAAATTATACTATTATTATTGTTATTATTATTATTATTATTATTATTATCATTATTATTATTATCATCATTATTATTACGTTTAACCGCCCCGAATTTCGAGATATCGCTAATGTATAATATTATCGTCGCTTTGACGGCGCGCGCAGTGCGGTTGGCAACCCTTGAGCCCCGCGGAGAGCCGCGCCAGAGTCTGCGATGCGAAATACAACAACAATAACAACGGCAATGATGATGCCGCCGCTACACACTCGTCCCGCAACAATGGAAAACGGCGACGTGCGTCGGTCACGTTTCGCCCCCTATAACAACAATGATAATAATATTATACTCGTATATTACGGTCCGTGCGCGCTAAAGTTTGTTCCGCGTACGGACGGCCGTTGTGCACCGGTCCACTTTCGCACCCCGTGTAACACGGTGTACAACACGCACGACGACGTCCGCACCGACGACTCCCCGTGTCACGCGTACACAAACGCGGTTTTATTCGCGACCGTTACGCCGCTGACGTTCATATTTTTGCGTTACTATCGTCGGTGACGTGTACGGGGTCCGATTGCCGCGCGCGTTATGTTATGCGGGGAGATATTTTTTTTTTTTGTCGGTTTTTTTTTGAATTTATCACGATCGATCGATATGGCGTACGTTTGTGCCAATACAAGCGCGATTATCTGTGCGCAGGTTTTTCGGAGTAAAGTCCACCACGGTTTCACAATCTATTATTATATCCATTCACCATTGAGAGTGACTTGAAAATAGTCTTCGAAAAAAAAAATACGAAAATCATTACATCTTATATTTTATAATAATGAGTGGTTCGATGCACGATGTTTGTATATAGTGTATTGACATCAGTTGATTTACTTCAGTTCGAAAGCAAAAAAGTGTTTCGTATTTTTTTATATAATTGAAGAAGACTTGAATTAATTGCTAAACGCAGAACGGGTACATGTTCAAATTTTAAAATTGTTCATACAAGATTCTTAAAATGCTCAAAAAAACGCTTAAAATCTATGAAAAATATTTAAAAAAAAAAAATTGTATTTTTCATAATTAATGGTATATCGTGTTATGCACATGTATCTACAGTAATTTTGCGGTGAAATATTGTGGAACTCTAGGTGCTCAAGTTTTTTTTTTTTTTTTTTTTGTCTATCTTGAAAAATCCTAAAATTTGAACTCTGAAAGGAAAATCGATTTTTGGTCAAAGATCCGTTGATTAAATCGCCGGATCGCCCGGACAGATGCACCCTGTACACTCGTATACATGTTGGCCATTTTCCGTCGTGACTCGAAAAATAAGCGGTCGCCTGCGTCCTTCTTCCCCCGACAAGCCGCCCGGCGGCGTGTATTATTCTAATACATCCTCCAACGTGTGTTTGTGGATTTATAATCTCCTAAACGCGCGTGTTCTATATACGTATATTACGTGCAATAGTCATCATGTTTTCGACATCTATTAAATTGTAACCAACGAAATATACTACTATATAATATAATATATGCACGGTTATTATTACCTACTCGTTCAAACGATTAACGAGCAGATTTTCGGTGGTATCAAATACGTTTGGAGAATTCGTTTTTTTTTTTTTTTTTTTTATCGTACACGAGTACTCGTTATACTGTTTACCAATACTGTAGGTAATCTATTCTGGAAAAAAAAAATAAAACAAATATTTCAAGTATCTGCCATACACAGTTAAAATGTATTGGTGTATTAAGAGAACTTGCCGTGTTTAAGGGGTCGCGTATAGGCAATTTTCACGTAATTTTGAAAAAACAATACATTTCTCAATTCAAAAATATTCAAATCCGCTGTTGAAAATTGCAAGTATTTGTCGTGTAATCGTAAAGCAATCAAAATTGTTAACAAAGAGACCGTATACTGAATATATACCGTATAACGAAAAAAACTACTTGGACTATAGACCTAATTGAGGAACCGAATTTTCACGATAAATAAAGAAAATAAAAAGAGAAATTTCCCTGGGCTGCAACGTTGGTTTTAGTTTTTCGATATCATTTATACCAAAATAGTTATCGCAGATAGAAAAATATAATATTATCAGATTTATAGTACAATAACTTGTTCTGCACTTGTAGTATCAAAAAAATAACACCAACATTGCGTCGCGCAAGTTTTCGTTTTTATTTTTATTTGATAACAATTATATTTTTTAAATTAAATCTGTAGCGCGATAAAACAGTCGAATTGCGGATGGTAAACTCCTCTCTCGATACAAATTAGTTAATTATTTTAGTTGTTTTATTGGTACGTTTATAATAATGAAGAAACGATAAGTTTCGGTCACTATTATGCATCATTCTTTTTTTTGTCACTAGAAATTGTTTATGTTCTCCTCCTCTTCTCATTTAAATCGTTTGCTCATTGCTTCGGTGCATTTTTCGTTGACATTTTAAGGGATTTGATTTTTGCTTTTCAGAATTTAAAAACGCTTCTGTCGAACCTTCAATCGGTTGATAATTTTTTTTTTTTTTTTACAAATAATGTATTATCACTATGTGCCTATTCTGTTTGTTTGTAATATGATCAACGAACACGATAATTTACACGAGTATATGAAACCTATTTCGAACAACTTTGTATGAAATAAAATATTATAAAAAATAATTGTAATATATATATGTATAATAATCTCGGTCATTGATGTGGTCGAAACTGGTTCTTCCTACGCGTGCGTATAATTTTTTCATTCGAAATAGCAACCGTCTGTAAAAATAGAAAGAAAAAAAAAACGAGGACACTTGTATGTAGAAATTGTAATTTGAATGAAAATGCGGTTTCATGATATGATAATCGCTCTTTAAATCGTATAGGTACGCGTCTAATTAATACGAGTTTATTATTATCATGTCCGAAGACATGTTATATAGACATTTGCAATTGCCTGTTTTATACTAATCAACAAAACTCCATAAAATAATTTACCGTAAGCATAGGTAGTGTAACGTAGTACATAAAAATGTACTTAGGTACCTATTACATATAAATTACGTTTTAACATAAATATTAAACGCGGATAAAGTCGGAGTAATAACATGGACGTTTCGTTTTCAATTTCGGTTGATTTCGAACGAAGATTTTATACATTTCGTGCATCTATTTTTGTAACGTGTATTTATTTATTTATGGAATAGTTTTATATCATTAAAGATGTCCTCGACCTAACTACGGATATCGTGCGCATTTACATATTAACGACCGATATTTCGTCGATTTTTATACAGAGGGGAAAATAATGCGTATTTCTTACGATTTGTCAGATGTGAAGAAAAAAAAAACATTTAGTTCTTTGATATTTTTAATTCTCAAATATTTGTATTCTATTTACATATTATTATTATACGAGGAGACGGACGAATATTGAATAAATATTACGTTTTTGTTTCCACTATTATGTAGACGCATATTTAGTATTTTTTATTGATATTTGTATATTAAACGAACGTACTTCTACGTAATTAATCATAGGCTATTTATACTCTTTTTTTTTCCACCCTATTTTTTGGACGTTTTGTTTATTTTAGAGGTTCATAATTCGCGAACCCCGCTAATAGCGATTGTAAATAAATAAATAAACACAAACTCGTTTTTATTCTTACTATATATTGACTCATTGTTTATACAATATCGTTAAAACGTTTTTCGGTTTATGAAACCGAAACCACGCTTATTTACCACCTTTATTTTATATCCCTGCCGTCATTTTCGGCGTTGTGACCGCTAAATAATAAATATCAGTATAAATGTTTTGGAAAACGGATACGATTTATTACGTTTTTATAATCTATATAATATACGTATAGAGATATTTTCAAGAAATGAAATACGCGTAAAACAGGGTTGATAATATACGCGTATATGAGAGATTTTATACGTTACACGAATAGCTATACAACGTATAAAAATTATACAGTTTTTTGTCTTGAATAATTATTTTTGTTGGAAAGCGATATGAGGCTGATGGATGGGAGTGCAATGTTAAACTGGGCTTTGGTCAGGGAAAAATTGAAAGGTTTACTATATTGGCAGCGCATATCCTGAATGGACCGTTAAGCTGAAAATGATTATGAGGAATTATTTTCGTTGCTGATACAATTGATAAAAACAAGATATAAATATTAAAATTTTCAATTATTATTGTCATTTTCAATACAATTGTATTTTTATTTGTTATTTATACTATCAATTAGAAAATAATACGTATAATAAGCCGAGTAAAAATAAAAACATTTGGAATAATTATCTAAATTATAATGTATATATGCATTAAGCATGCATAATAAGTGTATACGTTCTAACAATATTATAAATTATTATTATTATTATTTTTTTTTTTAATCGACTATAGTAATTTATTGTTAGTGTGATTAAGATTAAACCGTGGTGTTAACGTGTAAAACATGAATTTTATCGATGGCTAAAATTTATTTGATTATTAGTATGCTACTGCAGCCACTACCTTAGTAGTGATAGCACGGCAGCTGTCATATAGGGGGTACACATACTTCTAATATGCGTATGCGTATCATGTATGTGTTTTTTTTTTCCATGCATCTTATACCGTACCGTATAATACCGTACGTTACAACACCGAACTATGTTATAATATGTTACACGCATCGTAAAACCCCGAATATACCTCACAAACAAACCAAGCAAATAATATAATGTATATTTTTGTAGCGAGTTTTCAAGCGAACCGAATATTATTAACTATTCAAATAATAATCAAATGTGGCAGTATACCTACCTACCTGATACAGTCAACTATAATATGATATAGTAATTAAATGTTACATTTTTAATCAATGTTACGGTTTATACAAAATAATACTATTGTTTAATTCTTCGCGTTTCTTGGAAAACGCGTGTTTCGAATTATAATTTTATAAATGATATATATATATATATATATATTATGTGTATATTTGATTGACTTAATGAATTTAAATTAAAACGAACGCAGTACAGCGTGTATACCCCGGAATGTATTTGTTCGTTATATTGCGTTGACAATGGCGATTTGATTAAGTTTTTATAAGAAAAAGAAAAAAATATCGTGAACAAATAGTGAAAGGTGTAGCCATAACGACGAGAGTTTAAATTTAAATTCTTTATTATAATATTGCAATTCGTGTTATTCGAGTATAAGCGCGATATTATAATTTTTGTTTAGAGTTAAATAATATTAATAACAATAATATACCTGCCCCCTTGTCTTGAGATTATTGAAATGAAACTATAATAATATCATTTATATTATCGGTGTTTCATTTAAAAAAAAATCATCTTATTTTTATTACTTCTTATTTTAAAAATGTATCTGTATACCTGTACCTAAAATTATTTTATCAGTAAAACCTGATCGTATACATTAGCCTGGTTTTTATTATGTACCTATTTTATTGTTTTTAAATTTGATCAAGTTACCCCTTATTTGTTTTAAACTTTTAAAAAAAATTAAATTGTGTTAAGTTTTGTAATAATTGATCAATTTTAAGACAAACATCTAAAAATGTTTGAAGTTTAAAAAAGGTGTTTTTCGATTTTTGCTATTAGGGCGTGCTTTAATTTTTTTTTTTTTGATTGCATCGCTTTTTATGAACTTGAGTTTTCTCAAGGTGTCCTCTCAAATTATCGTAGTCAATAAATGGTTTTAAGCGGTATACTATTAATTGTTATTAGTCGTGTTTTTTCAACCCCGCGAATCAACAAAACTAAATGCAGTTATATTTATTGATATCCGAGTGGAATTTGTTATTAACTTCAGAGAAAAACTGTCAGGAATTCGGAAATTAATTTTAAATGAAGTACCACCGGGTAAAAAATTCGCATATTTTAAGACAGAGTGCAATATATGTATATTATAAGGACCACCCGAGAGTCCAGACTAGTATATTAATATGTTTATTACTTTATTTTTATTTTTTTTCTATCAAAACCTGTCGAAAACTACCGTACGAAGAAGGTTAAATTATGTACCTAAATAAAAACTGATGAGTAACAATAAATGTAGGGGTCAATGAATAGGTGTTAGCTAATATTTTTCTTATTATTTATTTTTTTTTGAAACTTATATTATTTCATAAATCGACTCTTATTTTGACATATTACTGATGTATATGAAATTTCAGCACAACAAAAAATACATATATTTATGGAAATATTCATTTGAGAAACACGTCGCTTATAATTTGTAGTTTTTGTTTGTAGATATAGGTGTTGTGTTAATACCGATTACTGTTTGTCGTTGTTTTTTGCGGATAATGCTGTTATGTGTAGTAAATTGAATTATTTCCAATTCATCCTCTTGAAAAAATTTAAAAATGTTAGCTAACACGATTTGACCTCTTATATTGTAATAGTTAATAATATTATCGTAGTATAATATTGTATATATTCCTTTGATTTCAGTATAGATATTTAAGGGCTGACATTTAATTTATTAAATTATTTACAAACGTTTAGGTAGATATTTGAATTAAAAATTTATCTTTTTATTTCAAGTATCATCATTTTTTGCGAGTTAAATTTTAATTTTCAATTATATAGTATGACTTGCTGTTCAAATTATTTTACTGCCCTTCCCTGACAAATTCCTAAGTGTACTTGACTGTAATATTATATTATTTAGTGTTTAAAAATGCCCTGCCAGTTACTGTTAGCCAGTATCCTGTGTAGGTTTCTCTTTAAATTAGAGTTATGATTATAGATTATTACTCACGAAGTAAAGTAAATCGCGACACTTTTCCATTAGACTGTATACACGTTAGTATTTTGAGAATTTATTTCATGACCTATTTATTATAAACTGTAGTATTAGACTGCGAAATATTAATTTCGAGTCAGAAATAATGTAAAATATAGGTGTATAGATATTTATTAATTCATTATAATATTTCGATATACCTAATCCTTAACGTTTTTCATTTGATAAAATTATCGTATAGAAAAATCATTTATCAATTTATTTGGGTGATTTTTTTAAATTTTTTACTTTACTTTATAAATTGGCTTATATAGGTGTATATAATAATATTTTATTTTGATTGTGTTAATAATAGTTTGTACTGAATGTCTGAATGTATTCGTATAGTTTAGTTTTGATATAAAATCTTGAGTTCAACAGCGGAGAAAAATAAATGTACGCGAGGTAGTCTCGGCCGGTGAAATTATTGATGAAAATCTTGCGATTACGTAATATTTTATAAACATAAAATACGAAATAAAAAACAAATGAGTAGAACTATATATATATATATATATACATACCACAGTTTGAAGTGTATTGATCAAACAAACAATGATTTGATAATACAAATAATAATAATAATAATAAAATACATTACTTCCTGCGTAGTTACTTATATATTAAAAATGTTGTAAACTTTTGTTCGGACTTTTCTTATTTCTTTTATGCAATAGTTGTTTGGCAGATAATTGTTATAATTTGATGGATTATTATTCATCATAAATATAATTTCTTTTAAAATTGTTATAATATTATTGTCTGTATACGATTTGGTATTTAATATTATAATTTACTTTTATATTTTTATCGTTTACTCAATTATTTTTTTTTAAAAAAAAAATATACGTGTTCATTATATTTCAATATATATTGTAACTTTTTTATATTTTTAGTTGTTTTTTTTTTGCCGCTTTTTTGTATGTCTTTAACGAATTTATCTTTTGATCCTTACACTGCGGGTTATTATACATAATTTGTATTAGGTGCCCGGTAAAGACTGAATTTTAATTAAAATGTATACGACGTTGATTCATTCGTAACAAAATAAAAGTTTTTCGTGTCCTAATTACTTTTATAAATACAATACAATTTCCGTTCTAAAGCTTTACTGATCTTGCTCCGATTCGTAATTGTTTTCTAATTTTTTACAAATTATTTTTCGGATGTACTAATTTTACTTCGATGTATTGTCCACATAATATATAGTTGTGTGGTTAATTTATGCATACTTTATATTATTCATGTTTAAAATATGATTATAACTTTTCATAAACCAGCCACTGTCGGTTTTGGTTGTCCGCATAATTTTGGCGTACTTTGGCACAAAAAACGGATTGGATAAATTATTATTATTATTTATTTCTTCGAAAAGATAATGGGCCCCACTGAACAGGTTCATGTGAGGCCCCAATTTTTAATAAGGAAAATAATACATTCAAAAACAATTTAAATTTAACTTTTTTTTATAATTTTAGATCTATTAGATGAAACTAACTTAAACATATACAATGTATACATTTTATATGTTTAAGTTGTATTTGTTTAATTATTGGGACCTATAATTAACAATAATTAATACACGGAGACTCAATGTATAATACAGTTTGGTAAAATAAAATGCAAGCAACTAGATTAAAGATATACAAATATTTAAAGTTTTAAATTCGGTTCATTTTATAGCCAGTTAGTTATTTTTTTTAAAAAAAAGTATTAAACCCTCAGAATTTTAAATATTATACATTGCAAAGCATATTTTTCCAAGGGAGTTCCTGCCGATTAGTTTTCTGGGGAACATTACATTGGCCGCCGTAATCCTTATTCCTTTGGCCGGCAGCAGAAAAGAGACTATAACTAACCAAGCATATATAGATACTAACCCTTTGTAATATATATAGGGGAATATAATCGTATGCAGGAAGCTCGTTATTCAAACTTAAAGTCTCTATTCGGCTACATAATATATATATATGTTTGATATTTTATAAATTATTAAATTTCTACGACTGTAAATAATTTACGTAGTTATGTATAGCATGAAGTAAACCAAGTGCAAAATACAATATATTGTTTTTGATGCAGTAAATGGGAAATTTAATCGGTTATATATAAAAAAAAAAAAAAAACTGCCATGCGATTGATTTATACTATATATATTTATACTATATCTACTTATAAATAGGTAGCTCACAAAAATATTTAAAAACAGTTTTTCAAAAAAAATGTCAATTTTCACCTGCGACTTAAGGAAAATAGTAATAATAATCGGTTCCTATAAGTTTATGTCACAGCATATAATAATGTTATAACTGTAATCTGGAATGGATGAAATCGTTCAAATTCGCTCGTGTTTCACGAATGCGACTCATCTGAAACTTTAGACATTTAGAATTCTGTAGGTTTCCTGAAAATAAAAAATGAATTTACAACAAACTATCTACAACTGTGTCACTGGCATAAATCCGCTTATCCGCTCAGTAAAATCGCCTAATTTGGCGATGCTGTCTTACTGCATGAGAATCAGCAGCATCAGCTATAGTATATTGTTTCATTAAAGCTTAAATAATGTCTTTAGGTTTTTCTTGCGAAACAAATGCTAATAAGGCGGGTGCTCGTCTTCTATATATATTACGAGCTTAAGTCTATGATGATCATCTGGATTATTGTACTTATATATACTGAACTTGAAAGGCCAACTGCTCGGATAAGTATAATAATATGTTGTTGAAAATTCTACAGACAACTTATATTCAGACGGCTAAAACTCAATCACTTTTCTTAATTATTTTTTTTTTTGTCATTATTTCTCCCTAATAGTCACTTTTCTCATTGTTAACGTTTTATTATTTTTTATTGTAGATCGATGAGGTATAATAAGGTTTTTTGGAATTATTGTGGAATTTGTACCTATTCAAATGATTTTTTCATTTGCTTCCCAAAAGTGAATTTCAATTGACCTAAACCTATATATTATGATAAAATTTGTCGAATAAAAACACCATTATTATTTTGATAAAGATCGAACCATGCAGTAGAAATCGTTTATAGTTTAGTCCAGCGTTTCTCAACCTTTTGTCATTCATCCCTTGACCTCAAATGTCAACTCGTCATATATTTTCAGATAGATAGATTTTTTTATATAGATAAGAATTTACGAAATAAGTAAAACGAAAAATTTGGAAACATTGTAATATTTGAAATATTTGTAATAGGCACATAAAATCAGATGAAATCCAGTGTACACGTGCCGCCGTTTAATAAAATATTTCATATTATACGTATGTATAATGAAGAATCGATTTACAATCATAATAACACAGATATTATGTACAACAATTTTCACTTTTTCCGTCATTACGGTTTTTTTTTTTCCGTGAACTCCCAAATACCCTCGGTTGAGAAACACTCGACTATAGTCGAGTATCCGACGTGTTTTACTAACCGATACTTTTTTCCACACGTATATTTAACGATATTGTCTGAAGTAGCCTTTTCAAAGTATACTGCGTATGTACCATCTGTCTCCACTTTTTACACAATATATAATATGAAACTTTAGACATATTTTTACTGCACCCTAGAATGTTAAAAAAAAAATATATATTTATATATATATATGCATATACATATACATCATTGTAAAAATCTAAAAAGCCTAATCGTTTTTGCGAACGGTTACGGGCACATAGTTTTAGTTTACCAACTGTCGTATACTCGATTTTTTTTTTTTTTAATATAAATTTAGTGTAATTTAAAGTATAAATTATATTTATATAGTTAGTTTTTGTAGGTTCAAATGTCTAACCTATGAATATATGTATACATATAAACAAAAAAAAAAAATCAAAGTTTGGTATTTGATTCTGAGCGAAGTGACAAAATACATTCCTCGTTTCGCTATTTCGGTTTTACTGTGACTTGTTTTTTGATTTATCTTGTGTGTCTGTAAATAATTTGTCTACCAAACGTAGTATTCCAATCAAAAACTTAACGGAAACTTTATTGTAGAATTTTCGATCTATTTGGCGCATTGACGATTCATATTTTTTTTTTTTTTTTTTTTTTTTTTATAAATATAAATAAATAAAAGAAAAACTGTCAAATTTGTGACAATTTCTGAGTTACCTTGACTATTACTAATACTCTGCTCAAAATCGTTTTTCGTTAACAAACGATTTATCGTCGCGTAGATAATATGTAAATTAAATCACAGCGACACGCCTATCAGCGATATTAGTGCCAACGAAAATGCTATAGCGTCGTTTCACATGCGATTATATATAAATATATTAAATCCATCGATCGATCGATTCTCGTCGTGCCGATTTTTCGGCGACCTTACTTTAGTGCAGTGTGTATTATATACATATATATATATATATATATATTGTATCGTATAGGTTTTACTATTTTTCAACATATTACACTGTATACGCTATTATATATACCGACGACTTTTAATCAAACCGCACCGGCTCGGGCAGCGCGAGAACCCTTTCAGAAAAAAAAAAAAAAAAAAAAAAGAGAGAGAGAAAGAGAGGACCTTTTCCGACGTGTAAATAATAGCCGGCAATTAGTTCTCTCCTTTTTCCACGTCCGGGGTTTTCCCACCCCCAATCGCTCCTCCGCCCGCCCTTAACGTTCTTCTATATCTTATGGGCCATCGTGTGCAACCGATATAGACAAATACGGAATAATAAACGTCGGGTCATCTGTCCGGCGCGCGCGCGCCCGATTTTTCTAACGCCCTTCGTCTCGCCCGCCGCCCCCTCCACTCTCATCGCGACCCCCCCCCCCCACCCGCAACCGCCCACCGACGACCGACGGTGATCCGCTCCGCGGCGGCCGAAACGCGGACCGCGTCACCGGCACCGAGAAAAATCGCGTCCATCCGTAATTCAATCGGGTCTCGCGACAACGACGACGACGACGACGGCGGCGGCGGCGGTAGAAAGAATAACGTTTTATTATACATGCGGTTAGAGGCGACGGCGAATAAACCTCAAGCCGCCCGACCCCGTGTGTCTTCGAAACGCCCGGAACTTGTACTATCAATTCCGACGTCCCGTAAAAGAATAAAGTGGATAGACGTGTTACCCCCGCAGTTTACTGCGCGGGTGTTTCGGCTGTACGGTTTTATTTTTTTACGCACATATATATACGGATGTGCTTTCTCGATTATATACACGATTTGAAGAAATATTCGTTTCGATCGGAAACTATAATACAATGTATCGTCATAAATTAAATATTACGTTTCGTCAATCGTAAACGTTTGGATTAAAAGAACTAAATACACTCCCCTCCCACGCACACATATTTATAACGCCCGGTTTTTCTGGTTTACGTGTTTAACAAATAGGTAATTTTTCGATTTCGGATAAAAAGTAATTTCACGGACCGAAATCGAAAATTGTTAATACAGTCTTGTAAATTATTATAAGGCGTGTACTTATATAGTGATAAAATTATTAGCTGTAAATTAATTTTTTTTTTTTTTTTTTAATTCTCAAAAATGTTTAAGGATTTAAAATATCATTATAACTTTGATAATTAGAAAATATAATATCGTTATAGGGTTTTAGGTTTTATGTACAGTATACTAGAATTTAGTTATGTTATTCTGTTGGATTTGTTAATTATTATTCATTTTTTTTTTTTTTGAAGAATATTTGTATTATATTTTTGGTATTTTTATTTTATTTTTATACTTGGGTTTACAATAATTTACGTATTGTAGTTTGAGTATAAAATAAATATGTCTTAAAACATTAAAAATTATAAAAAAAAAAAAAAAACGCTTTAGTATGTTAAATTTTAAATCTAATTTTGCAAGAAATTTGTATTTTTATTATTTTTAAATATTTTTCAGTGCCATAAAGTCTGATCTGATTTCATTCGTTGAGCTGACGTATCGAAAAATCTCAATGGTTTCAAATCATTTATTCTAAGTTCAATAATTCAATTGTCTTGAAACAAAGTATAATGTATGCTTTAGAATTAATTTTACAGCAAATGAGTATAATATACTAGTATTTGCTCGTATATACATACAATTTGTTTAGTCCCACCTATCTGTTTTATAGCTAACAACCATCACAAAGTGTAAAATATTAATTTAATATTTTATCAGGGATAGGTAGGTGGTTCGTAGTACAACGTGTTTTAATGGGAATTATGCACACAAAAATACATATATTTATATATTTTTTTTGTACTAGTAAATCCCAAGAGAATACCAGTTTTTAGATTAAACGCTCTTACGCTCCGTTAGTATTTATTTATTTAGGTGCGCGGTCAGCGTAGTAGGGACGGTGAATTCGCAGGGGTTAACCCGTAAAGTTAATTATAAGAGTTGAAATGACACGGGTACCTTGTGTAATAATAATACTTGAACTCCGAATAAAAGATAAAAGAAGTTGATTCAACGCCCGCTGTTGGGACTGGATCGAAAATGCACGTTTACAATCATTTCGAGCGCATAATGTATAGCTTCACTTAATCAATTTGCGAAAAATTCATAATTTATAGCATCGAAAACTTCTACTGCACTAGTCAGATAGTTACAGTATGTATAAGTAATACGAAATGAGTCGAACGCGAATTTTTCATTGCCCGTTTTTAGCACCGTGCAATATAATGTAGTGCGCGGTAAAAGATTTCTGGGTCATAAATTTAAATGGGCTTACCGAAATTAAGCGTCGTTTTTGCTTCCGGCCTTAAGGCGTCGAGTTCCCCGTTGAACTTCCCCTTTATGTTTTCGCTATAGGTAGGCGTATATATATATATAGGTATACCGACATATAATACATATTGTATATACCTATATACGACCGTTCTCTACCGGATTCTTCTTATCAGATTTTAACTTTCGCCGTCAATAGGTGTGTTCGGCCGGCCCTTCTAGCCTCGCACAGGAAATTTACGCCTTTCCTTCGATCGCGATATCGAAACAACCCGGTATATGTTATTAATTACTGGTCCGCGATATTATATACGAAAATATATACCGGCGCGTTCAAATATTTTATGCCTTTGAACAACTGAACAACCAATTATTATTACGATAATATTCGTTCGCGTGGTTTCGGAAAATATCCATTGGAATTTATGTTTCGAAATTCGCGTGACAATAATACGTATTATTATATATAATACGGGGGTAGTCGTTATTATTAGTGTAATGTAAGTGGTGTAAGCGTACTGTTACGGTTACGGATAATTCAAAATTCGTTAAACGAAATAAATTACTTATTATAATGTTTTTTTTTTTTTAATACAAATAATAATTATGTTGGTACTATATGACATTTTAATTTAAAAGAACGTCGCCTGTCTCGTGGTTATTAAATGTGCACGCGAGTAGGAAATTTTTGCTGAATTTTTGAAAACAACAAAATGAGAAATCTATCGACTGTCGAAAATTCACTTAAATTCGCTTAAGCACGTCTTCTTGTACTGTCAGTGTTGATATCACTGAAAATTTCATCAGTCGCAGTTGAACGTTTCATTGAAAACAATCACAATTTGTGGACTGTATTTAGTCAAACCCACCGATTGGAGTAAAATCAATGTAAATGCAGCGAAGTTTCATTATGGTGGTGTAGTTTCCTAAGAAAATTTAAATTTAGTTTATTATTGCCCTAATTCGATCTACAATTTGTTCACTTTTTTATTGCCGCATTTGAAGGGTTTTGTTCCGGATTTTGCTGAATCGTATCACGATCTCATAATGCAGCTAGACCAACAACAACAATATACACGAATTTGCAATGCGTATTGTATTATATACAGTCGTGCGGTACAATAATCGTGTTCATTATCGAATGTAGCTATACATGCACGGTGATAATTATTGCCAGGAAACGCGTTTCTCTAACTAGGAGTGGGGAAATCGCGAGTGTCGTGCTTTTTTGAGCATTTGGACCGAATTAGTAATAATTGTTTACTAATCTTATTGCTCGCCAATCACTTCCGTTTATTTTGTAAGCATTGTTCTTATTTCCCATTGAGACTACCCTGTCAAACATATTTTTCTTAGATTTTCTCGATTGTCTGCTACCCCGTCCCTCCGATCTACCATTTCTATGCTCGAATTCTGAAAATTTTGCAAAGTCCTTCTTAAAGCAATTTTCCCAAAGTTGCGATGCCTATTGGGTTTCATTGAATTTTGTTTGCATAATATGATTGGGAATTGCATATATGCCTAAACATTTAAATAATGTTTTGGGTTATTCTTTTTCGATTTATTGAATATAGCCGATAGTTTTTTGAGAAAAAATATTATTTTTGCTGACGAATATAATTATTCGTCATCACTCATCCTAGCAGCTTATTACTGTTAGAACATGATTTCATATTAGTACACAGTTAACACAAAATATAATATTTTTATTTGGTCAACCATAAAATACTATAATTCGGTGTATTATTTTAACATTATTATAATTTATTTATTTGTCGCAAAAATGTATAAAGGATCAGGCACTACATTTCACCGTTTCCGATGGTTTCCTTTCAAAATATCACATAATACCATGTAATTTCGTACTATATAATTTGTCCATTAATCCGCTCACCGCGCTATTTTCTGATATTAAAATGTGACCTACCTGACACGTCGTGTTATTGGATAATAATCCATTCCCTCTTCATTATTTCAGTATTCAACGTGGTTTTAAACGGTTTAAAGTTTTAGATATTTATTGAGAACACACACTTCTTTGGATAAGCAGTATCAGGTGTGGAAAAGACGGATTTTTTCTTCGACATTGACGTTTTTGCAAGCCGCTATGGCTACAAATTTCCTTAACATTTTTCTTACAACTAGGTATATACTTATATACTGTGTTTACATATAAATCGGATTCTGAACAAAACGATGAATGTACTGGTTATGGTTATACTATATGTATTTTTTCATTATTTTGTTCCCATTTTCGTGCCTTTATTTATTATAAAACAATTAGACATTTTATAGTTTCCAGCCATTATTGCGAATATTTTGTCGTAAATAACTGATGCATCAAAAATAAAATCAATATAAAACATAATATACTCTAAAAATGATTTCGCTATGATCTGAAATAGCGTTAGTCAAAAATTGAAATACTTGTTTAACATATTTAACTACAACATAACCATTTGAGCAGATCGAATAGACAATTTATTTGAAATCAAAAGTACGTGTAGTTACAGACATAATTATGTCGTTCAATTTTCACTTTACTCGAATTTTAGTCAAAACCCTTCGGAGTGCGCCTGCTTGAGTATAAATTTAACACGATATTGTGTGTTTTAAACTGTAAATTATTGTTGTCAGACAATGTAATCATAATAAAGTTTAAAAATAAGAACGCCTTTTTCGACGTTTTGTTGTTTTTATACACGTATGGCATGACAGAAGCCCAACCACAGTGCACTTAATTATTGACATCGTATTGTTATTTACGACGGTGGCTACTAATTCCTAGAAGACGGCCTCGACGGGTTCATAATTATAAACGGACTAATATAATCAATAACTATAGTTTATCATGCAATTGTGTCATATAATCACGGCGATAACAAATTTACGGGTAGTCATAGATTTATAAAATAACTAGATAGCGAACTCTGTATACTAGCTTGGCAACAATTTGAATTCGTTAACCATTTACATGCGGGGCAAAAAAATTGCAAAATAGGATATAATTTACACCCATATAAGTGTTGTTAATTTTTATATCGATTCGATGTTTATTATCTCATAATGGACACAATGTAATAATAAGAATAACAACCGTTAAATATCAATAATTCACTATCGTTTTTGTCCAATCTGTAAATGGTGTCTGACTCCAATAATAAATACGAGTTTGCTATCTAGGTTTTTTCACATATCTATGCGGGTAGTATACAGTTTTCAGAAAAAAAAATGATAAGAAATCGTAGGCATATCGGTCTGCGCGACATTGAAATATTTTGACTGACCTCTTATCAATTTTCTGAAAACTGTAGCTCTCTACAAATTTACATACATCGTATACACTTTATTGTATAATTTTGATCGGATATTGAATGATAATATTGTTAGTTGTTCGAATATTGATACGTGGTCGGACACTTTTGCCAACCGTTCCCACTCGAAATGCCGTAATACAAACTTTTTCATTTTAAAATATAACCTGTATTCGATGTGTCATTTTCCATTTCCATCCCTCCGTCTTTCTACCAAGCATGATTTTTTAACGTTTAAAGGTTTCAAATTTTACGTTTTTGTTTTGGACGAATTCCTTCAATCTGTGGAATCGGGTTTGGCCGCTGTGGCTACAAATTCTCTTTGATTTTTCTGAAAACTGTACACCCAGTTTTGATTATTATTACCGATTGCAGATTGAAATCATCAAAACGAAAACAAAATATTCCTATTGTTAGGTCTGGTCAGGTCTGATGGTATTTCCCATCTTGATATAGATATGGTCGTCACAGATTACCCTCACGGTATTTTCAACTAAAACACCGTCATATACCTAATCACATTTATTTGTTGAGTGGCCCAGATTTTCCAAACGATAAAGTAAATAATACCCGTATTATGTTTATTGTGTTGAGTTTTTTTTTTAATTTTGATGATATGTCCTATTTGTGAAAAAATTGCTGATTATACGAGAATATTAATACTAATACGAATCAGTAGAAAGGTATAGAAGGTATTACATATGAAGGCAATTAACCGAATCTCGTTATTTGCTGTTGCGTTCTAATTAAATCGCCTGTTGCGTTTTAATTAAACCTCAGTAAAATGTATTTACTGCAGCTTAAATATCTCGATAAAAAACGAAACACATATTCAAGTTAAATATATAGAATATAAATGCAGTTCGGTATAGATATGTACACGAGTAGTTATAGCTTGCTGTTCTAATTTTAAGTCTGAAGACTAACGAACCATTTGACTTTTTTTTTCTTTTAAAAAATTATTTTTCGAGGGTTATTTCAATTTCTTATGTGTTTATAGTTGGAATACCAAAAATTAAGACCACATTGCGAAGAATTTTATCTGTGTTCAGGCATACTTATTAATAACTTAACATTGATGATCGATAATTTGTATAATACATAATATAGTTTATTTATTATTAGTATTTATCATAAAATACGTATAATTTTAAATTATCATCTTTGTCAGATTAATACACATACATCAAGAATAGCCTCCCCCCCCTTTTTTTTACGAAAAGCTTTCGGTTCAAATTATTATTATTTGAAAATTTTAAATTTATTTTAATGTTTTAATGTGGTAATTTCAATATTTTAACTAATACAACTAAAATATTAAAAAGATTAAAAAGAGATTTAAAGGATTAATAATAAGCATCGAGTGATCTAAAACGGCAAAGACTATGGTGACAGGAGTACAAGAAGACGTGAGATCGCTGGGAATCAAGACTGCGTAAGCTGCATTCGATTGTGAAGATGGGTGAAGTCAGTGGATTGTTAATACATTGATACATTGGCTCCAACAAAATTAATTTGTACATTATTTTTTTCGATAATTTCCCTTAACTTTCATTAATTCCATAATTAATGTTATTTGTTTCCAATTTTCTTTATATTAAAATTGACTTAAGCCCTTCTTCCCTGGTATAAACAGTTTATTATTTTGAACAACAATATTATGCAACTTAACTATACTAAATTTACTATTTTTTTTTTTTTTTTTGAAAAACGGCAGATGTGCGTTTTAAATTTAAATTTTTTTAGTCTCGTGGTAAATAAACAAAAATAGCCTCCTTAAAGTAGTGACCTATACGTATATAAAATAACAAAGAGTGCACGAAACATTTGTCGATGCTGTATTTTAGACGCATAACTGTACGTGCTTACAAAAAAAAAAAAAAAAATCGATGGGTACATATTTTTCTGATGTTTAAAACAATAAAATTACATAACTTACCATTATAACTCTTGCGCATTTTAATTGTTTGGAGTTGAATAAAAAAATGCAGCTAACATTTTTAAATTTCGGCTTCAATGTACACACAAAAGATGTCAGTGTCCAGGATGTTATAGTTATAATATACTCCACTGCACGTGTTCGTGGCATATACGAGACACGCGGACGAACTCTTTATTAATTTTATTATACGGATAAATCTGTAAATGTTAGCGCTGCCGCAAAACTTCTATCATTAATTATTTCGCTAAAAATATTTTATATTTTGTTTACAGGGTCGAGTGTAAAAAACGAAAAAAAAAAGGCAAGGGTTTCCAGTCTTTTGTCATATAGTTAAAAAAAAAAAAAAAGGTAAGTTATAAATTATTATATGCTGCAGTTATATAAACATTAAGTTTATTTTATTATATATTCTCGTAAAAAAATTTTCGAGTGTCATTTATAATATACTTGATAGAGTCGCCGAATATAGTCGACGAATTTTAATATCGTTAAATTATTATATATCATAGACTTCCTTCTTCCTCATCTCCCCTTATGACCTTTTACAAATTCTAGCTGGCGTACCTTTTTCATTTTCAACATTAGTAAAAAAAAAAACCGTTTTATACGCCTCGCGAAAATGTTCGCCGATATTTGAACAGATATTACGAAACTCCTTCGATATAATAACATGACGCATAATCTTTCACATTTCGTTCGTATATGTTATTATATGCATTAGGTACGCGTATAATATTATAACATAGTTTATGACAAGTATCATGATAAGTGTATAAAATCATAATATTTTATTTTTGCGTTGGTTTCACTTATGACGTGTGCTCGTGATTTTGTCCGTAATTCAATAATAAACAATAATCTTAGAGACCGTATCTTTGATGTATTTCGAATACTCGTATTTTTCAGTTATTTGTGTACGTGCCTTTTTGAAATTTTCCCGGATTGTAGTTTTGGCGCAGAACACTGTACTGAGATTTAGTGTTTACTTTTGCAATTAGGTTTATATACAAATGTGAAAACAAAGATTGTTAGACGAGTAAAAGAAAATAAATATATTATAATCGCATTGAAAAATATTTATGCACGTTGTTCGTAATTTTTACGTCGATTTCACTATATGATGTGTGCTTTTTTTTTTTTTTTTTGCTATCTAAACAATATTTCTAAAAAAAATATCGCTCCGATTATGATGTGTAACATCTTTTCCGAAAGCAAATTTAGCCTTGTTGATGCGTTGGAATCCTTTTTTTTTTGTAAAAAATTTTGTTTATAGTTTTCTTTATAGATGGGAAGTAGTGCAAGATAAACAGACATGTTTTTACAGAAATAACGATTTAGATATTTTTTCCTTATGTGCACCTACCCATACATAATATTGACACATTACAGCTTTATTTCAATTCAACGCGATTTGTGCGTAACTGTTTCTCCCTCGTACCAAATATGAGATAATAATAAGTAACTTTAAAGAGTATAGGCAGTACAGTTACTCTAAAGAAATTCCACACACTTTCCGTACAGTTTCGCAAGTACACGTGCGATTTCGAAATTAATTACATTCTTCAGTAGAAAACGTTTAGTTTTTGAGTCGTGGGTATATACATTATAGGACAGTATTACATGATCGTTTTATTGGTACACCAATAAACAATAATCTTAAAACGCTCCAATGTATTACATAACTCATTTTTTATATCTATATATTTGTATATACACGACATTAATATTAAATTGAATTTATATTTACACGTTTTTTCATAGTTATATATAAATAATTTTTTTTTGAGGGGGGAGGGGAAATACCTATGTATTCAAAAATTGTGAATTTCCATTTTTCCCTAACTAAAAAAAAAAAAAAGTGTTAATTATACATTATTTTAAAAATGTGTCCCTTTCGGTGTCGCTTTGTCTTTTGGAGGGATTTTTTTATCGCGCAAACCGAAACTCAATTGCCATAAATCATTATTTTTCCAAACCTAATCAAATAGGTCAATTTCCTCTACTGTTGTTCATTAATAATCCGCAGCTTTTAAATCGAATTTAATTTAAAAACGAGTTTAACAATTTTCAGCTCGTAATAATTTTACTGGCCCATATTTATACATATATATAATATTACAATTTCCAATCAAATGAAAATTCCGATCGACTTTCCGTAAATATTTCAAAAACAAAAGGTACATTTTTTAAAACTTTTTTAAAACGGTTTTTTTTCATATCGTAGTATATATTGAATTATAAATTTCGTAGAATATTCAAAAATAGTTTGACGAAAAAAAAATCGTATTTTCCTATTTATTCTGTACGTTTAATATATTACAATACAAAAACAATATACCTAATATATAATTTAATTCGCGGAACACGAAACGGATGGGGGGAATCCTCTAGGAAAAGATAAAAAGAGGGCGATTTTTTATTTTTTCAAACAATTGTATTATTACTATCGTATAATCGTCAAGTTCGAATCGACATAATATTCCTATTCGATTTATATTTGCAAAATTAAAAAAAAAAAAAAAAAAAAAAAAAATCCCAGTTGATAAGTAAATTTAAATGACCGCTTTCTCGCTTTTTGTTCTATGCAAGTAGCTCTATAGTTCTTGTACGACGAAAAAAGTTTATACGCAATGGGAAAAATTGACACATTGTCCTATAAAAAAATAAAATAAAACGTTTACGCTTATGGTGTTATTCGTTTTTATCTCGATATATTCCCTCCGCACAATATAACACAATCGTTTTCTTTTGTATCTTGTGTATATTATTGCGTGTATAAAGACCCGAGGAAAACGATTACTTTTTACATTTTACTAGTCCGTTAAAACTATTGATCCGCTATTGAAATAGCTCAAACTAATTTGACACGTTGACTCAAATTATATGAAAAAAATCTTTTATTTTTTTTTAAAAAAGAAAAAGGAAAACATACATTTTATGACTTCGGGGTGGTTTTTTTTTTCTCCATAGAATAATATACTAGTAGGTACTACAACAGTATCCGAACGAGCTGTTATAAATTAGGCGGTCAATAATAAAATATGTTTGTGTGAAAATTGTATAGATTTGTGTATGCCTAATGAAGAAACAATAAGGTGTGTTATTATTTTCGGTGTATAAACCAATGTCACATGTACATTAAATACCGACCGTTTTGTTTACGCGAGATTTAGAAGTTGAATAATTCCAAATGGAATGACAATAGAAACACTACGTTACGTACTGGGAAATATTCCTAAATTCCTAAAGCACATTTTAATTCGCAGTAAAGTGTTGTTGCGGGTTTCGGCTTTCAAATATGTTGGTTTTTTTTTTCTTTTTTTTTTTTTTTTGCTACTCTAACGTGGTTTTTTTACGTAACGGATCGAGGGTATTTTTCGATTGAAATTCCGACACGAGTAAGCAAATGATGGATGTAGCCGAAGGCCCGCAGACTATATAATATTCCCGGAACCAGCTTTTATTAATTTTTAGAACTTCACACAGCCCATTAGGAATCCATGAATAAACACACGAGTATTATTCATTTAAATTTGATCACGTGATTTTTTTTTTTCAAATTTTGCATTTAAATGAGGGTGGCCTATCTGAGCGTGTCCGAATGTTTCAAGCCCTCCGTAGTATGCGATAATCTTTTTTTTTCTACAAAATTCCGGAATTTATATATTTTTCGCACTTCAAAATATCCCATGGTCATAATATTCCTATTTTATTAAATCCATAACTATTTGTATAGTTTTTATAAAGCGCCAAACTCAAACGTCCATGGTATACAGGTAATATATTTTGTGTTTTCATTTCCCTAAACTTGATGTAGCTTTTATTGTCTAGTTTGATTTCGTATATAATAACTTACCTTGTCTTAAATGCATTTTTAATCTGTATTATACGGTTTTTAATTAACCTATTTGATAACAAATTGTGTACAATTTTCTTATTTCGAATATTAATGTGATAAATTTCGAACATTAAACGCGTTTCGTGCGGGATGTTTCGGCATGGCCATTGTAGCGTGGCTGTTTCAGCTCGAGCTATTTCGACGTGGAATTTTTACTATTTAATGTTTTACTTACTATACCATTTACTGTTATTCAAACTTAGTAAATTATATAAACCATTCCATACAAGAAAATAAAAATGAAAAATAAATCGAACGACTGAACATAACTGAACATCAACATTCCCGATGGGAACAAACCAGGTACCTACTTAATAAATGTTAACACATTTGAGCAAATCACTAACCTGTCAATTTGTTATAAAGCAGCAAATCGTTGATTTAATCTTCAAATGGCTATTTCATTGTCCCGTGACAATATTATTTTTAAACTAGTCAACAGTGTCCGCATTGGGAGATGGGGGAATGGGGTTCAGAAATATTATAGTACTCTAATTAATTAAGAATACCGTTTTTTTTTTTTTTTTTTTTTGAAGTCTCATTGTCCCACTTATTTTATATTATTCAAATATGAGCATTACTAATTAGTGACCGAGGTCATTACAACAATGACAACTTCGCTGAAATATCTTAAGACAAGTGCGGGAGCCTGTGGAAATTAATATTAATTCGAGCTTTTTATTTGGAAAAATCGATTTCTCTCCATCTTCATGTAACTATACCTGTATACATATTATAATACATCATCGTATCGCTACGACAGTATAGATTTATAGTATAGAGGACATTTATTAGAAATTATTATTATTTTTATTACATCTTTGGACTTGTGCCGGTGTAAATCCTATATATTTATAAATTATTTTATACTATACGATAATAACGGGCGTATATTATACAGTATTATATTATTATTGTATGAGGATAGTCCTTATTATCGCCGTGTGATACGCATTTAGGGTATACATATATATATATATATATATATTCACATTGTATACAGAGTCAGGCGATTGTTACAACAATAACACGGTGCAGTGCAGAGAATGCGGCAAAAGCCCTACCCTAAGTACGTGTGAGTATATGTGAGTATACGTTTGTGTGTGTGTGTATGTGTGTGCGTACAGCGCGCTCGCCTAGTCCAAACCCACACGTTTACATGTTCAGTGTGGTTTTTTTTGATGTCCGGCCAAATGGGGCGAAAGGGACGACGACGTTTCGCGCGTGTTTCCCCTCACGCGGCCTCCGCTCTCTCAGCTCTACTCTCTCGTTCGAATCGAAAATTTCATAATAATAATAATAATAATACGAGTGCCGAGTGTATTATATATTATATTATATAGGTACACGTCGGCGTTCGAGATATTATTATAGCTTTAGGCTGCGTGTTGCAGTATGTGTATCGTGTGTATGTGTGCGCGTGCGCGTACGTGTATGAAAGGGTTGACCATGCTGCATATAGTCGATTCGGTTTGGCAAATATTTCGAGTGGTTGTTTTGTTTTTATAGTATTTTCCTCGTTACCGGGAAAAAGTTTAATCTATAACAATCGAATTGAAATTAATATTGGTTAAATTATGTTAGCCGATATAGCAAGCAAATTAATCGTAATATACTGTTAAATATTATATAATCTAGTATTACACTATCTAATACGTTTTACAGGGTCCTAAAATCAAAAATGACGTTGATTTTTCTCGCGTTTATAATAAAATGATATGTATTTTTTTTTTTTTTTCGGATATTTGCCGAAAACGTCTACTATCGTATCTTTTTCTCGCTAATTTTGGTTACTTTGAGTGGATCCCTTTGGACTAAGTGGGCCAGAAGTCGGGAATCATAAAGTTTTGTTTTAAGTGGATTTAACTGATTTAATTGTACGATGTTGTTGCGAGAGGAGAGTGTTTTTTAAGTTTGGGTACACTCGTACACACTCCTTAGATGATCCCAAGAGGATAAAATGTCGTATGGCAAGGTGTGATTATAATTTATATACCTATACCTATAATAATATAAACAGAGTGGTCAAACAAAAAACAAAATAGGGAAACATGTATAATGCCTACTAAAGTTGTTCGATGTATAAATATCTAAAACAATTTGTATACATTTTTTTTTTTTTGAAGGGAGTGGTTAAACTTTTGAACTTAGAATTGAAGCTCATATTTAAAATTTCATGAATAGATGCAGTGTTAGTTTAAATACATTTTAGTGTTGATATTTTTGATTTCCGTTAACTTGTTAAAAAGTGGAATGTCTCTTCAATGGGTTGACGGAAATCAAAAATGTCAACATTAAAATTGATTTAAACTAATACTCAATCCATTCATGGGATTTTGAATATAAGGTCCTATTTTAATTTTAAAAATTCACTTTCAAAGTCTACCCGAAAAAGATAATACAAAAAAATATATATATAAATTATTATTTTAGATGTTTATGAATAAAAAAACTTTTGTATTTACTATAGGTTTTTGTCTATTTTGTATATTTATAGTAGAATATTAGCGTAACATAACATTCTTATTATATTCTGTGTATAAAAAATGAAATGTAACGGTGGCAAGTTGGCCGGGGTAACATTCGACTCTAGTAGAGTTTTATTATTATTATTATTATTCGTTTCCATGAATCATTACGGGTACAATGGAAAAAAAAAACACGTCTTATAGTTATAGATATCTAATTTGACCTGTTTAGTTAACAATCATTATTCGATATGACAATAAGATTTATCGTTGCGCCATTAAGTATATTTTAAACTAAATTACACCCTATATCCTATATTTACTCTAGCAACTTCCCACCTATGACTTTAGTGACCTACCCATGGTGCGAATTATGTCTATTTTATTTTTAAATATACTTAGTGAAATAATCAAGGCGTGTACTCGCACGGTTATAATAATATTATATACCCGTGCACGAGTATGATACGTATTGTAATTATTATTATGACAAGTCATAACAATATACGTATAATTGTTATACTTCATGATAATACACTTTTTTTTTTTTTTTTGAGGTGTATATCTGTAATAATAACAATATTCTGCGATGTGGGTTATGCGTTACAGCTAAATTTGCATTGTTAAATTCATGGTCAGTTAACTACAGTGTATTCATTCGTATTACCACAATCGCTAAAAGTTTGTACAGGCACAGCGAAAAAAAAACTTTCGTCTATGCGGAATGGGATTAAATCTCATCAGTCATCATCCCGTACGCCTGATAAGGAAAACAATATTTTTGAACATAACTTCAAATATCTAACATTTAACATTTCTACGTATGGGGCTTTCGGCCACCTATATTCACTCGCGATGCGTGCTTACGTCGAAACGTATAATCGAAAATAACTTCTGATTAGATATGCAAAATCACGTTTGGTAGGTCATAGGCGAAAAATGATTTTATTTCTTCCATGGTTTTCATTGTTCTTCTGATAGACGTATATCGTATTGTTATTGGATGATAATTTTATTAATTTGCTATATTATTTGTTTATTTTTTATACTGATTTATTATATTTATATTTCAATACCTGCTAACAATTTAAATATAACGATTGACGAATAATATGAGAGAACTGCAGTGGTACCTAATCAAAAATAAAATAATATATATATTCACTGAATGAAGAATTCTCATACGACCATTTGGATAGGAGTAATAAATTGTTAATTCAAAACTAGTATAGATAACAGATAATACCATCGTTATTAGAATTATAAAATAAGTTAAATCTCTAATCTTTGAACACCTTTGATATGATCAGAATATTTTAAATATTGTATAATGTCTAGAAAAGCCCAATTTAGGTTTTCTGTTAAAATATCTAATCGAAAATTTCTAACTGAATTATAAAAAAAAAAAAAAATTTACTTCTTACTAACCAAATAGTTCTAAAATTCAGCAAAAAAAGGTCTTTTGTTATTTTTCGATTGGAACAAGATGATTGATATACATCATTGTTCAGACGGAATATCGAAATTCCGATTTTATGTTGTTTTACTTTGCATATGTATTTTCGGCCAAAAACTTCTTTAGGGGGTTGGAATATAGGTATTTTCTCTCCTCTCGAGCTTTTCTGAAATACATTAAAAATAAACGAAAGTGAGTGTAAGAAAAGTCATCGTTTAAGAATCGCCTCCTCTTGAAAATAATTTCCGTGGTACCCCGATGATGGATTAATAATGTATAATAAGAGACTAAATTCACCGGTGACATGTCCAAAATACGTTAATAATAATAAACAATAACTTATAAAGAGGACTTGAAAATATGAAGTGACATTTAATACCACAATGAACAATAATAAATATAAAACATAAATAAATTATACGTACAGATATACGTATGTGTGATATACATATAAATATGTATTATTATATATTTTTGAAAATACGTGCCTAAAATTTAAATGTTATTTTTTTTTTCGTTTCTTTAAATTGTATTTATTGCTTTGTAGTACCTATATATACTGTACACCTACTTATAATAATAATAGGTATAACCTCGTGAACGCCGTGAACGGCAATACAATTAATATATTTTTTAAAACTTTAGAACTATTTAGTTAACTATTATAGTAATTTAATATAGGTAAAATTTAATATCAGTTTTTTGAATAAATATAAACTATTTATTGGTTTTTATTATAAACTTGTTGTACCAACGTTTTCTTTCGTTGTTTACATTGAAACAATCACTGTTACGTACAAAACTACGTATACCTATTGACTTATAGATAGATTTAAATGATATTTTTACTAAAGATCAACTGAAAATCATTTATTGAAAGTACACAAATCGCAATTTTCTGATAAAAGTTGCCTGCAACGACCAATACACTCTTGATGTGCATTCACAATATCTAGGAAACTTCCGAGTGAACTATGATGCAAAGTTCCATTGCAATCGTATACAAATGTATAATAAAATATGTGAGACAAACAACACCAACAAGTTTTTGGTTGAGTGGATAACATGTATTATCCCCGTCTTACTAACGTATTACATAACAGAAATATACGTTACATGAAACATAAATTATAGCGTCTGTATTGACATTGGAATTTAATCGCATGTATCACAATGTAAAGAATTAAAACTCTTTAAAAAATACAAAACTCTCATGGCTGTAACTTTTTTGTCGAACAGTTTCTTTTTAAAAAATATAAAGCTTCGTATTGCCCTCGAAAATATGCTTTTCTTTAAATTTTAATATTTTTAAACTCCAATTTCAACCTACGCCACGATTTATTTTTTAAGTTTAAGAGAAAAAGTGCTGTACACAAACAGACGGATCTGACCTTTTATATAGAAAGTACATTTAAACGACGACGTGGAAACAGTATAGGTAGTCTGTAAATGGCCGCAATTTCGAAAATGGTTTTCAAATTTAAGTCGATATTTCAATATTATTATTATTAAGCGCTACCTACCTGCAGCTGACAATAAACACTTTCTTTTTTTTTCTTTTTTTTTACCACGCTGAAAACGACTATTCGCGCGTACCGCTCTTTTGTGTTAAAAACGAAAATTCAAAAGCAATTTCGTACAGTTGCTTACATAATATATAAATATTAAATATACGAGTATATGAGGAAGCATAGAAATTTAAAATTTGAATGAATTAACGGTGTTTGAACCCTCTTGCCGAAACGGACCAACTCTCGGTATAATTGGCTTCCCGCCGAGTTATTCGCGTAGGGTTTACTCCCCTCTCCCTCTATAACTTTGGTAACTATATTCTCTTCTATAATCTTTAGAAATAAATATAATATATTATTTTTCGACATACCTTTTTTCCGTCACCATAAATAATTAATAAAATCGATTTTAAACTATTATTTATTATATTCTTTCGTGTAACTTGCCATATAAATTCCGTATGAATTCTGCTAACTGCGTGCACTCTTTTAAGGATTATATTATTATATTTATTGCAGTACATTTTATAATATTTTTTCTGTAACTCGATGAGAAAATTATTATGTTTTTTCTTAATATAAAGCGTATGAGGAGAGCAGATATTTATACACCCTAACAGTCCATAAATAAATTTAGAGATACGCATTCAAAAAAACAAAATATGCCAACATTATATATACATAACAAATTACAATCACCGTGTTAAATATGTTTTTAAAATGTATAAAAAATCTTAAAATATGCGTTAAAAATTCAAAAACACCTTAATATTATGCTAACTAAAATTGTTAGTTATATATTAGACCATATTAAAGCTACTTATTTCTTAAATGTTCCAAACAAAATAAAGTTAATACTTTCCAAGATAACGAATTTCTTACACTATACTGTTCATCCTAAAAGTCGCTCGTTAGAACAACTAGAGGGATGGCAAATGTTATTACGGTAACATTCTCGTAATTACGAATAACACGGTATAGGCTATATTATGAATATAACCTAATTACTAACAAAAATTTAAAAAAAAATTAGTTCATATTCATTTTATTATACTTGAATTTTTTTCAAACGTTCAACATTATTCTCAAAACGAATATTATTTCTGAAACGTTTCTATACCAACGATGCTCTTTTATCCAATAAAATATTTTTACTTTTCCATATAGCAATAACTATTTAATCTATGATAACGGAAATGGTTTGCTCGCCTTTGTAGAATTTACGGCATGCAAAGGTCTAAAAATTTACATACAGAAAATCAATGCACGGGTCCGTGTGCACTTTGAAGCCGGATTTTCGAAATCTATACCCCTAACTAAAGGGTGGCTCACGCAGGATTTTTGATATTATGGTTCGAAAATTGTTTTTACTTTTTTTTTCTGGGAAAAATAAATTGAATAGAAATAAGTAAAATAAAAATACGCGGTATTCCGATTCCCTTCCCCACGACTTATGAATCTGCTACGTGATGTTAAATTAACCGTTATTGCAACGGAATTCGAAGATAACAAACCCGTGCCAAATTGCGCTCGTTTGCGAAATCCTGCTGCACTATATTATAATATGTTACGCGTTCGAAATGAGTATTTAGGTGACTGCTGCAGTATAATACACTCGTATATGCTATGCCTGTTTAAATACGAATTCTCCTTCTCCTGCTCCTGCTCTGCCACCGTCTCCTCCAGAGACGTAACAGAAGACGCGATAAAATTCCTTCGAGACGTTGGTTTATAATTACGACAGTAATTAACTTACAGTACGAATACGAGGACGATATTATGATACAATCTCATGGGTCGATTAATAATAAATCATCGGCCAAAAGTTTCGCATGTTCGCGGGCACGCGCGCGCGTGTGTGTGTATATTTTATTGAAATAAAAACAAATAGTTTCCTCAAACGTTCCGATCGGTATCTCGGTGTAGTAGCTTTAATATAGTGCACATCATGAACTGGTGATTATTTTTCATTGTACATTTGCATTTAGCCGAATATAATAAATCGTGTCGACGTCACGAGTATTTGTAGTTTAATCGTGAAATAAACAAAAATCTTTATAAAGAAACCGCGTTTTACACGGGCTAAAAGTTCTATAGACTTACTTAAAAAAAAAAAAACTACTTTTCACTGCAAAGTGGTTTGCAGTTATTCTGTGTCGTAATAAGGACATTTTTAAACAATAATTTACATTTTTTTTTTTTTTTGTATTTTTAATTTTGAATAACGTTGTACAGTTCTAATTTTTCCGTAGTAAAAATTTGATTCCTTAATACTCTGTCTTCAGGTTGTATATTTTCCCGCGCAGAAAGATTTTACAGTCAAATTACCATCATGCCCTGTAATCGTACATAATAGTTCACCATTTTGGCTTTCTGGCTTTCACGGTTACCACACTTTCCAGAAACCTATCAAACATTGACATTTTTCGTCAACATTCTAATACTATTCGAAATTTCGATGTCAAAAATCGATTTTTATTGTTGGGTATAGTGTATATATTGTGTGTTAAGTTAATTCGATTTCCCGTTGAAAATGGCTGTTGAAAATTGATATCGAGGAAATATAAAGAAAAATCGTGACAACCATTTTTAAAAACTATAGTATCAATTATGTAAACTTGGATTATTTAATTGAATAAAATAAAATCACAACATACTTCGTACCATCAGTAGGCCACTAATCACTGATGCAGAGAAGTTTAAAAGACAAGATATATAGGGTAATTTAGTGTCAATATTGTATACAACAATGAATCATTTAATACGACTTATAAGCGATTTCAAATATTTTTGTTGTTGAGTTTAAATTTAAAATTTTGTTAATTATTATTACCAAATAGAAAAATCTAAAATTTTAAACAATTTAAACAACCATAAAAACTTCCAGAATGTTATTATTTTGCGCAACGTATTGAAAGTATACTCTCGTTTTTCTTTGACGTATTTTTCTGAGTATCCTCTATAATTAGTAGAAAAATATAAAGGTAAAAACTACCTCTACTCAATGCATCACCGGTTCTACATAAAATGCGCTATTTATATACTAAAAACCACGCTTCTCGATTTAAATGACGGTCGGCGCAAATTTCCGCGGCCGAAAATTCGTTGTCGGACATTACTGCAGTAGAACAACGTATTACGCATAAACATTTCTATCTGGATTCGCCGAAACTTGACAAATTTAAAAAATTTAAAAAACCATGCCAATTTTATATTATTTTGTTCACGTGTAGTGTATGTATTTAAGTAATTATGATTTATGCGATTTTCGGATTTCGGATCAGAGATGAGAATTTTAATACGATTTCACCGGGTATAGTATCCGTCGTCTGCCCGTTGTATGTAATGTTATGCGAGTACACGATGCATAATTTGAATATAACCGGCGTATGCATCAGTTTTGGATACTGTCCAGCAAGTATGTACCCCCCTCCCCCCTCCCTGACGAGCCTTTTGTATTGTATCGGTGTTGCCCTACTGTTGTATTGTTAAGCGCGAGGAATTGCCGCTGTATATATTAAAATGTATATACACTCGTTTTTTCCAACGTATTATTTATGATCGGGTCAGTTATATATATAAAAGTTCTCATTTTGTAGAACTAACGAACATGGGTCACAGGTATATATTATAACAGTAGTCGTTTTTGTTGTGTAAATATAAAAAAAAAAAATTGTGTAATATAACAAAAAATATACAGTGTAATGACTTTTTAACTTCTTTTCTCCTCATCCGCTTCAGAATGTATATATATATATATATATATATATATATACACATGAAAAAGTATATTATTATATTATTTATTGTCTATCTATATATATATATTACTCAGTTAGACTGCAGCAATTGTAACTGAGCTTTCGAAAAAAAAAAAAAAATTAATCTTAAAAAAACAACAGAAAGTTAAATAAAACGTTCACTGAAATTAACTATTGTAATTAAAATATTAAAATATATGTGTTACCGTTGTAAATATATATGAAAAAAAATTGTGCAAATTTGTTGTTCTTGGTATTCGAGCGCAGATTGTGGTCGCTGAACATGTATAACATTTATTTGCTTTCAACTGCGCTTTTCGTTGTTAATTTCTTTCCATTTCGACAAATAAACCATATTTTAAATTTTCATTTATATTTATTTTAATAATATTTATGTATGCAAATTTTACAAGCCATAAAAAAAAAAACCCAAAACAATTATATTATATCCATATATGAATAAAAAAGACGGACGTATTGTGCATGATGGATGGGATACAGTTGTAGGTGAGAAATTAGGAAGTTAGGGTATAGAGGGAAATTTAATGTTTACCTGTACGCAATAATTAATCATTGCTAACGAAAAACTATTCTGAGTGGAGTTCGCTTATACGTATTTTAAAAGGCCGTAATATTTACGATGTTCGTAAAAATTTAATATTGAAACATTTATTAAAAATAAATAATGAATACATTAAACTCAACTTTTTCTTTTTGACCCCAAAGTACCACTTATAATGAACCTCCTATTAAATTTAAAAGTATTTCTGTTTATCTAACAATTTTATTCCCAGAGTATGTAATAAAAATTATATAAAAAACTCGCAAAATTAAAATGTCTATAAATAACTCAATAATTCTAAAGTGTTTTGAACACTTTACCACATCAAAAAAAGAAAAATACCAATATAAGTATTCTGACCAAATTTTAAGAATCTGTGAAAATGTTCAACTGAATAACAAAAAAAAAAAAAAACATACCAAATTGAAAATAATAAAACTATTATTTGCTTAAATTTTTCCATTTCCCTACGTTTTTTTCTATCGGTTTTTCCCAATTGCTATGAAAACCGCTTGGAAAATCGAAAAATGACTTTCTTAAAAGTACCAAATTAATAAAATTTGCTTTTTAAAAAAAGGTGCTATATTTAATGAATCGTAGCAAGATTTCTGGTAGATTTCATTTTGTAAACGGTATTAAAAAAAAAAAAAACATTCTCATTTCACTCAGAATCGAAAATAACCAATATGCGTGAGATTCAATGCGCTATATGCATTGTTCTCCAAAACTTGCTGTATGTTACTCATTTGGTTACAAATTAATTTCGTAAATTTTTCAATGAGTATGATAACTTTGATTATGCATTTTTTGACAATTTTTTTTAGTGAATTTTATAGGTTCATTATTTTGAACTATTATCGCATAAGAGCATTTTTTTTTTTTTTGAGGTTATTTTTAGAGTTTTATAACATTCATTACCCAATAATAATACAATTTTATAAACCAAATTAAAAACTGTCAGATGAAAAGAAAATGTACAACCTATATAAAGCTGATGGTCGGTGTGCCACAGTATAACTGAAGTTAAAAGTGTATATACATAGAGTAATTTAATTTATATTTGTACGCAACACTAATGAAAAACAATTCTGGGAAAAGTAGTATAAGTCATCGTATTTTTCCAATGATGGTAACAAAATTTATAAAAACAATTTAAAAAAAAAAATGACCAGCTTAGTACACTAAATAGATCAAAATTTCTACAAGAAAGTTCTTTTAAAGTTTTTGATTGGAGCAAGATTTCCGGTAGAAAATTTGTTTATAGGTCGATACATTACTCGTTTCACTCAAAATCGAATAAATCCGTTTATTATTTTGATTTTTTAATCGAAGTTTGACAGAAATCTAATTTTATACGTCCTGAAATTTTATTGTACAATGTATTTAAGATAATATCGATGTAAATTAATGACTAACGTTTTTTGTAATCTGTGTATACTGAATACAAGAAAATAAGTTTACGAGTCGTCGCAATAAGACCTATGACTAGTACATAAATGTTTACTCTGTGAAAACCGCGCGTAAGTTTTGTTATTTTGGCATATTATGTTACATTTCAAAAGCTGGTCGTAGCGATATTCTTCCCTTGACAAGGGGACCGATATCACTAGGTAATACATAAATTATATACACTCTAAGAAAACACAAATTGGACTGTTGGACGCTGCGCCACCGTCGAGGGTCTTTTGCACCGTGATTGATGCCGTCCGGTGCGCACGGCGGTTTACTAATTTCATATGCTCGGATCATCTGCTCTGTACCGTAAGGGAGGAAGTTTGTGACTTTGGTCTTTGTCGCGAAATTCCGTAGGGATCTATCTTAGAATATAACTTCGTTCGTCCCCTCCACTATATTATATCCATTTGACAAATGCATCGGACCGTCATAATAAGATTATAATGTTTATAGTTTAAACAGCTGTGAATTTAATAATGTGTTGAAAAATACATTTTTCTGCTCTTCTTCCGAAAACAAAAAATCCTACTCGAGCACTCCAAAATTTCAACTAAACAATTAACTGTAATATGCTGTAAAATACAATGAAATATAATAATATATATAGTTATATGCCGTAACTAAAAACCAAAATGCAAGACGTCGCATCTATTTCGTTAAACAATTCGGTGACAATCTTTATTTTTTCCACCTGCGGTTAAATAATGCAATGCTTTCATTTTTTTTTTTTTTTTTTCATGGAACGTTTTCATTTTAAAATATGTCTGCAAAAAAACAAAAAAAAACAAACAAATTTTGTTCGTATAATATCTTTGGTCTCAGTAAAGTTAAGTCAGTTTTAGATTTTCGGTGTAGCGAAGAATATATTGGTTTTACAAAGAAGTGAAAAACCGGGAAAAAATATGGGTAAATCAGTACAATATTAAACAAATATTATTAAAGAAAATATATAATGCTTATTTAATTATTTTACCATAATATGACATATATATATATATATGTATATTGTTGACAAAGCATCTTTGTCAACTGACCTCCGCTCAGAATCGGTTTTTCGTTAACAATGGTTTATCTTTGCTTACAGATATACATTAAATTACCTACAAAAATAACTGCACCAGTCTCCATTATCCTAGAACGTTTTATTTTTTAAATTTATCTCTTACCCTTTATTGTTTGGTTGTGATTTAAGTGTGTATGGATGAGTATATTCTTGCATCTGTTATACTAAAAATTAAAAGAAAAGTAACTACGAGTATTTATGATGCACCTGTTTAATTTTTTTTAAATTATAATGGTCCTTCATGTCATTCATCAACTTTACAATTTTAATTTGTCTCGTTGAAAACTGTACAAAATTGACTTGAGCTCTTTTTCCCTGGGACCAACAATTTTGTTAGTTATATTACTTGTACCTAATGATAATATTCAAACTTTTTTTTATTATTACAATAAGTTAAACAAACGGCGTACTTTCTACAGCAGTGTACATTTATAGCGTTTTTGTTTTTTTTAAAAAAAATAAATCTATTAAGAATGTGTCTTAAAAAAACTAATATATATGTGGGTACCTAATAATAAGTAAATATGACCGCTCAACGTTCCAGAACGTATTCCAGAAACGAAACGCACGTTCACGTCGTGCAACTGAAAGACGGAACCTTATCTTTTTTTTTTCTTTTTTTTCTTTTTTTTTCTTTTTTTTTTTTTATACACAAACTCTTATTGAGACACGTGATGCATTCCAGTGACTTATAAAATATTAATGCATGTTGCACTATGGTTCTGGTTTTAAAACGTCGTATTTTTAGATTCCCTGCAGTATTCGGGTGTTTTACGGTGATGTATAACATGTGCATTTGTTTTTATTTTTTTTTTTTTTTTTTTTTTTTTGGTTAAAGTACATTTATTTATATGGTATTATTTGTTTTTCGCCTTTTATACGTACTTATTATGTGATAAAAAAAAAAAAGAACTGCAAGTATACATGTAAACCGACTTGAAAAAAATTGTAAAAAAAAAAAATAATTCTATCGTTTTAAAACAATGCTCAAACATGCAATATAAATTCAATTCAATCTTATTAGAGTCGATTCGTATTTATTTATTTTTTTTTTTGTTATCTATTAATCTCGATGAAAATATTCGAGTGTGTATAAGGGTGTTCTGTTCGATCTAAATTTAAACGCGCTACCGCTTGAAAACGTTAAACCAGATGTTATAATAATAATAGGCTTTTACAAAATAAAAATATTATTTAATAACCATACGACGGAAAATATTTCGTTTCGTACATTGAGAACTTGATATAATCTACAGATATTAAAAATAGAAAAATGTCTGTACGGGACATATCACTTCGCACCGTGAGTGTTGTCTTGGCGGGAAATTGGCAATGAAAAATTCAGACAGATTAGAAACAAACGAGAAACGATTTTAATATTAAAATAATTTCTGTTTCCCGTGTATCCGGGAGAATTCAAAAAAAAAAAAAAATTAAATTCAAATTGAAAAGTCCTTCAAGATTTTTTCGGTGAAGCGTTCAGACATTTCAAATAGCTGTGTAGATTTTATCAAAAATCGCGGTGTGTATTATCGTCATTATATTGTTGTCGGTATTTTAGTTGATTTTTTCAAGAATAAAAAAACAAAAAATGGCTTAAATTAAGTATTTGTATTATTTTTTTTAAATTAAGTAACTTGGCTGAAAACCTAGTATGAAAAGTAGAAAAGTATGTTATTTTTATTGTGTGGTACACAGTGTGAAAATCTGTGTACTAACCTAAAAAAACAGCCGAAGAATTAATAAATTACAGATTCGCAAGCATTCCTTACTCCGCTGAGGTCCTAAGTCTTATTAAAATAATTACGATTATGTTGATCATAATTTTATTTTAAATTCGTAATTTTTCACCTCGAGCGCCATTGAAAATATTAATTTTTGATGATGCAATAAAAAAATAATTTTAATATTATCTTTTATATATATATATATATATATATTCATTTTAATTGTACATAATTGTGTTCTGCGCAAATACTCGAACTTAAATATTTCGATAAATCAGTATTATTATTTTATAGTATTATACAACCGGTTAGATTTATGACTCTCCGATTCGCCAAGTCAACACCCGATAGCACGTTAATTAATAATATAGTTTTAAGTTATTGAGCATTACGTAACGAAATTATAAATTACTTATAATTTTAATTTACTATCTATTATTATGAGTCGGATAAATTTTCATAGCGCGTTAAAACAAATCGATATACTCGTTTATATTTTCTTGTTAGTATTCGCGGACGTATTACCATTTCAGCAACAGTGCCTATAAATAAATATGTATATACTTAGTTCTAGTGTAGAAGGACTTTTAGTTATACCAGTTTGTATAGAATAAAAAAGCAATATAATATGCATGTTGGTTTTTTTTTTCCTTTTTTTAATATTTTTCTTTTGTCCGATGGAAATATCGAGAGAAAGAGAAAAGGTATAAATCGTTTATTCGTGTCCTTGTACAGTATATATATCTTGATGATTTCACGGTGAAAAACTTTTGTAAAAGGGACACAAATTTTATATATATACATATACATTGGCATATCTATATGAAAAACTTAAGTCCGAACACATACCCGTTTCTATCTACAATATAAATTGTACATGCGTATATATATATATGTTTATCAAAAAATATGCTTTTGATATAGGTATAGGTAAAATCAATTTGGATTCAGAATCAGTTTTCGTTTTTAAAGCTCGGAAATCCTTTTTCCAATATATATTTTTCGTTCTAAATAATAATAAACTCGAGTCGAACCGTTGGTATGTACAATATACTCGTAAACAATAGTTAAGTATCCACATTTCTTCAAAAATTGAAAAGACATACGTATTATATCTAAACTGTATACCAGCGGCGGATCTGACGCTTATCATTTAAGGAGTGCGCGAACTGCAGGTATTGTTTGTTAGTATCTATAAACTATGCTGTACCTGATAACTTTTATGGGGTAGAGAAGGTCCACTGTGCAGTTCACACACATTTTTAACGATTGCACCATTGAAAACCCTCTTTTTCCCCAGTAAACGTTTTGGGTACCTGTATATAATTAAATTAACTAAATTTTTTTTTTTTTTTTGAAGGTCAAGGGGGGAAGCGAAATACATTTTACCCCCTCAAACCCTTCACTGCTATATACCTCATGTATAATCTTTAAAACCGTTCATTTGTAATTGTTTTCTGTTATTTTATCAGTAATGACTCTCCATCCCAAAAAACAAAATTTTAAATATCAATGCTTCCCGGGTTTTTAAACAAGTTTGTCATTTAAATTTGTAAAATCCTCACGCCGTAAAATATTTACAATTTTGTTTGGATTTTTTTTTTTTTTTTTTTTGTGCGTAGGCCGTTATTTGATAATCACATGAAATAGTGGTGATATTTTAAAAATATTCTAAATATTATGTATACGATTATTTAAACGATTAATAACTGAATAAAATCCAAAATCATATTTACTCGAAATTTTTGTATAGACAATCTCCAGTGTGTCTTTAAGTTGAGAAAATCACTACATTGTGGGTCGTTGAAACGCTCAATTTACATATCTTTATATTTCTTTGGAAAACCGTAAGTCGCGAGGATTCCTCATAAGGTTTATTTTTACTATATATCTTTTCTATTTTTATTTTTATTTTTCTAGTATTATTATTATAATAAAGCCGTCGACATTGGATGTAATTCAAAAGATTTATTTAAATTGGATATATTATATTTACTAGATTATATTGTATAGATAAAGAAAACCATAAAAAAAAGTCTGAGTCAATTTATACGACAGCGAGACGTTTTAGCCTTTTTGTTTTGAAGATTGGCGGCGGTGATACAGTCCATGCTTGTAACCATTCACTGTGATGTGTTTTTTTATTTTTAAAGAAATTTTGTTGTATCAGAAATTGTGTAACTTACTCTGCTGTTTAGGTATATTATTCTACACTCCTTAAATTTAAATGTTTAATACTGATTTATGATGTGTAATCTATTTGAAAACCATGAGAAATCATATTTTTCTTGCTCCCGATTCTGAATCTCGTTATCTTGAATTGTTTAGGCATTCCACAGGGGACTAATTATTGCTGATTTTTAATTTAACTAAGTTTAGTTTGCTGTCGTAGTCGGTACTCGTTATCATCGTTTCGTCTAATGAGCCATTCATTTTTTGGATGGAATATATTAGTTTTACTATGTGTTTTTTTTTTCTTGTCTGTAAACAACTTTTTTACTAGAAAACTTGTTTTAATCAATTACTTTATGGAAACATTCTTGTAGCATTTTTTATTTAGTTGATGCATTATTTTTTTGATTTTCATTGTAGTTTTCTTGTGTAATTTTTGTTGTTTCCTTGGTAACGAGGGAAAAAATATCATTTATATTACTCTGATCAGAATCGTTTTTCGCTAGTAATGGTTGATCGTCTACAGATATAAATTAAATTGCACTCTATATATCCTTCTTAAACAGTGATACACTCATCAGCAGTATCGGCCTAACTTTTAACATTATCGTTTGTATAACGTCTGTTAAGCATATATAGGTAAGTGACGAGTTGGCGTAAAGTACGAGCGCGGAGACTTGTTTGCGGTGAGTATTGGCTGTGAGCTCGGCACGTTGTCTGTTACAATACAATAATATATGTTATAGTTCCTATCACTCGCGTTTAAAATATTCGTGTTTCTTTTATAATAATATACGAGTGTTGTTTTTATTATAATATGTTGATGTAAATGACGACAAGATGCAGTTGTTCGGAAAAAATCCAGTATAATATACAATGTATAGGTGTATATATATATATATATATATATAGTACGTGTCTGGCGGCATACTGTATGCATATCGTATAATACACTCATCGGTACTCGAACACGTGTTCGAGGGACGCCCGGTCTCTGGTTCCGCGTCGTCGTTAAACCTTACGGCAGATAGGGTCGCCGCGATAAGTTATTGGCAATTAAACGGGACCGTGCGATTGGACGAGACGGTCGACATCGCCGCGGTTATACGATTATTACGATTATTACCGTCGGCCGTCCGAAAATCTGTTTCGAAACAATACGACGGCGACGGTCCGCGGCCCCCGGGCTGTGCGGACTGTGCGAAATTTGGACGCGCACGGCCGGATCGCGCGGCGGCCACCGACAGACAGTTTATTGCTCGTGTCGAAAAACGGGGTGAAAATACCCTCGTACAATTACGTGAAACGATGAGGGTGAACGGTCCGCGTCCGTACCACCACCCCACCCCCCTCACGGGAGTGTTGGCAGGACTGCTCTGTTGCTCTTTCGGCCCTTGGCGTGTGACGGATGTACGACGAGCATAGGTACGTATATCGTGTACTGCTGTGCGGGTCGTGTGTGCAGGGTGACTAACCGCTAGTACGATTCCGAGTGCGAGTATTTCAGTATACTCGCGGACCGCGCGAAAACAAGAGGGTTTCGGAGGTTTCCGTCACGGAAATAATGCGACTCTCTGCGTAACTCTGTACGAGAAAGACAACGAGTTTTCGGAACGGAATATCATTGGCGCCGGGAACGTCGTTGAATAGCTTTGGCGTCAGGAGAATTTTTCGTTTACAGTCGCGTACGTCGCGATTCGTACTACGATCGATGAAGTAGACTTGGCGTTTTTGGACATTTCCGGTTTTATTATTATTATTTTTCGATTTTGGCAGCGTTCAATTGCTCGGAAACTACAAGAGTGTTTGTTACTATTATGTCTTTAAATCAATTTTCAACCTACCTAACTAAAATAAACGACGTAAAATATCATATTTTCGTACCTTAAAACAATGATTCTTTCATAACTATACATTTCTCCGATTGCCCCGAATTCGGCCACCGTGAACAATACAATATATACAGGATATTCCGTATAATATTACACAACAAGTTTGCATGACTTTTTTTTTTTTTTAAATACTCTTTCCAGTTACGGTGACCGCAACCGTTTTTCATTTCCGAAACGCGATTTTAATTTATATTCTCTTAGATGTCGAATTTTAGCTGCGGTTTAATATTTACGGTCCGTTAAGGTTCCTTCGGTAATGCGAGTTACAGAGCCAACGGGAAAGTCATACCCGACAAAATTGTAGAACTATTATTTTAATTATTTTTTTTTTATTTTTTTTTTACGCATAACATTACGAAAAATATTGATAGTAACATATTAAAATTAAACCATCCCCTTAAACAAAGCTTGTAAATAATAAAATATCGGTTCAATGTGTGATAATAAACACTGTGGGTATCTGAAGAATTTGTTTTATATTTCATGTGGAATTTTTATAGGAAGTAGCCAAACCATCTTGTAAATAGGTACCTTATATTCGTATAAAAATAGTTCGTTTCAGAATATAAAAGGTTAACATTTTTTTTTTTTATTATTATTTATTTTATTGTTGCGTTTTAAAAACACCTACCAGTAACTAAAAGTACAAAACGGTTTCATATTTTCCAAGAATTGTGGTTTTATGTCTACATCCTCTAGTCGGTTTAGTTTCGTTCAAGAACCATATGTGTTCCTAAAACTTCGTTGGTTAAATATTTCAATAATATAACTCTTAATATACCATCGTGTTGATACATCTGCAGTATGGGATATAGCATAATAACTATGGTTAGGATTTATATGCTCTGAAAGTCTGAACAACTACGAAATACTGATATACTGCAAAATTATACTCTAAATAATTATATCGTGTAATGCCTTTATTTTTTTATGGAAATTTTAAAATCCTACATTGTATTAATAAGCCTAGTAATAACTAATAATATTCCTATTATTCGTATTTCTCTGACCGTTAAAAATATTGTCCGTTTGTTTTTTTTTTTTGCAGTTTATTTTACGTTTCTGCTGAACACACATTGCAGCGGTTTACGAATTGCTGCCACGAACTAAATACAATGGTATAAAATGAAATAATTGAAACGATAAGTACCACGAGGTCGTTAAAAGTAATAACATATTATGTAGACGGTACATATTTTTTATTACTTATAAAGTGTACTTGTGGAAATTATCGCCGCGTAAATGTAGAAACGAATATTTTTTGTTAAATATAATTGTTGTAATTCGAATCAATTACAAAAAAATAAAAACATGTTCTAAACGAACGATTATAAAGTTGATAGAGCTCTGATTTAGCATTATCTACACTTCTGTCCCAAACCCTTAACCTGTATAAAACTAATTATTTATTTACGACGCTGCACTACTGATGCCTATCACGACGATCCATGAAAATGATAATTTGTTATATAATTCAGAGTTTTCGGATTCGATAATATTGTGCAGTATACTATAGCTATTATTTGATGAACAGACCTGGACTAAGAAGTGGAGCTAAGATGGCCAGGAGATCTTAAACATATTTTTGGCCAATACTTGATATATTATATTGGTATTTTCTAAGCGTTTCGAGTGCCAGTTCTTTTACGGGCTCATAATTGCAAAGTAACTGTTTAAAATGTTCAATGTGTATTTTGGATTTTTTTTATTTTAAACTCAATTCGGATAACATCAGCTCCTACAATGGGTTTGTCGATGTTTTTAAACTCGTTAAAAACACCAACAATTTTGAAATGATTTTTTGCGATATTTTAGACTTAACGATTGCCCTAAAATATGTTCCCTGCGACTTTAATTCTTTTTAGATTTGTAGCGTATCTCGTAAGGAGGAATGTATTGGTTTAACAACGATATTTATTATTTTTTCTGTGAATTTTCTGCTAGAAATTTTTGATTTTCCTAGAGTTTTCCATAACAATTGGGAAAAACTGGGAAAAAACGTAGAAAAAGCGGGGAAATGTTTGTATATGCATAAAAGAAACTTTGTTCTGAATCGTTTTTTTGTTAGCAATGGTTTATCGTTGCCTACATTCCCAACTTCTCACTTAAACCAGTGGCCCACCCATCATGCGAAGTTATGTCCGTATTTTTTACGTATTATTTTTACTCCAAAAATTGATCCCTGCTAACATTTTTTTTAAATCGTTGCCATTCGTCGTGATTATTTAAAAACAATTCCAAACAAACGCATTCTTTTTATTTTATAGGGTGTTTTTTCCAGGGAGTACATCCATTTATTTATTTATATAGTTATAAGTTAATTTATATAATAATTTTTAACTAAACTAGTTAAACAAAATAAGTAAAATGTTAGAAAATACCTTATACCTGGTTGACAACTTAACTGAGTTATTATTTTGTTAAAATTTAATTCTATGAAAATGCCGTACTTTGTGTGAAATTTCGTTTGAAACATCATCACTATGTTATCGTATTAACTAACATATGAACTGTGATACGGAATGCCCACACGAGCTATAGTAATTTCCCATTTGACGAGAACAATGTATAAAATATACGTTTTTGAGTGTAGTAGATAATTAAAAAAAATAAAATAAAAAAGATTTTTAATCTACCTCGAGTTGTTATTTTTCTGAAAATGTGTACAATAGCCACTCTTCGTTCGTTTATATTTTAAAATTGGCTTATGTTTTCCCCTTCAAATAACTTAAACGCCTGTGGTAGAGGTATACTTCGTAACAACTCTCGTTTAACTTTCGGCTATTATTGTTTAATGCGCATTCCCGTGCATAATATTACAGTGAAATATTTTGGATCGAATACACTTATAGGTACCTATATAATATATTATAATATTATCAAATACCGCCGGTGCATATATAAAACAAAATTATTACTTTTGTAAAACCGAGACCGAAAGTGTGCCCGGTTATTATTATTATTATTATGCGTACGTGCAACGGACATAATTATTATTATTATAAACTTGGGTGACCGCCTGTCATTTGCATTTTGAAATTAGTCTCATCTTTTTGCTTCAATAAAACAAAAACACGACCTACTCTCTCTCTATATATATATACATTTATGTATATACATATATACACGACTACCGGCTACTATATACATATACAATAATATATACTCGGATCCGACCGTCCATAAATTTACACGGTTCCGACCAGAAAATATTATACAAAATATTATATTAGCTTACGTATAAAAATATTTCTCCGGGTTTCCGAAACGCGTTTATATGCGTACATGAAATGTGTAAGAGGGCGAGATGTGGGGGCTGGAAAAAAAAAAGCTCTTCATCAATCTCACTCCACTGTTTGTGTGGTGATTTACGTGGTAGTGGGGGTGGTGGTGATGATGACGATGTCCGATTGCCTGACTTCATTAAGTCATGTACGTTCCACAACGGTGTACTCGTCAAATACATATGTACAGGGTGATCAGTTTGTCACGAACAAGCGGTTTCCTCTGATGATTGTAAGTGGATTTAATTCCTATTTTTTTTTTTCAATTATTATAAGGGGGAATCGTTCATGATAAACTTTCTATCTCTATTATTATTTTCAATTTTGTTATGCCTACTTCTTATACCTTAAACCAGTTTATATACTTTTAAACGCAGATCCGTATAAGGAATATTATTTTTCAAAAACACGTTGATAACATGTGTATAAATTAAACATTTACCGTTTATCACCTAAAAAATGTAAAGTTTATACTAAAGGAATAGAGGAAAGTTATCAATTTATCGTCTAAAAAGTGGATGTAAAGTTTATTATTCTTCCCTATAATACCCTTTCGGTCTAAATTTTAAACTGTTATAATTCATAAATGAAAAATCCGATATTAGCTAGCTGCAGTATGTATATCAAAATGCAAACAAATTACTTGTATCTGTGTTTAAAATGTTCCTATTTGATTATCAAATGTGTATATTTATTCAAGTTACTATCCTTATGAATAGTACCTAATAGTGGTAAACAATTGATAATTTTCGAAACATAGCTTAGACAATTCTATAATAATTATATTAAAAAAAAAAGCAGAAATTAAATTCACTCCTTCCGAGAATATCAGATAATTCGTGATAAATGGATCACTCTGTATATTTATCATATTCATCATAAATTCTATCGTTTGTTTGCGCGTTACGTATAATATTAGCATTTTAATAATGATTATAATATATACTCGTGATACCTGAGAATAAAAAGCGTCGTTTTATAATATTTTAATAATAGTGACCGTCGCATAAAATATTACCCCAGTGAAGTGCGTACACGCAAACTTGTATTCCTATAAAGGGAATTTTTGAAACGGATATCCGAAATCGTGTGTATACATCGCGTGGTTTTGATATCTATTAAAAAAATTAAATAAAATACATTCGCTACGCTCAGAATCTAAAAAAATTAATATTGATATCTATTTTCAATCTGTATTAATTTTCTAATTCTTCGGTTCCGAACATAATTCATCATATTTCATTTCGTTCTAATATTTACAACAATAAGTTAAATCAAGTACGCTACGTATATTATTATCAGAAAACCTAGTTGAACGTTTAGTGAAAACCCAGAGAAAGACGTTTTGTAATTTAAATTTCAACTGTTATATATTCGTTCCCAGAAAAGAAGAGCTTAATCAATTGTTGACTTTTTTCGTTTATAATTGTATCTTATGTAATTTAGTTGATTTTTTTTCTTATTTAAATAGTATAATTGTATGTATTTTATAAATTAGCGTATTTAGTGTATTGGTGTAAGTACAAGTGGGTAGATTTTCAAAATGCAATGTTCTTGTGTTAAAATCTATACAAAATCGATTTAAACTTGTTTTCAATAAGACCAATGGTCTGTTGGCTTGTTTTTTTTTTTTGAACTTTTAAGAGGTTTTATTGTTCGTTTGCCTCATGAAAAAAAAAATGATATTTAATTAATAATAATGAAAACCAAAAGAAAAAATACAAATATTTCAACACATATTATTGTTATTATTTATTTTTCCTGAGTAATTTATTCTGAAAAGAAAACGAAAATGCGGACAAATCCCGGGAAATTCATTATTGAATATCATAGTAACCGTATGATGAAATCTAAAAAGAAAAAAAACAAACTTCAAAAATACTAACGCTTTTATATCGCATTCCAAAAACATTGTAAAACCCATTAAGTACTATATGTAGGTGATATCGAAGACGACATAAAAATATATTTGCCCATTGTATCTAATAATAAGGATGTGCCAATGAGATTAATGTCCTTATTTTGCTTATCCGTTGCTGCATGTACTATTGTGTTTTCCTGAATTCGCTATTTTATCTTTTAATCACTACATGATTTTTAATACGCATTGTTCTTACTACGGTCGCACACTTACTGCGTTTATGATCCCGTCGCTAATACACGAAAAACAATCTCAGTTAATTCGTATTTAAACTCGCAAGAGTACGTTTTTACTGGTCTCAAATATTACGGTTTAAATTTATGTAAAATGCATACGTTATACACATTTATAATTACAAAATTATTATAAAAAAAAAAAAAAAAAAATGATATTTAATTCTTGCAAACGATATTTAGCCAAGACTCTTGCTATTTTTAAAAAAATGTATTTAAAAAAAAAATTAAATATCTGTTATAGGGCTTGTTTTAAGGTGTATTATTAACAGACACGAGTCCATGTTAGTAATGCCATTGCTATGACAAATAAAGACACTAGATTAAGTACACAAAATCCAATACGGAAATCATATCACACAACTATGAACAAAATTGAGAATATATTTATAATTAAGATGATACTCAACGTATTGGCTTTTGTGATATTAATTCCATTTATTTCTAATCTTTTTTTCAATAATTCGCAATTTTCTCGAAATACCGATAAAATTTAATAACAAGATAATATCATATTATTTTCGTTATAAATTATTTAATTAAATCTAGATCCACTGATGTGTTTTCGGGAGAAAACAAAATTACAAGATTCTTGCAGTGCTTGCCTTGTTTTGGTCTTGAACTTGCAGCGTTGGTATTGTTTTGGTCTTGGTCTTGCCAGTGCCGTTTTGGTCTTGTAGCAAAAGTATTGCGAGACCGCAAGACCAAGACCAATTTTGATCATCACTCATTTCCTAATACTAAGGTTAGAGTCAAATAATAAAGTTAGTATAATAAATCAAACAAACTCCAATTATGGTATTAGAAAATGCGTACCTTAAAAGTGTGTTTAAGTATGTGGAAGTTCAACGTATACCCAATTGGGTTTATGAACACTAGCGACTCCGTGTAAACCTGGTAATTATCTTTGATTTTACTAATAATTGCAGTAGTCGTCTTCGTACAACTGTGCATTAGGATTCGGAAGTATTTTAGCCTATAGCTGCTGCAGTGTGTGGGAAACCCGATTAAACATTTTTCTGTCATCGTATGTATATAAAACGACGAATTTCTCCTCTCAGATACTTACGATTTATGCGGCGTGCTAAGTAGGTGTTTTCAATAAATAAGGTTCGAAAGAGTAATATAATTAAATATAGTACTGTTATTTTGTATTTTTTACCGTCCGGATAATCCTACGCGAAATGTATTATTATTATTAATTTTTTTCTTATAGACGAATATTCAGTATTACCTGTATTGTGAAGGACTAAAGCGTTAAAATAATATTGCGTGGTATACATTTGAACCTTACCACACGTGATGGTGAAAGTATATAGGCGTATGAGTTAATTTATTATGGAAGACTGGCCTGTGATATTTTTTTTTTTTTTTTTTTTTTTTATAATTATATTAAATTAATTATCGTTTATTTTATATTTTTAATCAATTTCGTTGGTTTTTTTTTTTTTATAGCTATTCCCGATCATACTGCTGCAGAGATTCGTATATTATATAACCTACAACATACCTACATATATGTAAGTATTTCATATTTTATCGTTATTTATTTCAATATAGAGCACTTTATTTTAACAAAGTTTAAGTGATATTTTTTTTTATTAACATTGTATGAAAACTCCCTGCAATAGGTTATGTTTATGTATTTATATCTAATACAGATTTTTCTCGATTGCACATAATGTTATATTATAATATCTGTCTATATTAACCGAATAATATCTGCAGGATAAATATACATTATTTATTGTGTATTTTAAAGACAAACAAATTATATAATCGTGAACATTTCGCATAAAAAAAAAAAAAAAAAATTCTATTTATGGTAATTTTTAATTTTATCGTAGAAAAGATATCAATATTTTTTTTATTTATTTTTCTATTAGGAAATAACCGGATTCTTTTCTGTTTAAATTTAATTCGCAATCGTCGCGGTGGCGTTGTCGCGTAAGTGCCTACACGTTTTATTTATTTTTGTTCAATGTGTAAAAAGTCGTACGTACACACGTTAGTATTTATATTATTCCTACTAAATAATATTATATGTACATTGGTACGCAAAATATGATATAATAATTTAGTGAAAAGGTTTTTCTTGTTTTTCAGAATACACACACACACATATATATATATATATAAATATACATATTTTAGCCCGGCGAACCACTCTACTTACCATTAGCTTAACAACGAAGCGTATATATACTTGCAAGATTTGAAAACATAATATATTATGATAGGTACGCGTTTTACGCGTTACACTATATTATATTCAAAAGTTATACCCAAAAGGTATTACGACGTTAAATTATATCGAATCTTTTCTTTTGTGCGTGCGAACAAAATGCATATTTTTTTTTTTAATCCATTGTATTATGCATAACATGTATGCATTTAAACATTTATTAGTCGTATTTAAGGGGTTGCGTATTTGCGATTTTCACGATATTTTTGAAAAATATTCCAATTAACTGTTTTTTAACAAGTTCACTCGTATTTATCAACAAAAATTGTCCACATTGAAGCCGTTTTTCGTGAGACAAAAATACTCAGGCTATAGACTTAACTATAATAATTAATAAGATACTAAATTTTAATGATAAATACGAAAACTTTCATTATGCATCGTTAAACTTAGTTTTTCGATATCACCTAATAATCACTATTAAGAAATATATTATTCGAATTTAAAAACTTAAAAATATAAGATTTCAAAACAATAATCCATTTTTTTCTTTTTTGATTCTTTTAATATTGAACAAATAAAACCGATACTCCGTGAAAGTTATGCTGATTTTATTATACAATGTAAATTTGGTTTTCTAATTAAGTTTAAGCCTCAGTAGTTTTCGCCCTTGTAAGTCAATTTTTACAGTTGAATTGCAGGAGATACCAAGTCCAATCAAATGTCAAAGACATTTCGTTTAATACGTTTTAACTTGTTTAAAGTTTAAATTGTAGAAAAATGCAATATTTTTTTTTTTTGATTACGGCACATTTTTATGCAGCGGAAACAATTTGATCCATGTTGGCAAATTTTTGATCAAAATTTCGGTCAGTTTGATCGGATGGCGACAATTTGATTCAGTTAGGAACTTTTTGATTAACTGAATTTAAATGTCACACTATCTATTTTTTAGGTATTGACTAGATGGACGTAAACTTGGAACCTTTAAATAAACCAAACCTAAATCTCGTGCTTATTAAAAATGTATAATTCATATTTACCAAATGATTTTTATTTGATAGTGTAGGGAAAACAATGAAAAATTAATAACGACCGGTTATCGGGTACTGATAAATTTTTGAGTGGCTTTATTTTTATTTTTTGTATGCCATGGTGGAGATGTTAAGAGAAAGGGGTGGGATTTTTGAAAATGTATAAAGGGGGCGGTAGAATAAAAAAGGTTGGGAACATCAATCACATTGCATTAGAAAAACGATTGTTTAGGTAGTTGGAGCTCTGCGGTAGTATTACACTGTACTTTTTATGTTTGCTGTTTTATTTTTTTTTATTTTTTTTTTTTTTTTGGGTTTTGGCGTTCATTTGTCCAAGTATCCATCTGGAAAATTAAAAAAAAAAAAATAATAAAAATAATCCCCCGTCTTTTTTTTAAAAAAAAAAAAAACATTTATAGTACGCTTACTTACGTTCCATTTTCCGGCTATATATAAACTAGGTAACCGGAAATGAACTTTATTGACCGCGTGTTTACTGCTGTAAAAATATATAACATTATTAATAATTGATGTTGTTTACCGTATTATTCAAATATTATATATAAAACAAAAGTGAACTGATTATTATTATGTTTGTGTGTGGATATAAAATAAATGTACGTTCGTACTTAGATATAAGTTTTTTTCCATAGATTATAAAGATTATTCTCATTATTGTTATTATTATAATTAAACCGGAAATTTAAAAATACAACAAACAAAAAAGAAATAAATAAGAACGGGCGAAAATTTTAAAAGGTTGAAGCGAAAATGTGCAGGTTGCGTTCAGTTCAGTTAGATTCTTTCCGTTCAGTTGCCTGAATACGTGTTTGTTAGGAAATTCATCTTCGGTCAATTTTCCTGGTCGAGGAAAAATCGAATCGAACCAGGAGGTCAATTCTTGAAATCATGCAATAATAATAGCCACCGATTTTATCGAATACTATAGAGTATCTCGAACGAACCACTGTGGTAACGACACAAAATATAGATTTAGAAATTTGAAAAAAATCTAGATTCTAACCTTAGGTAATAATAATTAATGATTTATTTTTTCTTTGTTATCTTTTTATTTTTATTTTTAACAGTAAAATAAAAATATGAAGTTACAACGTAAGTTCCTAATTGGAAATCAAATAATTACTCATTGCAAATTTCGGTGAGCTCGTTTAAATTTTCGGGAAACAATATCCAAGCATAAAATATTCCGGGCTGGTTTAGACTTTTAGTGTAGTAATGACACTTCGATTATACTACAAGTTTTTGTGGCCTGAGATATTGCCAGAAATCGAATATCACCGACAGGAGTATCATATAAACCCTTTGTCAAACCATAAAAAGTCAGAAGATATAGAATTAATAATTAAATTAAATAAACATAATAATAGAATAAACATATCTGTAAAATTGCTTAATAAATATGTAGTTATACTTTTGTGTTCAAATCAATAACAGGCAAACGCGGTTTTTCGTCACTATAAGAGGTTTGCATAAATCGACTTATAGAGGACAAGATCCTCAAGTAAGCGATAATTTTCAATAAATACCTAGTGTGTTTGACAGCAAGAATGGACCACCAGTAAGTTATGAGTAATTATTTTTCCGTATTTACCTTTCGTGCGTTAAATTTTCTTGTTCATCAATAGTTTCAATTTCGATCAAAATTACCATGTCTTCAATATTTGCCATTTTAAAGTTATAACATATTAGTGCACCTATGATGGATTCAACTGTCATATTTCCACTGTAAACAATTTTTATCACATGTTATTTCTCTTGCACAAAAAATACTGCCTTTGAAATAATCATACAAGTAACGTTTATCACTAATTATTTTTTCAAAAACACCCGTTTTAGTAATTCATGCGATAAACAGTAGAACGATTTCATGAATTGGCCCCCAGAAAATTAAACAAATTAATTTTAAAAAACCTATTCAGCTAATTAAAAACCTCGGTATCTAAATATCCAGTCCATGTAGATGTCACGGGCGAATTTAACTCCTCGGTGAAGCTAAACCCTCTCAAAAATTGTAAAAACAATTTTAAACGGTTGAATAGGTTTTCGAAACGATTTTTTTTTTTAAATAAAACCTGAGTTAATTCCTGGAACTGAACCGATTAAATCAGAAGGATATAAAACCTTGCAACTCTAAACAGATGCAGTGGTCGTAAATAAACTGATCGGATCCAGTACGCTTGCTTTTTAACCTTTATTACCTACTATATAATTTCCTTGATAACTTCATTTTAACTACTAATGTCTTGCAGTTATGAATATAAGTATAATACAAATTAATAAATAAATAATAAATCGTTATAATACTTATAATTCATAAAAAATAATTTTGTATATGGGAACTATATAGTGCTGTAGTAAATCATTTCGGTAACTTATAGCGATTTCAACTTGCCTATAAAATAGTTCATATACTTATTTTTAGGATCGCTAAATGATAGTTTAAAAATTTAAGACTGCAACTTTATCTGGGAAATAACATGACACATACATTTAGTAATATTAAGATTTATAATATAATGTGAAGTTTTCTAGTTGTAAAATAGTCCCTTTTTAATATTAAATATCTACACCATCTCATTCAAGTCAATTGAAAGTCAATAGAAAATATTTTGTAGTTTTAGTTTTCATAAACGAGTCAAAATTCTAAAATCACTTTAAATGATAGCTACTTTTCTTCTTTTTTTTTTTTTTTTGATAACCTACATTTTTCCTTAGTGGACATGATATTTTTTAATAAATTGCATGATTACATAATAAATACTCGTAATAGGAAAACAGGAACGTCTTAAAATTAATACGTAAGTGACTTCGATTGTATTTTCTGGCCAATGGTTATTCATATTTTTGAAAATTGCCTATACGAAATCCCTTAAATATTGGGGGTATAGTAGTCTCCTCTTGAAAATGAAAATGCCTGCACTATAAATAGTGCAGTAATAGTAGTCTTCACTTTGAATTAAATGATTTAAGTTCTATAAGTACTTACTTGAAACTATATATATATATATATATAATAACCGCTTCGTAGATTGCAACTCTCGTGTCACACCGACATCATCGTCATCGAACGACCCTAAACTCCTTCATAAACTCTAAACCCTTTTAATGCTGGTTTTTTTTTTTCATTTATGTATGAGTATACGTATATTATTATTTTAAGCTTCGCCCAAGAAGAATCGTGTGATTTTAATTAAACATTCTCCTCGCGTACAAAATACATAGTTCGTATATTTTATACTTTATAATATAATACCCATAACATATATAATTATTTTCTTATACGGTGAAGTCTCTCTATAATTCAAAATGTTAACGATGTAATTATATAACTTCATTTCAATCGCTTTTTCAACAGTAGATGAATATTTAGAATATTTTTTTTTATAATTTAAAGTGATAATTCATTACAATGTAATTGTTTTTTTTTTTTTTTTAAAGGCTGATACCGCTAATGAGATATTATACATGTATATTTAGAGTGATTCAGTTTATATCTGTATGCAACGATAAATCACTGCTAACGAAAGCGATTCTAAGCAGAATATTATTAGTCGTATTTTTTTTTCTTTATTACCATGGGGAACATAATATCATAGTAAAACAATCATTCCTTGCTTCACTCTAAAGAAAAAAAAAACATTTGGATCACATAACATTATTAAAACCAAATGGCCTATTATTCTTTTTATTTTTTTAAGAAAATAACATTTTCAAATAATATAATGGAAAAATGAAAACTTAATTTTTGTACAAATAAAATATGACTATAGTAGATTGAAAATAAAATAATTATAAATAATATTAGAATATTTATTTTTTTTCATTAGTATTCATTATTGACTTGTAAATAATAAAATAATCAAAACTCAAAATAATTTAATGATCATTTCTAGATTTTGAGTTTGGCTATTAAGGCTATTACCTATTCGTTTTCATAAAATGGATTATCGGTTGATAAAATTTCTCCGATTATTCTTTTATGCCGTACCATAAAAAACTTCCGCTCGATAGTACATTCGAAAAACTTGTCTATAGATTCCTAACAAGTTTTCTTAAAATTAAAAAAAAATCCTTGATTTATGGATTACTTTTATTTTACACGAGAAAAAACGCGACTATATTATACATATTATATTACTGCAGTAAATAAATTATAATTTTATAATCATACCATGATATATCCTATATACGTTCTGAACTTCCCATCTACAACAGTGGCCTACCCGTCCAGGCTACCCGTGTTGCGAAATATGCCATGCTTTTTAAAAATTATCATTCAAGATCTAAAATAGTTTTCGTAAATCTCTTTTCTTTTTTTTTTTCGGGAGTGGTTATTATTATTATCTTAATGCATAAACTTTTTAACAAAAATATTTTATCTTCCCGCGTATTAGCAACAAACCGTAAGACATTATGTTTTTTTATAAAGTTAAGAAAGTTACTGTATACACTTTGAAACTAATGTATGCTAGTAATAGTAGTATAATATAATAATATTCGTTTGTGTTGTCATTTGTTACATAATGATCAAGCAAGACACGTAAGTATATGAGACTTTACAGTGATGTGACTCGTAGTTCAAACGAGAATATGTACACAACGGTTTGATGTCACGTCGTTTTAATCAATGAAAAGTTATCGTATTTTATATTATCGTATTATCATAGTTATATCAATGTGAAACTTTCGAGTTATTATGATTATCGGTATGTCACGGGAAAAAAAAATTACTATTTAATATTGCGGTTGAAAAATGTATAATTACTATGACTATTTTTTTAGTAAAAAGTAATTAACGAATCTAGTTGATATGCGTGATACATTATAGTTACATTATTATAGTCTTAGTGAGTACTATGATTCAGTTGCGACTACTATTTATTTTAATTATAATTTGTCATAATGCAGATTAGTTAAATTTTCTTTAACTTCTAAGTTAACGGAACTGAAGATTATTATTGTTTTATTCTAAACGAGATTGGTGGGATTTTTTCCATTGTATTGTTTCGCGATCGGTCGTGGACGTACGTCTCTTCTCTGACCAACCACGAATCACGATAGTATGTATTATTTTAATACATAAACGTTTTCTGTAAAGGTCGCAAATTCACAAAATTGAAAATATTACGTTAAAATAAAATAATTAGGTAGAGTGTTTCCTATATTCGTGCTGTGAACGTATCCGGACTAACATTTGTATCAGTCAACTAAAATACGATACTTACGTTATTATTTACAACGCGAAATCGCCTTAGGCTTTCGACTGTATAATAATTAATAACCAAGACGAATACTCGGTAAGCTAACATTTTTTTTTTCTTAAGGGAGGACAGTTATGTTTTAAAAATTTGTTTTCGTTTTACGTTTTGATTCTAACTGTATGTATTTATAGTAATAATGCATAATGCAGAATCGTTTGTGTTCGTTTATGCGCCGACAATGTTTTGACGATCGTATAGTAATGTTTTTTCAGCGCGCTTAAACGTATAAATGAACCGTGAATTCTTACTGACCGTGATGACATCGACCGATATGATATTATGTGTTTCGAAGCGTTTTTATACTGTTACAGTTTCTCTTCCGGGTGATTTGTCATCGAATGATATTTTCAACCGTGCTGCATGCAATTTATGTCCCGACGCTTTAGTACGCGACGATTTTTTTTTTTTCATCCCAATGTTTTGGAATGTTTTCGCTTTATTATTATCATCCGATCGTCCGATTTTTTTTTTTTTTTTTTACTGGTCTCAGAATTTTTTCAATATCCTGACGGAACTTCAATTATTATAACCGTTTGTCGTTTTTTTATTTTTTTTTTTTAATATTATTTTTAGTGTGATATATTTTTGTCAGAAACGATGTGATTTACAGCCCGCAGTTCAAATGTAAAACTGTTTTGCACGGACAAAAAACTACTCAGATTTATAGAATTTATAAAAAAAATTAAATGTACACTATTAAAAAATGAGAACGTGCACTGTACAACGTTGGTATTATTTTTTTAAATAATAAAAATACAATCCAAAAAAAGTATTATTTGTCAAAATCTCATAATTTTAATTCTTTTAAAAATCAAACTTATTTTGTAATAGAGATATCGGAAAACTAAAACCAACGTTACACAATGCAAGTTCTATTTGTTTTACGGTGGAAATTTAGTTTCAAAACTATTTAAGTCCCTGGCCCAAGTAAAATTTACCTACTCGCGCGAAACAGATTTTCCTAAATGTTTTTGTTAGTTGCATTCAATAAATCCTTGTAATAACGATACGTAACTACTTTTAATGTATTTTAAAATGAATTTGAGTGTTTTTCAGTTGATAAAGTTACATTTTTCAAAAAAAATCAAGAGACGCTATACGCAACCCCTTACACTCGAGAAGTAAAGTGTCATATTAATGAAAGCCATTTGTGAACCGTATAGCTATGATTATTATAAAACGAAAACAAACTCTCTCTTTTTCTCTCTCTAAAAAACTAAAAAATAAAAAGATGATTTTACATCTGTGTAGGTTCCATATCGATAATCAGCAAATAATTGGTTCTAGTCTGTTTTTGTTTTTTTTTTCTTATATGAAATATATATATATATATATATATATTTATATAGTAAAACGATTCGGAAAAAACAAAGAATAAATAATATTTATATTCAGAAATCACACGCTGCTGCAGGCTTATGGTTTTTTTTTTTTTTTTTTATGTATAAAACCGTCCCCTGCCGTATAATAATAAGCCGTTAAACATTTCAGTTTTTAAAAATGTAAACAAAACAAAATCTCGTATAAATCTCACAAATTGGACGTGTGCTGCGGGGGGGNGGGGGGGGGGGGGTAGTTTAGTATGTCGCGCGCGGCTTTATACTTCAAAATTATTCGTCATTAATACGCGCGTGATATTATACTTAGGCGATATACATTATATATATTATAATACCTATGTATTATGTATTTTTATATTTATACTATACTTTTATAACTTCCGTAATAACGATCGTCATTTTACATAATAATAATATAAAATCTCCCGGTAAGTCTATCTGTTTCTCCCTCTCTCGAGATCTCGAGCTATATTATTCTGCCTCTTACCACCATCCCATATCGTATCCCAATTATATTTTTATTCTTCCTTGCAGATTTCAATTCTTTTCTTTTCTTTCCTTTTTTTTTTCTTTTATTTCTCGAGGGGGTGGGGTTATTGTCTAAAAGTTCGCGGTCTTTTTGAAAATTTATTTGATCCCTTACCTACTAGAATATATCTTCTAAACGTATAATGCATATTAGACGCCGATGTTGTATCTACTTAACACACTGCCGGCTTTGCGGTAAAATGCCGTAAATCTTTTATACAATTTTACTAAACAAGCGAAAAACTATGGCAGAACATTTACCATTTTCACTTTTTTACTACTTGAATATATCATCCATTTGATTCTATTTCCAGAAAAATAATTTTCGCATTTTTCTGATTTAAAAATTTGAGTTGCGCAGTTTTAAATATATATACCGACTTACGAACTTTTTTAGTTGTTTTATGTTGATACAAATTGTTGACCAAATAGATGTACAATCTATTTGGTCAAAACCTCGCAAGACGTTTTAAGTTCATTTGATTTTTATTTAAATAATGTTATTAAATTGCTGCGTTTTTTTATTTTAAAAAAATCACTGTTCTTATACAAACGTAAAATCAAAAAAAAAAAAAAACCTCAAATCCTTAAAACGTAAGTCTGGTTTTCCGTTTGTTGACGACACATTCCAGAATATTAAATTCTTTATTAAATGTTTTGTTTTAAAAAAAAAATAGTATGTACATGCATGTGAATAATTTCGAAAATATGCTATCTAGCTATTAAAACCATGTGAAGAAAAACGCCTGCAAATAGTAATATTTTTATTTTATCCGTAAATAGTTGGTTGAAAAAAAACAATTGCCTTTAAGTCTGCGGGTTCACACGGGGTAAGTAAAATATAAAAACGAATCGAGTTAATTGTTGCTGGGCTACGAGGTAACTTGATTCAACGACATTCCGATAAAAATATTTCTATAAGATCGAAATATAACGACAAATTCCGGCTTGGAAAAAAAAAAAAGGTTGATCTGTGTGAACAATTCTGGATTTATATCTAATCGCTTTGTGTGAATCGCTGGTATTATAATTTATACATTACTGCGGTTAACATTCTGTTAAAAACCTGTGTCTTTCTTTCCATAACAGGTACTGTGAAATAAACGAAAAGGCCTTTAAAATCAATTTCAGAGATTAAAAAACCACCTTGTTCACTATATATTTTTGAGATGACATTTTGAAGACGTTGTTGACATCATTGGCGTTTTACAATATTAATTTAATTTCTAACTATCCACACATTATCGAATTTTTTTTTTAATTATCTAATTTCTTAACTAATAACAATTAATATTAATATAGGTGGTTGGAAACTGTTTTCTAAATTGTCTCTATTTTTGTAAAATTTGAAAACAAATGTTTAACTTTTAATATACTTTTTCAATCAATCTTTTTCTCGATACCAATTTAAGGGGAAGGAATACGGCCGCATTTATGGACAAATATTGCGTTTTAGACCATTAAAATAGAGTAAAAATCATGCACAAATCATCGCCGCTCGCTCAGTTTCAATTTTAAAAATATATTTGAATTCTTTGGTTTCTTATCTGTGTTTACTAGAAGTCAGTTGTTCGTATTTCATTTAGTTAATTTAGTTTATATAATTAGTTAACCTCCTTTTTTTTAATACGAGTTTAATAAAAAAAAAATTGAGACATTGTTCCCTGCAAAATGTATAAAAGAAGTATACGAAATTAAATAATTTTTCAAAACAGAAATTGAAAGTATTTTTATTTTACTCTAGCTTATTGGTCTAAATTTATGAAAAAACAAATTGCTTTTAACCGTTTTAAAAATTAAAAGAAAACGTCAAAGAAGTTGTCACCGTAATGTCGACATCTAGAAATTTTATAATAATAGGTGTTTTACTTCTGAAACCGAATGTAAAGACCTGTGTTTTCGTTTGTTTTCCGCGAACGTTGATTTTCGCTACACGTATACGATACATGATATTATGTTGTCCGCGTTCCAAATGGAAATATAACTTATTAGTTATCGTGCTTAACCGGTAAATTACTTCTTTCAAAATACTTTAACGAAAGTTATAGGCGTTACCGATTTGCTGCGTTTCTACCCGAAACACAATACTCATTAATATTTTCATTAGATAACTTTGTAATAATATTAGGTAAATATATATTAATTTTTAAACTTCCTTTTATAGACCTTTTTACTTATAACATAGCCGTATTATAGTTGTATTGCTTAATTTTAATCTCAGGGGAGATCGTAAAGTTTTATACGTACTACGCTTACAATGCGAACGGCTAAGATATTTCCGTGTATATTATATACGCATATCGCGTTATATTAAACCTCTGAATCTGAATTATTAATAAATAAAAACCCAGTATTATATACCTAGTGTATACAGTGCGTGCAACCGCAGCATCGGCGTGAACGAATGGCGAGACGGATATGCTAAAAAGTAAAAACGTATAACTATTTATGCATAGCTACGTCACAATCATATTTTATCAAGACCGTTCGAATCTTCTTTTACCACCCTCCCTCCTTCTCGCCAGTCCTTATTCCCCTTTCAAAACTAGGTACACCCAACTACGTAATGTACTCAGATACACCCACTAAATATATTCTGTATTTTCTTTTGCTGTAACATTTTTTAGATTCTGAGCGCAGCGAGCAACGTATTGGTTTTACTTAATTGTTTACGCTCATGAACAATTTTTCTACATGAAATCTTACACGGATTTTCAAGTGTTGCGTCTTTTCCGAAAACATATTTTATCTAGTTATGATTCATTGTGGATATCATTTTTTGATTTCACTTGTGGTTTTCTTAATAATTAGGTAAAACCCTAGAAAAAATGTAGTAAGAAAAACGAGAATGTTCTTAAAAATAACGATTCCGTTATTTTAAATTGTAGATCAACAAATAGATTTTATAAGCGGTGATTTCTTTTCGTTTTTTTTTTTTTTTTCACAGCCTAGCGTAGACACTCTTTTTCAGCCGTAATCGTAAAAGTCAACCGACAGCAATGGTGTGTACTACATAGAGAAGGTAGGGTTTTTTACAATGTAAAATTTATAATATCGAAACCTCGGGTAAGTATGAGTATATTATCCCTTCGCCGATGCCGTGTCGTAAAAAACACCTTTCGATTCGACCTAATTTTGTTTTTTTTTTATTGCCCCCTCAAAAATAAAAAATATATTTATAGTGTATACCTATGAAACGTTTCTTCAAAAATAATCAATGGACTACCTGTAGATGCGTATGATATATTTTTTATGATACTTACATGATATTATTATGTACTATTATAACTGCGATAATAATTTTTGTACGAAAATAAGAATTCTATTCACATTTTGGAAATCGGTTAACATTGGTTTGTAAACATTTTAAAAAATATTTATTCATTTTTAACCAACAATTATAAGTCAGTTTTACGAGTTTCGTGAAAGTTTATGACATTTCGCTCGACTTTTGTTCTTTTTTTTAAAGTTATTCAATATATATTTGCGCAGCATTAAACTATTTATAATTGAAAACGTTTCTGAATAGAGTTTCGTTAGCTTTTTTTTTTTCCTCCGTGTTAACAAGATAGCAAAGAAATCAACAAAAGTTGTAAAACAAATTGTTCGTTTTTCCATTTATTAAAAAAAACTACAAGGAAAATCATAAAAAGACCTACCCAATGCACCGGCTAGATCATAAATGATACGAGAAATTTTTGTGTAATGTTTTAGATTGGACCAATATTTCTGGTAGAAAAGTTGTTTACAGATACAAAAAATAACAAACACATCAAATATATATAGTAATACCAATACATTTCTCGCTTCTGTTAGAATCTAAAAGAATACAACTACATAAATACTGTTAAATTTTTCCCACCTTTTTTTTTTTTCTTTTTTTTTTTTTTGCATCATATTGTTTCTCTTGTGTTATGTGCACCCTACTTAAGTACAACACGTTTGCAGAACACTATATCCCGAGGGTCGCTCGGTCATTGTGACAGGTCGACACTAATCCGCGGCGGATTCACCAGAGGCTCCGGGAAAACAATTTATCTTGAGTTTAAAAGAGGAGCGAGCGAGCAGCATACTCTACAGGGCACCGGGCGGAACATATAGTTTTAAATAATAAAATATATAAAAATAATATACAAATAAAAGGACAAACACAGGGGTCGAGGAGGTGAAAAAATATACTTTTACGAGAAACTTTTCACAATGTTTTGAATAATTAATGCCGGATGCGTTTTTCGTTTTTGTATTTTTTCTATTTAATATAGTTTTTCCACGACCGATTTATGATGTAAAATCGAAAATTTGTCTGCGACGTTCCAAACGCTACAAAAATACTATAATAATCTGTCACGACGCGACCGCGAAAAGCTTTCGTCTGCTTTTCGCTTTTCTCGTGAGAATCGTAATTTATTTATTAACAGCTACAGTATAATTAATTTTTGATGTTGTTTTCAATTAATTACGATGCGTTTCCTAACTTAGGAATGTTATTTATTTTATTAACTATTTTTAAAAACCTAACCCGTTATCGGGAAGTTAATTTTCCATGTTTGGATAGCCTTAATTTACTATAGTACTGGACTATTAGATCGTACCGTTTAAGGTCGAAATCAACGCTAAGCAGGTACACTATCGTTATCGTTATTATTTTTAAAATGATTTGATCGCAAAAATGCGCTGTTTAAATTTAAAAACATTTTTTTCGGCTATTGTTATTAATATATTCGTGTTATAAAAAATACTAATTGTTAAAACGACATTCTCTCCCTCTCCAAAGTCCAAAACTTGAGTCCCAATACCTAGCAAAATACATTTATAAATGCATTCGCGTCTGGTATTTTTGGCAGTCGGTATTCCCTCGTGGCGATTTTACCGCAGAAGTCATTGTGACATTTTTATTTTTTCAAATTTCAACAAAATCATCTTTATTGTGTAAAACTACGACCCTTAAGCCAAATTGGTCGTATCGAGAGACTTAAAACTACTATTACTACAACTACTTCAAAAAAAAAGTCTCTTCGTATGTTATGTATAGAACGTATAGTTTTGCTCGGTTGGATTTAGTGCCATTTTCTATAAACCGCAGGCTATGCGTTTTTGTGGACTCGTGAATACCTTTCTCTAAATTATTCTTTCGTCTATATGTATTGTACAGTAAATAATAAATAAAAAAACTTTTTGTTTTTTTAATGTTATAGGCAGGTACAATCCGCATGTTATAGATACCGTTTATTTAATATTGATAAATACACTAATAATAATATATTTGTTATTTTAATAATAAAATTATACAACTATTAATGAATTTATCCCGAGGACTTTGTTGTTTCTCGTTTGTATTTTTATTTGGTTGTATTTTATGTAGTATAACTACCGGAAACATTGTTTGTTTGCATAAACTTACGGATTATAAAAGAAAATTAAAAGTTTATGTATAATATATAAGTATAGTTTTGTGACAGAAAATTAATAATAATCAATACGGAGATAAAGTTCAAATATTAATATACACCGCGAGGGAAAATTTGTTTAACGAAAAACTTTTTATCCGCCCGCACACAACGTGGTTTATAATCGAATTCCCATCAATCATAAGTCCGCGACTCAAATTTATCTCCGGCACTCGTTTTTATGAAAACACGTAAACTGTTTTATATTCCGCAGTTCTGTCATTATGTTTTTTTTTTTTATTTTAAAAATAAAAAAGATGATACTGCTCATGGGTAAGCCACTGTTGCCGGAGGGTAATCGCAAATATGAGATACACAGATAAATGTGGTTTATATATTATATTGAACGATTTTTCAAAAAAAAAAAAACGATTCTAAGCGGGATAGTATATAATATTAGTTGTGTTGTTTTGCTTTGTTACCTTGGTAACCTTTGTCGATTACCAATCGGAAATCGACAAAAATCAAAAAATGCATAAACTATACAAAAATTAATTATTGAAAAAGATTTTTTATTTGATATTCAGCAAGATTTCTGTCAGAAAAGTTATTTATAAACAAAAAATGAAAAAATACACCATATAGTAAAATCGATACTTTCCTTACTACGCTCAAAATCTAAAAGAATATATTATCATATGTCTATGAAAACGTTTTTTTTTTCCGCGGTCAAGTCTGGAAACAATTTATTATTCTTTGTTTTTTTTTTTTTTTTTTTTTTTTAATTCCCCTCAACCGTAGTGTGTATACAATTATTATATATGTTCATTTGTCCGAAAAAATACATATATAAATAATAATACATTTCCAATAAGTCATTCGTAGGTATTATATATTTATTTCAAACTTTATCCGAAAATTTAGCGAAACGTAAGTTGTAGATTTTTCTTCCATGCCGAACCTCTTCTTTTTTTTTTTTTGTTTTACTCTTGGGAGTATTTCAACTCTATACATATAAGCCTCGAGACGTTTACAATTTACTATATGTATTTTCGGCCCATCCCGTAAACGGGTTTCTCGAATCGTGTTTTTAGTTCACAACTTCAAACTCTCGCCCAAAAACACTACACAAAAACTTATTTGTCGAATTGAAGTTTATTGTTATTATACGTACCCACCCTACCAATACCTTCGATGTTTATTATCATACTATTTACGGTATAATATTAATCGTTTTAAAAGAAAAAAATCGTTCAAATTATAGATGCCCGGGAGTAATACGTGATATCAAAAAAAAAAAAAAATAAATAAACATTCGATGATCACTACAGATGTTTACAATTCGGTTTTAATTCGTTATTATTTATATCACATAATTATTACATTCAACCTTGTTTTTTGTCTGCACACATTAAAATGGTCTAGATAGTTATACCTTCATAATTTCTGGATGATACACAAGAACCAATATTGTTATCTGGGATAAATAATTGAATCGTTTAGATTTTTTTTCAATCGTAATAATTTTTCTAATATCCGTTATAAATAATAGGTAAAATATTTAATTTACATTATTTACAGTAATAATAAATAGTACATATTATGGTTTAATGGATCATAATTATTAATAGTAATACTGTACGCATGACATTTTTGAAATCTAGATTTGTACCAAATTTGATCCACTTTCTTACGATGACAAAACTTTGCGGGACAGCAAGTATATCGCATAATAAAATACTCACTACTTATAACTATTTTATTTACTCGGATATTTTAAAACCCTAATATAATATTCGTATAGTACCTACCGTATACTCACGTGGAACTGTTTTAATTTTTCTTTCAGTTGGTATATCTCAGAGCCAAATAAAAAAAAGTTATTGAATCCGAATTGCATTTTAATAACACGCCGTACTTACGTTTTATTTTTAAAACGCTGTTTGGAATTGAAATATTTTAGCAAGTATACGGCATATCGCGATAAAATATAAACGCGACACATAAACAGCGGGCGAATCATCGTCATCTTCGGGACGTTTTTTCGTTGTTGACTAGTTATCGATATGCGAACTGTATAACTGATTTTTGTCGAACATTTAAAAAGGATGATAAAAAAAAAACAATAATAATTATCATAGTAGTTTAGTATACTAGTGTTAAAATAAAAAGAACAGTACGTAGGTAGGCATTAAAATATATCGCCACTTTTTCTTTTCGGCTGTGCGTTTGACATAAAAGTTTATCAAGCTCGTCGCATATCTGAACCCGTTTAAAAAGTTTTTCTCTACCGTTACTCGCTACCTATTTAATGAAGTTCGTTCATTTACTGCACTATAGAAATAGCCAGAGACTCGTTTCGTATGTATTCGTATCGATATTAATAATTTCCCTGAACGACTATTATTGTAATATACAAATCATACCGTTCGTTTATCTAGAAATTGCCTGGAAAATCGTCTATATAACCGCAAACGTCGATCTTTGTGTATTAATAATGGAATTTTTAAACACAACGAATATCTAAAATTCGTACATGAAATTTCGGAAAAGGAGAGGAACAAAAATGACGAATTTACACTAATGCATTAAAACTTATGCTATAATACATATATCAAACCGCGGGAAAATTAAAAGAGTTAATACGTTAATATCGTTTTATTACGAAAAAATCCAAAACTCCGAGACGATTTCAAATGGAATAGTAATAATAGTAAAAATCTACATAAATGAATACAATAAGTCAGATTCTGTAATAAACTATAAGCTGCAGAGTACCTATTATAATAGTAGGCTTACGAATGAAGCTGCATTTATTTTGTTATAGTATGTAGAAAAGAAGACTACGGTTTATGTATTGTGACTTTATGGACCACAGCCGATCAAAGAAGCGAAAAATGATATCGGAAAAATTCTACGTGTGGTACGTTCGTAAAAACAGATCGATCTGTGTAATATTTGTAAAAAAAAATGCATATAATATCGCTACTGTTTGGTGGCATTTTCCCGAATTATAAAGAAAACTATTCGGGAAATAAAAATCACCCCTCCAATACGCCAACTAAACGGCGTGTGTTACGAAAAACAAAGCCTGAAGTAAATGATCAGAACAAGATTTCTGCAGGTAAAAATAAGTGGTTTACAGATAGAAAAAAAGGTGCACGCATTATTGCTTCGTTCAAAAATTTAATTTTTTTGTTTATAGAGTACAGAACTGGACTTTAACTGACTATTTTGAAAATACACAATTATAATTGTACACTATATATATAATAAATACTCGTATATTAATTATGTCATCGTCTATTATACGTATTAATCAAATTTTAAAATCGAAAATGTTTGAAACGGATAAAAAATTAGTTTGCCGACATTAGTGTCTAAAATGGCGCAAACAAAGATAAAACTAAATAAAGTACTCGTTTAAACGATTTGACATTATTTTCCGAACGGACCGAGGACCGGTGATAACGGAGAGGCGATTTTCTAATGAGAAGTATAATCAGCGTTCAAAAAAGGGGGCGGAGAACCACTAAAAAATGTAAAATATCAAAAATAATAATAACAATAATAAAAAACCAAAGCTATCGAAAATATTCGGTTCCTTCCGATTCCGTCAGAGGTAATATGTTTATTGTATTGTATTAGGTCATAGGCATTATGCCATTTTTGTTTGGGTTTTGAAAGCGAACAAAAAAAATATATATACGTATACGTATAAAAAAAAACTAAACCGTTACAATTATTATTTATTTCGCTATTTCGGCGTCTTTTTTTTTCTTTTTTTTTTTTTTACTGGCTTCCGTATACATTATTAGGTTCGCCGTATATCAGCATTTATACATAGGAATAATAGAATACGTTTTACTATATTATAACCTACCTATCTACCTACCTCTGTAATATAAGGGAGCCCGCCGAGTTCCATTAAAAACCCACCGACTGAATATCGGTTCCCGCGATGTAATCGAATGGTACGAATAACGCTCACAATGAAGTCTATACATACGACATTTTCACTCTATTTTTCGTTTTACTCCTCCGCCAATACCCGTCGCCGTCGATGAAAAGAGAGTGCGAACGAGTCCATTTATGCCTTTTGCATGCGTCGTCGTGTGCACGCTTCACTTGTTCGCACCCCGAAATACTGAGCGTACTATATACCTATTGATGAAAATAATTTCTTTTTTTCACCTCCCTCCCCCCCCGTCACCCTAAAATCCCAAAAACGAATTTGTCAAAACGTTAATTTTATAAAATGTCAGTTATACAAACTATGTAGGTATTTATTATATTCACTGCAGAAAAGCGTACACGTCGAACACAATTATTGACTGTGGACATTTCAAGTAATATACTTTATGCGTAGTTACAAAGATAAAAGTTCAATTTGCGTACTTTTGTTTTATTATTAATTTGAATTTTTTATTACGAAATTTTAATCTAAACCTTCTAATCAGTGACGAGATTATTTTGAAGTAGGTATACACAAACTAAATTGAACATCGTTCAGTTCTAATTCCAATTTTCAATTATAACTTGTATACGGTTACCTAAATAATAAAACATATTCATTTGAACGCGTTAACTCGTTAATTTTTTGTTTTCAATTTACTTAATATACATTAATAATATAGTTGCCTTATTATTATTATACTCATTTACTCATTAACTTGCCCAGCCCTGATTATTGGTACTAACACTTTTTTATTTTTATTATTATTTTACTTTTATTATAATAACATTTAGTAGTTTTAAATAACTATAAGTTAGTACCTAGTTAGTTAGCTTGTTAGTTAATGGGTAGTTCTAGCATTATAAATAATAATTATTTTAAAGTTACATTTTCTTCTTCTTTTCCTTCGCCTTCATCGCAACTATTTGGGGTCGGCTACTCTCGTCCTAAACTTTCACTTGACCCGATCTCCCACCACACACCATTTCAGACTTTGTGACTTTTTGATAACTCTAAAAAATTATTTCTAAACGGGAAAAAAATACGTAACACTTAAATTATATCAAAATGATGATTTAATGCGAAATATATAATATGTATAAAAAAAAAAAAATCGATTCATATTGTATAATGTTCATTGTGTATCTTTTTAATTCTATAAAAATGTTTATAGAATATTCCGGTTGAATAAAACACGAATTTTACCCGTTTGAAACATTAATTCTTAAAAAAAAAAAAAAAACATCGCAACAAACTAATTTATATATTTCAGTATTCTATACATCATTTTTTTAAACAAATACAAATTCATCGTATTCTATTTTTTTTTTACACTTTCATATATATGTATATAAACAAATTAATATTATCTATATCAGCGATAATTATATCGCTCTTTTGTAACCTCAATATTGTTTGCGGTTGTTTTTTCCCTGCGCGTTGTAATTCGATACCTATATATTATATTATTTACTATGCACATTAATGGCAAGGTGGTCACTTTATTTTATACTTAATAATACGTTTGAAAATAATATCTGAACGCGTGTATTGGAATCGTTTTTTTTACACATTATTCGTTTCTCTCGTGTTTTTACGAATTAGTAGGTTCACAAAACAACGAACATTGAATATAATATTATAGATAAATCCCATGACTCGTTTTAAATGCGATTCTCGTGCGTCACAAAATTTAATGTATACATTTTTTGTTATTAAATCGTGTTCTTATAATTAACTTAACTAGCATGCACTGTTCTCGGTTGATAGAATATCACAAGACAATATGCATAAAGGACTTAATATTATAATAGATATATTTGCGATCTTGATTAATGATTTCCAAATATTATATAGTTTCGATAGATAATTTCTGAAATATATTTTAATATTTGTTTGTTTGTTCATATATTTCTGTCAGAAATCTTGCTTCAATCAAAAATTGTCTAAGAACGTTCGCGTAGCATGCTATTTGATCTGATTGGTGGTTGGTACCTACATTCAAGAAGATATTTTTTGAGTTTCTTTGTAGTTTTTTTAATAAATGGTAAAAACTAGCGACTTTTTATATGATTTTTGTTGATTTATTGGTTACCTTGGCAACAAGAGAAAAATACTACTAACAATACTAACAAAATAGCTGATACTGGGGATGAGAGCGGCCACTGTTGTAGGTGAGAAGTTGGGAATGTGGGATACATAAAGTTATTTTATTTATATCTATAAGCAACGATAAACCATTGCTGACGAAAGAAAATTCCGAGCGCAGTTGGGTAATACATAATTTGAAGTGCCGTAATTTTTTTTTGCGATTTTCGTTTAAATTTGTTTACGAAATATGAGTATACTGTCCATTTTTCAAGTCACTACAAATATTTTTAACTGAATTACAACAATTTCGTCTTCTAGTTTTTCCGAATCATTATAAAATCAAAAAAAAAAAAAAAACGATATGTGCCATAAGAAACTAGATGTATAATGAAACCAAAAACGGTTTCTTGTCATTTTTCGATTAAAGCACTTTTCCTAACAATAAAGTTTTCAGTATTATTGTAAAATAATGATATCGTAAAAATGTACGTTATTCCTATGTTTTTTCCTGATTATTATGAAAACTAATCGGAAAATCAAAAAAACGAACTGCATCATTAAAAACAAGATTAATAATTAAACAAAAAAGGTCTCTTTTCGTTTGGAGCCATATTTATGCTAAAAAACGTGGTAGGTACTTGTTAAAAATAACGAAATCGTGAAAAAAATCGAATTTTTCCTGGCTAATCGTTTTTATTTAAAAAATTGCCGTCAAAAATCAAAAAATGACCTCTTTAAAGTACAATCTATACAACTCGAGATACACGCAAAAATCGGAGCAAGTTTACTAGGACAAAACGTGTCCACAGACTAGAAGAAAGATAGAAAGAATAAAAAATAAACATCTGAGCAAAACCAATAGTTCCCTTGCAATGCTCGGAATCTAAAATTGTTTCTCATTCATAACGACCCATCGTTGCGAACGGATGTACATTGAACTACTCTATTCCAATTTTCTTCCTAAAAACAGCGGCACGTCCATCGGCATTATTAGCCTTTTTTCCCCCCTTTAATTCTGTTCATTTAAATTTTTACCGTGTATTTTCTCTAACAAATATTTTTTCGACATTTTCACTACCGTGCATAATATATTTCAATAAAACTCGTAAACGTATAAACCTATATTATAGACATTATTAATTATGTAAATAATCGAATAAATATATTGAATAAATTCCTATGTTTATACGGATAATATTTACCAAATAAATATAACTATAACACATGGTTAAAACTCCGGTAAACAAACTAAAACTAAAGTTTGTGTTTTGCATCAATTTTCTCAGAAACTTATATGTTTATTACCGCGTGACTACCTCTCATATAGTATATAATAATAATTGAAACTTTATTGTTACTATCATTTTTGGACATGCGTGTTTTTGGTACCTTACATGGTAATCAAATTTTAAGATTCTGAGTGTAGCGAAGAATGTATTGGTTTAACTAAGATGTTTTTTTTTTTATATATATATACTGTTTACAAAAATTCTGCCAGAAGCTTACTTAAGATGTATGTAATGTAATTTTTCGATTTTCTCACAAGTTTTTCCTTTAAATAAGAAAAACGGGAAAATAGGTACAATATTAAACAAATATTATATTACGATAATATGACATATATATTGTTGACAAAGCATCACTATCAACTGACCTCCGCTCAGAATTGTTTTTTCGTAACTAATGGCTTATCGTTACTTATAGATGTACATTCAATTCCCTTCTGTATCCTACCTTCCCAACTTCCCACCTACAACACTGTCTGTACCCACGTGCGAAGTATGTCCGTCTTTTTTATACATTATATTTACTATTGATAAAAAGAGCCAGAAGGTGGGAACTATTACTCACTCTTATAGGTGGAAAGGGGGGGGGAATGGGACACATAAAGTTATTTAATGTAAACCTGTAACCAATGATAAACTATTGATAACGAAAAAGATTCGGATTGAAGTTCGGTTTAAAATGTTTTAAAAGGCCATAATATTTATTATTTTTGTCAAAATTTGATTTAAAACTCTAATTAAAATAAAATAAATGATACTTTACAATGTTTGTATTATTTTTTTTTTTTTTTTTTATCACTATATACGGCTTATAATGAACTTCCGTCTAATTTTCAAACATTTCTAACAGTTTATTTACAGACTACCTACAAAATAAAAATTACGTAAAAAAAACTAGCAAAATTTAAATGTCTATAAATAGCAGCTCAAATATTTCGAAAGTTTTACCGCGTCTGTAAAAACATATTTAAGTTTTCTGTTAAAATATAAGTCTTTACGAATATTTTTAACTGAATTATTACGAATATTACAAAAACAAAATTCAAAGTAATAAAAGCATTATTATTTTTTTATAAAATCTTTCTTCTTTTTTTTTCTTTTTCGGCAATGCTAAATTATTAATAAAACTACAACGAAATTGAAAAATGAGCAACTTACTGAAGAACTAGATTAATAATGCAATAAAAATGTCTCTGTCGTTTATCTATAAGAGCAATATGTCTGATAAAAAAAAAAAAAAAAAAAACGTGACAATTAAAACCATAAACCACCCAGTTTACGAATAAAATTTAAAAAAATAAAATGGTATAATTTTACTAAAAATAGAACATAATACAATAACATAACATAATATAATCTGGCGATAAGTCTGCAAAGAAGAAACAAAATAATTTATGCTTTAAATGCCGTAAGCCGTTAGTCATGAGCTGTATAGGCATGACTCACGGCGACTGCTGATACATCGTCTCTAAAGCATTTCGCAATTTCTCATTAGTCACGATTGGACAATCCTCTCCCCCTCCCATAATTAAGGATTATATTTATTTATTTATTTTTTTTTTTTGTTAACTCGTCTGAATCAAATAATGTCAAAAGTAAGTAAGCAATTAAAATAAGTAATTATAGGTTTTTCTAGTGATGGTGCTAAGGTTACGTAATTTCAACACATTTAATTCAGGTGCGTAATTGGAGTGGCAAGTTGTTTGGTCGCGTCCCTTACTTTTAATGTAGTCCCAATTAGCCCGCTGAATTATCGCACCATTATTTATGTAATTAAAATTGAACTGTATATTTACGTTATTGGTATTTTAATGTCAATCGCGCTATTAATTAAACCAAGTGAACAATAATGTGTATAAATTTATCTATAATCGTTGCTTATCATACTGGACCACATATGTTGTAATTCTTACAATCTTAGTTCATGGCGCAAACAATATATACTAAACTTAAAAATCGCCGGTATCCACTTATTTAAAATATATTTTTTTTCTTTTTTTTTTCAGAGCATTTTACTTGAGCAAAAATGATAAAGTATATAGCACAATTTATAAATGTAAATATAAAGTGCTTTTCGTTTCTTTTTCTTTTTACTGCGTTTTTCTTTTTTTCATCTTTTTCGTACTTGTTATGCGTTACTTAATGGTTTTCACAGTTAAAGATAATCAATTATTTATTATCTTTTAGTTTTTAAGTTGTTTTTTACTATTTAGGTCCGTGATCAATGAACAAAATTAAAAGCTTGATAATGTACATAGGTATGATATCTATTACTTCAAGGACTGAATAAATTTCTAAATGAACAGCTTAAAACACACGAAAATAAAACATAAATGACACCCTTGATTAAATAATGATGAAATTATTGAACGGGTTTTTTCAACCAATTACAAAATACGAGTAATATTATACAACCGTGTCTTCAACGACATCAAACAAAATGTTTTTTAATTGTATAAAATCTAAAATACCGAACTGGAATACATTGGATACAAACTATACTATAAGACTTAGAAAAACAAAATATCAGGTTTAAATATCATGTTATGATATTTAATAATATGGACACAAAATTTTCAATATGCCAATAAATTCTACAAAAAAAAGTGTAAAGAAAATAATTTCGTCAATTCGAATCCAATGTGTATAAGTTATTGAATTTACGTATATTTTTACTATTTTTTCCGAAAATAAAAAACACATTGCAGATTTTACAAAACCTATTTATTTTCGAAATAAATTGTTAAAATATGTAATAATAATAATTCACAACTATCTGAAATCACACGCAAAATTACATAATAAATAATAATTCAACATTATTATTTTATAAAAATAAATGTTATCATAGAGGTTGTGCGTACATTGAACTACGAAGTCAGGTCGTTCACTCGCCACGTGCACCTTGAACCGTGTTTAAGTAATTAAAAAAAACTAATAAAAATTATTATTATAATAAATATTCCTCGGTCATTGCCGCGAAAACCATTCGAAATGTCGAGTATACTATGGACCCCTGTCACCATCCGCCGTGCGCGCCGGTGGACTATCGTTTAGCGTGCGATTTATTATTTTCTGCCCGAGAACGAGTTTTCCTGACCAAAACACTGGTCTCCGATCTAATATAGGTATTTTATGTATGAGCTTTCTTATGACGAATGACGTCCAATTGCCGTGCCGAATTTGCCGGATCGTTGATTTTAGTTTCTGAGCGCAGCGAATAATTTAATGGTTTTACTAGTTGTTACGGTTTTTTTTCTGTATGTGAACGACTTTTCTTCCAGAAATCTTGCTCCGAACATCAAATGTAGCATCTTTTCCAAAAGACATATTTATTCTAGTTGTTTCATTGAGAAAGGCATTTTTTGATATTCCTTATAGTGTTCTAAATAATTAAGAATAACCTCTGGACCAAATGAGTTCAAACTCGAGAATTAAGCCGTATTGTAGGCGGATCGAGGTAGTAAATGTTGGTTTAAATTTTCAATGTAAATTTAACCAGGTTTTTGCGGGACAAAGGTGTTTTTTTTTTAACTTTGGACACTTCTACATGGGTATGTAATTTTGTGTACAAATGTACATTTGACTTTAGTATAACGGATCTGTTTTGTTTGTGGGAGAGCGTTTCGTTTTCCAAAAAAAAAAAGTGGAGAAATTCTACTCTAAAATAACGCAGCTCTGCCACTATTCGCGGGTGTTTTTTTTTTTTTTTTTTTTTGTAATAAATAATTTCTCTTGCATAGTTAACTGCAAATCTATATACGTTAATAAATAGGTGTTCTTTCGTTTATTATTATCGTTTTTGTTACGCGGCACGCGTTGTTTTTATATTTGCAATACTATGCACAGTTGAGCTGATGACCGCAACCGCCGTATAAACATCGTTTGACGGTCGTGCGTACGTTGCCAGACTGATAAAATAACACAACACATTATTATTATTGTAATGGCCGTGTGCCGCGGACAGACGTCCTGTACGCGAAGTTGTTGTTGTTGGTTTACGAAGTTAAGGAGACCAGTATAACCTATTTTTAAAAGCAATAACTAGACGTTTTATGCGAAGTGTACACACGCTGACTGCGAGTCGTGTTCAATGCATGCGATGCGAGTCGTAAACGAACGTTATTTTTTATTTTTATTTTTTTTTTTTTTAGTGTGTGCGAGTTTGCAATCCGTCAACGCCTCGTATACTCTCTGCCCACTCGCACCACGCACATGTCAATATAATAAATAATAATTCTTATAATATATCTATTTAAAAAATAAAACAACTAACAGTTAATAATAATAATAGTTTTCTCTCCGTGAATGTGATTTTCATCTTTCTCGCGGTTTTGCAGTTCTTTCAATTTCGAAAACTGACGGCGCTCATCGAATTCACGACGTCGTCGTTCACGCCGTTTAAACTTGACGTGATTAATAATATTTGAAAAGCACACACGGCGAAACGGGATCTTTGACATTTACGTGTTCGAGATAATCTCGAAAATAAAAAAAAATTAGAATAGGCGTATTTCCAAAAATGTCGAATTCGTCGTTTTAATCGAACAGTCCGCCTAGACGTGAAAATATTCGAAAAATATGAAAATATCGTCTTGAAACCGAAACTAATGGTTGCAAATTTGCATAAATCATTCGTATAATTTTATGTTGAAAATCGGTTCCCCGAAATACATAATATTTTGTACCGTAAATTTAAGCAGAGTTTCATCACTATATTATTGAATTTTTCACCAGCTTACTTGCCGTTAACATGTTTTTTTTCCTTTGAAAAATGATAAGGAGTGTTTAGCTTATATTAAAGTTGTATACTAAAAAAAAAAATATTTCGAGATTTTTGATTACACACTAACAAGTGGTGGGAGGGGAATTGAAAGTTTAAACCTTCTAAAAGGCACATTCTTGATATCGATTTTATTTAAATAAACTCCGCTATTTTCTGTGAAAACAAAAATCAAAGGATAAAAAAATGATTAGGGAGCGGATTAAAAGGGTACATGCACTGTAGTGGTCTCTATTTTCTGAGAAAATCCATCAAAAAATCATGACTACGGATGTTCAATAATTTTCTGTTCTCATATAATTTAGGAATAACTTTTGAGGATCCTTTTTGTACCTTATTTTAATTGCTGCACCAAGTTTAAAAAATGTTTATAGGGTACAAGTACTTGGAGTAAAATCGCATGAATCTAAAAATCTAAACTGACAGAAATTATTATGTTATTGTGTATATATTCTCGTTGTTTCTGAGTTTCCTGCGTCTCTGCACTAGCTAAAGAACATTGGTTAATCTTCCCCAAAGTTGATGATTGAAACGAGATTTCTTGTCGAAAACTGTGAAAAATAAAAACCAAACGTCGTAGTAGACTGATAACTCGCTCGTCAAATTATTAAAAAAAAAAAAAAAAAAAAAAATGATAACAATTAAACGGTAGCACATGTCCGGATACGTCGATGACCTCGCCCCTGAATAATAATTTATAGTACACGCATACACCATAAAGGCGATCATGTGAAACAAAAATATCTAAGTACATTAGGAACGTTAGCTACTATACATAATATTATTATTCGTTAGTTAGTGCGCCTTTCGGAAAAAGTAATCGCCCGTAACGCTAATGGCGTATTAGTGTAACGCGGACGAAATATGTCACAAAGTTGATAATTTATATTCATTGTTGTTGCGCATACGTTGTTGTAAATAATAATAATAATATTATAAACCTGCGGTACACGTTATTTATAGTATTATCCGTCTGCCCTCCCCCCCCTCGCTTGTTTAACGTCCGATTATTTTTAAGCGGGTTTTCGTTTTAATTCTGTGCAAGGCGATTGTTCTATCCGGTCATTATTTCGTATGATGTACACGAAGACGTTGAGTAAATTTAATTTTGATAGTTTCATTTGACAATTGCGTATTATGATGGAATTGCACAGGGGTAAAGAGATTATTAACCGCGTACAGCAGCGTTCCAGAACTCAACACAATATAACAGTGAGTATAGGAAAAACTTGTTGAAGATATAATACTACGTACCGATTGAGTGAAATCAGTGGACAGTGAACTGCGCGATCGAAGAGAAAAATTATAGAATCATTTAAAATGCGACGGTGACATGACGTTACTGTTAGGCGTTCAAGATTTTGTCCTGGTGCAACAGACATTAAACACAAAAATTAATGAAACGGACAATTTTTTTTTATCGAATTATATAAAAAAAAAAAAAAAATATAAGAATGGCCAAAAATATAGTTTGTCGGAGTTGAAGGTTACGCAGAAGATACAACTCAAAGAGAAACACAAGGAATGGAATGTCTTAAGGGCATTTGAATGAGATGAGTTGTCGGATTTTGAGTTTTGACATACCGTGGAAATCTGCAGTCAACCAATCGAAATCTTCATGGACGATAGAGTTGGTCCGTGATAAAGCAATCAAACGATCTGAATTCTCAAACGAAGCAATACTTCAACGCACACTTATTATCCAATGACCGTTTGACGAGTTTTTCGATTGTCTATACCTATACTATGATTATCTTTGTATTTTTAAGATCAATACGGGCTACCCCTTGTACAACACCGCTCTCGAAAACCGTCCGTTTAAATAATATCGATTTGTTTTCTTTTTCTGTTGAACATTTTGATTTATCGATGTCCTTTTGAACAGATCAGTTATATATATATATAAACTATATATAATAATTTATTGTTTACATCGGAGTTCCGGTACGCAGAGAATAAATATTTATTTTTCTCTTCCTCCGTGTATATGATGATGAATTCTGGCGGCAAGAAACTCCGTATAGATCCAATATAATAATTATATTATATACTAATTAAATTTAGTTTACAATGGAACAACAATAAAATATTATTATATTTATATTATATTACTTAGAAGTGTGTTTGGACCAAAAATAACCCAAAAACCTTCGTGCACAGACGTGTTGTTCTGTTGAAAGTAATGGTTGAATAAATACAAATTATATTTTTTTTAAAAAAAAAAAAACCCCCAATATTCCGATAGATATCGGATGCGTATACTTGTGTTGTTACTAAAGCGATGTGGCGGAAACACCCAGATTATGAATTTTCGGTTTTAAAATCCGCGATATTAAGATACAGGTAATGTTTTTTTTTTCTATTTTCTATTTGTTCCGTGCATTCTACCAATTTACTAGTACGGGCGATAGTATTGATTCAGGAAAAAAAAAAAATAATAAAAGCGTCCTAATTCAGCGTTATGATATATGTTTAAGAAACTCGAATTTACGATAAATTTCGAATACCTGAACGTTGAGACCAGTCCGGATATTCCCCATCGTCACAATAAACGCGTACGATTCTATCGAACGCTCATATTTTAAAGCATATGCATATTATGGTTATTATTGTTATTATTATTATTATTATTTTTTTTTTTTTTTTTAGTTTATTTATTGCACGTTATACGAATTAACACGCAAATGACAGGACTATAATAAAAGAACATTGCACAAGTTAAATTTAAAACTTATTGGAATTGTTTTACAACACAAGTTTTTTTTCTCCCGTGGAATTTCGATTATTTCTTCGTGCGCGTGATATTATAGGCGACGAGCTTCGTAATATTCAGCGAGAATAATTCGACAAAGACGTTTTGTGTTAATGTTTTAATATTGTGCTTACTTAAAATCCAACCGCTACGGTACAGATTTTAAAATTAAATTACGTTCTCATTTTGTGCTATTGCGCGTAATAATATAATTAATAATTATAATGGCGAATCCCCGAGAGAGCGAGAGAGAGAGTAATTTTTTTTATCCAGTAAAAACGCATTTTAATAGGTAACAGTGATTTTAAAAGAACATAGTAATCATAATAATAAAAAAAAATGTTTGGTTAGTATTATTGTAAAAAAAACTTTTACCCGCAGAATATTGGGAAGTTATAAATTATATGATTATCTGTTAGTATTGTATATACTTTTTTATGTTCTATACGTTTATACAGGGTGATTTTTTTTTTTAACATAAACCAGCAATTATCTGAGAGGATTTTAAGTGAATTTGATTTCTGTTTTTTCTAATCATTATGAAATCGTTTAAGCTTTATTTTGAAGACATTTTTAATTTTTTACTTCATGTTCCTTGAATAAGTACATACTTTTGATTTTCAAATAGGAACCCCCCTTTTGAACGCAGATTTGAATAAAGAATATTTTTCTAAAAATTTTGATATGCATCACACTAATATCAGATACCGTTTATGAATTAACAGTTTAAAGTTAAAACCAGAGGCGTAGAGAATGGTCACAAATAGACCCTGTATATCTATTTAAAAAATAAACCATCATCAATCATACTTATATTATTCTACTTGTATTATATTAGAACACTTCTATACTTTCGCGTGAATCAAGAGAGTTTTTGAAGAAAATGCAGTAGACATGTTTGTGTTACTTTTTATCAGACACGCTACGAAGAACTTTAAACACCGCCTCCCCTCCTAAGAAAAAAAAATATCACCTGAATGTGCACGGTGTTTTTGTTTGTTAGTATTTATATCATCATTCACAGTATTAACGAATATATTGCAACCGATACCGAACATCATTTTTTTGTTTTTCATGCCCCCCCCCCATAAAGCATTGATTTATCATAGATAACGTAACCAAATTATAGTTTACTATCCATCATTGTATTATCTACATGAGAAATTAAGAATTTCCATAGAAAAAACGAGAAATATTTCTCATTTTCTTCACAGGCGCCCTGTATTTTTGATTACCACAGGTTGATATTTGCTCGAAACGTAATCTTATTTTAGTTAACTTAGTATTTGCGTAATCTGTATTTGCGAAAAAACGATACGCAGTTTTTGTTATCATTTTACTAGAAAAACTAATAATTTTTTTACCGCATGCTTGATGATACATTTGCATTTGCATGTTTGTATCTGAATTACATTTTGTTGTTAAATCACACCAAAAACATAAAATCGATGTATGGTAAAAACACACCAATATAATTCCTAACAAGTTGATTAGCGTGTACACAGACTGCAGCTGTATAGTACGTGTGAAATAGAGGGCATGCGTGTCGAACAACTTTAATAATAATATAGGTGCACACTGCAACACTTGTGTTTTCCAAAACCGTGCAAAACGTGTTGTACCCGTGGACGGCCCACCGGCAACGGTGGGAAATTCTACTGTTTTTAACTTTAATTAACTTACTTTTTTTTTTAATTTTAACTCATAATATAGATTGCAAAATTAACAAGTATGTAAAGCGTTTTGAGAAACGAATTTCGCCGCCGATGATTTTTAGTGATAAAATCGTATTGTAAAAAAATACCTTTAAAAGAAAATAGCAACAAAAGTTGTAAATGAAAAAATGTTATTAAAAACGGAACTTCGTAGTATTTTCTATGCGTTGTACGAAATAACAATTTAAAAATAATATTGGTTGGTGAAGACGACTTCTTTTATATTAAGTTAAAACTTAGGTATTGATGTTTTGTATTTTGTTAACTTTATAAATTAATTGCTAAAACAATAACTTGGTTAAAAGTTAAAATTGTCAATTTATTATTATACAAAAGGCAATGTATGTATACAGTTATTGTGGTATATAAATTGTATAGATTGTTAAATACTACTCGGCCGATTTCGCCGGAAATTTCGCTGTTTGTTTTTATTATAATACCCGGAGTGGTTCGAATGGGACTTTCGACCACTAAATCGAGGCTCCCGTAGAAAATCTATGATTAACATAAGAACTTTTTATTTCTTGTATCCGTTAGAAAAACGTGTCCGTTCATTTGTATTGTATTTCGGACAAAACGTGCGTGTTACACGGGTTACATTCTGTACCTTTGTGTGTACTAAATTGGTGTTCATGAAAAATGACTGGGTGCGCATCATAGCCATTCGGAATTTAACTTTAAATTATCGGTTTAGAGGGGACACCGATGGGCGGGGTCTTTCGTCCCGTACGTCCTTGTCTTCTATTACTTATACCAGTGTAACTATTAAGTTATAAAATTCACAGAGATCCGATAATACTATTATCTATATATATAATACGCGATATAAATATTGTATCTTCCGTCCGTCCGTCCGCCGGTTTGATAAACGTCCGAAACCGAATCCGTTTATTTATTTATCGTCTCCCCCGTACCGTATAGATTATAGATACTCGCGCCAATATTCGACAGCCGTAAAATTATTAACGGTCCGTAATATTATTATCGACGTTGCAGCCGTGTTGTTTTCCGCACTGATAAAATAGTATTTTATCGCCGAGTGCGAAGTATATCATTATTGTTGTTGTTGGACGCCTACAGCAATTATTATCATCCGAATTTGAAGTTAAATAAATTAATGCAATCTTACTAAACATATTATAATGTAGTAAAACCCCATCGAAATATCCAAGGTGATTTTTAAAACATGTTCAGCATATACATTTTTTTTTTTTTGTTAAATTATGCATAAATTCGAATTCTGAATTTCGAAATTGTCAAGTGCTGCGAAAGACGATATTTTTTAAAAATTGTTCTCGACATTTAATTATCACGTGGATTCCCCTAACCTATTAGACGGTATCAACTTTAGACTGCCTTTCCGTCAACCGAGAAGAAATTCTACTCCCTTTTACTCGCCTCTTTCCACCACCAACTATTTATCTAATTCTTCTATTCGCCGTCTAATACGTTTGGCCAATGAAGACCCTAACTTTGACTACTGAGCACTATTTAAATAATATTCAACTGGCTCTGTAACTTAGATATTTGTTTTCATATTACTTGTACTTACTATGTTTTGGGTACCCAACCCGTTTTATAATTGAAAAACGTCAACATTTTCAGAATAATCATCTGATTGCCAATTTGCATTAAAACATGTAGGTTCTCATTTGAAAAACCAAAGTTGGTTTCCCCACGTTAAACTTTTTTATTTTGTTTTAAAAATTCTAAATGTATGCAAATATCGTCTTTAACTACACTAACTTAAACATAACAAAAATAAAAATTTAATCGCATAGTGTAACCATGCATATGCGGTGACATGCTTAAAAAGTTATCCTTTCGTAGCGGATAAACGGTTGATACGATTAATTTTTTTTTTTTGTCAACAATTATCAATGAACGATAAAAAAAATACAATAATTTCAGGAAGTGCATAAAGTATAAATGAGTTATAATGTATAAGAAAAGATGAAGAAAAAAATTTTAAGGAATATACACACAATTTGTATACCTACACACTTACTATAGGTTTAGAAATTTGGGTTTATATAATATTTTCATGAACGATAAATAAGTATATATATATATATATATAGGTATATTGCAATTTTGAAACTGGAACTTTTGTTATTCGCATTGTATCTACGCGTTTTTACCAATAAACATTTTAATCTGGGTAGTTTATATGCATGTATAGTTTTCCCCCAGTAGGTATTCAAATTACGTAGAGTGCATAGTAATTCCTATATTTGATTAATGCGTTGGTCCGACGGTCTCCGCGGTTTTCAGCTCGCCTATATATTGGCTTACAATTTACAAATCCGATTGAACTCTTTGCACAGTATACCCAACAAACGAATAGGATTATTTTTGATATTAGGACAACGTGCTCGTTGTCCGGCCGTCGTGATTCAGTTTCGCGTGTCGCGTTATTCATATGCACCTTTCGAACCTCTCGCGAAAATTAATTTCGGTAAGACGTCTAACGGTAAATTACAAAAAATAAAAAAAGCCAAAAAGGCTGTCCCGACGATGGCAAATTTGACGTGAACCACAATTTCGGTTCGTTAAGATTTAGAGAGCCTAAATATTATAACGTAATAAAGTGGCCAAAACTGATATAGCCGCCATATTTCGTCCAATCTTTTGGCACCGTTTTTTATATTTGACATTGAATTATTATAAAATGTATACTGTACATTATTGTACAATTTCATTACGATACTATATTGTATATTATAGAATATATAATTCTGTATAAAACAAAATATAATCATTTTATAAGCATATTCAATTTCAAATATAAAAACGGTGGGATAAAATTGGGAGAAAAATGGCTGCTTAATTGGCCATTCCTTTAATTATCTGGTTTACCTATATTCATACGTATATAGCAGGGAATAATAATCTCCTTTTCCGTGGTCCCCATGCGGCTATACAGGGTGACCAATCATCGAGACACATATCTCGGGAATTATTAAATCGGAATTTTTTTTTTTTAGACAATTTTAAGGAACGCAGGAACTGACTCTAAAATATTACATTATACCGTTATTATTTTTCGTCGTCTTCGTGCTCGGGTTAAGGAACCATCACAAAACATTAAATTATCTAAAATTGTGTTAACAGATTAAATTTTTGTTTTAATACACATGTTGTGAATAAAGAGGACTTGGTAGAGAGTATAGTTGAACATCATATTTCGTGTAACGACGTGACATTGATTATTGTGTAATCCTATTGCCGGTGTACGCAGGTGTATATTATTATTGTGACCGGATATAGTGTGTCTTGATGGGGTCGAAAGAACGCGATGAACAAGTTGCATAAATTATAATAATGTGAGATATACATATATATATAATCGAGACGTTTTTATTTCCCCCCCCCTTAATGTACATTAACCCGTTTTTGTTTAAAACTGTTACAAAGTGGTAAAGTTTAACGCGAAACATTTATTTCTTTTCAAGATCCTATATCATTAATTTTCCATAAAAAAATAAATAAAAATTAGTTTTAGTCAATCATATACACATACATAACCTAATTTAACCCGGCACATACATATATAGTTACTGTCGGGTTATGCTTACCTATATTGCGATTTGATAATTTAACTTTTCAAACGTAAAACTGGGTACTATAATATAATACGCACAAGTGTTCGTGTAACTCTGATCGTGTTTCTCATATTTGTAAACTATTATTTAATTTGGACTTTTATTTTAAAACAAAACAAAATTCTAGATTAGTTAGTCTAATACAGTTCAGAGTTGAGAAGTTCCAATTAGAATATTAAATATCACTATCGTCAAAATATAAATCTGACATAATGAATTTTCATGGATCGAGAAAGGAAGAAAGTAAATAATGACAATTTTTTTATTACTTTTTTTCTTTTTTAATAATCTTATTTGATGATTTACTATTGATTTTTATATCATTATAATTTTTTTTTTTTTTTTTTTTTTTTTCATTTTGTTTGCCTATTATTTAATTTAAATTTATATATCGAATCATTAATTCGGATCTAATCCATCAATTCGAATAGTAATCCGAATTTCGGATCGAACCGGATTAAGTGTTCGACACTAATTTCAATCGGTCTCGTCCGTGGGTTACGTGTACACTACCCAATAAATAACTGCGACCAGTTAAAACAATATGTACATATATATAAACACTACGATGGGATATTATTGTACGATTGTGTGATGTGTATTATTTTATTAGAAAGACGTCAAGTCGTTTGTGTCGCACAAAACTTCGTGATGTACAATGCTTTAACTATATAACTCATCATCTTCTCCCCCGCCTCCCGCCGACATACTAATTAAATTAGCGTACTCGAGTTCCTGTCAGCAATCACATAACTTATATAATATTGTATTGTATACACTCGTACAAAGTCCACTTGACTTCGGCGTTGACGACAATGGCCGTGATCGGTGCGGATTTCATTTTCAATAATGCGCGTTTGGCGGTTAAACTTCTATAGTATAAGTGTATAATATCCGGCGACTGAACAGCGAAAAACAAAATTTACGACTGTGTTTTTAAACAAATAACATAGCGACGTCATGAAGTTTGAAGTCAGTCGAAATCAAAATCAAAATTATTTCAACACCATAATTTATTTAAACTATAATGGACCTGTTTATGGAATTTTTAAATACAAGTTGTCATTTGAAAATCAAAATTATGTAGTCTATTCACCTCTCCGGTTAAATTAAAAAGTGTAAAAATTTAGAGCTGCTTGTTTCTTAAATTTTCAAAAATGTATTCTGAATAAACGCAATACTTTTTCAAATTATCTAATGTGGACACTTTAATTGAACACCCTATACATATAACAGTAGTGTAAAACCAATATGCGTGCGTTTCCACGCTCCACTCGGAATCTTAAAAACAAAAATGAAAAAATATAAAAAAAACTTTGTCGTACACTCTAAATTAAGTCTCTCTCCTGGTCGTTCAAAGTTCTCAATGAAGTTTTCTTGATGCTGTGTACTAGAAAAATGCACCTATACATATTGTATAACTTTATATTATGTATTCAATTAAAACGCGGTAGTTCTTCGCGGTTTCGGGTGGTATTCCACCGCAAAAAGGATTCAAATCAATACAAATATAGACTTTTATATATGGTAGTAAGTTTTCTCCGATGTTATTTGCCCGTTTATGATATCCGAATAATGCAATTACGAAAAAAAGTTTTCAAAATTTGTTTTCGAATTCTCTCCGTCTATATATTTTATAACATACCGTATTTTATCTCCTGTATAACAATATAATGTTCTTTATATACCATCTTTACGTTTTCCACGAGTATTTTTTTCCCTTGCTATTTGGCTTTGTCCCAGTATAATAGGGTCAACGCAATATTCTTTATTGCCTCTCCGGTAGTCGAAGCTCATCTCGTAATCGTCAGTAACTTTTATTTATATATTATTATTTATTTATATTTACCATATTGGAAGTATTGCATGACGACGCGATAGTACTTATTTTTTTTTTTTTTTTTAATATTCTAACGAGAAATGTAACATTATATTAAAAAACACGGATAATGCTGATTTGTGTGTCATTTTTTTAAGAGACAAGTTTGAAGAGAATAGATATTTAGATTAATTTAATTTATATCCGTATGCAACGATAAACCATTACGATACCTAACAAAAAACGATTCTGAGCCGAGTATTATTTGTCGTATTTGTTCCCTTATTACTATCAAGGTAACTCAGAATCAACAAAAATCGAATAGACAATTGCCAGTTTTTCCAATAAATTCAGAAAAATCAAAAAAAGATCTCTTCAATTAGATAAAAAAACTAGTTAAACCAACTAGATAAAAAATCCTACAAAAAAGTTTCTAGAAAGCTGATGATAGAAAATTTGTTTACAGATATATAAAAAAAAAATGAATTTTCAATTTTTTCATCATAAGATCTTTTTGCTTATTTTTACATAATTTTCGCGAAAATATAACTTCTATAATTTGATTATATTAGCTATTACTATATTAATATTTCCAAAACAATTAGTAAAATCTTCGTAAAAATAACTCTGTGACTGATTAGATAATTATCGGAGTCATATAATTAACAAATTCAGTTGACATGTTGGAAGTTTATTTTCATTGTACACATATATGATAGCACCCAATAGATTTGTTTTTAGTAAAAATGTTCCAACTAAATGTATTACAGTTGTAAATTCCTTTTTTTAAACTATGTATGTAATGTTTTTTAGGCTCCTTTATTTCGCTACTAAATCCGAAACCTATAGTTATGATATATTTATATTTAAAGTACTTATAAAATCGTTTGGACTATATAAAATATAAAGGCTCGTAATAAAAAATTATATTCTATCGGACGTGCAATGTATTCTGAGTATTATTTTTGCAGTTATATTTTTAATATCTAACTTTGAGTTGTGTTTTGTTTTCAGAAAAATGTGTAAAACGTCAAAGCGAGTTTGTACAACGAGATGACAAAAACGTCCCGTCGGTAACTATATCATGGAAACAGGGTACAAATCGCCGTTCGTTAAGCCTCTGGTATTGGCTTTGCTGTTCCTAGTATCGAGCTGTTATTGCGCGTTTAAAAATGGAAGTCTGGCTGACTTACGTTTCACCAAAGACCATTACAATGCAACAATTCCAGAAAACGCGCTTTTCAAAACATACGTCCGAACGGAAGAAAAAATGGGTATTTATTGTGCGGACGACGACGTCGTCATCCGCTATAAGATAGCATCCCAACAAAAGATCAAATTCTTCAAGGTCGAAGAGAAAAAAGTCGGAAACTTTTGGTTCCTGTTGGTCCGGACGAAGACCGATTACGACGTCCTGAACCGGGAACGCCAAGACGAATATGTGTTGGAAGTGAAGGCGACCGTCACTTCGTCCATGGAAAAGCCGAAAGACAGCAAAAAAAGAAATAGTGTTTCGTTAGAGCTCCACGCTACCGTGCGCATATCGGTCCTCGACACCAACGACCTAAGCCCCCTGTTCTACCCGGTCGTGTACGAACAGACCATACCCGAAGACGCGCCGCTGCATTCCAGCGTGTTAAAAGTGTCGGCCGAAGACGCGGACGTCGGAATGAACGGCGAAATTTACTACAGTTTCAAGGAAAAGACCGATCAGTTCGCCATGCATCCTAGAACCGGTGTCGTGACGATCACTAGACTGTTGAAATACGATGAGAGAAGAACGTACGACTTCGTGGTCGAAGCCCGGGACCGCGGCATCCGAGGGCGGTCCAAGCCAAGCACCGCCAAAGTGAAATTCAACATACAGCAAGTAAACATATACGATCCCGAAATTGACGTACAACATTTGCCGCACGTGGTCGAGGAGTCCAACTGCGACATATACGCCATTGTCAAGATCACGGACCGGGATTCGGGTTTGAACGGCGTCGTGAAAAGTCTGGAAATAATGGACGGCGACCCCGACGGCCATTTCCGGGTCAAAGAAACGGGAAACGTCGGCGAGTACAATATCGTCGTGCTCAAAATGCTGGACCGAGAGACGACGCCGAAAGGTTATAATCTAACGCTGAGGGCCTCCGATTCCGGGACGCCCGAGAGAGACACGTACAAATCGATTCCCATAATGTTGGACGACGTCAACGACAACGCGCCCGTGTTCGAACGCGAACTGTACGAAGTGAACATTGCCGAGACCGCGCCGATCAATTCGCCCGTTATCAAACTGAAAGTGAGCGACAAAGACGAAGGTAAAAACGCGCAGGTTTCGTTGGAAATCGTCGGCGGCAACGAAGGCGGAGAGTTCCGGATAAACAAGCGGACGGGTATGCTTTACACCGCCATGGTGTTAGATGCCGAACAAAGATCGTCGTACACGCTCACGGTCAGCGCCATTGATCAGGGCAACGCGGGAAGCCGAAAACAATCGGCCGCCAAAGTGAAGATTTTCGTAGTCGACGCCAACGATAACGATCCGCTGTTCGAGAAATATCTAATGGAAGTGTCTTTGAACGAAAACGAACCGGCCGGCACGTTCGTCGTAAAAATCAACGCCCGCGATAAGGACTCTGGTGAAAACGGTTACATATCGTACAGCATCGCCAATTTGAAACCGGTTCCGTTCGACATCGATCATTTCACAGGCTTCATAAAAACCACCCATCTTTTGGACTACGAAACTATGCGACGGGAATACGTGCTGCATATCAGAGCGTCGGATTGGGGATACCCGTACAGACGACAGACCGAAATGAAGTTGGTGATCAAACTGAAAGACGTAAACGACAACAGGCCCCAATTCGAAAAAATCGACTGTCAAATACAAATTCCCAGGTTCACCAACATCGGCAAAGAAATCATGACCATGTCAGCGGTGGACTTTGACGACGGCAATTTCATTAGCTATCGCGTGGAATCGGGCAACGAAGACAACTGTTTTTCCATAGACTCTACGTCCGGCGTACTATCCGTCACCTGTGACCTTACCGACGTGCGTACGGAAGAACGTAACGTGAAAATCACCGCCACGGACGGTTCGCATTATTCGGATTTGACGAGCGTGCACGTGACGTTGGTAAACGCTAAGCGTACGCAAGCCACTGACGACGCAATCAATATCGAATGTCGGGAAACCGGTGTTCTCCGACGATTGAACGAAGCCATTGAAACGGCCAAAAGAAACAATATCGTCGAAGACGACAATTTCGCCATGATGCCCAGCCGGTACGGCGAGAACATACACAAACCCGAATTGATGAATTTGCCCGTCGCAGTTCAGGTGAACGAGTCCGTACCGTTGGGATACACCATACTGGCCATCCGCGCCAGGGATCGAGATTTAGGATACAACGGCAAATTGATCTACGGGGTTTCGGACGGGGACGACGATTCACTGTTCAGAATCGATCCGGAAACCGGCGATCTGAACGTAGTCGGATATTTGGACCGGGAAACGAGAGACGAATACGTGTTGAACATTACCGTGTCGGACCTCGGCCGACCGCAACACACCACGTGGAAATTATTGAAAGTGATCGTTTTGGACGTCAACGACAACGCTCCCAAAGTCGACAAGAGGGTTTCGAGCTTTCGGGTCAGTGAAAACGCTCGCAACGGCACGGTAATATTCAAAATCAACGCCCGAGACCCGGATCAAGGCGAAAACGGCCGGATTGTGTACACGTTGAGCACGGACACGACACAGTTCGCGGTCGACAGAACGTCCGGCAATCTTTTCGTGTCCGGCAAATTGGACCGGGAACGGCAGGAAGTGTACGAACTGAAAGTCAGCGTTTCGGATTGCGCTCCCGAACCGTCGACCCTGCGCACGGAAGCCCTGATACGCATCGTCGTCGACGACGTCAACGACAACGCGCCCGAATTTCTCGTTCAGAACTACACGGTCAAGGCTCTGGAAGATTTACCGGTCGGCAGCGTCGTCGCCATAGTGACCGCGATCGATCCTGATCTCGGTACGGGTGGCGTGGTGACGTATTCGTTGGAATCGGAGTCGTCGGCGGAAACGGACGACAAACTGTTCGAAATCGACACGGTCTCCGGGACCGTGCGTACCGTGAGCGAATTGGACTTTGAAACTAGGCAAATACACACGCTAATCGTACGGGCCGTCGACGGCGGCATGCCGTACCTATCGTCGGACACCTGGTTGACGGTAGAAGTGGTGGACGTCAACGAAAACGTATTCGCCCCCGAGTTCCCCAATTTTTACGCGATGATGGTTGTCGACGAAAACGAACCGCCCGGGACCCTGTTGGGCACGGTGATCGCGACGGACGCGGACCCCCCGGGGGACGTGTCCAGAGTCGGATATTCGATCGTTGATGGCGACGGTCTGGGCTACTTTTCAATCGACAGCGAAGGTATTTATACAATATTTCATTGATAAAACTGAATAAAAAAAATAGATCGTAAAACAGTTGGACGGTTTTTGCGAACAGACGATAAACTCAATCCGATCAAGTCAAAAACAACTTTTCAGAAGACAATAAAACCGTTCCTTTTTTTTTTTTTTTAAATAAAATTAAAAAAAAACTTCGATATTTATATTATATTTTTAAAAAAAGAATGCTTTTGAATCGTTTTTCAATCATTTGTATGCGCAGTGATTCCGGGACCTTTGTCAAAGACAAAACCCGCGTTTGCTATGATAATTTCAGATCGCAATATCACGTGTTACCGTCGGACGCGACAATTTCCGTACGGTTCGCGTGCCGAGAAGTGACTTTCGATCGTCCTTTCCGGAAAACCGTCCGATCTATTGTTGAAATCGGTCGGTGGGACCGGTAGGACAATTCGCTGCTCTGGCGCGGTGTAATATTACAGGCTATAGATTTCCATCGAGCATCGTCGGTTTCGTTTTCCTATAGGTTTCGGTTTTATATACGCGCGCACCGGCCGAATCGATATAATCCTCGAAATCGCCGCGCCGTAACATATTGTGGGTACGCAGCGGCGTAATATCGTCCGGGGAGGCTTATCGCAGGAGGCGTACGTGTGTACAAAACCGTTACGTTCCACGGACGAGAACTGCAAATATTTACAAAAGTCAACGGTTTTATAATATTGTATTGTGTATCGTTGGATTTGTACGTACGCGTGCGATTTTGCGCGTGTTACGCTGTATAATGTGCACGCGCAAACACACAACGAACGAAAGTGGCGGTGATCGTTAGAACAATTAAATGTTCGACTAACTTACGCCCGTTGTGCAGCGTGCGTGCGTTTGAAATTAATTCTCACTACTCGTTGCCGGTTTTAATGGGTTCACCGCGCCAGGGTGGCTAATATATACGTACACTACACGAATGTTTACTAATAAACCGCGGTCGCGCGCATAACAACCATGCCAATATCGCACACGCCGATTGTGTTACTCGAAACGATCTGTAACGCCGCCGTAGCGCAACAGCAATATTGTCCCGATCGACGTTTCCGAACTCTATTTATTGCAGTTGTCTTGCCGTGAAGTTTGCGTTTTCTATAACGGTATGTCTATAACGATTCGTGTGTATCGTTTCGAATTCCCGTAATGAATCATTCAAATATAATCCGGTTAAATCATAACGTTATATTGTAACGATGTATACGATCCCCGTATCTCGTTTCCAATTCCGTTAATATTTCACGTCGCCGGTGCCGTAGCCGGAATTCGTTTTAGGGGGGAGGGGGAGGGGGGGGCTTAATTTTTAATGGCGAATAAGGACAACAAATTAGGTTCGCGCTGAATCGCTGACAATTTAGTTCATATAATTATACACATTATCAAATCAAGATCATATAATTAATACATATTATCAAATCAAGATCGTATAATTAATACGTAAAAAAAAAAAAAAAAACAAAAAATTAGATTACATTATTACAACATAAAGTCCAAGCGTTTTCCATATTTTGAGGCGAACATGTTAATTATTGTTTCAGGGTCGATAATTATTTCCCGGCGAATATTCATAAGTGCTAGACCATTTAGCCTCGTCTCACTTGTTGAGCTTCTTAAATAGATTTTTATTATTTTTTTGTGTAGAGAAACTTCTTTCAACTGATGCTGTTGAGACTCGTAAAACGGCTAGTGTTATCAGCAAAACATGAATATTTGAAAATAACTCTTTGAGGCATTTGATAGAACGTCTAAAGGGTATTTTTAAACCATTTTCGGTTCCACGTTGGGCCATTTTTTTTGCCACAATTCAAATTCATTTTTTAGTAATACCATCAATAAATCAACATTAGTGTTTTGAGTTTACAAAACTTCTTTGTAAAAATCAATTGCTTGCTTTAAATCATTAAATGAAGAATTTTCTATATTATTTGGCAATAAACAAGATGATGAAACGATAATATTTGAGTTAAATTTAAATCTTTCATGAAATGATGCCGGTTTACGTAAAAAAAATTGATTGCCTAAAATAAGAAATCCAGTCATTATTGTGTATATAGTTTGAACGATGTTTATGAGTACCTACTACTCTTGGTGTAGTCGGAAATATACCTAATTTTTCTCCAATTTTACTAGCTCGATAAAAAAATCTCAATGAATATTTCTTCATTTCTTATTCTTTGTAGTTTTTGCACAGTTAATTCGACTGTTTCCATAGCTGTTAAATCTAAATTTTCTTTTTAAAGGAATCTGGAGACAGAGTGTGCTACTCCAAGAATTGTATCCATTGTACATACAGTTATTATAAAAGAAAAAAATACACAAAGATTTATGCAAAGAATGAGCAACTTTGTTCTTTATTTCCATAAGTTCTTCTAATGCACTTACAATTTCATAAAAACCTTCAACAAATATCAAAATCGACTCGTTACGTTCCACCCACCTCGTTTCGAAAAATTAATAAAATTATTGTAGTCTGATATTTCGAGGGAGGGGGGACTTCCGGGCTCAAGCCCCCTGGAACAGCAAGTCGCAACTACATTACATATACATATTTGTATTATTTGCGATAATTCAAGCCGAATAATATCAACAATTGTTTTTTAAATTTATGCTGCAATATTTTTGATTTTTTGATCCGTGGGAGGGTTTTTATTCTCGGCAGCTATTTTCATGATACGAACGACGAAGCATACCAACTTATCTGAACGAAAAATTAAAATGTAATATTGCAGAGGACAATTTTTATTTTTTTTTTTTTTTTCTACTGGCTTATACAACACTCTTAAGAGTTTTTGTCGTCAATACAATATTACGCCACCTATCCCTGTCATGCACCAATTCTCTCCGTGTATCTATTGATTTCGTTGGTTTCGCGACAGTGTTTTATTCTAAGGTAGGATCGTCAGTCCTACGCTAAATCCCCAACCTAAGAACCAGAAACCCCCTGGGTGATGAGCATGCTACTTTTCCTGCGCCATTGTATACCCACGTAAAAATGTATACTGTCTCAAAAGAAACGGAAAAAATGCATATAAGATATAAATATGTATCAACGAGGGGAAAATGCTGATGAGCTGAGGACAATGATTCTAATGAACTGGATAAAATTATTGAAGTTATCAGAAGCCGAAAGACATAACCACGAATTTAGATTGTAAGTTTGCCTAACGAGCTATGAAAAAATTACATCTAAAGTGACACTGTTCTAATCGCAGTTCTGGTCATATTATTATTATAATAACAGTGGTTTGGTCCCATATGAATTTCGCCTCAAAATTACAAAATAACAAAATACGTTATTGAGAATTGAATAAAATTTTAGGTAGCACTGATGACGTTTATCGTAACGAAACACCGTTACACTTGTTTACATTGTATATATCATGTGTTTTATCGTTGAAAAGTGCGCTAGTGCGCAGGCATAGTACACCACAGTATAATAATTACGTACGGGGCCCGTTTATCAAAAAGTTCGTTGGTACAATTGGCTCCCGCCAGAGTACAGATCCTTCGGATTTAGATCCCGATACGTCTACTGAATCGCCAATAAAAACGTTAATCGCGCGGCCGTCGATTATAATATTGTGATGTCCTCTCGAAAGGAACTAATAATAACCGCGAAGACTATACACTCGCTTTAAGAACTTAAACCGACTATACCGTCGTATAAAAGTTTTTGTAGTTTTTCCCGTGCGCTTTTTATTTTATATACCTATATTGACCGGAGCAATAGCTTTTTTCATTAGCCGCGGGATTAATACTCGGTAAGACCTCGTGGGACGCATATTTCATTTATTATATATAAAAAGACATTACAAAGAGTTTTCATTTTTCATCGCTGCGTGTGTTTTTGTGCGCCCAAATTGATATTAACCAAAAGACACGAAAAGAAGAACAGTATTATGCGACGAAGCCATTGTGACAATTTTTTTTTTCCGGTACTATAAATTAACATTTTGTTTTTCTTAACGGGGAGAGTACCTATAATAATTCACCTTCAAGCTATGCGTGGCGTGTTTTTAAAAAGAAAATCTATAGCTATTTGTTTTCTGGTATATAGACGATTTATTATTGAAATGTAAAGTTGACCGCAAAGTATATAACGCGTTTTTTATATTAGTTTTACAATGGTGTGTTTTGGTCACATAAACTGAAATTCATACTGGTTCTTTTTAATCGTTTGGTCGATTATTAAAACAAAATATATGATTATCGATAAATGACCGTTAATATATTACCTATACATAAAAAAAAAATGTCCTGGTCCTTTAAACATAGATAAACATAGATAGGTAATACCTTATAGATACTTTAAAACGAAGAAAAAAAGACTATACTTAAAAGGTATAATTATCGACTGGGCGGGTTTTTTTTTTTTTAAACCCCAGGCGGTAATTAAGTCTAAACGAGAAAAGGATCACCGGCACACCTCGTCTGCTCTAATTTACCACACACACACACACACACACGAACCGAGTTGGCGCCATTCCGCGAAAGAAAACCTACGGAAAAAAACAGTTATCTCCTTCGTATTCTTTTTTCCCCTTCTTCCCTATAGCTGGAATTTCTTTTTGTGTCATACCAATGATCCGGGCCGCGTATACGGACCTTCCCAAAAGTAATGGGCTTGGCGTTTTTCCAGTTTTCGCGTTCTCTCTATGTATACACTTGATTGCTTATCAACGTAATGCCTCCCCCCCTCAACCCTCTTAACTTTGCCACCCGACGATATTTTTTCATTCCGCGACACCTATATAAATGTATAGGAAATAGGAGATATTTAACTTCATATTGGTAATATATATATATGTACACGTAGTATTTTTGGAGAATTAAACGTAATCGTGCGGAATAGGGTTTTTGCTCTTTATATCGGCACGGCCAAAACGGGAGAATTGATAGCGCAATTACTATCGTACCTACCTACTTACCTACCATACATGTGTAAATATAATAATGTCCTAAAGACTTAAGTAGTAAAAAAAAAAAAAAAAAATGTTTAATTAAATTAGTAATATAATATATAATAGTAGTTCGATAAAAACTAAAATCTGAAATTTTAATTAATCAATCCACCACCGTCGACTACACCAGTACGCGCGCGATAGCGGCGGTGGACTTTCTGCAGAGAATATATATATGCATATTTTTTTTTTTTTTTTTAAGCCAGCAGTATAGGGGTACCACTAGAGTCTAGGGGAAGTGAGAAATCCCAGAATTTTGATTAAAATCTGAATTACAGGCGGTGGCTACCCTTAATAGATCCCTAGGGTCGCCGTCACTGTGTCGGCTGCAACATTAGGATACGCTGATTAAAATATTTAAATAACCCGACTACACTCCGTACTGGTACTGCGAAGACTTCAAGAAAAAATATTTGACTTCCTCTACCTCCCCAGCCCATAATCTTATACTTGCTCTTATTAAAAAAATAAATTCCGATACGCGATATTCGTGTTTTTAATATATATATATATATATATATAAATATTCTGCAACGCCCTTTGCTAAATATTTCAATGGTCGTCGTCGTCGTATAATTTTTCGCCGACAACGTGAAAATTTATATTTCATCGAGCTGCGAAAGAAAATAAAAAAAAAATGAAATATATCTTTAAATAGTAATAAATAATAATTAGAGTTTAATGATAAAAACGCACGGCATTTTTTATGTTTTGTTTGTTTTATTTTCCTTTCTTTCGAAATGATATTTTTTTTTTTTTTTTTTTACGAGTAATATTATCCCATATAAAGTCGTCATCTTCTTTGTTTTACTTATTTAAAATACAAACATTAAACTTATTAAATAAACATTATTATTATATTATAGCAGCTGAAGTTTGCAGTCGAATTTGGTATTCCACACAATGTATAATAATATAATATTCCAATGATGCAAATATACAATAATTTTGAAAACTTCTTTTTTTTTTTTGTTAATAGCTCATCTTTCCACTCGGTAACTATAAAATATGACAAAAAAAAAAAAAAAAATTTACATAATGTAATAGTGTTAACAACAAACGATTTTCCGAACGACTAATTCGCATTTCAAACACACCGTTTTTCGCTTCGTCGATTTTATATAAAGAATATTGTCGCTCGGCGATGCCTTTACGCATATTAAGTAAAAACTGATTTAATTTATCCAAATTATATGTACGTCTCTTTATGTATATACTTGCACATTAAAAAGTTATACCGACGGTTTCAATTTAAATTGAAATTTCCCTCGCCATCGTATATACGCATAAGGTATATATTGTTGTTTTCCATATTATATAAAATAAGTGTACAGATACTTTATTTTATTTTTCGTATTTATCACGTCGAAGACGTAACTTTTTTTATTGTCCATTTTCAAAAATTATCCTCTAGTTTTTTGTTTGCTTCTTGCGGTAGTCATAATTGACACTCCGCGTGAACAATTTTTTATTCCATTTTGTGCCCATTTAGGTACCAAAATTTTATTTGTAAAACAAAAAGTCTTATTGTATTAGAATTTCTTTGTTTTCTGAAGATTTTCTTTAGATTCTTATATGCGTAGTGATTGTTATCAAAGCGTTACTGTGGTGTTTTTTTTTTTTTTGTGTGTGTGTCTGTAAAAGACTTTTCTACCAGAAACCAGACTTTTTTTTAGCATTTTTGATCTAGCTGATACATTTAAAAAATCATTTTTTTGATTTTAATTGTAGTTTAATTAATAAATGAGAAGAACTGGCAATTTTTTATACTATAATTGCTGTAGACTTTTAAATTGCCTTGGTAACAAGGAGAAAATGCTACTAATAGTACTCAAAATCGTTTTTCATGAACAATTGTTAATCGTTGCGTACACAGATACAAATAAATTTACTCCATATAACCTCCCTTCCAATCCTAAAATAGTGATACGCCCATGACCCATCAGCAGTGTCAGCCTTTTTTTTTCCAATTACAAGTAAAGTATTTTTATCGGCCGCAAATCATATACTTACGACATTGTCGCAACCTCTTTGTTTGGAATATTTATCGTAACCGTTCCTCCTCTTCTATATATAGAAATAATATACGTACGTATACCATTTGTTGCTCCGTCCTGCAAAAGGCTTAATGCGAAAAATAATCGCTAAAATCCTGTGTTTTTTTTTTTTTTTTTTAACACTTTTTCACAACGAAAAAAAGATCCCATTAGCGATGGATATTCTTTCGCCATTGAATTGTTCGCCGGTCGACAGGTGAGAGTACCTTTTCCAATGATTAATGGGACCCGCCATTTTGCCGAGTGTCATTTAAATTTTGCCCAAAAGCGTTCTTCAAAAAAAAAAAATAATAATAATAGTTATAATAAGTACATATTTATTATACCGTTCGTACAATATCCTGTTTTGTGTTCCACCTCTAAGTCCCTTTTTTTTTTTCTTTTTTTTTTAGTAAAGGTAGGAGAGGGGTTAAAATTTCTTTTATATTACCCGACGTCGATCAACCCGTGGCGTCGTTTGTCTGTTTTTTGGGGGTCTTTTTTTTTTTTTTTCGAGAGTCCTGTTCAAATCGCTTGTCACCGCGTTATATAGTATCGTACAAATGTTGCACATTATCTGTACGTTCATCTTTTTTTCTTTATTTTTTATACATAGTCTCTCAAAAACAAACTGTATAATATTATTGGTGTATATCGTAAGTATATAATATTTTCCATCCGCGTAGAAATCTACGCATTAAAAACGCGGATTATTTTTATTTCAGCGCAAATGTTTTTTAGTAATAGATACATATCAACGTAAATTAAAGAAATTTATTTGATTTCATAGTTATTAAAATTCGTAGTATAAAAACGTAATATTTCAAATTATATCCAGTGGAAAACAACAAGTCTACATGTGTATAAGATTCATTCGCTTGACCGACCAGACTGGAACAGGCCGGGCGATAGTTACTGAGTTGAATAATAAAATAGTTCGTGGACCGGCAATGTAGCGGACGTGGAATAAAAAAACGCTGAAAAACGACCCGTTAAAAAATTAAACAGGTGCAGAGCTTTTAGTGCAGCGTATGCGAACTTTTCATGGCTGCCTTTCACGTATTTATATAGGACGCGACGAAGCATTTCGATCGGTAAAGAAATTACTTCGGTCGAGTATTTTTTTATGTGCCTATAATATATCGGAACGTATTAATATATAATTGTTTGCGGTGTTAATGAAGAAAGTAAATTTTCAACGGGCAAAAACAAAACCCGAGAACTTGCATCCGTGGGCAACCTAACAATTATTTGCTTTATAATCTGATAATATTATATTTTCAACGTTTTCGAATTCGTATAACTTTTTTCATAGCCATATACGTAGAATCGAAAAAAAAATAATATCTGAATAAAACTTGAGTTTAATTCGAGGTTCTTAGATTTCAAAATTAATGAAAATGTATTTTCAATTCCGTTTTTATTTTCAGTTAAAAATTTCCCAGAAAATATGCAAATGGAAATTGTCGATTTACAGAGCAATGCCTACACATAGAGTAGCACAAGAAAGTATAATACCGTTGAAGTCTATAGACGTAGAAACATATTCTAATTTACGAAACAATGTTTTAAAAATGATGTTTCCTTTACCTACAATGATGAGTATACTCGTATTTGTACACGGATGAAAATTATCAAATAAAAAACCAAAACTCACACTCACCTGAGGATTGCATCGTCTCAAATTCAACTAAATATAGACAAACTAGTGAACGTCCCACTAAACAAATTTTAAATATTAAACTGTATGCTGTAATAATAATAAATAAATAGTTTGTAATTTCAAATTTAATCGAATGTGTTTCAACCGCCCCGTAACGTATTTACAGCCCGTATCCGACCTGTATTCGGCCTGTAGGATATTTGTATAAATATGCAATCCGTCTTTATTTTCCCTGGAATAGGTTTTAAGTTAACATTGAGGACACTAAATCCCTTGGCGCAGTATTATTAGGTTTGGACCAACAAGTTAATGTTTCGTAAAACTCTTTAAAACTGGATATCGGGTAATATAGGTAATATAGTGTGGAAAAGCCGTATCATTAAAATATTTAAAAAAAAAAAAAAAAATGTTCAAATTTTACGAAATCGGAAACATTTGGAAAACCGTCACCAGTCCATTTAAGCAAACGGTTTTATCATACTGTATTTATAACTGTATATATACTGTATTGTGAAATTGAAATATAATCCGCGATATCGGATTAAATTCAAAATGTGTATATACTTCGTATATTGCTCGGTGTAGTGCGTGGGTTTTCTCGAGCCGCCGTAACGTCATCGCGGATTATTATCATATATCGAGGGGACGAATTTTGGTCGAAAACACACTCGCGGTGTACGAGAATAATACGTGAAGTCGAAAGTACTCGCGTTTGCAGAGATAACTGACTGATTTTATATACTTTTTTTCTTTCTCGCCCTCCGAAGATTCGATGCTCGTCCTTCCCTAATACCAAAAAGGCGGCAATGGTGATAGTGGGTTCCCTTTACCCCTCTGTCTGTCCGTGGACTACAATACATCCGATACGGCCGGAATATTGACAGGTTTCCCGCGCCTCGCGTCCGTCCGTCGACTCGTCGTCGCGGCGATCGACACAATCGAAAAATTTCACAAAAGCCAAAAAAGAACACGCGGCCGCCCCGGCGTGTGTGTTTGATGGATGGACACGATAACCGAACGCGAACCATCATTCATTTTGTTTTGCGGAATCGCGTTAAGTATAGCGAGGTATAGGTGTTGTAGGTGTACGGGAAAATCAACGCTCACGCCACACGGACTTTAAAATCGCCCGAAAACGAACACTCTTATCTGCTGCGCTATCCGGGCCGCCCGTAAATCACTATACGCGAGATATGTTATCAGAGTCGAGCAAACAGAACGTTCGTATTCTCATTATTTAATATTTCCGACGGGTTTTTATGTTATTATCTTATTATCGGGGGGGGGAGCGCACGACTGGCGAGTGTCGTACTGCGTGTCTATTACGACGTAACGTTTAAAATAACGCTCTACGGGTTCGGTTAGGCCCGCAGTCGGTCCGCGAAAACAATTCAACGACACTTTGGGTTTTTTTTTTTCTCAAAAACTTTATTGTTGTTGTTAATAATTTCGAAAGGGCGGAAACGAGCAAAAGAAGAGACTTCGAGGGGGCGGCATTCGTTTCCGCCGAAAATTTTATTTTCATTTCCGCCGAGTGGTATTTCTTTCTACCTAAATATATAGTTTGAAAATCGTTTTAGAGCCACACGGGGGTCACCGCGAGGACGCGGTTTTTATGTATAGTGACTCCAAAGATTATTTTTATTTTTATTTTCTCGTTTTTAGTTATTTGTATTTGTTTCGTTTCGCCCACGTGTGTCGTACATTTTCTGTATTGGTTATTAGTTTGCACTGTTATTGTTTATTGTTGTTGTAAATTCGATAAAGTGACGTGGACAAAAAAAAATAAAATTTTTCTATACTTGATATCTTTCGATTTGTAATAACCTTGCGTATTTTTCGTATAATAATATGGAAAACCCGTCTTACCGTTTTTCAAAAAAAAAAAATACAATTTTTTTTTTTATTATTATTTTATTTGTACCACTGCGATAATACCCACTGCGGTAATAATAGTTTGACGGCCTCCGACGGAATGTTTAACCGCCGACAATACACACAACGAATTTCGCAGATTGAGTTATAGACTCGGGCATTTCCAATCGGGAGCACGCTCGCTGTATTCCACTTTCAAATGCCGCCGTTGAATAAATGATTTTCCACGCCCGTTGGCATTTTTTTTGCATCCGCCCCTATCGTTCGCATTGATTGACACTGCGATCGCGTGTCCGTTTCGAGAGGACCTTCCCGTGTGTCGTCACCTCGCGCCTGTAAAACGACGACGATCACGGCCGGCAGTTCGTGAACCCTTATTTACCTTGTTTTTAATACATTATAATATAGCATACGTATATATATATACGTACATTTTTTTTTTTTTTTTGCTCACGGTTTTTCGACGAACCCGAAACAACGGGACGTGTATCTTTTGCGGTGATCGCGAAGAGCTGCGAGGAAAACTATCGTAATATTCAACGTAATCAACATTGTCTGTACACGTGCGCTTCCCCCCCGTTTCCGCTCTGTCTTCGATCTTTCTTTGCCGTTGTATAGGAATTTTAATATACCCTTATACCCTTATTTTGGTGCAAATTGCATATCTTTCGTTCAATGCAATTTACAAACGTCTTTTTAAAACCTTACTGTAACACGGGTAACTATACTCACCCGGTTCCGCTGGAAACTTCGTGGTTCGTTCTTATTAGTTCAGAGAGTGTGAGTTTGGATGAAAAAAATGCCGTACCCCTAAAGCGGGACCCACGCTGTGAATGTCTCCTTAAATCGCGGAAATTGTACTTTTTTTGTTTTTTTTTTTTTTGTTTTCGGCATCCGTTAATCACGCGGAAAAAAACTATTTTTATTTTTAAAATATGTTTTCCCATTTCAATACTGTGCACGGAAAAAATCCAAATTATGTGCGGAAATTATTGAATGTTTCGGTTAGAAGACAAATATTTAAAACAATCATTACAACTCGCACCTTCGATGCGGTATCATATATTGTAATATTGAGCGTTTTATATGAACATACCTACGTGTTTTCCGATTATTCGGCGGTTTTACACAAATATTTGTTTTGACATTAATTAAACGGTTCCGAATAATGAATATAATATTAACCATGCGTCTAAGTTTTATTTAATATATCAGACAACTTTTGTTCGACAACACTCTTCTGCGGTGTAATTAATTTCGTGTCTGTATATATTATTATAATTAATGTCGTTAAAGTCGAACTTTTCTCAAAGTTTATATTGTATTTGACTGTGTGTAAATATTTTCTTCGTTGCCGGCGTATGCCGTATTTTAGTATTCAAATTACAAGTTTGATTAAAAAAAAACACATACTAACTTAATATACTAAATGCGACATTTATTCATAGCCACTAAAATATCGTGTATCAAGAAAAAAAAACAAATTGTATAAAATAGTCTGGCGATGACGTGCCCGTACTCGGAAATTTTAACGGCCGTCCCTCAGCTTTTATATCGGTTTTTTTTTAACGGTTTTAGCTATTATTCCCTTTCACGGTCTATTTCTTTTGTATACTTGCCCTTTTTTCTGCTGCACTAGTTTTTTTTTCCCCCGACGTGATCGAATGAAATTGTGTTTAATAGACACGCTATTTTTCGTATATATACATACAGGTTGGAAAAAACTACTAGTGGCAAATGATAAGCGGTTTGTGATCATTGTTACCGCGCTATAGGTGTTAGTGTTAACTTGTGCAGTCGCTAATACACAGTAAATAACTTAATTTATAGGTTTACATACATCTCAAATATTAGGATTAAACTTTTTATGCGAGTTAAAATGCATTAACTATATATTTGTCACTACATAACCATATATTTAACAATTTAATATTCAAACCTACCAAACATATTAAACCACTTACCATTAATATACATTTCTTAATATCAGATCTAGAATCTGATATATCTGATCTAGAAACTTTGATATTTGACAAATCAAATAAACTTTTTGAAACGCATTAAAATAATGCGCGTTTACATACGAGTGTATAAAATACCAATTAGGTTAATGCTTATGAGCGACTCCGCGTAAACATTGTATGTGGCCGCGTTATTAATGCGAAATTAAAAGTTAATGAATTGCTCAAATCGTCGTGTGTTTACTTTTTCTCCTAGAATTTTTTTGTTTTGTTTGCCAATTTTCCGTAGTATGCATTTATCGTTTTATCTTAACGAAAGATTTGTCTATAAACATATCGAAAATATAAATTTGTAATTAATTATAAACTCGTAGGTACTCGTATGTTAGCTATACCCGTAGGTTTGTCCATTCGTGAATTATTAACGTTCCAAAATTCCAACAGATAAACATTTTCATAAAACGAATGTAATATTTAGTGTAATTCCTATAGAATATAGTTCCTGAAATTATCCGCTTTGGGCATACTCGTGAAGTTTATAGCTATTATATGATTTGACTTAAAAAAAAAAAATACCGCGAATTATGTCTTTTTTTTTTTTCGGGCAACAATACTGTAGAGAAACAAAATATTTTTAGAAAGAAAATAATTGATTAGATAAAGTCGTAATATCATTATAAAACGATTTATGTATATTACACTGCATTATTGCAAACGTATATATTTCCGTTGCGTGACGTGACATAATCAACCGTCCGTGTGTACATGCCGAGTGTACACAATAAAACTGTTTTATTTTTCATTCTACTGAAGTTTTTGTCTAACACCACTGCAGATGGCGTACCTACAGTCTACATACGTATACATAATATATATACTGCATTATGTAAATAGGATTTTAGATAAAAATGTTTTGTGAATTAATATATTAAATTTTGTTTCCGTATCATGTGAGCATTATATACCTACCTATGCTGTCACTTAAAAACGTGACGTTAATAACACAAACGAATACGACTTCAAGAGAAACGAGAGAATGTTTCGAGTTTTCGTAAACGGGATACCATTATTTTCTACGGTCACAAAATAATATAATATTGCTTATATTTTTGAACGTATAACGTAATAAATATTTTTCTTAGCTTTTCAAACGAATAGAACAAAACTACTTCTCCGACGTCACTCTATTCGGTCTTTAAACACAATCATTCGATTTCGGTTACTCTGAAAATGTCTGTAAAAAACAAAAATTTATATAGATTGCTTTTACTGTTTTTTTTTTTTTCCATTACTAGTATAGATATTTTTGAAAGGGTATTTAACATATTTTGTCCGTGATTTCGAAAAATGATTACTAATCCTTGAATTATATAGATAAATATATACAAATATATATGTATATATATATGTATTATAAATTGTTATAATTCAGTATATTAAGTTTTATAATATATATGCATATAATATAATGTAACTTGGGCAATCGTCCACGCCTCCCTGGAATACCAGAAGATCAAGTATCCATGGAAAAAACAAAATTATTTTTCTCTTGTATCCTACCTAACAATAGTATTGCATAGCAAATCGGGGTTTGTTTTCAAAAGTGAATGAATGTTGAAATCGGGAGGCAATCTAACCCCATCTCGTATATTGTTCCTATACCAGTAATTAATCATATACCGTACGCTATAAAAGCATTTTTCAAATCGAATAAATTATATTTTACTATTCGTTTGAAATAATGATTTACAAACCCCTTACAATTAGAGGAGAAATAATTCGGTCGTGTCAATGAATTCATAATTTCTGAAAAATGAAAAAGAAAAATCATACCGGAAATTTATTTCATTGTTTGTTCAGGTCGCAAAAGTAAAGTAGCTGATTGACGAACGAGGTAAAAACAATGCAACAGTGTTTTTTTTTTTTTTTTTTAATGTTATAAATGTCATACAATTTATCTTAGAATTCCTTGTTTTAATTTAATATGTAGATCGGCATAGTAATATAATGGGATGGCGCGCGCACGATGGCAGATTTTACTTCTGTGTATTATATGAAAAAACCGCTCGTCGCATTAAAATCACATTTGTTTGTTCCGAGAAGTATAAGATGACAGTAAACATTAATTTGATGCAATAGAGAGCCAAATAAAATACTATGCCAAAAATTGATATTCTGAAGATGATTGCATTACAGCGGCGGAAATTTTACACATGAAAATTTTCAAGAAAATAAACATAATTTTCGTTTGTTTTTTTTTGTTTTTTCGAACTCTATTAAATCTTCTTCAGAAAACATTTAAACAAATGTATAGAATTTCCGGACAAAAAATGTTAGTTTCAATTTACAACATGTGTTCATTTATTTTTTCTGTGTGACGTAAACGAGATTTCAACCAAAAGACTTTACTCCGATCAAAAAATTCATACTTGTAGCATTTGTATGGATTTTTGGTGCATCAAAGCGATAATTTTTAAAATTGTTGATGCTTCTAACAATGAGTGAGGGGGAGGGGGTGAATATATACAGCAAAAAATAATCGTAAAGCCCTACAATTTACATCTAGTATAACTCATATTGCCATTTTCTAAAATATGGTATGTTTCATAAAATATTATTATTTCGACTGTTTTTAGATTAAACTTAATATTTAATGCCATCGTCGTTTTATTTACAAGTATATTATGTAGAAATATTGAAAGAATATAATATAGTAGGTAATACATATACAGGTAATATTAAATAATAATTTTGACAGCATAATTATCGCGTCTTATATGCAAGTTGTATGTATCCGCTATATATTTGGATTGTGTATGCCAACAATATAATACAAAATAACACACGATACTAAAAATATGTTTTCTTTCTGACTGGTTTTTTTTATATTTATATTATATACGTCGTACATACGCATCCGGAAACTGACTTTTTAATGTATCATATACGTCAAGTCGTATATTTTTAATATTCCGCGAGAGATTTATCGTTTGTTTCTTTTTTACTCCGTGCGAGTTCTGACGTGTTGTTCTATCAAAAAAAAAAAAAAAACACGAAAACGTATTTGCAAAAAACGATAAAGTATATTATAGTAGAATAAAATGGAATAAGAACATCAGCGCAAGCAGCAGTTGAATAGGTAGTAATATCATGGGGCATTACTACTCTTTTTTTCCTTTTTTTGATGAGTTTTATAGTTGCTTACAGTGATGTAGCATTTTACGAAGGAAGTAGGAAGTTAAATTTAAAATGTAACTGTATTTTTTTTTTTTTTTTTTACGGTTTTAGTTAATGTTATATTAATATTTGAAATATTATATAAAGTTCATACAAGTTATAATATAACCCGTATTATTGATAATATTTCATTTTTGTAGATAAACACTGCAATGCACATCTATTGCAGTATCTATATGTATATTATAAGTGTTTACATATATCTGTTCATGACGTTCATGCATATTAATAATATTGTGTACTGCTACCGCAAAATATGCATTATACATTTACGGTTTTATCAATTTATTTTGATTATATGCAATGATAACGTATCGCACTGTGTCACAACCATCGATGATAAAATAATGTCACGTCAACTTATTAGTGAACGCGTAATAATGAAACTAAAGCCTTTTTGGGTTTATTTTACTTTTTCACGGTGGTCATCATAGACAATTAACAGTTTAAACAAACTGCCTCCAATTCCTTTCATGAAAACTAAATGCCAAAACCATGGACTGAGTAATTAGCTGTCCTTGAGACCGACAGAATTGTTCTCACTGACACCTCGATCACATATCAGTGTATCCCTGTTGATCCGGTTAGTACTACTACCTTCCTCCTTGATACTGAATTACGTGTTCCAGCTTCACCGAGTCGTTTTTTTTTTTTTTTTTGTTTTTATTTTATTCATCCAAAACTACAAAAACATCTACGATTATTTCCAGTTACTCTTACCACTCTGATGAACTTCTTGTAATCACTATGTTTATTTTCAATTGTATTTTAGAAGAAAAAACCGCGTATGTTCGTTCGTACAAAAAAAGAGCATCATGACTATTGAATAACTATGACGGGATAAAGCATAACGGCATGGTAATAATAGTTTATTTCTAACCGTAATACCATGGTTCAAATTTGCAAACATGATATCACATGAGCTCACGTGACATAGCAATAGACTGTTCGCAACTTGATGCGCCAGACTTGATATCTACAGATGTACGAATCTATATTGCCGGCCATAACTATAACCGTATGTGATTTCAAAAGTTTTTTATTCTTTCATATACGGGACAAGAACTACAAGAAATAATTAAGTAGTGCGTAGGGATGTACATTACGGTTAATAAATAATATATATATAATAAAAAACTAATTGAAAAAATGGATGATAAACACGTTATTTCAGTCAACATATCGACAGCTAGGGAAACCAACTGTACTCGAAAACGCGCGTCGTCGTTGCCGTAATTATTTCGCTCAGAGTTAATTGGTATATTTTGCGGGACTTTTCAATTCACCCAGCTAATAGGATCGGCGGCGGGTGTGTCCGACAGTTGAAAATATAGTCTCGGACTTAATCTTTCGGAACGTTTCCGACGTGTCTTGTCGATATATTTGTAGACATATATATACGTATACACGAGATACGCGGAAAGCGATTTGAAAAGCCACTAATTCTTTTTCCCTTTTTTTTAAGACCTCTTGTTACATTTTTATTTTACAAACTAAAATGCAACGAACCGAAGAGGGGAAAAAACTGAAAACTTTACGGCGTATTCCCCTCCGGCCCATATATACTGCAGCATATACTCACTTCGTTGCACTGGTATACCTCAACGACAGCGCGGAGAAAAATCGCCTCGCGCACTAAAAAATAAAAATAATAGGCGTCTCTATTTTTTTTTTTTTCTACGACCCGCCTCCGCGATGAAACTCAGAATCTTTTTATATTCTTAATGTATATATTTAGAAGCCGGTCGACCGAATATTTCAATTAACGAGATTGTGCGCTGTGTGTACAATAACGGAATCAAAGGCTTCGGCCGTTTATTTCTCTTAATAATAAAACGCTTCTGTCCTACTTCCCTCATCCATTGGGACGACGTTACGAATAGTGGACGATGGCGACAATTGTTGTAGCGTGTGCGCGTGTGACAAAGAAAAAAAAACAGGAAGGGGAGAGAAAAGATATCTCTCGCTATCTCGCTGCGCGTCAAAAAAAAAAAAATTGAAAATAATTACATTTTCTTTTGTATTACTTATAAATATTACAATAGTTTCTAACGTATCACGATCGTCGTCGCGTGATCTACATTAGTATTTATATTATATATTTTTTTCTGTTTCTTTTTCTCTTAACCAATGTGAGAACTAACAAAAACGCGATTAAATACGCGGTGGTGACATACGTGATAATATAGAGACACAGGGTGAAAATAAGAATAACCATCACCATGATTTAACACTGATAAGATATACCATATACGCATCAAGGCAAAACTACATATTTGTTTGTTTTTTTTTTTTTTTATACGTATATTATATAGTATGTTATATCTAAATAATGAAAAAAATTAAAAATTGTCTCGCTGAAATCTCGTACAAATTGCAAATAATACGCAATATCATTTACACCGATTCACTATTTTTATAGGGCATCAAATCTTTAATATATTTTAATACATCAATCGCCGTTTAGAAATCTGTGGCTTCGTACCTATATTTTTGTTGATTTCGGAAATCGATTTTTTTGATCATTCGTATATCATATGTTAAGTAACACGGGCCGTTGTTTTATTCAATGTACAGAAGGGTACGCATACAATAGATCAAGATTTTTATCCATCCTGTATATTAATTTATATTTTTATGCGTGCTCACATAAATATGTATAATACATACAAGCAGTTTTACACCATCTTTAAGTCCTCTCTCTGCGGTTAAGTACGATGAGCGAATTGGCGGCGGAGTGCATAGTAGTTTGCATTATGGAAAACGATGATGTCCCGTCTGTATGGTTGCCCGGTACTCATTATTTTCACCCCCGTAGGTCTCTTCGGTATTTTTTTTTTTTCGTTTTTCTTTTTATCCACTCGAAACTGTCTTTTCCCCTACCCGCCACCGCCGTCTATCGATCATCGTTTTCAATGATTCATCGCACCCGTCTCGGGCCGTTAATCTCCCACCATCACCATCGCGTCCTTTCTTAATACTTGAAATTCGTCAAAACACGACCTTCTTTCTACCCGCCACTAGATTCCCGTGGGTTCGTATTCGTTTTTAGCTGACACGATTAAACACCCCGTATACACGACATAACAAAACGCCGGTCATCGATCGCTATACACTCAAAAACGATTACTTTGAAATCTGAGCTCCAGTAGTTACTTTTTTTTTTTTTATTAAACTTCGCAGTGGACACTTTTTCGATCCGAAATCAAAATCATCGTGATAGTGGGTTTCTGGTTGCTTTTTAGATCCATTCATAATTTTGTATTCCCTTTTAGTTTTCTCAAATAATAAGAAAACCAAAACGACGGAAAAACGCATCGTCGGTTTTTGACAAAATTTATTTGGTTTTTTTTTATTTTTGTAATTCAGTAAAAAATAATTATGTTATAGAATATAGAGACATGCAATTTTACATCAAATCGAAAATTTTGAAAAAAAAAATATATATTTTTTCTATATAGACTTAAAAAATAATGTATATTTTCAACAAATATTTACCGATTATTTTAATTGTTTATGCAGTGAGTTTTTTTTTCTTCTGTCTAAAAATAACTTTTCTACCAAAAATCTTTGCTCTTAACATCAAGATGAATGCCATCTTTCGGAAAACAAAACGTTGTCAAGAGTTAATGCATTGTATAATTCATTTTTTAATTTTCTTTATAATACTTATTTTTTTTTTTTTTTACGTGTATAAAATTTAAAAAAACCTCCCACCCTAACATCCCTGCCTACAACAGTTCCCGTTTTTTCGCGGTACGAAATTCGGGATGTGTTGTTTTTTTTTTTTTCAAAATGTTTAACGTTATATACAATAAGATCGGTTTTCATTTTTCGGTTCGTACATAACAGCTCTCGTTATTTCACCCGACGGCATGCTGCAGAATAGATACCGAAAACTCTAACAACACATGCCTACCCATGAGGAGGGATGAGCTATGAGCTGGTATTCGGGGAATAAATATATATTTCGTGGAGAATTTTGATGACGGAGAAATGAATAATAATAGTATTATGTTTTGTATATGCGAGCTTGAAACCGTTCGTCTCCGTCATATTTTGTTGTCCGCACAGAAAAATATAGTAATTAATTTAACGCGATGAATTCTTTACCTCTTAAAAATGTATACATTTAAAAAAAAACAACTAAGTGTATTCAGAGCGAGTATATCATACAATAATATATTACTATATTATGAAAATGTTAATTGCGTCGGTTATTCTTTTGTTAAACTCATTATGTATATACGCTTAACAGTATTATAACCACGAGATAAAACCGTCAGGAATTCGGAACGCGATATTATTATTATACACTTACACCTATAATATACGCAGTATTATGTAAAATTGTTCAACGTACGATTATTTTTCAATAAAACGAAAACTTGAAATTGCTACCCGTCGATATAATGATGCAGAATACTGCATCGAAAGAAGTCGTGGGCGTCCAACAGCAAAAGTTTTTAATCGTTTTGTCACTGGTTTAAAAATACAACACTGCAGTTCCTGCAGTACGTATTAGCTGAAGGTCTGGCTTCAGGAAAGTTATGAAAAGTTTTACGATACATAGGAGTTGATTAATTGAAAAGCGCTTTTCACAACGATATTATAACATTTTCGTTTCGCATATTACTTTCGCGCCGTACATAATTATTATTATTTAATAATAACAGACGTGTTTTGGCGACACAGTTTTCTGTTTACCGTTGTTCGCTACTTGGCCACAATCACGATTACGATGTACGAGTATCTATAATCGCGGTTGTAATATTGTCCACAAAACGAACAGTAAAGGTGGTACTCCAGCGACGTCGTGGGCATTTTGCCGTATTTTAATTGGCTATTGTTATCTCGGTAACCTGCAAGATCTATGGACAAGTTCCAGACTCGGTCCGATATGAACTTTTCTTTCGTTTAATAAGTTACAACGGTCAGTTAACGGTTTTTGTATTATCAGCATGTATAAATTATAATATATATGTATATCTATGGACATGACATCGCTAAAATTATAGGCACCTCTCAACTCCGTATACAAAAGATCGGTTCCTCTAAATTAGTATGATAAAGACAAAAACCAAGAGCACTGACTATCCATAAAATAGCGTTTTGATTGGTCGCTGAATTATTTTGCTCTTAATCAACTGCCATCAGAGAGCTAGGCGAACTGCGGAATCACTTTTTCAACCAAATCGATCGTCTATTTTTCTACTATATATTATGATACCGTCTTAAACGTAGTTTTTAATTGTTTGCCAGATCGTAGAAAAGTGCAAACTGTTATTGTTAACCACAATATCGGCCAAAACTGTTCGGTAGGCTGTACTAATAGCTTTCAAGTCGCCGAAAACTGCATTGTCAAAAACGTCTATATTGTAGTATTATTTCAAACAAGACATTTTTCTGAAACGCGTTCGTGTAATCTGGATCGTCAAAGTGTATATTAATACTATTATTTCCGGTATATTTCGCCTGTATATACCTAATAATATAATAATAAGTCGTATATTATATTAAAATATCGGCTCATTCGGAACAATTCGAATAGTTCGCGCGCGATTCTAATTAACTCGAACCCGGGGCGTAAGTAAGTTTGTATTATTCCGCAGCAAAAGATCAACACCGCCGCCACGCATTTACCTTGTGGTAGTCCTTAATTTTAGATAAAGATTTTTTTTTTTTTTTTGTTTTTCAATAGGCTACCCCGCCATTTTGTTCGTTTATATGCAAAACAAATTTGGGTAGAATTTAGTCTTTATAACTCACAACCTTTACGTATCGCAAGGAGGTTGAAAAATGACCAAATAGCGTAGTTTTATGAATTTTAGAGTTTAAGTAAAAAACTACTATTGCATTTAACGTAAAACTGTTCGGAAACTTTTTAATAGACTTTTAAATTGCTTATAAACAATTAGTTTACATATTTTTCAATAAAATCATTACTATCCAAGAAAAAAATAAAACATGATTTATTTCTTTTATTTGGAAATCGGGTAGAATATTGTTAATGCATTGTGTACACAATTAAACTGCCTACAAATAAGGTATGAGAAAAAATTTCATTCGATCGACCATTTCGTACTTGTTATAAAAAAATTATAATTAATTATAAATTAAATTATCCCGAGAACCTGTACGTTTTCGATAGAAACGTATCGACAAAACCGGCGCTGATGCGCATTTTTATTCACAGTATTGTAAACTCCGCGTCTTTACGCACGCAATACGCAATAACAATACCAATAATACCCCTAATATGATTATCATGACCTAACTTTAAAATACATACGTAAGTATATATAATCATCGTAATAATATTATTATTAACGTTTGCGCGTGTATTTATAATATTATTGCAAACCATTTTATCGCAACAAAACGAAAGTACGTGCATACATGTATACGGAACGTCCCGCGAGGATTTATTGTGTTTTATTTACTCGCTGTTAGGTAGTATTATTTTTGTAAAGCGACGGGGGTGCGGTAAATAGTGTTTACGTTACACCATTTTATTCCATATTATATTGCCCCGTGTGAACGCGAAAAAAATTGTAGGTACTACCAGCTGTACATAAAAAAAATATTGTACGGTTTTGAATTTTAAGTCCAGTTTACAGTTGTGTTGTTGCTGGTGTTTTTGATAATTTACGTTCCAATTGTCAGCATTATTACGGTTACATAATCTTGTTTCTCGTGATCGTTGAAGTGTTAAAAGTTCATTATTTTAACTTGGTAAATTAGTATTCAATCCTGTCGTCACATTCGCAATAATGTACCGAAAACTATTATCGACACTGTTATTCGAGTTTCTAAGATTGTCGTCTTCATAAACCTATGAAAAATGGATTCGTTTTTATCAGATACTCGGTTAACCAAAGGTATATTTGGCAATATAAAAATTCTCTCGGGCGTTTTGATAAGACTCGATAATTTTTGCAAGACGGCGACGGTATGCACAATACACATATTATTATGATACATGGTTGACAAACATTAAAAAGAAAAAAAATACAATAATAACCATTGTGATTATTATAAAGAAACGAAAATTTAGCTAAAATTGTCTTTGAAAAACCAAACCAAATCCATCTCGCTGTTGAAGACAGTGTTTCGTTTATGCAATTTCTCGCTTAGACTATAAACGCATTTTAAATAGAATACATTAAGAGTAATTGTTTATTGTACGGGTTAGATTAATAATTTTTTGATTTTTTTTTTTCTGAAGAATCGAGGAAGCGTTAACAAAGAAAAATAAAATATTTTTAAAAAAACGTCTCATGTCAATTTCCTTGAAAACCTTTAGTATTTCGAATTTATTTTCGAGTTTGGTAATTAAATCGTCCCTCGGGCTTTTTTTTTTTAATAAAATCAAACTCCAAACCCTATACAAGATCAACCGATACAACATTTGTGCGGTTGTAGTAATTTTTCTCCACTGTGCATTATCCTTTTACAATAATAATTTGTATAAGTCTCTTTATCCGCGTTTCATATTCTGACTAATATATTGTAATAACAAAAGTGTATATAATACAATTGTTGCATTGAGAAATGGTATCGTATATTTTTCTGGCCGTCGCTCATTAACAAGTAAAAATTGTTCTTAAGTACTTGTTCAAAACTTTTATCGATACATATATATCATAAAGAACTGATAATATCGCACTTCGTCCATAAAAAAGTTTTCGAGAAAAATGGTAAAAGTAATCCAATCCAATCCTCTTTTGAAAGTGTTTTCTCATTTTTGGGAGGGAAAACAGTCCCATACATTTTTCAGTGTCTTTTGTTTTAGAATCTGAGCGAAGTGAAGTTTTATTGAGTTTACTACCTATATGGTTTTCATTTTTTTTTTTTTTTTTGATGTCTGGTAAACAAGTTTTCCTTTAGAAATTTTGCTCTAAATTGTATAGAAATTTTCATACAAAATGTTTGATATAAGTTACATTTATGAATTTTTTTTTTTATTTTTCATGCTATTTTCTGAATAAATGCTAATTCTAGCAATTCTTCGTACATAAGAAATAAATAAACTACGATATTAGTTATAACAATTATAAATGCTAAGTATTATAAATGGATTGTCGATCTATCGTAGCCGATGATCTATCACTTCCTGATCGTGTTATGTAAACCTGATGTTCTTTCACTAAATATTGTTTCCGGGTATTCCTCAACAATATTCCTAATAGTTTGATCCTATATTTCTAACTATTATAGGATAAAAATAAAAATTTATTGTATGCACCAGAAACTCCAAATAAGAAATTATATATTGCTATTTTTTGCATATTGAAATTATTTTAGATTTTCATAGCTATTTTTCCTATAAAGTAAAAGTCGGGTCTTATCGAGTACCCCACCTTACCCGATATTCGATTAAACCTGAAAAAACCGTTTTAAAATGAATTTCGAAATCTTCCACCGAATTGGGACGTCACATCGTGACTATGGTTAGCAGGATGCTGTATATTTATTCTGTTCGAAGTATATATTATATGTATTGGAAAATTCCAGTTCGGTACAAACTTATTTCGCGATGTCACGATTATGTGCTAAATTAAAGAACGTTAAGTTTCCCCTATGTATGCGTATTTTTTTAAAAATTTCTTGCGTGTATATTTTACGCGTAAAATTACTTTCATAATTTTTGTTGCATCGTTATTTCTATTGTATTTGTATGTTGACAACTCGCCTGCGAATTTAAATTTTTGAAAATTAATAAAATATTCAACTACTTATTTAAACAAAAACTATTAATATTTACCTAGTAATATTTCAATCTTTAAATAAATTTAATATTTCAGACCGCAGTAAAGAGGAAAAATTTAATTTCTTTAATACAAATTTTCTTTTTTTAAGTCGAGCTTTTGAATTCCCACTGTCGGATCATATAATATCCGCTATATTTTCGAACGTATATTTGAATGGTTTTCCGCGCGTATAAAGTCCTAAGCCGTGTACACGACCCTTCAGTGGACGATATTATATTATAATATTGCCTCATCCCTCGGCCCGGGTGTCGAAATAACCCGAGCCGTGAGCGGTTAAGGGATCGCCCGATGGGGACCACCGCACGTGGAGAGAGAGAGCAACACTACGTCACAACACCCGGGCCATCGATTATAAGGACATTATGCGATATTATATGAAAGAACAGTGGTGCCAGACGACTGCGAGTAAAGGGATCATTAGGGAACGCGCCCCGTCATAATAAAGGAGACGTGATTGACGTATATTATGTATAATATACGCATAATGGTTGTCACGGTTTCTGGAAACCTGGAAAAGGCAAGGAAAAACCTAATGGAACTGATTTCAGCCAGGGCGTTTGTATGAAACTCTAGAATTTTAATTTCTAATTTCAGTCTCTACTTTTGTAAGTAATAACTATTCAAAATTCAAAAAAAATATCGTTGATAATGAAAATGTTGGTGACACTGTTAAAACTATCTAAACAATTTTTAATGTCGATTTGATAATATTGTATTTTCTATCGTACTATTCTATGATGATTCCTTTAGTTAATTTCCTTTTTAGTGTTTTTTAGTATTCAACTTTAAATTAAACAATTTCAACCATTACGTTCGGCCTTTGACGAGCTCAATTTTTAACTAGGTATATTCAATCGAAAAAAAATCCTCGATTTGTTTTGTGACATCAAGCCGCGTCGTGGCGTAAGTCACGAAGACGATGGAAAGCAATTCAAAAGACCAAAAACCACAAAAAACAGATCAATGTATACTATAAAAATTAAAATGTATTCTAGGATTTTTTTAACATTCCACAGTCCGCAACAGTAAGAAATAATTTCTTACAATTTAATTTGGAAGAACTGCTATTCTATAGCCCGTAGCCCGGTAGTAGATTAATGCATTGCGTATTATTGTATACAGGGTGATCAACAGAACGTAAAACATTCATTATCTCGTAAGCATTAATTTTTTTGGAATTTCTTATTACTCCTTGTTTGAAGGAATGAAACCGTTATCAACTTTTGATTTTCAATCTACATTTAAATTTAAATTTTCATATATAGATGCAGTAATAGTTTAAGTAAATTTTACTGTTGAAATTTCAGATTTCCGTCAACCCGTTAACGAGATATTCCACTTTTGAGTTTCGGCGGGAGGAGAGTGGTGGAGCAATATTAAAACGCCATGCGGTGCACACAAACATACTTAATGCAATACTACTTACCCCCCGCCAAAACTCAAAAGTAGAATTTCTTGTCAACAGGTTAACGGAAATTTAAAATGTTAACACCAAAATTGATTTTAACTACTACTCCATCTATTTATAGAATTTTAAATATAGGTTATAATTTAAAAATAATAATAAGGTTGATAAAGAAAAAAATATTCCGAAAAAATTTGATATTTTCCAAGATATTTTACGTTATGTTGATCACTCTGTATGCCTACGTATTTGAAGATGCGGTCAACACCCCATTGTTATTTAACCTGCAATTAAATCGAAAACAGTTTCGCGTCTGATTTCTATATAAACCGCACGATCCGGGACCCTTCGTTTCCTTTTCCTGTTGAATCATGTGAGCTCTCGACAACCGTCACGTTTTCGATTTCGGTGCATAGCTTTCGAGTAGCCCGTTTCACTCAAGTCAATTCCACGAACGGCGGATATTAAAATGTTTCTTAACACAATTTGTTTTCGAAATTGAGACTTGAAAATTATAGATAGATATTTTATGACATTCATATAGAGCATTATACGGCACACGAGCGAAGTTTTACAATAAAAGCTTAAACGATTGCATAATGATTAGAAAAAAAAAAACAGAAATCGAATTCACGTTAATTCCTCCAAGATTATTGCTGGTTCGTGATAAAAAAAAAAAAAAAATCACCCTATATAATGGAATATTGTCGCGGCAGAAAACGCACAACGGTACGCATTTCGATTCGACGTGTGCGGCGATCAGCGTAATATTTAACTATATCTTTTATCTTATCTAAGATAAAAAAAAATTCATCCATCTATATATATTTATACTTGTGCAATGTTTATAGTACAAATGATATTGCATGTATTTTACCTAATAACAATAATTGTATATCTACTGGTATAAATTTAAATACATACCAAAACAATTGTGAAGGTTCATAATAATTAAAATTTACTGTGACGAGTCGCGTGAAATATTTTTTTCTTTATATTTATGCGTAATTTTGAAAATGTCTGTTCAGTTTTGGTTTAGTTATTGAGTAATTAATAATGTCTACTACCAACGGTAATTCGGTAACACGTGGCCGGTGTTTAAATAATATTGAAGTACTATGAGTAGTATCTATGGAGCGCACTCTCAACAAGTTAAGACTTAAGTGTGGGTATTACAAAAAAAAATGTATCTTTTTTTTTTTCTTTTTTTTTATCTAGATAAAAACGTATTTATCTTTAATCTTTGTCTGGATAAATTTGTATTCAGTCGGCTTTTATCTTTGCCCCGATGATTTTCTGTCGCATTACCTTGGTCTGTAGACGAAAATGTACTTATCCAATCCCCGACACTGACGGCGGCGGCGTGGTGGCGAACCATCGCGTACTATCTCGTCGTCGTCGATATTATCACGCCGCCGCCGGAGAGTCGTCGGGCATCGGACGCTGTGCATGTGCGTCGTACATACGGACCGCGCGCGTCCGCGTGTGCGCGCAAGTACAGCGCGCGGTGTTGTTTAACGCGCGCGTTTGTCGAGCACCAAAACCCTCCCACCCACGGGGCGCACTCCGCGTACGACGGCGACGGCACCGCGCGCGCACATAATATTGTCGTTCGTCGACGCGTTACGCGCGGCGAATCCCCCGGCGCCCGGGACGGCCGGCCGACTGACTTGCACGCGGCGCGGCATTTCACGGTACGCCGCGCTGGGAAACGATTACCGCGGCGTTTATAGCGCACAGCGGTCGCACGCACGCCGGTTATAGGTGCCCGTGCCGGAACGCGTACAATACACGAGCGCGTGTATGCATTTATGATATTGCTGTTATTATTGGTGCACCGTTGTTGTACTGACGCGATTAATCACGGGGAGTTTCCGCGTTTTCGCATTTTCTCGACGTCGCCGTGCGTCGTGTACACGTATGCACACACGCGTCGTATATTATTATTATTATTATTATCGGATCGGTTGGAGGGGAAACGACCCTCGGGGAAATCGGCGGCGCGGCGGTCGATCGCAAGGCCGGGGCCGGTCGGCCGGTCGGATTAGCGGAAATCGTTCTTGCCCCGCCCGCGTCTCCTCGCGCTCCCGAAACCCCTCGGCGCCGTAATTGACAATTTCGCCCCCGTATACGTACATAATATATATATATGCAGAGAGAGAGAGAGAGAGATCGTGCGGCATTGTTATCGTTATTGCCGTTGCGGCGATGGCGTATTGTGAAATATACCGCGGCGCGCGCGAGTCGTCAATCATAATATAATACGTCGATAATAATAATAATAATAATAATACAATGTAGGTTATTAAGGTGCCGGCGCGTCCATCGTTTGTCGATTACACGGCACTAGACGCCGCGGTGAACCTGTGCCCGACAACCGACGCGACCGCCGGTGACAATCGTCGCGCGAGCTTAAACGCGATACACGTGGGGCTGTCGGCGAGTTGGGTAGAGGCGGGGGGGGGNGGGGGGGGGGGGGGGGGGGGGGGGGGGGTGAGATACCCACCTATGTTCTGCGTGTGCACGACGTCGCGCGACGACACCGGGCGTATACCGCGACGTGACGCGATCATCTCGAAACGGTTTAAACGTCCGCGGCGCGAACGCGCCGTGCCGTACGGACTTCATAACGACTGCGCGTGCGACGGACCGCGCGTCGGGCCAACGCCGGTCGGAATGATTATTGGTTGAGGCGCGTCGAGAAAAGGAAAATAAGAATCGTCACTTCGCGAAAAGCCGCAGTGCAGACGTCGCGACTCCGTACGTTGTTTCGGTGGCCCGTCGAACCCGGCGTACGGGTCGGGCGATCGCCAGACCAAATTTTGCGCCGGTGACGGCGAGTGTAATGCCACGAATAATAATAATACTTAAACGAAATGCTGTTTCGCGCTGTACTTGTATACGTACAGTAATAGTGTAGTGAACGAAAACGATTTCATATTTTCCATCTCCGCCGCCGCCGCCGTGTCAAAGTCATATACGAAATGTTTTCTATACATTATTTAACGTGGTTCACGTGGCCGTATATTTGTATACGAAAGCTCGACGGTCTTAAATATTATATATGTAGTCGGTTTAATAATTTATATATTAAAGCTTGATGAACTCAATTAAAACCGCCTACAAAGTTTTGCTGCTGCGCCCCTCGCTCTCATAATTTTAATGTTAAACAAAATAATATGCAACTCTAATACAACTGTTTTACGCGAAATATTATGATAAAAGCAACAGCGGAGAGTATTAATAATAACGACTAACGGTTAATAATAATCGATAAAAACGCACGGCCAATCTTGACCGACATATTTTAATCGCTCGGGATCTCCGTGAATATTGTGTCATTACCGTTTCGGAATTGGACTATACGAAATGTTTAAATATATGCTTTTTTTACGTCACGAATTCGCATACGTTACACAGCCGTTTGTAATGAGTACCATCCCCCCCCCCAATAGTGAAACTGTACTGACAGCCCGAATTTCCGTCGGTAACGCTTTCTATTTGCCCAACTTCGAAAAGGCGGTACACGTGCATTTATTGGTTCCGTTTTACAAAGGCACGATATAGTTAAAACATACTTACGCGAACTACACAGAACTCGCTTAATTTTGGTTTTAAAATAAAAATACCTATTATAAAATCAAAAGAAAGCGAAATTCCGGAGGGCAATACGTTTCGTTTTTCCCCATTTTCTCCAAACATAACAGTCGATTTACCGTTTATAAATAACGGCTTTTCAACGTTTTTTTAATTTACTAAAACTTAAAAAAAAAAAAATGTTTTCAAAAAAACGCAACATCCTGCCCTCCGGAATATTGTTCTCTATCAATTTGATAATAGGTGCTTTTACTTTAAAAACCAAAATAATGCGAGTTCTGTTTAGTCTACGTAGGCATTTTTTTTACCATTTGTTAACAACTTTTCTACCAAATATATTCCTTCGATTTTCAAGCGTAGCATCTTTTCTGTTCTTAAATTATGTCTCTTCATTTTTTTTCTTTGTAAACTTCACAAACAAAACTTATGTCACAGTTTACTTTTCCACGCGACTCGCGACTAGAGTACATATATAGTCTGTAATTAGGCAATTTATACGTCCATGTGCGTGTCAATAAAATAATAATGGAATTGCTATTGAAATAGAACGACGAATAAGTGTTAATTTATATAAAATAAATATACCTAATTTAATTTAGTACCTACGGCGCATCTTAACGTCTGACGTGGAGTTCCGATTTGAATTTTTAAAATGGATTTGGATTCGCGACTGTATTATTTAACTTTACACAAAGTCCGATTCAATAATATTGCATCTCGATAAACAATGTTATCAGACAAAATCGTTATAGTTATTCCTACGTTTTTGCACTCGAATGTATTATTTCTTCGTGAAGACGAGATAGAGGGTGGACCTCCTACCTATTGAAAAACCGAAAAATTTCTCTACGCGTTTACTAAGTAATATAATAAATTAATATAATGGATAGTTGTTCAAATCTAACGTCCGCTCGGAATTTGTTTTTGTACGTATATATGTTTTTAACGAATATTCGTATTGTTTATCGTTTCAACTCGGGGCTGTATCGTATAAAACGGCTCCTGGCATTTGAATCCATATTTCCAGGTTCTGTATAAAGACCCCACTCGGGACTACAGTTTAGCAGGGCCGGGAAGGAGCCTTTTCTTCGATCGGTTTTTTTTATTTTTTATTTTTCGTTTGGTCGGTCGGCTGGCTCTAAATTACACTTAGCACTGCAATCGTCGTATCTTGGCAAAGAACGTTGGCAGCTGTGCATCTTAATGAGCCAATTGTGTTTTTAATCTCGTAGTTCACGAGCCCTCCATGTTGATATATATTATGTACCGGTGACGTCATCATCGGAACCACCGCCACTGCCCGTTTAACTTCCGATTCCGGTGTCTCGGGGTGTGCGCAGCGTTTCCCGACCCCGAAACCATTGCAGCAGAACCGGACGTATTATAACTATATACCCGTATATATATATAGTTAAAAAGTTATTCCCTCGGCACCCGCAATGGTTATTAAAAGACGTATAAAATATAAAATAATCACCCAAAAAGTTAATATATATATTGATTATTAGCAGTCGATTACTGTGCGGTCGGTAAACAACTTCCTTTCAAAATTTAACATTGCAGCTACTATGTCATTAACCCTAAAACGGATGAAGTATATTTATTCTAAAAATTTAAAATTTAATTCACTCTTCAACTTCGGGTCTAAAAAATATATTATTGATGTAAATAAAAAAAAGAGCTAATGAAGGTCGATCTCTGTAATGCTGCATTTTGTCGGCATCGCAACCCACGCCGCCAAAATAAAGAGCACAGGAGAATAAAATTAATAAACAACTTATTTTTGGATGTTAAAATGGTCGGATCAGAGGAAGGAAAATTGAAAACCTTGTTTAGTTATTTTTTCGAAATTTTATCATTTTAATCCGATTAACAGTTAGAATATGTACAATTATGTAAAGAAATTATAAACTTTTCTGTTTTTTTCAATTTCAAGACCTTTTTGTTCTTTTGTTGGTTAATACTTAAAATTCGATACATAAACTGCTCAACTCTATACCACAGTTTGTACCAATTTAAGCTTTACCTCCTAATATTTTGTTACTCGAAATACTATAAATGTTAAAAAATTCCGTATATCTATATATATATTTTAACCGGTATATTTTTTATTTTTTTTTTTACTGCTACTTAAAAGATACCGAAATATTGACCTTGTCAGAATTTGAGGTTTTATGGAAACGTGAACGCACGCGATATCCGTGTCACGACTTCACGAGTGAATTCCCGACCGCAAAGTTTTATAATCGCCTCCGATGATCGATTCCCTCTCAAATACGACTGCGATGATGCTATGAGGTTCTTTTTTTTTTTAAAAAGATTGCGTAGATATAAATATTATTCAAATTTCCGAGTATTCGGTTTCCATTGTTAGCTGTCGTTTCTCAAAGTTCGATTACAAACTACATCCCCCGAAACAACTACTGCGGCGGCGGTCGTAACATTTCCTTTGTCGAAGGTTTTGCGAATATTATTTTATTTGTTGTGTACTCGTTCCCAAACCGTTTAGGAATTTCTTCTTTACGCACTTGATTGCGTTGTCGTTGTCATCGTAAAAAGTAATGCGCGTTCAAAATAATATTCGTTTGCGATGGTTTTCGGGGCCTTTGTACTGAGTGTAAATATAATAGTTCGGTTTTCGACATAATAATAATAATAATATACAATTATATCGAAAATCTCATTAATATTTCAGCGTTTTATTATAATTCTTCGGGCTGCAATTTCGAATTCGTAATACTCCATGGATAACAATAAGTGCTCGTTAATTTACATTTCAATATCTCCCAATTCGATAAAAAACAAAATGTGCATACATTCATAAATGTACAAATTAAAACAATACACAACTTTTTCGGCTTTCAGTTACACTTTTTTTGAGTATGCAACATTTATGCAGTTATCAAATAAAATTACTGTGCTTTACCACTGGAATACCTATGCAAAAAAAAATCACTTCTCGTGTAATAACCTCATGAGTCATAATAAAAAATGTATTAAAGTAGATAAACAAAACAAAATGTAAAAGCCGATTTCAATATTCGAAACCTGTATTCTTATCCATGTATTGCGGCAAATCTAATGATTTCGCCCTTTAATCCCGTTAATTTCAAAATTTGTAACAGCTTGACAAAACTCGGAAAATCAGTGTAGAGGATAAAATAGAATATTAAAAAGCTTTTGAAGTGTAGAAAATGTCAATATGAAGAACTAATAAACAGAATGAATAGAAAACGAGGACTTTGACTTATCTATAGTATGTATAATTATTAAAGTCCGATGGGATAGGATAATTCAGTTTGACGAAAAGCGTCATACAGAAGAGATGACACAAAAGGTGGTATTAGAAGAGGCAGGCCAAGAGAACGGATGAATATTGAGTACACATGAAACAAATTATTATGATGAGCGTGGATAATGATAATAAGATTAGTTACGAGGATTTAAAGGAATTAATAATTCGGTATACGAAACGGCGGCGTGAAAATCCGCTGCGGCAAACCAATCGGATGATGACGAGGATAAAAGAAGAAATAATGAACAGAATTAAAACGTGTAGATTCACGCGTATTATTATAATAATAATAATATTGTACAGGTATACTATTCTAATAGATAATGACGCGTGGTGTATACCGGGTCGTCTGAGATAGTTTTATACGCGTGACGTGACAAAATCCATCATAATATTAATACTCGACATCCGCGTGTAAATAAGGGGGCTGATGATAATAAATTACAGTGTTTCGCCGAGATAAAAGATCCGCTAATTAAATTGGTCTATATAATATACGAAGGTAAACAGAGATAATAATATTATGTGTGCTCGTACCTACGCGTACTAATGGTTTTAACAATTAAAATTACGCTGCACACTGCAATTGTCTGTAACGATATTATTGCAGCCATTCCGTGCAGTCAGTGCGAACATTATTCGTAATTATATATTATGTACTTACCATTATTTATAGCAGTTTAACGAGTTGATTTTCCTTTAATGCAATCACGTCGGTAATATTATTTTATCTTCTTTTTTTTTTTATTATTTAATTGTTAGGTTTTTTTTTTTTTTTAAAAAAAATCGTTCATCATAATCCATAATAGTTGTCGTAGTCACTATAATAATATATCAACGAAAGTAAACAGTTGAACAATCAATATAAAAAATGTATTAAGTTAACGGCCGGATCCGTCGACTATTATTATATAAATGTTTCTCTGAATATAATATTGCAGTTTGTTTGTTTGATTTGGTTTTTTTTTTTTGTTGTTGTTGTTGTTTTTATTTGATCAATTAAAACAACAAAACCAATTTTTTTTCCTCTTTAAGAAAACGGCGCGGCACGTGGCACGGAGATAGTGAAAATCAGTTTTTCAAAATTCATTAACGTTCAATCTAAATGACAATGTACTACATTCCGAAACAGTTTGGTTGCATTTCATTGATTTTGGCTCATATTGTTCCAAAAGTCAATATTTCTGACTAAATTTCGGTCATTGGATCCGATGTTCGATTTTACCATTTTTTTTAATCGATGTTTTATATCATGTCCTATTTACCATAATTTAAATGTATACCGGAGGTATAAAGTGCCTATATTATACTTGATAATAATATAGGAAAAGTTTTTCAATAATGAAATCATTATGTTGCATTATCCAACACAATCTAAATATTTTGAAACCACCAATCACGTACCGTGAATTTTCAATGGGATGGGATTTAGTAAATAATAATCATAATTCATGAGTTAGACGTCGAATTGAAATTGTACAATAATATCTAACCCGATAATGAGCATCTAAATTCCGAATCTAAAATTATTCGATAATTAATTTATCTATTTTTATTTGATATTTAAATAAAATATATGATTCAAAGAAAAATAACTTATATAAACACTCATATAGTTGTTGTAGTTTTTAAGCCAAGGAGTGAGAGTATATTATTACCTTATCGCATGACCTCTACGCACCTCACGATATTCAAAAACCTTCCGACTGATTCGTCGTTGAATTTTTTAAGACGATGTTATAATAATATAGCAATATTCTATACCTACGTATAAAAATGTACACATATTTTCAATTCCCCTATTATGCTTATCTCGAATTCGAGTGCCATGTGAGTAATACGAGTCGAGCTGAATTTTCACACATATACATACGTGGTGTCAACGTTATATCTTCGTATATAGAGATTCGTTGACGTGACATGAATGCCCGATATGCTCGTGTATGAATAATATGAAAAACGTATGGAAAAATTGCGATTTCGAAAACATTTCCGAACGTGACGGACTGAAAAAAAATCCATGCGCGGTGACGTTTCGAAAAATACACGCGACTATAGAAAAAAAACAATTGATTACGAAAAACGTTGCAGTCGTCAACTAGTTGTCTGTGTGGTGCTTTTTAGATATCCCCAGAAGATTGCGATACGTCATCCGGTTCATAATAATAAAAATATACCACTCGACCGTAAAAATTATACCGCACTAAAGTATGCAATTTGATATTCAATATGATTTCCGTAAATATAATATATAATATTATCGAATATAGGAGAAAAATATGATAGAGGCGTTCGAAATGCGTTACTGTTATTCAAAAAGATACAAAATAATATAAGTCGTGTGTTGAACCAATGGGGTCACTATAATCATATTGGTTCTTACCAGGCAACTGAATATTACCAGGCACTTTGATTTTTATCATTTCTTGATACCATATTGATAGTTGAATATCTGTATATAAAAACAAATGTATGAACTACGCATTTGCAGAAATTTCCATTACCGAATTGCTGCATTCGACATTCGTCCCATAGTATCCACCATATATATTTTTTTCTAAGAACACACATCTCAGTAACCTGCATTGAATAATTTTAAACATAAAAGTAGGATTAAATAATATTTGGTTTAATTTTGACGATAGATAATTTGTACTTTATTAGTATTACGTGTAAAAAAAATGCAAACAAAAAAAAAACACTTTAACCAGCTAGACAAAATTTGGTACCAAAAACTAATCTTAAAGTTGATGATCGAAACACTGGTAAAGAAATTGTGTTTACGGTCAAAAAAACAAAATAAATATAATTTCCAAATAAATGATCTAAAAATGCTTACAACTCGTGTGTCACTCGGAGATTTTCTTCGACTTTTGACACTATAAATTTATAACAAACTAAAACACCTGACTATCAATAATATTAATTTTACAAAAAAGTAAATAGCCGTTTATTATTGTACGATTGATAAATAACGGTTTTGGAATTATTAAACACGCATCAGTTATCGGTATCTGGTTCAATTACAAAAACGTTTACTAGTTTCTATCGGAAATTTTAAACAAAACGTATCTTCACACGTCGTGCGCTATTAAACTGTTAGTTCTTCCGATCCAATGAGTTTTTTCACTTATTATTACAATTTTTTTGTTTAAAATTCATAACGTGCACAGTCACGTCGCATCCACTTGTCCGAACTGAACCCTCAACCTTTTCCGATTCGTTCGTATTTCGTTTATACAGCTTCCCCCCCCCCCTATATCTAAAATACACCTATACGTGTACGATAATAACAATATGATATATTTATATTTGTGTGCATACGTGCGGGGGAGTGTGAACGGCGCCGTGGTGTCCAGCCAGGAAGAGCTTATAACCGGAACGCGATCTCCGGTCGAGCCGTTACAATTATCGCGTACATAACACGCGCCGCCCCACTATAAAAGTCACACGACTCTGCGGCCATTTCGTTCTTTAAAATCCGGATTATCTATACACAATAACGTTCGATATAATATTATAGTACGATCGAATGCCGACGGAGAGGTTCGTCTTTATATATACCCCTCCCCGAACAAAGAGTTTAAGGAGCGAATAACGAAACGTCGTGGCTGTCGCCCCGTAAAATCGATGTGGTTCATAAACACCATGAGAGTGCCACGAACCTTCGAATGTCGGTCTCAGTTGTCTTTGGCCAATGCGCTACGGAGTTTTTTCCACGGGTTATTTGTAATAATTGCGGGGGAATAAAATTTGTCTAAACAAACAATTTGGGATTTTTAAAAAGTCTATATTAAAAACAGTCAATTTTACTTATTCCGATATTGTGTTATGAATACTCAAATGAAGCGATAAATATTTGAATCTGATAAAAAAAAAAATAACGATAAATTATATCCGTTATTGAGAATCGCTTTTTAAAATATCGTGAGACCTCGCACAAGGTAATAAGTGATTAATAAGTGCACGTTCTACACCGCGATATATGTATGCTAAATGATTAAAAAGTTTAAATGTCTAAAACAATCATATAAAAAAATAGTAAGTTTATGGAATTATGATAATTGTGATATAATGTTTAATAATTATGGACAATTTTAGTAATACATACATTTTTTCAAAATAAATCGCCCGCGTATAATCTAAAATGTCCTGGGCAAATGCTATCCGGATTATTTTATCATTATTATTATAGTTTTCGCATATTATTTTTCAGTATTCTTCATATGTATTATCCCGGCCTCCACACGTACATTATATATATTATGCACTATCGGGGCTTCGAATATGACTTGTATTTTTTTAATTTTTTATTAGAGAAAGGTTAAAAGTTCAACATAAATTGCCATGACCCTGCAGTGACGTAGGAGTGCATAACATATTATTATTATTATATGGAATTTCTATATAATAATTATATGCCGTTCTGGGTCTGGTTTATCAAAGTTTGGTGCAGTTCGTAATCTACATATATTAGAAACTAAAAAGAACTTTCGACGTACTGCAGTGGAGAAATATAAATTTCGTGTTACCACATTTGTCCTCTGTGGCCTGGAGGTGTATAGCGAGTAATAAACCTGCTGTATTATTATTATTAAACTTACCGCGGCGAATATTTTATTCCCCCGTTGAATATAATATTATATATGAACACCTCAATATAAATCATCGTGTGCTAGTTTTTTATCGGATATTTTTAACAGGGTAAAACGTCATTAAAACCCAACTCAAACATTGCTCTTCGTATCCAGGGACGAACAAACCGATTTTTTATAGACGTGTCCAGAACTCTTTAAGTCTGCTAAGGTGGATTGTACATTTTATTTGTATATAATATGTACGGGTACATTGGTTTAACTATGATGTATGTTTTTTCGTGTCTTCAGACAACATTTTTACAAAAAAAACTTTAAAAGAACTTTTTTTTTAAATGTTTGATCTAGTTGTTGCATTAGGAGGTAATTTTAGAATCTGAAAATTTGTTCCGGTTTTCAAGTGTAATACTTTTTCTAAAAGTAAATTTAACTGGGATGGTACTTTAAGAAGGTCATTTTTTCATTTGGGAAAAACGGAAAAATGTATTATTTTCAAATCGTAAGTATTACTTAAATATGTATACAAAATATATATAACCGAACTCCGCTTAGAATCATATTTCGTTAGCAAAGATTAATCGTTGCATGCATTATGATATACGTTAAATTACATTAAATTTCTATCTTCCTAACTTCTCACCTACAACAGTAGCCAACCCTTCGTGTGAAGTATGTCCGTTTGTTTTTGAATTTCCCTTTGAGTTTTCTTTATAAATATGAAAAACTAATAATTGTTTATTTGTTTTTCATTGATTACTAAGGTAACTCAGAACCTTAGTAGCAAGGGGAAAAATTAGACTTATAATACTCTGTTCAGTATTCTTTTTCATTAGCAATAAATTATTTTTGCGAACACATGTACATTTTATTACTCAATATTTTATTTTATTTATTTATTTATTTAAATATTTACAAACATACAATTACAATACTTTAATTATATAACATTAATTAAAATTATTATTACACCTCTATTGTAAAATTCACACTTTATACATTTGTATAATGTATGCGAATGTCGTCAGATGTGCGCGTTCCGTTTCGGTTTATTTCTTTTTATCAACTACTAACAGCCAATTAACAAAAAAAATAATAATAATCATTTCATCTTGAAAAATCATATCATATTTATCTATATACACATACAAGGTATTATATAGGACAAAGATATACAAACGTCCGTAATTTACGGAAATTGGATATGTAAAAATCGATTAGGTCGGGCTAAAAAAAATCCGTGTACGTATTTTAATCTTATCTGCGTATATCCGTGTGAAGTTCAAAGAAACCGTTTTTTTTCCGCTAAGTCAATGCCGCGAAATTTACGTGATGTGTTTGACTTGTGTCTTCTACAGGTGAAACGATATCAAGTTTGCCGGAAAAATTTACCGTTAAAAGAAAATAAGTTCCTTCCTTTTTATTTTCCTATCCCCGCACGAATGTTCCGCTATATCCGTACAGTTTGTGTGTAAAACATGTAAATTTATGTTTCAAAAGTGAATTTTTACGCGCGGAGTCCAAAGAAAAAAAAACAACAAACGCTTTCGACGCGTTTCCGGGGTGCGCTTATTGGATTTCAGAAGGTGACGGTCGGGGAAAAGGGTCGTGGGCGGCGATTCTATGGCTTCTCCTCGAGGGAAAAAATAATAAACGCATTGTGTTTCATAAATCTAAAGGTTCGCAACCAGAGGCAGAGGCCGTCGAAAATCTCCGCGCCTGGCGTCGGTGTCGTTTGGTTTCGGTCGAGAACTTAATATAAATACATATAAAGTATATGTATATTATAAACATATTTTTTTTTATTTTTTCCCACTATTCATTATTTTATTATTAAAAAAAGAGAATTGTTTCTGGTAATTTTCTATTTTATCCCCGCCTTTTGTGTGTGTGTATGTATTTTGTTATATTTCTGTCAGTCGGACGACGCTCATCGAGAATATGTTTATTATTATTATAAATTATAAATAAACAAAAAACTCTGTCATCGTTCTTCAGTTTTGCATTCTCTAGACGTCAGGCGATCGTTGGAAGTTGTTCAAAAATCAAGCCGAAAAATGTCCTTCAAGCCAGATATTTTGATTGAACGTAGAACACTCCATTGCTCCATAATATTATGTACTATATACTTTTACCGGAATTTTCTTTTCGACTACTTTAATTAAGATCATCTAATACATGGTTACTCAAAGTCTCAAACTTCGTAATATTTACTCAGGTACTCTTATTTATTTTGCCCGCCTCGTCTCATAAATATTCGTTATCTCTTATCATTGATGTTTTTTTGGGCTGGGTGAACAAAATACAAATGCGCTTTTCCAGACACCTTTACGCGGTCAGCCGCACGGTGTGTTTGTGTGAATATGTATGTTTTTAGCTCAGTCAGAGTGGTTGGGTTCGCCGCGCAAAGCTGAGGAGCTACGTGATGGCGGTGGGTATATATGTGTGTATATATGTAGGTATGTGTCTTAAATACTAAAGAAAAAGGGTAACTAGATAAATATTAACTCAAAATGCGGTGATGCCTAACTAAAGCCGGGTTCACACGGAGTCGTAAACTGGACGAGAATACTACTGTTAGAATAGTTAGTCGTAATCACTACCTGGTGTGAACTGGTAGTCGTGGTAGTGGGAGTCGTCAACGACCAAAAATAGGTCGGTCGTGATTACTCCGCCATGTTGGAGTGAACACGACCGGTTTAGTCACCCACCAAATGTGAAGTTTCTAACGTATATGTTTCGATTTTTGTCCCAATGAAATAATAAAATTTACTATAATTTATTAATTAAATAAATTAATACATTTTATTTTTATGTAATAATAATTTATAACATTTCCTACGTCAGCGTACAAAATGTCAGTGTACAAAATGAATACAAAACAAACAAATCAATTTGTTGAATTGTATCGCGATGCGGAACGTTTGTGGAAATTAAATTCTGAAGTGTACAAAGACAGAGATGCAAGAGATAGAGCCTTAAAAAAAATATACACAAATAAATAAAAAACGTATAATGAACAACTACATGTCAGCGGCGGTTCGTTTCTGGTCGCAACGCCTTTCAGACACTAATTCGTGTGAACTGGAGGTCGTATATTGGAAATTTGGATGCGCGATTCTAATATTGTGCCTATCAATCGGCGCCAACAGATGTTATCGTCGTTATAGTATTATTTCGTGATATGGACCCCTCCCCCCCTCCCCGGTTTTTTCGTACTACAGGATACTGATTTGAATATAATAATAATCATAATAATAGTACAAAAAAGAATACCCTTCGTCGCCGTGTAATCTCGTGGCCCATGTTCTCCGCGCTTAGAAATCCGCGGAGGAGGGAGCCTGTAAATTCGACCGTAATTAACCGACGGGGGCGGAAGGCGGCGCCTTCGGAAACGTGTCGCATTAATCAAAACTCGGGGAAAACCGTCGCCGCCAAACGCCGCCCGAGGACGAGATAATATTCGAAGAACATTCGCTCGCCCACAGCGTGCACAACATCCATAGCCTTTGTCGTCATCCCCGCATCCGAGTCCGAGGACCTCTCCTTCCCATTCCACCTACCGCCACAACCGCTTTGGCAGTCTCCGAAATATTAATCGCGTTATTGTATATTCAATAAGTATTCTGCAATCGTACGGGAATCGAAAAACCAAATAAACATCGTCGTTGGCCAATCGCGAAGATAAAAAGCAGGGTACCTGTACGAATATTTAGAATTAAATAAAATCAAATATAGGTCTAGGCAACAAATTGTTATTTGTGTACTCAAAATTATAATATACAAGGTGTCCCACGAGGATTCGACAAATGCAATAACTTTTGTTTTATTCAATATTTTTAGTACAAACATTTTTTTTTAATTTTACTATAATTTTTTTAAAAAAATTCAAAATATCCTGACTAATAGCTGATAACTGAATAACTACAGTAGGTAATATTCACATTTTCAAAAACTTCAAAAAATCGTAGAAAATAAAAGACTATACTATAACAAAGTTTCAACCATCAACAATTTTCTAAAATGTTTTATTTTAAAATCCTCCCTCTAAAAAAAAAATGTCCACGTATATAAACTATAACGTTGAGGCATACTAATTATTTACAAAAAAAGGAATATCAAAATTGTTGAATAGAACAAGAGTTATTGCATTTGTCGAATCCTTGTTGGACACCCTGTATTGGGATTACTTCAGGGCAGATACTTTATATGAACAATTTTTTTTTAGATATCCGACAATTTAAAAAATAATAATAATTTAAACAAGATAATATTTTAATTTTGTATATTGCAACATGAATCGCGTGTATCCCATAGTATGCTTTGAAAATAAAAACGACCGACGACGTTCTAAACGAAATAAAATTTCAACAAGTTCTAACGAAATATAGCAAAACATAATAGTGGCGAAGTATATTAATGAAAAAAAAAAAATCCTTTTTATCGGTTTATATTTTACGTTATCGAATCCGTATATAATAAATTATTAACTTACCTACCTATATTCAAAGTAAAGTTTCCAATATTTTGTAAGCAACGTTTTCCTATATATATTATATTATTATTTTTCTAACTTTTCGTTTATTTTTTATACGTTCTCTGGCCGAAAAAGTATCTTTTGTACAAACACAAATGTTGTGTTTCGCTATATACAGTTTTTTATTATTATTATTTATTTTTTTTTTTTTTTTATCTCCCGGGTAGTTCGTTTTTCATCTCTCGGGCGTAAAAATAAAAAATATTAGGATTTTCGCGTTACACGGGTTGTTGTGCGGTATATATACAAGACCTATGGGACTTGTCTACGATCATAAACGGATGTATTATAATCCGTTTTTAAGCTTGTTGCTCAATTTGGATTTACGACGGCTAAGGGTGTACCTTATAGCTAAAGATTTATGTGGTCGTATTGTCACAATACGAATATAAATACATATAATACCATTAATAATATCTATGAATCATATGGATCTTTTGTCCCAGGGAAGAAGAGCTTAAGTCAAATTTGGAATTTGTTTTTGTTTTTTCATAAAAATTACGTGTTTTATATAAATTTGTCTCCTTTATTTTTTGATCTAAATGGCATACGAGCAATTTGACCTGTATTCAAACACATGTATTATTGTACTCATAATTAAAATATCTCAACTCACTATGATGTAGTTATTGTTTGACAAAGAAACATAAGTCGTATAATTATATGACTGAAGCCTTAGTGGGCTGAACAGACTTAACGCCAACGATTGCCTGATGTCATCACTCATTTAAGAATTATGCCATTAAACGATCTGTTAAGCAGTTTTAAAAAGTTAAATTTCTTTTATTGTAAAACTATACAAAAATTGACTAAAGTTCTTCTTTCCTATATAGAACAAAAAATATAATACATCATTGAGAAGTTCCGAGCTAGATTAAAGAAAATTTTACAATTTGTTTTTTCCTTAAAAGAAAATGATACTTGCATGGACGTACTATCTCCGTCTAATAAATCTATTTTTGTATTGTGATATTTCTCTTACTAACAACGCATATCTCGCTAATTAAAATACCGATAAAAAACCAACGTTTCATATTTTCCAATCTAATCTAGCCAAACAATAATGTACGTTAAAGTATAATAATTATCCATCATATTTCATGCCTAAACTAACCGTAAACTATTTCCACCAATATGCGATCGGTGCAGGAAATATTAAGCTATTTATTTATGCCGGCGCGTTGTATAGGCAAATTCGATACACTCGCGCACGTGTGCCGTCAAACATGATTCACGAGTTCGTATATAGTTTGTGTAGGTATATTATTATGTATATTATTGTTTTACCGAGGGTAGGGAAAAAAATACTAACTTGTCGTAAAAATACTTTCCCTCCAGTTTCACGTTTTGCACTTCTACTTATGTCAAATCATGTATATATAGGTATACGAATCGATTTAAATCCCTGGCGGAATGTCGCGAGAAAAAACTGCAAGATCCAGAGTGGCTTTATTCGTTATTTCATTATTATTATTATTATTATATACTCGGGTATAAGTTATTGCTTTATTAGAATGTAAAAGAAAAAAAAAATTAAATAGTTCATAATAAAACATAATTCTCTATTAAATCCGATTTATACGTTTTATTATTTTTGTTCAATATAGGTATTTACCTAAAGATATCTTACAGTCTAAAATCGCGAATTTCAAATAGCAGAATGACATTTTCTTCTTTTTCATATATTTAAAATCGATTTATTTAATAACTCACATAAATACGGATAAAAAAAAACTATATTTGGTTTAGGAAAACATAACTAACCTAATTTTCGAGAAAAAAACGATCTATCGTACTTAATGATTTTATCACCGACTACTATAAATTAATTATTATTTTTGAATTAAATCGCGTTTCTTATTTTATTTTTTTCAAATTTCCTTTTTAATTATAATTTTTATCAATCACGGTAATCATTTGAAATGATTTAATTTTACAAATAATGTAAAATGATTTACACAACTTGAGAAATCCTAAACCGATTTCATGGTTTCGAAATCAATGTGTAATTTATTAATACATAGACAAAATAAATTCTTTTGTGTCTAAATTTTGGTAATTTATCAATCGTCTCATCAAAAACCATAGAATATTGATGACGGACAAATACTGCGATTTATTAACGGAAAAAAAAATTAAATGTGATATTTTCCGATGATTTTCCTCGTATTGGCGTATTTTGTTTTATTATTTTGTGTATAGAAATATATTTTTCATTCAAATGTGTATGGGGAAACGAGAGCTTCCGGCTTTTCTTCTCGGATCAAACGTATAAATAAATAAAATAGGCGGCTGAGTAAAATTGAATTGCAGAAAACAGTTGCCGTTCCCACTCGTACATACGAGATTACTTTTGGCACGACAAAATATTATTGTGCACGATATTCTCTTACACGACATATTTTATTATCCGACTTTCTTCGAAAAATTATTGTGGACATCACACGTGAATCACTTATAATAACCTTACATTTTGCTGATACTGCTGATGAGAATGTATTTTAGAAGGCAAGTTGAAATAGATTATATAATTTATACCCATACGCAACGATAAATCATTAATAACAAAAAACAATTCTTACCAGAGTATTATTAATCATATTTTTATTATTTTTTTTTTTTTTTGCCGAAGTAGCTCAGAAATTAATAAACATTTACAATAACTTGCCAGTTTTTTTTTTTCCATTTATTAATGACAGTACAAAGAAAACTAATAAATACCTCCTCAATACACCAACTAGATCAAAAATGCTATCTAAAATTATGTTTTGTTGAAATAGAGTCCTTTTTATTTTTATTTAACGTGTCAATTTAAATTTCAAACTTCTTACGATATCATAAATTATATACATTATGTAATCCTGTCCAGATCTAAACATAATGTTATCCTTTTATTTTCCTTAATTAAAAGCGATTCATAAAATATAAACTTTGAAAAACGTACAAATTAAACTCGCGTTATTGCAGTATTCGCGGATATCATCAAAATAGGATTATTAAAGTTGAATTTTCTACGCTACTTATACTTATGTATAAAATATTATAACGCTCGATTCATCGAAAACATCGTGTTTTGTTTTAAGTTTCGACGATACAGGAGTTCGTAACAAAATACATTAAACTCGAACAAAGTTTATTTTTTTTTTTTTTTTTACATATATAATATTACCTAAAAAGCTAAAATATGTATACCAGTCACGCACGCGAGTAGCTGGTATTATAATACGATAAAATTATCTCATCATTGTCCAGTATATGATAAGTATTAGATTTTATCGCGTGTTCCATGTTACATAAAATATAATATAAAACATATCGGTTAATTTATTTAAATCAAAATATTTCAATAAAACTTTGTCTAATATAAAATCAATTTACTTTAACTTTAAAAATAATAAAAACACATATACATATATATAGTTTTTAAATATATTCGTACATATCTGTAACTCATAAAGAAAAAAAATAGCGTATTTCTTTGTTTTAGTTTTCTCAATATTTTAAAAGTTATACTATAATATAAACAATCAGAGTTAATTTTGAAGTTTTTCTCCATCATCCCTTATTCTCTCAGTTTTCCCTTATTCTTAAGAAAACTACGGGGAAAAATCAAAAAATACCTATTCAACCAAAAACCACCACTAAATTTGATTCGGAGCAATATTCTGATTGAAAAGTTGTTTACAGATAGACAAACTAGTTTAAAGAAGTCGTAGTGAGTATATGCCTTCACTGGTTAGGTTAAGTTAAATAATTGCAATGGACGCTAATTTTGTTTTATCTTCAAAATTCGAGCACTGTCTTTAATCGAGTATCTTATACACATTAAACATTATACATATTACACATATTATTTATAATACTATGCGTATTTTATAGGATTGTCAGCTCGTCTAACTTGTGAAATAGTAAAAATTTCGAGCGAAAAGTGTAGGATTATTTATACATAATATATATATATTATATATGTGCTATAATTGAGTAAAGATACAGTGAATTTCCGAGTATAGTGCGGTGTTGGAGGAGAAACACGGTTTCTCGGTAATAGGTGTATAGGTTGGTATAATTTATAGGTATGTTTATATGTATGTGGATTATATAAAATAACGAAAATACTTTGAAAAAGACAAAACAGAAACCAGCAAGAAGGCTGAGTACATCCCTGAATAGAGGGGAAGGAGAGCATTAATGAACTCGTATGACGAATTTCTGAAGGATAATGACTATCGAGGAGAGGCGTATTTTATAATTTATATTTATATAACTATAGTAGAGGTATTTTAAGGATGAAAGGACGATTGCAACATATTATTATAATAATTGCGTCGAGTCTATTATTATTATTATATTATACACTGTAATCTGTTATATTTATATTGCTAAATTTTTTTTAATGCGATTTATATAAAACCCGTATTTCGGGAATCTCTAGGAAACATAAATTTCGACTAGTATTTTTGTTGAACGTTCTCCGAGACAATTATGCTGTATTGTGTTTGTTTTTCCCACTACTTTTGGACACTATTAGAAGCTCCCTATGGACCAAACTAACTCAAACTCCGGAATTTATTAACTGATTGAAGTTATAACATTTTTGTTGAATTGCAGTATGAATCTCAGTCTTATTGTAGGAGGAGGGTATTTTCTTAACTTTTTACACCGTAAATAAAACCGAAAAATCACAATTGTGTATGTGCACAATTAAAGTATCAAAGACGTGCTTTTTAAGTGTATCAACCTTAAACCCTTACCTCAGGCACGGATCCAGAGCAAATATCTGGAAGGGGGCCAACTATTTTTTTTTACAACACAAATGCAATTAAAATATAATATATTATTTTATCATATATATTAGTGATTGTTATATAGTAATATTAATATTCTATAGATCTTGATCTATAGAATTATATATAAAAAAAAAAAAAAAAAAAAAAAAAAATAATATATCTGGAGGGACTCTGGGTCCCTAGGCCCCCCTAGATCCATCCTTGCCTAACCTCGGCCTATTTCATGTTTTCACTTGAAATTCCAGGTATTTTAACTGTCCTCCTGAGAGTACAGACTAAAATGTACTTTGGCTACTATAACTATTTTAGATAAATTATAAAAAACAAAATAAAATATTATAAAGGTAACAAGGCGCGTGAATGAAAATTCTACTCTAGCTCCGCTGCTCAAATATAGGTGTTTTGCTGTTATTATTTACATCACAATGTATCCAAACATTTTTATTGAACATTACTTGGTTATCAATTTTATCTATATAGTCTATACGTTAATAGATTTTCCGAAATAAATCGTGTTGTATAATTGTTACAGTTATTGTATAGTATTGCAGAATAATTAATAATATCATACACGGTTCGTGTTTTACAAATTTTTACGCTATTAATTAATATAATATATTACAGTATATACATTATTTAGTAATACTGTTAAATATTATTTAAGGTTTGGTTTTATAAAGTTGTTGAAAATTTTGATTTTTTTTAATGATTATCAGTTTCCCGCATTTATATACACCTTACTAACTATATTATAATATTTCAATACGGTTTAACAACACGAACAAAACACTGTTATACATTTTAAATCAAGAAACACAGTAGATAATACTAATTATATTGTCAAAATACGTTCTCCGAAATGGCTTAAAAACGTTAGAAATGAACATGTCATTTGGAAATATTTTTAAACCGAAAAACCCTGCATTTTTCGCAGCATGGATGTGCCACATCTGTTATGAGTTGTTAAAAGTTCAAGGAAGTTGGGAGTGTAAAATAATATAGTTGAAAATAAAAATTATTCCTAATGAAAAACGATTCTAAATAAAATTCGGTTAAACATGTTTTTATAAAATAAAATTGGAAATTGTATTCATTGTAACTAAAAATTTAGAAATGTTACTTGTAGATTTTCGATAAAATCATAGTGCTCTAAAAACAACTTATATGATAACCTTGTATCACATTTTTCGAGCATTTAAATGCAAACACATTTATAATTACATCATAAAACCAACTAGAAAATAAAAGACTTGACATTTTCAAATAACTATAAATAACTAAAACACAACCAATACATTCTATGCTTTGGTCAGAATATAAAGTAATAATATATTCGGTGAAAATGTAAGGTCTTAAGATCATTTTGAATCAAATTATAAAGAAAAGTATTGTCTAAGAGAGTATCGCGTAAATATTTCTGTTTGTCCGGATTTTCTCTATTATTAAAAAACCAACAAGGAAAATCAAAATGACCTTATCCCCATGCACGAGCTAGACAACAGACAAGAAAAAAAATATAAAATAAAAATACACACATCATAGTAAAACCAATAATACATTCCTCTAAACAACATACATTGGCTTAACACTATAGTGTTGGGTCTAACGAAAACTGAGAGGAAACGAATTATAATACACGTTCTATCTGACAACATATAATAACATATTGCACGAAAAAGGACAGCAAACCGGATCACACATTTTATTACCGCCGTTGTTTCTCTTACCCGGTATCCGATTGAATGTAGGTATAAAATATTCTAGAAACGGACTATAGATTCTATAGGGAGTCCGAACACCGACAACGACAACGGCAACAACAATACATACGGTGGCGGTAAATCGCGGTACGTTTAGGGGCGAACGGCGGCGTAGTGATCGATTAGCGTGGCAACCATCCACTGTCTAGTTCAGGAAGAGCGGGAAGTCCCTTCAATTATGGGAATTAATCTGCCTGACCAACCTCAGGGTCCTCCATCAAATGCCTCCCCCACACCCGTCGATCCGAATATTCCCGAACACTGGCCGCACTAGCCATAATCATCGCATCGTGTGTGTATAACAATATTATTCGGACTTCCACAAGCCTTTTCCCCTTGGATAGGTATTTTCAGTACGGCCCGGTCAAATTAGTGGCGGCGTGAGTCGTATGGAAAATACGATCAAATTTTTTTCTCGGTTTTTTTTAATTAGTTCCGTGCCTTTTTTATAGTATAACCCGAACCCACCATGTGTTGCTGTAAAAGCTAACCCAGCTATGCAATTATGTGTTCCAAAATTTGGCGTTCTCGAGTACGCGTATTGACACGGGTATAAATCTAGAAGGGAGGGGAAAAATGTCAATTAGTCAAAATCTTGATGGAACATTGTCCATTGATATTTTGTAAATAATCAGCTAACTAACGCACGGCATTAAATAATACGATTTTTATTTTTTCATACGTACGTGTCACCAGATTAACCTCTAATCAAATAAACAAAAACAAATATACATTGACCTGATCAGTATGTAATTTCCTAAAATTATCTCCTTGTTGCGTATGTATCTATTATACAAAGAACATTCATGCAAAATTCAAATTTTTAAATACAGTCGTTTTTATGATGCAGTGATGAATCATTCAGTAAGGCAATCAGTTCAGTCAGCGGTATTGAGCTTTTATATTATATATATATATATGTGCTCAAAAACTATTTTAAACGCTTTTTACATTAGAATAGTCTAAATTATGAAATATTATTTATGTTAATAGACAATTTTAATGACAGAGATTTTTAATCAACACCTCTTTTTATAACGACTACTGTGGGAAAGGTTTGAAGCCCTTATATTCCCTTTTGGTTTACGGCATATACTTACTAGATATCTCAAAACTATTTCTAAACGTTAATGCAAAATTCACACCATTATTTATTTTACAGAATTTACGGTTTATCGAAAACAAATTTTCATTGTAATAAATGAAGGACCATTTTAGTAACAAGAATTATGATTTTTTTTTTTTCAAAATTTTATGATTTTCTTCTCAAATATACCTGCAAGTAGCTGCCATAAAAAATACATATTATTATTACCCGTTTTAATCATGCATTTCTATCTGAAAAAACCATCTAAATTAAATGTATCCTCTACAAAAATGTATGAAATAAAAACTTGAATGAAAACCTTATACAGTTCAAAAGCCTACTGTACTGTACATGTGGAAGTAATGGGAACGTCCTTTTTACCGTCTAGCTCTTTTTTTTTTTATCGGTTTTATTTAAACGTAGTTTTGGAAAGAAACATAGTGCGTTTTATATTTTGTACGAAGTGAAGTTATACTATATGTATACATAATACATGTATATACATACATGTACATTGTATGTCTTATGCGTGTTTTTCCCCTCCGACGAATACTTTTTAGTGCAACGGGTATACATCAAATTTATTTAAATTTTTTTTTTCGCAAATAGGTTTTTTGTAAACTGTAAACACAGCTATGTGCAGTTCTTTGGAAAAGTGTTTTCTGTTCGATTCTTTAAAAATTAAGAAAATCCATGAAACTTATGAAAAAAAGTATACAAATAAACTAGCGATTCAATTTTAATTTGTATAGCTCTCTCTCCGTTTGGAATCTTTTTCCGAATACGCGATCAAATTTGGATAAAATACAGCTCTAACAATAATAACACTACGGTTGACAGTCGATTGCTTCAACTCGTCATCGGTGAAAGTAAAATTATTAAACTTTGAATACAATTATTACCGTTTGATTTTAATAATAATAAGTCGATGTTTATTATTTATTTTTTTTATTTTTTTTTTTTATCATACGTCGGCGAAACGGTTGTCATTCAGGAAATTTCAATATTTTCAATTAAAAACGTTTTTTACTTCGACGGGACCTTGTTATCATATTTTATACCTGGTGTACCAATTCGTGACGACAAATATAATATGTGTAATATGAATAGAAGAAAAAACAAAACAAATGTTTATATTTACCATTGTCAGCAAACTTGTATTTGTTTCATCCAACGAAATATATAACGTATTATCGCCCTTGGAAAATTCAATTTCAAATGGAAAATTCGTTGCAGGAGCACTCGCGCTCTGTGGTATTTGTTTTCCGAATAAATATTGGTTTATATGAAAAACAAATATAATATTTTGAACATTTCAAACAAATGTCTATCTCTCCGTATTTTATTTTTCGTTATCTATAATTATAATAATAATGTGAATATAGGACAATTATGAATACATTGATAAATTGATAAAGGCATTTTATATTAAGTAGTATATGTTAATATCGATTACTATTCATCGTTCTTTTATATGGATAAAGATGTCTTAATATATTTTTTCGTTTCAAATTATTCTCCTGGACAATTTTAAAAATAAAAGTTAACACTTATATCAACTACTGACCCATTCAATTATTGCATGGTGTTTATAGTGTATATTTGTTTTTTACAGGAAATATCCGGACAATGGTGGTTCTAGATGTGGAAACGAAATCGTCGTATTGGCTGACCGTGATGGCTTTTGACCACGCGACTGTTCCGTTGCACTCCCGTCTCGAGGTAAATATCTCCTAGCTGCAGTTCACCATAGTTTACATTAATTATTTAGTTACTAATCTAACTTTATATTTGAACTGCCACCATCATTGCCGATTACCTGCCAAACTCCAAACTCTTGTGCGTCGGTGGGTAGATGATACTTACTCTGCCTGTTTTGCGCATCCTATACATATATATATATATATATATATAACTGTATATATATACAGTTCACGCTAAAAAGTACCACTAAATATTTCAGTTGGATGACCTAGTATTAAAATGGAAATTTCGGGAAATGATAGAGAATACCCAAATACACATTTTCATACAAATTTTAAATTGTTAACCCTTTTGGTACGTGCATTCACATACAACTTTTTTGAACAGCAACATCGTTTTTTTTCTATAGATTAGGAGAGAGTATTTTTTTGAAAACAATTTTTGTATAAAAAGTTTATTTCTAATTACAAAAATGATAAAATTATAGTAAGTTGAAATTTAATATTTACGAATAATTTGCAATTGGCGAAATTTTAACTATGTTAAACTTTTATATTAGCTTATCGAAATGACGATATCTCCGATATTGTGAAATACCAGTTTGTAGACAGATAAAACACAAATAATTAGTTAAGTTCTTTTTATGGGGGCATTTAAAAAATATTGTATGTGTGGATCCTCCTAATAATGTCCAAGATTAAAAATACAAATTACAAGTAGCATGTAATAATTTGAGAGAAGAGCAAATAAACGCTGCCACATTAAGATAATTTTTAAACCGTTTGGAATACAAAGGTGGAAACTTTGAACAATTTATTTGATAAAACAACAGTTGCAAATAAATATATCTTAATTTCAAATTCATAGTGTGTACATTTTTATACTTTCATCACTTTCAATTTTTTTCGGAAGAATAAATGGAAAAAATAAGAGTAAATTACGAAAACAAAAAAGTGTTTATTTATGTCTTATATCTATCTACAAACAGGTATTTCAAAATATCGGAGATATCATTTCGATTTTCGAGTATAAGTTGAACATAGTTAAAATTTCAACATACTATAACCAATTTTGTAATTAGAAAAAACTTTTTATACAAAAATTATTTTTTTAAAAAAAAGTAAGTTGTATTACGCATGCACGTACCAAAAGGATTAAAAATTTGAAATTTGTATACATAGAAGATTGATCTTTGAAACATTTATGGACGGGCTATTGAACCGTGGCACCTTTTGAACATTCATTTTTTACGACGATAACGGTGGTGTGACAACTAAGGAAACTGGAATATCGTGTTATGATATTCACGACCACATCCTCTCCCAGTTCCATCTCGAAATGTTTCGAATTCATTCCACTCGACTTCAGTTGTATAATAAAAGTATTTTGTGTGTCAGGATTGATCCATTCTAGAAGTCCATAATATAATATTTATAATATAAAAAAGTTTAAATTATTATTTGCAGAACTACATACTTCTACGAGATAGATTTATTGAACAAAAAAATTATGTTGGTTTAAAAAAAAAAAGAGTATCTATTATTATATTAGATTTGCAACGTTGAGAGGTTTTACTACCTATGAAGTGTGTTTTTTTTATTTATTTTTTTCTGTCTGTAAACAACTTTTTCACCAAAAAATTTGCTCCGAAATATAGACTGTAGCATATTTTTTAAAAGGTGAATTTCTCTGGTTGGAGCATTAAGAAGATCATTTTTTGTAGTTTTTTTTAATAATGAGCAAAACCAAAAAATACGTAGAAATTACGGGAAAATTTACGAAAATATAATTCTGAAATTTTTTTAAATTTTTTTTTATTGTAATTCAGTTTAAATATTTGTAAACGTATAACGTTAACAGAAATTTATATTTACTTTTTCTAGGCGAGGTATAACTTTTAGAACTTTTGAGCTATTTGTAAACATTTTAATTTTACGAGTCTTTTACGTAATTTTTATTTGGAAGGTACTCTGAAGATAAATTATTAGACCTAACAGAAATGCTTGCAAATTCGATGGGAAGTTCATTATGAGCCAATAAACTTAGTGGTCAAACAAAAAAATTATATATACTCGTTAGTTTGAAAATATTTCCGGGGTCCTTCATGACTCTCTTTAATTTGTTTCTTTTACTAATTTTCATATTTACTGAACAGAATTTTATTGAAAATTGGATTATAACGTGTTATCCCATATGATAATATATGACTACTTAATGTCTACCGACGTAAACAAATCAACATGTCGAATTAAATAATTTGTCGGACAACGCGGGCGTCCAACTTTTCTTTATATACCTACGTGTACATTTACTTTCTGAATTATTATATTGTTCAAAAGAAGATTCTGCTTAAACGTTCACCTTTATATACACAGACCCAGCCAAATAAGGGTCGCCGCTGCCACTGTCGTCGTTTACAATGAACTCAGTATACAAGAACTATACAAAAACTTTGATCCTTTTGTATACAATTTACGGGTCCGCGGCACAAGATAAGTCGGAGAGACCGTACGTTTTATCTATGTATTATATTGTGTATAAAATATACTCTTACCTGTTCTACAAACGGGTATTTCCCCCGCCCGGGTCCCAGCCATAGGTCTTCGTCGGTCCGCTGAACGCGTAGATAAGAAAAATATATCGAAATCCCGATGTGTATATAACTATATATCGTCGCTTGTACTACAATAGCACGCATCTAAAAATTTGATAAAATAAGATTATTATCAATATTAATAAAACAAGTATTACCGAAAATTGTATCAAAAACTTGTTTTGACATACCGTATTTTAGCCATTAACACGACCTGACAATAGTTACGTTTTGAAAAAAAAAAAAAATACATTTAAAATACATTATTAGGGCAACGTATATTAATTAAACATAATCAGTACTTAAATTTGGGAGATTAAATTATTTAAATAGTTTTTTGGTCATTCCATAAAACTACAAAAGCCGAAATACGCAAGGTTGAAGTATTACTAGTATTAGTAACGATAATATCGATAATAGTTTAATTTACTACAGTGGCGTGCTGAACATTCTTTATACTTAAGGGAAAACAAAAAAATTTGGACCCACTCATTTAAAAAATGTATTCTTATATGTCCTACAAATAATTATAGAAAACAACTTTATTTAGCTATACTGACTACATAATATAGGCTATCATAGTCATAAGTAAGTATATTAATAATATAATATACAAAACTAAAGGCATCTTTGATCTCTGAATTAGTCATTCTTAATCAACACATTTAGTCACCTACTCCTCACCCACCCATTTTGGTCGTGAGGCAATTGCTTCAAAAGAAACCTACTTCGGCACGCCACTGATTTACTATAATATTATGCTATTATAGTTAAATATATTAAACGTCAAAACAAAATTCTAAATAATTTTTGTATCTATCGTGAAACATCGATAAGAACCTTTATTGCGTAGATCAGCGCGTGGTGGCGGTCACTCGTACCCAGCCGATTTGCAGGGATTAAACGTTATAATATAATATTAAACATATACCTGTAATAAACTAAATGAAAAAACGCTAAATATCTGCACGTAAAAAAAAAAAAAAGAAGCAATAATTAATGGAAAATATATGTATATATATTATATAGGTACCTATTGAAATGCTAAAGGGAAAAACGCTCTTGTTTGATTAACGAAAATCCTAACAACAAACAAAATATTAATAAAAAGGTATACATACCTATACCTACTCTTCAATTTATGATTACAGAATTATGAGATTTACAATATATCCATTACAGAAAAAAACTCTCGGTCAGTTTATTAAATAACCAGGTAGTTACCTATTTTCATTATTATTCTACTTGTAAAAATCGTTGTTACTATACCGTACACGATATAACGACCGACAGCAAGTAACGTTAAACAAATCGTAATAAAATGATGTGTATCAGTTGGATTAATGAATCATTACCTATTGACTGATACAAAAGTCTCGAATACGAAGAAGAAAATTCAAAGAAATCTTGTAAAATACACTTTACATTCTATACTATACTACTATTGGATCTATTTTCAATGTCGGAGTTCATAATAAAATCCGTCTTGAATAGGAACTCGACCGTAACCGAAATGATTTCCTTTATAGGTTTTTGAAAATCTAGTCGTTTAGAACGGTTTTTCAACAATCTAATCGCTCGATTCTCAAGAAAGTAATATTGCATACGTTTGACTGCACAAAGAACATCCGTAGAGTTACTGTTTTGTACTAAGCTTTTAACGTAGTATAATAATAATTTTTAAATTTTTAAAATAATATTACATTTTTTAAAAAATTCGAAAATATATTCCAATAAGAAAACACGCTTATAAACGTACTTATAGAGTAAAATAACTACTATACTGTGAAACTTCTTAAATATCGCGTTTCTACTCATATTTAGTATTAATGTTTAATATAGAAAAATAAAAATAAAAATTACTCAAGAATTCTATATTTTACGGTATAAAAACAAAATACGATTATCCTCCATCCTTCACACTGTAATAATAGGATAATAAAAGTTTTAAAACCATAAGATTAAGTAAAACTGTCGAAATAGTATATACAGGGTGATTCGTTCAAAATGCTAGTTTTTCAAATAAAAACCTACATGTTTAATACAAATTGTAAAACTGATGATTTTTCTGAAAATGTTGACTTATTGTAACCGAAATTTGAATAGAAAGTTTCTGAGTTATTCTACATTAAATTACTAATGATAACAGTCTATAAAGCATAATATGTGTGGCGACACGGCAAGCGGCGTTTCCATAGTGTTCCACTACTCTCCTCCTATCTAAACTTAATAGTGGAATATCACGTCAACAGATTGACGAAAATCAAAAATGCCAAACATTTATTTAAAGTAATGATCCATCTATTTATTATAGATTCTCATTTATGAAACCAGAGTTTTGAAATCACTACAGGATAATCCTTAAATGCTATGAAAAGTATTCGAGAATATCAGCTTTAACTACACTTAAAAATCCCAAAAATCATAGTTGTAATTTACCTATGCAAAATATTACCATACAAATATTGATGAACATGTCGAATGAATCGCTTTGTATGTACTTTGCCATGTATGTATAGGTATATTATATTATATACATGACAAATGGTTCAAGAAAAAGTATTTAAATTATCGTATTTCCAAAATGTCTTAATATGTAGAAAGAAATAAAACGAATCACCTTTCTATTAATATTTGTTGGCGGATATTCATGATTGAGGATGGTAAATTTACGTATAAATCCGTTTCTATACATTTAACTCTACGGGTTTTCTATTGTCGAGTCGATAAAAACTTGTTAGTTAACAAACAACGGTGGTATAATATAATATAATTTTTAACGACTATTTTATTTAATAACTTTATGCCTATTTAATTAAGTTTTTTTATGCGCGATGACCATATGTAGGTCAGTTTAAAACTCTCTGTATATTTAATTTAACCTCTCGTTGGTGACTAATATAAACAAATCTACTGCAGGCTCCTTTGCGGTCATCTCGAAACTTTTATTTACTTTCGTCGACGACACCGTTAATTTATTTTCAATCATTCCCATTACCAGTACTAAACTTATTACCTATAACCTAATCATTTTTTCCTCTTCTACTCGATCGTACGTGAATTACCGGGTCATCTGTATTTATATATATATACTCTCGCACTCTACATCTCCTTATCCATCACCGTCTACTTCGTCTATACTTCGCATACCCGTTCATACCGATTCATTCTATATTATTCTCTCATTTTCTACCTCTTGAGTATTTATATAATACCTATAATTCTGAAGTTTCTCAATATGTACGTAATAAGCTCCTGTCCCGTCAACCTGAATTATTTTTTAGTACCTTCGCTGACAGGGGGTTCGAATTTCCTCAGGATATGTCTTTATCGTCTAGGGAACGAGTTTAGTGACAATAATGCAGTACCCATTGCAGTATATTATTTGTAAATAGGTCTCGTGGAATTTGTAAGAGTGCGTGTTTTTTTTCGATGCACGCTATACAAATTCGTTTCATTTAATGATAAGTATGAAAACGATTCGAATAATTGGGATACTTCATTGATTATTTTTTAAAATTTGTATTCCTTTAATGCATACTTGTTAATTTTTAATAATTTATGCGACATGTCCGTAATTTTTTTTAAGCACGGTTTTTAATCATGCAATTATTTGAAACTATTTGTAGCGTTTTAGAGTTTAAAAAAATTAATTATTAATTAAAATAAAAATATAGTTCAGATAAGTGAAAATCGCTTAGGGATGCCCCCATTATTCAGAGATAATCAAACGGTTAATCACACGCGTTTAAATGTAATTTGGTTTAAAGAATTGCTTAAGAGCTGCGCTCTGAATTGTTTTTCGTTAGCAATGATTTATCATTGTACGAGTATAAATTCGTTAGCAGCACTTAATATGCTGTCTCACCCATGTTGTGCAAAATTTAATCCAAACGTTAATTGCTCAATTTTTCGACAGGTCTATGTAAAAGTGAAGAACGTCAACGACAACGTGCCGCTGACCAAAGCTCCGGTGTACTATCCGCGGGTCCGGGAAGATGCGGCACCAAACACTCCAATCATTCAACTAGAAGCGACTGACGCTGACCTATCCAACACGAGGATCACGTACACAATCACCACAGGCAATCCCCAGTCGCTGTTTGCCATCTCTTCAACCACTGGTGAGTTTCGCAAAGAATAATATTATACTGAGGGATCCTTGTATATCTTTAATTATTTTGTTTTTATTTTTACTTACAAATGAGACAAGCCCAAAAAACAATAAATGATACAATTACTAAAACTTAGCAATGAATTTAGCGTATATTTTGTTTATGAAATGTATCATCTTAATAATTATTTAGTTCTGGTAATATATTCAATAGAGCATAGTGATGGATTGAAAATAATAACGAATAATAACATAAGAAGGGATATTAAAATTGTTAATGGATATAGTAAAACGGACTTTCAACTTTACCATAGATGAGGTTTAAAAAGAATAAGATTGCCTTATGCCAATTATCTGGCAAATCACAGATCAAAAGGATCTTACGAACCCGAGAATCTTTGTAGGAAAAACGAAAGATCTAAAATTGTAATTAGATCAAAAGATACATGACTACTAATTTATTAAAAAGTGATGCCACCGAGGGGTAAGTTCGAAAACTACCCTAGTTCACTGTAGCATTTATTTGTTATAAATTAGGGTTAGGAACTTTAAGCATTGGCATATTATTTTTGAAAGATTAAAATAATAGTCAAACATAAACACTGTTCGTCATTTAAATCCTAAATTTAATTTACATATATTTGCATATTTTACAATTTTCCATTTTTAGAACATATTTTGTCAGTATGTAGCTTTTAAGTCCTATAAAAGGGCATAATACACTCATATTTTGTCTTATTATATACTACATATTATACACATATCTTTCGATCTATATTGTTTAAATTCATACGCATTGAGTTATTGAGTTTGATCAATAACTCTCGTCGTATTAATCATCTAAAAACACAGTTTTTATGTAAATATCATCAATAATAATGAAAAAATAAATAAATTAGTTATAAGAGTATGTAAAGTTTTTAGTATACAATTTTAATAAGACAAATTGTTTAGAGTTAGTGCCTTAGTGTCTTTTTTGTTATTTTTTTTTTATTATAACAGTTATCTTTGTTTGCTACGACGTTATACAATTTCAGAATTGCCTGTATTCTTCTTGTAAGTTTTCTCGTGGTCTTTATTTCCCTATCTTCTACCATTTCTCTCCGTCGTCTGTCGCGTGTCCACCATTTTAAAATATTTCTTAGATCCCGGCCTTCCCACCTATAAATTGCGGTAGGTATGTCCAACGGTCATTTTCCAATCCGGATTTTCGGATCTCAATAACCGTTTTAATAAGTATATACGTCCACATATTTCCGAGTGCAATGGGGAAAATAAGAGGTTTATAAAACATTCCACAATAATTCTCGCGTATATCAAGCCCGTCCCGGTAATCTCTTTTCCGCAGTGATCGAACAGTTTGCGAAACGTCAGTTTTCAGCCCACTTGACAATATTATTATATATTTTATACAATACACGCGGTGGCGACCGAGTACGACTCTTGACCCCGTATAATTTTCTGGTTCTAGTTTCCTTTTTTTTCTCGTCTCCCTCGATTCGTGAGGAGTTGGAACGTGCAGAAACGCGTATATAATATAAGGTGGTGGTTTCCCATTAGCCATCGGTCAGCGAAACACATAAATAATTCAAAACCCGCATGCGGCGTCCACAGCGTTCCGTGACAACAGAATAATCGACCGAACGAAGAAGAGAGCCGAGCGCGCGCGTTTAACAATCGCGAAAATCCCTCTCCGTCACAGTGTCATTACGTCCTGGTATAATATTTCAACTAATAGAAATTTACATAATGATATTATACCTACTACGCGACCGGTGTATAATTTCATTAAATTCGATTTCCCATTTTTTTTTTTTTTTTTATTATTATTATTATTTTCGTGTATATTATACGCAATGTATACATCGTCATAACACCGAAAGACCTCACCCTCGGGCACGTCGCCCCAGGATTCGGACGACCGTCGTTTTCGCGCTCGCGATTAATAACATCACGGCACGACGGGCGGAAAGTATTTTTCAGAGAAAAGTTTTTTAATTAAACGCGCGCCCTCACAGACATACGACTTTTATAGCGCGTTATCCGCTCGCAAATTCGTTTACCGACACCCTTTAAGCCGTGTCTCGCCCTCTCCTCGCTTAAATTCGACGGTTAGTCCGACCGTAAAATCCCCTGTGGTCCTCTCCATTTCAACGAAGACTTTTCCGTTATAATATCATAAACGTAAAATAAGACGTATGCTTCGCACCATGAGTTGGCCACTATTGTAGGTGGGAACTCGTGATCAGATAAATACATGTGATACATTTTTACGAACTATTTATAATATTGTTTTCCAAACATTTTGAGATTTATTGTTGTACAAAAAGTGATACATATATATTTTTGCATAAAGACTAAACTTAATTATATTTCAGTTATCGAAATTAATAAATATCTTAATCTTAATCGTAATATTGTTGTAAATGCTGGTTGATCAACCAAATGTAATCTGTAACCTTCTTAGATATTTTTCGTCATTTACATAAATTAAAAATGGATGAAAAATACGTATACAGATGAAAAATAATCAATTATTTGAGTTGGTACTTTATAATTTAAAATTAATCTCCTCGATGCGCCAACTGGATTAAAAAATTCTACTAGAAAAGTCCAATATAATTTTTCATTGGAGAAATATATCTGACAGAAAAATTGTTTGCAGGCACAAAATAAAAAACACTTCATAATAAAACAAATACATTTTTTGCTACACTTAAAATAGTCAAAATATTATATATTATAGGATAATTCAATATAATATTGAACTCGTTGAAAACGATTCTGCGTGGAGTTAGTTTAAACTGTCGCCTTCCGCTGTTTTAAATTTAAAAAAAGACTCTTTGTTTCTCAAACCAGTTTAATCCAATCTTCTCTTAAATACGCTGAATTAATTTTTCATTCTGGTTTCACTTCAATTAGATTTTTGTTTCACTCAATTTTAGCCAACTCTGTTTGCTTTTCTACCGCCCTCTTAGTCTTTTCCTATCATTGTCGGTTAGTAAGATTCCCATTTGATCTTCTTTGTATGTCCAACTCAAACTAGTTTCGAGCTTTTCACAAATTAAACTATATTTTCTTTTGTAATTCATTTTTTGACCTTTCTCCTTGATTTCATATGCTGTCAAAAAACGGATCCATATATTTTCCTTGAAACTTTTTTTCTCTTTTATAATCACCTTCTATCGTGGCCCGTGTATTTTTAACCAAATGTTTCTCTGGTTTCACTAATATAAGGATTTTTTTGTTTTTATGCGATCCCACCTGAAGCATAATGACAAACTGAGTACTCGTGATTTCGATGAAATGTCATGTCGGCAAAATGATGACTATGTAGTGCCGCTGAACATTAAAATACAGCTATAGACGTATAGATATAGTGATGGGGTGTGGTAAGTCGTTAAAAATCGCGTTCACGTTCATAGTATATTTTAAATTGCTATACCCTATTCTACCACTGCGTGTCATCTGTCACTATCTACTCGATAACGCGTCGTTTGGTTTTTTTTAACTTTGTTTTACACGGCATCGCGAGATCTTCGACCCCGACGATGACCTCTATAGTTTTCACGAGACCACGTGGCCGTCGCGCCAGGTACTGAAAACGATTTAATGGTGGCTTGACCGTGGTATGATGTAACTAATAAATCTTATAATATTACATGTTGTATGTAAAACATAGCTACCGCGGAAATGCCCACGTGAGAGTCGTCCGAAATTATAATAGGTTTTCGATTCCGCGCTCGATATTATAACTGCCGTGAGACACGAGAGTTTGATTCCAAAGATACACCCGGTATCGAGTATATATTGTGTACTATTTCGTCCAGTTAATTTTTATTTATACACATATATATATATATTATATTAAAAGATATTTTCGTATTGTTTTTCGCGATTCGGCCGGGCCGGTTCTTTTTCACCGCATTGTCCGTCATATTATATTTTGTCTTTCCAATCATTATCACTATATTATAATATATTAGCCTAATTTTAAATTCGGTATTTACATTCGTTTTTAACAATAACATAGCTTGTCAAAAGTTGTTTTTTATTCCACCGTCATTATTGTAATTATATCTTATACATAAACGAAAAGCCGTGAATCCGTCTGTACCGTTGATTTACCGTGAAAACTAAATATAAAATCCGCTAAAACTCATCGTATATTACGGGCATATAACTATAGTTATACTTTTATTTTATGTCAGTTTCGTTTTTTTTTTTTTTCGATTTATCGATTTGCCGCTAGTATTTATTTTTAAAAGTTCTAATTAAAAAAAATGAAATACTTTATGAACTTACTTAATTTAAAAAAAATTGAATCTACGGCGCGTCTTTTACCTACCACTTTGAAAAAATTATTTGGTCATTTTTTCATATTATTTTCGCCAAAGCAAAAAATGTAAATATATCTTTTATTTAAAGATGTTTTTCTTCAAAGTGGTTGTGTATACTAATAATAACAATAATATTTACAGTGATATTACAAATTCTTAAAAAATAATTTTATATAATAGTGTACAAGATACAATTAAGTAAATACAAGCCATTTTAATTAAAAAGCAGAATCAATATTAAATGTTCATTACATGTTTTAAGCAAGCGGTATAATGGACTGTTTATAACGTGATTTCGATTACTGGGGAGAACATAAAAACATAATATATTTCTAGAGTTTAAAGCGGGGACTTTAAGACCGATTTGAGATAAGAACTCCAGACACTTTAACATACCGTTTATTAACTTGTACACAAATGACTATTTCATTATACTTTTGATGAATAGTTAATGATACGAGATCAATACGGTTAGCAATATCTGAAGAAGATTTATTTAAAAAGCCCGTACGTCTTTGGAGTTTATCGAGCTTTTCGATTTGACCGGACTAAGACGGATTCCAAACCATAGATCCAAATTCTAAAATAGACCTCACTAATGCACAGTACAGTACAGTAAAACATTTTTTAACCTTAAAATCGGCACAATTCTTTTTTAAAAAGCCAAGTACTCTTGACGATTTTGTGTAAATAGAATCAATATTATGAGCATTGACACTTAGGTCGTTTGAAAAAATAATGCCCAATTCACCAACTATATTATGTTCATTATTTGTAGACAATTATTATTCCTCGCGGTGATCATTCCCAGGAAAAATTATTCAGTGATTAAAGACAATGTGATTCGATGAAATAAAATAATTATGTTGAAAGTGAGGCATATCGATTCGACTACGTCGAATTTTAGCTCCTTGGCTTAATAACAACGTAGGTATAATGATTTTGAAATAGTTGAAAATCATTATTTTCTACACATACACGTATTCCGAAGTTCGACGCTTTTAAAAAATTGAACGCGACCGTTCCAGTGTCTTAGGAACGATATTGGTTTGCCAGTGATTATTGACACCCGTAATGTGACGGGTAAATGTAAACGGGAGAGAGGTGAATATATATATACAGTGAAACCTCTGAATAGCGGACACTCTCGGTCGCCGAAATTTTGTCCGCTATTTAGAGGTGTCCGTTAAGGAAGGTTTCACTGTATATGCAAACGGTTTATCGATAATTGGAATACGTATTGTAGTATATTATACTATATTGGGTATCAAAGACTTCAATACTCGAATATCAAATTAAGAAATACGCATATACATATAATTGTACGGCTGATGAGTTGGTGATGCATTAAACCCCAGTGTTTAGGATTAATCGGTGTTCGTCGTATCGAAAATATTATAAAGCTATTATTTACGGGCTTTTTCCAATCACAATAATTATTCAATACGTATATTATTCTTCATTTATAAAACAATATAATACTGTAAAAAAAAAAAAAAAAAAAACGTTTTTACTTGTTTGTTTTTTTTTCGGGTTTCTAAAAGCCATTAAATATACTAAAATTATTCCGTTAGTAGCTACACAAATTAACGTTTTGTGATATTACTGCTGTCGCTGTATAATTGAGCGCTGCCTGTTATTTACAGATAGTTCTATACACCTACTTATATTACTTATTTTACGTTTTAAATTTATTTTATAAATTTAGTTAAATAATATTTTATTAAAGAGCTCTGCGGAAAGGTGAAAAATTCACGTTGAAAATTTAATTCATTTCATCTACGAAATATTAATATACATAAATATAAGGGTTTGATGAAAATATCAATCCTAAATACGTTATTTCTTACTGAATTACAACAAAAAGAAAACGAAATTGATTTTGACAAAACCACAAGTATCGCGTAAATATTGCCAATTTTTCAGAATTTTTTTTTGTAGATTTTCCTCGCATTATTTGGAAAAATTCAAGACATATCAAAGAAAAAAAGTGATTCCCGATAAATTAAATGTCTATAGATCGAAAATTCTACAAAAAAAAAATCCTATATGAAGTTTTTGATCGGAGCGAATTCTCTTATAGAAAACTTATTTCTAAAAAAAAAAAGCTCACGTCATATAGTTCAACCCGAATTTTAAAAAAAAAACTTTGTGTTGACGTGGTATAGCAATGAAATTATCTATTTGTTGAACCATTGATTTTGGTTGGTTTTTCATTTACTTACTAAACATTATTGGGCAGTGCAATCAACGAAAATAAAACCAAGATTTGCTATTAGTTTTTTAAATTGTATAGAAAAACTCAAAAGAATATTAAAATTGTTTTTCAAATAAAGTACAACCGATTGAACACTTTTAAAAAACCGCGTGAAAAAATCGGAACATTTTACTCGCCAAAATAGTGTTTAAGAAAAAAACACACACACACATCTTCGTAAAACTATAATATAGCTTCTTCAATGCATAACAGAATCTGAAATAATGTTAATAATACAAAATACAAGTATATTTACTACATAAACCCGTTGTTTTGTTTAAAAAATTAACCAATTTTCATTACGCAGTCGCGTATAATGGAATTTACGGTATTATGATGTTTACACGTCATTTTGGCCGACTATAAATTACGTCATTATACGTACAGTTCACCTACAGCTACTAATAATAACAATAATAATATTCTCGTCTACTCGTCGTCGTCGGTAAGATAATATAAACAGATTGACGCGGTGCCGCCGGAGGAAGCGAATAGTATATTATAATATTAGGTGTATAGCGCGTTTATGATTTAGAAAAGCATAAAAGGACATCGGTGAACATTAGGACGGGTTTATTAGGTGCAGGAAGAGTTGACGCCTATTGTGTATACGCGCCGACAGGAACCGACTATTATACACTTATATGTAGAGACTGTGTATGCATACCAATACCTGTCCACGTGTGTATTATACTTACCCGCCGTTCACATCCATTACGATTAGGACAACCCGGCGTGGAGGGAGTGGCTTTAAAATATAAAATTGTTATCATCGGTTTTAAATTGTGAGTGAAGCTCATTGTATTGGTTTTACTATAATGTGTGTGTTTATTGTGTACGTCTATAAACAACTTTTCTACCATAAATCTTGCTCCAGTCAAAGAGTTCATAGGAACTTTTTTCTAGCATTTTTTTCGTCTAATTATTACGACCATGAAGTCTTGTTTTGTAATTTTCTTAATAAATGCGAAAAACTGGAAATTTTGTATATAATTATTATTGTTTTCTGGGTTACCTTGGTAATAAAGGAAAAAATAAGACTATAATACTCTGTTCAGAATCGTTCACCGTTATTAATGGTTTATTGTTGCGTACAGATATAAATAAACGATTCCAAATAACCTCCCATCCGGCTTCTTTCCTATAACAGCGGTACACCCATCAACAGTACCGGTATTTTTTCTTTTCTTTTTTTTGAGAAATAAACTCACGATAACGAATTTTAACTTTTTTTTTATTTTTTCACAGGTCTCATAACTACTACTGGACGGAAACTCGATCGAGAAGACGTTTCCGAACATATACTGGACGTAAGTTGTATAATAATACATTTTATGTCATGTTAACAAATATTTATACCATGTGTTCTTATTTTATAGTTGAAGGAAAAAAGTTCAAAAATCAACCTTTATTTAAATAACCCAACTTAACCAAAATCGCTCTTTTTTTATACTGTCGAACAAAATGGTCCGCCCTAATGTACAATGTTAAAATGTATAAATTTACGGGTTTTCGGAATCCACAAACGAAATAATAATAATATTATTATTTTCTACGTCGTAATAAAACGGACAATATTTCAACGCGCATAACACAATTTACATGATATTACGGTACGAGTCTATATCGTACAGGTGAACGGGCGTATTTTTATTGAGTAATAACTAGGGCCCGGATTTATATGCTCTAAAAACCTTAGAAATATGCACTATACAATATATATTTATACTCTTATTTTGTAGAAATATACCCTTTAAAATGAAACATATGCACAAAAATCGATTTTCAAAAAAAAAAAAAAAGTGTTTACATTTTTATTATTTCTATCATTATTTTTAAATTAAGTACAAACGATTGATTTGTAATGGTATTTTCGACATTTTTTCAACCTTAATGCATAAAATATATTTTGTTTTTATTTATTATGCATACGACAAATTCGATTAAAAAAAAAAAAGTATTTTATTTTTATTATTTCTGTCAATATTTTTATAAAACTAATAGAAATATAACCAAAATACTACATATTATGCATTTAAAAATCATTTATATGCGATGAAAAATCGTGAAATACAGAAAAATGCATTGTATGTTAAAAAATAGTAAAATATGCAAAATAAAATTTTGTATTTCAGTTCTATTGACCTTAATTCAAACTTGTAGCTCATCTAGCTACTTTTTGGATTGTCTAAAAAAAAACATGCAAATGCATATGAATCCGGGCACTAGTAATAACTTTTCAAGTTTAACTATCAGATAAAACGTCTTTATTTATGACTCCCCGAATACTCGTAAAGTTATTTACTTATGCAACGGTTTTACAATGTGTGTGACGAAATTTAACGCAGACGACGTTGTTTTATTTGAAACCATGACTGATGTATCTGTTCAGATTTCTACTACCTGCTATATAATTCCATTGCTTATATTGCAACAGTGCAGTGTATCTCAGTTGTGTTATTTTATAAGATAATCAAAAAACAGTATCTATATATAATTTCTCACTAATAGTTAAATACTGTTATTGTTTAATTTATACAAATTGCATTATTAATGTATTTTAAAAAAAAAAAGCAATGTCATGTGTTATTGGGTAAGAAATTATATATTGATACAAATGATTTTATCATTTTCGTGATTTTCGGCGTAACCATGATCTAACAGAAAAATGTGCAGAACAAAATATTTTCCGAAACGCTTATTTTATTTTAATCGATAACAATGTCATTTAACGAAATTATCAAATACAGCACGGTACAGTATAAGTGACAATTTATTTCCTGAACGGTTCGGTTTGTAGGAGGCTTTGTTTTTTAATCATTCCTAACACCATCACTATAATATATATATATCGTATATATCCGTTGTAAATCCTCTCTGTGTTTGAGTGCATTTTTTTAAATATAATTGTCAATACAAATCAACCGTAAAATTTACGATGATTCGATTTAATCCCGTTTAAACATTTGATAATCGCATTACCCACTTTGTTTTAGAGTATTGTATTATGACTACTATTTTCGCGAATAGTACGCGCATAAAGGAGGGTTTTCGGCGGTGTATTTCTAAAATTATTGGGGTGGATTATATGGACGAAACGTTTTTCGGATCCTTTTTCATTTCGTTGAGTGCGCAGATATAGAAGAAAAACAAATTTAAAAAAACGAAAAATCGGCGTTCGAGTGTATTTCCCCATAATTACAATAATATTATATAGCCGCCAAATATGTTTAGTCCCCCCGTCCGTATTACAATACAGTAAATACGCGTATATCTTACAACATTATAAACGTATCCGACAGGTTACAGTCATTGATGACGGCGTGCCTGTGCTGTCGTCCACGACCAGCGTGGTGATAACGGTCGAAGACGTAAACGACAACAGTCCGGAAATGCTGAAAAAGGCGTACAGGTTCAAAATACCCGAAACGCAGCCCGCGCAGGAGCCGCTGTCAATCCAAGAGAATGGCACGACCGCGGAGCCAAGCGAGATCGACGAGCAGTTTGACAAAAAACCGTGGACCACCTTCGGCCCCAACGACATCGTGGGGCCCGCTTTATTCAGGGTACGTGTCTCCCGTTCTAAATTGTTTGATCATGTAATATATCGGGGCTTTCATATATGCTGTAGTCTATGGGCTCTCACCAAAAAAGCTAACAAGCAAACAAAAAAAAGGTCAGTCGGGATCAAATATGTCCCTGTACCCGTGGTCGGGCACACGCCATTCATAGGCTACACTAGGGGCCAATATATCCTAAATACAGCCCTGTTATGTATTATTATTATTATGCGATAAAAAATAACTAAACAAATATGAAACACAAATAAAATAGTAAATGTCAATTTTTAAGATGCGACATTTTTGTGCGTATAATATAGGATTAAGAAATATCAAATATAAATATACACCAGAGTTGAAATTTTAGTCCACTTTCATCGCCGTACTACGTCACAATATTTTAATTACTAGTTATATCAGCAATATATTACAATGAAAAATATTCTCCGTTTATAACACTTTTCAGTTGCTATAATTTTTATTTTTTTATTTTTTTTTTACCGCGTTGATGTTTATCGGGATTTTTCACCAAGCATTATGAATATATGAATTATACTGAATTTATTCACTTATATTATTTTAAAATTCACTTACCGACTATTTATTTGTTTTTAAATTTATTGTTCGGATATTATAATAATATATACAATTTGTATTATTATAATACCTATAGTCATAATAAATATTGTAACAATGATGGGTTTTTTATTTTTTATCTATGACGATGTTAAAATATATAATATAAATTTCATACCATTGTGAACGCATTATTAAATTTGTCATCCCACCGCCCTTTTACAGTCAGAATTTTTAAAATATCCTGTCCGCCAAATAGTCGGGAACACTCGCATGCGCCGTCAATACCTATGCGCATAATTGCAGTGCGTCGCATAAATAAATAGAGATAAAATAGTTGATGCATAGATAATAATATTTTACACGTACCTATTATACAACGTTGTTTGTAAAGGGTTTCTATAATTTATACATTTTGAAGATCACAGAAGAAATCCTAACCCGACCCCGTTTTACAGCGATATTATAAACCAGCGTAAAAATATTTAGGTAGGTAGCTGTGTACGTACCTCAATTATTATTGCACGAAATGTAGCTTGCAATTAATTTTCTCTAATTACTTTAGTATGTATACAGTATATAATATTATTCACGTTCGTTAAGTTGACCTCACATAAGTTCTCCAATTTTTAATAGAAGGTTAAAAGTATTCACGACTTTTATAACAAAAAAATTACACCATAAGTTTTAAACCAATGTCAGATTATACAAATTAATTTATTCGTCAAGAAACGGCAATACGATTTATGACAAATTTAATAAATAATTTTAGCATTTTAAAACCATTATATAAGTACATTGTGTTAATTTGTTTTCAGGTAACAATTATATTTCAACTGAGATCCAAATAGTTTTTTTTTTTTTTTTAATAAGGTTAATGTAACAATTTTATAGGAACATTGAGTCTATTTTCAAAACTCTTATTAAATTTAAAAAATTGTACGAGTCAAAGTTGTTTGAAGAAAATACGACTATTCGAATGTGGTATTAAAAATATGTATTTCCATTTAAGAAAATTAAAGTATTATTATGAATGCGCTTATAAAAATGCACAATAAGAATTAAAACTTTGAAAAATAGTTTAAAAATGCTTACTTTGGTTCCTACCCCTAAACTTCCTGAGGGAATTTCAAATCAAAGTCCATCCACCGAAGTATGCATAGTGTGCACACTAGTGTCATAGTGCTATGCATAGCTATAATTTTATTACGTGTATGAAGTTAGCCCATCCTATATATACGAGTATATATATATATATAGGTATTCGTATTATTGTTATAACTTTTTAATTTATCAAAATACTTGTTTTGCATTTAAAATGTATACACAAAAATATAGAGAAACGTTAACGGGAATAAATAGTATTGAATGCATAGTTTTGTAAACTGTTATATAGAATTTGTCCCAAAATATTCGGATACAATTCATTATGATACGATTAAAAACGTATTGAAGTGTTCAGTGAAAAACAATTGGATACTATAAAAGTAGAATGATATTTATTTGTAATATCTTTAATAAAAAGACGTGTGTGAAATTAGCCCCTCCACTACACTAGAAAACATCCAAAATATTTGTAACCCAATTTTTTTAATTTGTAACTCGTTGTTACAACTTTTTGAAATTTGTAACTTCATCGTTTACAAGTTAAAACTGGTTTCTCAATGAGAGTTTAGCAATAAAAATAATCCAATAGGTACTTTGTATTCATCAAATATCTATTGGCTTATTGATTTTCAAATAGTTTAAGGCAGTTGGGAGGTCAAGCTTTTGTTCGAGAAACTAGCTGTAACTCTGGTACAGTGAGATTACAAATTTTAAAAAATCGGTTACAAATAGTTCCGAATTAAGCTCAATGAGTTACGAATGTTTTGGATGTTTTCTATTGAAGTGAATGAGCTAACTTTACACAAATATTTTTAAAAAAAATATTACAAATAAATACCATTCTATTTTTGTAATCTCAAATTGTTTTTCACTGACCAATTCATTACGTTTTGAACCGTATTATAATGAATATTATAGTATCTGAATATTTTGGAGTGGAACAAATTGTATACAACAATTTACAAAATTATGAATTTAATAATATTTACTCCCGTTAATGTTCCTCTATATTTCTGTGAATTTATTTAAATGCATAACAAGTATTTTGATAAATTACAACGTTATAACAATTATATGAATACTGGCATACGATATATATATTATAAGTAACTAGTGGAATGTATAATATTAGGTCGTGAGGGGGCGTTCCTGTTTTTAGCCAATACGAGGTACCTATACTACAGGGGAAAAACGTCCTAGCAATTTTCAGAGAGAATATTATAAATATGTACTATACAAGTATAAATAGGTGTAAAACATATTTTCACGCCAAACTTCGACTTTAACCTACTGACGTCCAAAATTGTATTACATTTCATGTCGAAAATTCTGGATTTGGTAAATTGAGTCCATCGTATAAAGTAAATAACAATAATTATGTGAAAATTGAATAATAGTAATAACAATATTGTCTAGAATATTATCCAAAAGTTAAGCGCATTAAACTACCCTCCTCTTTTATATTTTATCTTAATTGTATATAATTTTGATTTTTTTTTTTTTTTTTATTGTATTTAATTAGCACGTAATTAGCATTAATTTGCGCGAAAATTTTCGGAATTGTTACGCAACTCGTTCTTCGAGAAAAATAAATATTTTACTGGAGGAGTTGGAGTAACGTTACCCCCTAACCTCTCCCAACTCCCTTAAACACACATTATACGAACATTTTCGGAATTAGTATGAAACTTGTTAGTCGATAAAAAATAATTTATTAATTTACCAACCTTTGTGTTTTATACAAATTATTTTTCTTTATATTGAACTAATTAAAAAAAACTTAGCTAATAACCGTCCTATATATGTGTGCAATACTGATATGTACAATTTTTTTTTTTACCGACACGTTTTTTTTTATTATTTTATATCAGATATTAGATTCAATCCCCATTATTTTATCTATAATAATATTAATTAATTCATTGAACAAATTTTTCTGGCTATGTAAATTTGAATACTTAGTGCTTGATAATTTCCAAGCTTAACATGATTACGTATAGAAATAATAAAAAACGTAGTAATATGGAAATAACAATAGTGTGTAACATATTATTTATTTTTATGCCAAAATGTATTAAATTACTTGTTTTTTTATGTATTATATTATTACTACTTTTAAGCTTATGATTATTTAGTGCACCTACAATAATAATTCACACGGTACTTACGTACATTCGGTCGTTATCCGTTTGTGTGAGCACGATTAATGATTGAAAATTAAATAGCAGATTTGGCTTTACGCTTATCGTACTTGATTATTCCAAAAAAAAAAAATAGCAAATGTTAGGTATTAAAAATATACGTTAAATGTTTATCTCTAATCATTTTGTAATTATATTAATAAATTTACCGATTTTATTTTTATATGAGGTGCTCAATTTACTGATTTTGAAAAACGTTAAATTCGCTGGGACTTAATTTATCTACGCCTCTATATTATGTAGAAAGTATATTTTAATAATTCAAAAGATAAGTTTTATCGTTATAGCCTAACAAAATCTTAAAATTTAATAAAATTTTTGCCTTTCCGAACAATATGATATAATAGGACATTTGATGTTTTATGGATATAAGAATATTTTGGCGTTTGAATAAAATATAAAGGACTTAATACAAAATAATAGTTCGACGTATTAGATCCTTGGCGAAATTCATATAATATGTATTATTTTATTTTTTATATGCATTATAATATGTACCTTTTTTTTTTCCTGGTTAACCGACAGCAGTGGGAAATCAGTTTTTAACATTACTACCCCACTACTGCCATCGTTTATTAAAAAGTATAATTCAGTAATGCTTTGTAAAATCCTGTTTTCCCCTTCGCGGGGCAGACTCACATTATTAACTATATTAAGTAAAACTAAGGTGAGTGGTAGGACCGCGTCACCTCCTGGCATTATACTAATTTAACCTAACCTATAAAAGACCCTAAGCCGGCTGCTGGGTCCTATTGTGTGGTGACTTTGGTGCCCTGGACTGGTGAGGCGGCTGCTCCTATTGTAGCCGATCAGCTCCAACCTCGGCCTCCCTTATCCTTTCGTCATGCTCCTTGCGGCTCAGTATGTTCTCTACCATGCGATAGAAAGACTATGAACTGCGAAAGGATGCTGCCTCGATCTGATCGTGTAAAGCCCGGTCAGAATCCCGGGATGGGATGTCTTCCAGCCGCAGAGCAGGTTTTGAACGTCGCTGGGAGCTATGTTTCTTCCGCCAACATACGCTCTGACGTCTTGCCGATATAGTTCCCGTTGAGGGCATGTAAAAAGCGTGTGCTCGACGGTGTCTTCAGGGTATCGACAATGGTGACATTCCGCGTCTAGGGTTATAATATGTACCTATATACACTACAGTCTGTGATCGGTATATGTCTTTTTTTTAATTATTAATTTTTTATTTTGTTTATCCTCGTTTACAGATCGTGGCCAGTGACAAGGATTCCGGAGACAATGCTCGGTTAACGTATACAATGAAAACCATACAAGGACTCGGCGATATATTTTCCGTGGAACCCGACACCGGTGTAATATATTCTGACCACACGTTTAGAAGCGATCAAGACTTTTCGTTTTACGTGAGTATAATATAATATGATATAATACGAGATACATTATATTTGGCGATCCACAATAATAATAATTACTGATACGCAAAGTGTTTATGATTCTACCATGACAAAATAAATAAGTATGATCAAATGTTTTCGTCTAATCTTGCACACCAGACCCACTGCAATTTGTCAGATATCATTAGTTGTGTTATTTTATATCCCAACTAACTACTGTTTTTTGTCTGTTTTTCTTTCTATTTTTGTGATCAACAAACTAATTTTATCACGTTTTTTAAGTTCATAGATTTTAGACTTTAGTTTTCAATTAAAATGCCAGTCTGCAATTCCATAAATTGTTTTACTGGAAGTAAAAAAAAAAACTAGTATACAAATAATTCGTAAAAAGTCGTCCAATCTGAATTTTACTACTAAATACATTAAAGTATATAAATATAATAATATAACATGTTGTTTGCTATCTTTATATTGTACCATTAAGCTATAACACCCATAAAAAAATATTGTAATCCTGTGGTATTCTTTCCTTGTCTTGTAATGTTATTTATTTATTAATTACCCATTAATATGAAATACTCTATTTTATTATTCATTATTTAGATCAAGCGACATGAAAAAATAAAAATAAAACTAACTTACTGGTCTTTAATCTATTACCATCGTAATATAATAATGTACATTCGTAATGTTAATTTTGACGACCAATGAGAAGCGTCGAAGCAAGCATTAGTCGTCGAGGTCTGATAAAGGGAGTGCGTATCGGTAGAAATTTAATCATACTCAGTTATTTTGTCATGGACAGATCTACAGAATAAAAGCAACAAAGATGGCTAATAACACTCAATTTTGTCTGTAACTCACCAAATTTTTTAAAACGAAATTCCATTTTTTCTTTTTTAAGACAGTATTTTGTTTTCTGAATAATTTATTTTAGTTATTTATCATATGACAAATATCAAAAGATCTCTGTTGTTAAATTTTAGATTTAGTTGGTTAGTAATATAGTAAAGTATTTTATGGAAATAACGGTTTCATTCATTTAAATTTTGTTTTTATTGTAATTCTGTCAAAAATAATTGTAAAGACCTGCAATTTTTACAGAATACATAATATATTGATCTTTTCTAGTCGCGGTAAAATTGTTGAACTATAGGTATTATATGGATAAAATTGTTTGACCAAACAGATATCCTTAAACGCAAGGTTTAATTTGTACTCATAATATGAGTGGTCAAAAAAAAAAAGCGTTTTAAGATTAAATGTCGACCAAAGTCGTAAATATTACGGCTTTTTAAAATATGAATGACCGAATGTCGCTCAGAATCGCTTTTCGTGAGCAATTTATCATCGTTTATTTCAAATATAAATTCAAAATCTTTCCAATTTCTCACCTACAACAGTGACGTGAAACACCCGTACTCTAACCTATTATCAGCTCTTTTCTTTTCTTTTTTTTTCTTTTTTTTTGGTCGTTTTTAATAGGTACACGATTAATTGTTTTTCGTTTTGAATGAGTATATACCCGACGAACAATATAATAATAACGACTATTATGCACGCGTCTTATGTATAAGTACTGACGTAAAATATACGGCTGCGTAATGTAATACGAAGTCCCGAACCGCATTATATTATTGCCGTTATAATGCTAATTTATTTCCGTCAATACTGTGCGCGAGTAATGCTATTCTGTGATTATAATGCCATTTGGTTTATTATATATGTATATCCATTTTTCGTTTCGAGCATAATTCAGTATACATAAAATAGGTACCTACACGTATATTTACCGCCTTGTCGTCATCGGCAGTATATATAATATGATAAAAACATCAAAATCCAATTTATATTTCCACGCGAAATCTCAATACGAAAGGCAACGCGTAATTTTTTTTTCTCCGGAAAAAAAAAAATATATATAATAATAATTTTCTTTGTTTGACACATACCGTACATATCTCTCGCGTTCGAACCGTCATTATTTACTTCTGTATCAAACATCTATATATTTACGAACATACGAACTCGTATCTTGGAGTTATTCTACTAAACGCACATCGTGTATATACAGAGTGGTTTTTTTTATCATGAACCAGCAATTATCTCAGAGGATTTTAAATGAATTTGATTTCTGTTTTTTCTAATCTCTACGGAATCGTTTAAGCTTTATTTTCAAACCATTTTTAATCTTTTAACCCTACTCCATATACCTTAAATAAGTGCATACTTTTTAATTTTCAAATAGGAACCCCCTCCCTTTTGAACACATATTTGAATAAAAAATATTTTTCCTATTCCATAGAGATTAGAAAAAACAGAAATCAAATTCACTTGAAATCATCTAAGATAATTACTGATTCATAATAAAAAAAAAAATCACCCTGTATGTATATATATTATATACGATATAATTCACGAAAAACGTTCGCAAGTTTCCGCATTGCATTGTTTTTACTTTTTTTTTTTTTTTGTCCCAAGGCGTTTTCGTACTTAGAATTTTTCTTCTCGACTAGCCTCTATGTTTTTAACGCAACAGAAATAATAATACTCATGGACTCCTTTGAATCATATTAAATGTACAGGGCAATAAACGGTGTACAATAAGACGAATAAAAGAAGATTCATAAAACTCCTTTCATCTACTAGCATTCAAAATAAAATTAAAAAAAAATCTTTACCAGAACAGTAATAATCGCTGCTTCGAACCTTTCCCTAGCAAATTAATTTGAATGGAAATAATAATTTTTTTTACAGACGGGCGCTTATTAATCATATTATACCTACTGTTCTACATGATATTTTATCAAATTTTTTTTTTTTTTTTTTTTCTTCTAGAAATGGGAGGGTTAGTCAGCTGTATAGAAGGTAAATAAAGTCGATATTATCAGTGTTAAGCGTATTACAATGTTTTAAAAAATATTTTCTTATCGTATTCAAATTCACAAATAGGGGTGCAATTTTGAAACAATATGGTAACACGGCCGTTGAACGATTTTATAACGTCTAAAAAACCACACCAATCAAATTTACTCAAAATATTCGGTTATTATTATTATTAAGTCGTAGCACAAGTATGTACGATAACGATATTATACACTCTAGTTCAAAATAGTCGACGCGTATTGTTAACGAGCGGCCATATACGCGTGTCCATTGGCCCGTCGCACCACATATATTTTATTTTCTACGTAGGTCATCTCATTAGTGCTAATAACGAGGTAGTAGCAGCCGTCCGAAAAATAAAAAAAACGAAACAAACCCAAAATAACGCTCACGACAGATCAAATCCATAATTTTTTTTTTATTATTTATTTTATATTGTTGTTGCTTTATATAGATACGAGCCACCGACAATGGGTCACCGAACATGAGTGCCACGGCCAAAGTGATTGTGGAAGTGTTGAAAATTCCCGAAAACTCAAAACACGCACCCGAAATTCAAAATCCAAACCAACAAGTAGACATAACTGAGAGCGACATGGTTGGCTATATAGTGGCGCTTATCAACGCCGTGGACAAAGACCAAGATTACCTTTGGTACAGGATTGAAAGTAAGTGTATTTACTTTAATAATATATGTATATGAATCTCTGTGACGGGATACATAATGCCTCCCTCTCTCGTGTTTCGGATTTATGAAAAAAGATTAAAAAATATGTTAAATTTTGAAAATAAAAAAAACTGACGTACTAAACAAACCTTTTAATATTATATTAAATTTGTATGTTCCATTTAAATTCTGAGTGGAACAAAAAATGTGTTGGTTTTACTATGTTGTTTATTTTTATCTGTGCGCAACTTTTTTACCAGCAATCTTGCTCCGATTTTTAAGTGTAGTAACTTTTCAAAAAGGAAATCTTAATAGGAAGGTGCTTTAAGGAGGTCATTTTTTTGAAGAATTTGTATTGTCAAATGGGAAAAGCAGATGAAAAACGGGAAAATGTACGAAATGTAGGTATTAGTTGAACAATATTTCGGCCATTTTTTTTCCTGTGAACAATTTTTCTACTATCAATTTTTGTCCGATTTACAATAATAGGACTTTTTCTGAAAGGAACTCTGACAGGGAAGGTACTTTAGGTAGGTTGTTTTTTCGATTTTCCTGTGAGTTTTCCCAGCAAATATGAAAAACCAAGAAAAAAATATGGGAAAAACATAGAAAAAACGGGAAAATTGGTAACAAAATTAAACAAATATTATTAAAAAAATATATGATGCCTATTTAATTATTTTACCATAATATGACATACATATTGTTGACAAAGTATCGCTATCAACTGAACTCCGCTCAGAATCGTTTTTCGTTAGAATGGTATATCGTCGCTAACAGATATACAATAAATTACCTATAATACCTACAATAGTGGCTGCACTCGTCCCCATTAACCTAGGACAGCTTTTTTCTTTTAGATTCGGATTGTAATGAGGTATTGGTTTTACTATTAAACTAACTAAACTAATTAAACTATTTTTGCTACCAGTAATATTGCCCCAATATAAAGACGACAAAAACCCCTTTTTTGGTGCATTTTTAAAATTTATTGGTTTGTAGGAAAATCGTGTTTTGGTTTTTCCTGTAGTTTTTTGAATAATTGAACAAACCAAGAAAAAAAAACGTAGAAAGAACAAAAATAATGCTTTTATTATTTTCATTTTTGTTTGTTGTTGTAATTCAGTTTAAAATATTCGTAGACATGATAAAATTTTCAAAACGTTTTAGCCATTTTGAGGTATTTATAGGCATTATAATTTTGTGAATTTGTTTCATAATTTGTATGTGATAAGTATTGTATGAATAAAATTGTTGTTTGACTAAACAGAAATGATTACAAATTTAACAAGTTTTTTATAAGCCGTACTTAGTGGTCAAAAAAAAAATTTGTTTTTATAATTTAGTATTTTTTTTTTTTTTTTATAAGAGTTTTAATATCACATTTTTAAAATGTGTCTTACCGAGCTTAGTTCCGAATCATTTTTCGTTAGCAATGGTTTATCGTTGCTTACAGATATAAATTAAATTACTTTTTATATCCTACCTTCCCTACTTCCCACCTATAACAATAGCACACTCTACCAGTATATCAGCTCTTTTTAATTCTTTTAATACGATGTTCGTAATTGCGTTATAGTTTATACATTAGGTTTTTTTAAAAATAGAAGAAAAAACAGGAATCGTAAAAACTACCATAAAATACATAGAAATTAAGTAGGAAAAAAATATGCTAAAGGGGGAGGAGGAAGACACACAATTTTGAAATTACCAAACAAAAATGTAGTATAACCGAGTCCATATTACTGATTTTTACATGACTAATTCAAATTGTATACAGTAAGAAAACATTTACCGTTGGGCAACTATGCCATTTACCAATTTTCAAAATTTAATTGTATTTATATTGTTTAATAAATGCTCATTTAAAAATACATTTTAATTTGCTTATATTGAAAACCGTTCAACATTTACTTAAGTCCTTCTTCCCTGAGACTAAAGATATAATATGTTTTTCTTATTTGGTACAAATTTATATTCGTCTCGACGACGGTCTCTGTGAAGAACGACAACCAGAAACATCAACCTAAAACGTTCATGACACAAACAGCTAAGGGAATAGCGTATACTACAATTGTTATTTCCAATATACCACGGCAATATTATGTAAATAGTACTCATCACTAAGACACTGAAGTCTAACGTACGCATCACGTGTATTGCGTGTATAATGATAGAAAAAACTATATTAAACCGAGACTTTGGGATTCTCGTCTTTATCTTTGTCGTTTTTCACAGTACGTATATTGTTACTGAGTCATAAACAATTTCACGTCGTGTGTCAAACAATAATTTTAGGGTAGTAATATAAAACCATCTGGATGCATAGTTACGTCGCATATCATATCAGCTAATGGTGTAACTCGAACGGGTTTTTGTTTATACAAATATTATCACTTGTTTTTCCGAAATTCCATGACATCCGTAAATATTATTTTCTTTTCCGCGGTACAGTGTCCTGGTAAATTTGTTCGAAAACACAAACTTCAAAATACTCGATATTACACCAAGTATTAACATACGCGTATTACGCGTAAGTATATGCATAATAGTATAATAAGTTTATTCGAGTTTTTAAGACCTGACTTTTTTACTCGGTACCTAGTCCTTTCTGGTCGTGGTAAAATTTTCAAAACATTTGAGCGATTTTTGAGATTTGTACGTAGCCATTTGACATTCTCTAAATTATTTTAGTTTTAATTGATTTTGTATGAATAAAATTAATGTAGCTTCTAAAAAATGTTCTCAGTAAGTTGTTCTGTTTGGTACTATAAAAATATCGGAAACCCGAAATTATGTTTTTTTTTTTTTTTTTTTTTTTTTTTTTTTATATATATATATATATATAAACGGTCAAAGTTCAAATGTTGATGAGAATATTAAAAATCATGGAATTTCGCGTGCTATTTAACGATTATTTATGAGAATTAAATTTGTTTTGCTTAACAAAAATGCTCAAAAATCGAATACAAAAAAATACGAACAATCTTAACTTGTTTAACCAAACTACGCTCAGATTCATTGCAATGATTGATCGTTACATACAGATTTATAAATTATCCTATGTATCTAAGATAATTCTAAGAATAATTTATGAATCACGTATCAACTCTGACACTGAGGAATAGTTTAGAAATAGACGAAAACTCTCGTAGAAAATAGGGTTCATTAAGAAATATACGATTGGGAAAATTACGTTTAGATCGCGTTTAAGATGGGAAAACCGTGTCAAAAAAATGTTAAAACAATGAAACCAATTATACAATAAAGAGAAGTTATAGAAAATATAGAAAGATTGCGACAAATTTATCTAGAGGGCTGGTATTAAAAATCGAAACCTACAAGTAGAAGAAGAAGATTATACAAAACGTTATTTTCCGTTATTCTAGTTCGGTTGTAAAAAAAAAAAATAAATATATATATATTGTAATAGAGACAAACTAGAGGAAATTTCTATTATAATAACGGATTTTTTCTGCTAACTGATGTTTTTCTTGAAGTGAATCACTGGCGCAGCCAGAGGAGGGAGAGTGTTTCGGGTGTATGCACATTGGAGACTCTCCTCCATCCGTGTTTCAGTAATACAAGTGTATTACAAATTGTTATATGTAAACAAGTGACACCTCTTTTCAAAAACTCCTGGTAGCGCCAATGACGTGAGTTATTTAATATTATAGTTTAATGTACCTATTTGTATTTATAGTACAAATACTGCGAATTATATAACTATGTATATGCAACAATATTATATATAATATAAATTAGAAACTATTGAAAAGCCAAAAAAATGAAATATTTGTTTTTATCTCGTCAGTAACGTTTCAAAGTTCATTTGTGTGTTTGTGTATTTCATATTACAAACCGAATTTTCAAAGGAAAATCAACAAAAACTCATTTATGTACAATTTTGAAAAGGTAGGGTACATAAATCTATTTAATTTATATCTGTAAGCGACGATAAACCATTGCTAACGAAAAATGATTCAGAACGAAGTTCGGTTATACATATTTTAAAAATTTGTAATTAAAACTTTTAAAAAATGTTTGTGTTTTTTGGGAGACAAAAGTTTCTGCTCAAATATGTAGTGTATTATACAATGTTGCAATATTATTTGTTTAACTGCCGGGACACGCCCAAAATAGTTGCCTGAAACGAGTGTCGACGCCTTTCGCGGCGGACATACGATCCAGGCATTAAATGATGTATTTCGGTTATTTTCGTCCTCTAGGCGGCGATCCGAACTCGGATTTCATGATCGAGGACGACGGAAACGTGCTGCTGGCCCGGCAGCTGGACTGGGAGACGCGGAAGGAGTACAACCTCACGGTGGCGGTGACGGACGGGGTGTACACGGCCACCACGCAGCTGTTGGTCAGCGTCAAAGACATCAACGAGTACCGGCCAAAGTTCTCGCAGGACGTCTACGAAGTAAACGTGACGGAAAACGCCGAAGTCGGTTCGCCGGTTGTCACGCTCAAAGCCACCGACGACGACCAGGACCTGAAGCTGCTCTATGGCATACACAGCGCGCAGCACGTCAACTCGGTCAGGTCGTTCGCCGTCGACTATCAAACGGGCGTTGTTTCGGTACAACAGCCTTTAGACAGGTACGTTGTACATTAATTTAGGGCCCGAGACTCATTGCACTTAAAATTCACAAAAAAGCGTTTAAAAACGTTAAAAAAATGCTTAAAAAAAGCACTTTAAACAAATATTATTAGACAATATGTTAGAAGGGTTTAAATGTTCCTCTGTCTACAGACTCTAAATTATTAAATACAATTTTCTAATACGACACAAATTATTTTGTTTGGATACAATTTTACGTATTTAAAAAAAAATAACTGGGTCAACTTTAGTTTTGTAGTGTTGGAAAATTGTCGTGGTTTATTATCAATAAGGAAGCTGTGTCTATAGTAAATATAGTAGAGTAAAAAATGTATTTATTTTAATTTTTATTATCATCATTATTATTCGTAAGGGAGCCGCTAATTTGATTTTCAAGATCAGAAGAGCCATGGACCCAAGAAAGTTGAAAACCACTGGTCTATAGGTACAGCGTAGTGAAACCGCAATGCCGGAATATATTACCGATATCGATTCGTACAAACGTTTTGTACGAAATTCAGCGTTGATTTTATCTTATTTAAGGCTCATTTAAAGAAATTCGTTTTTTCATATGAATTTGTTAAGCAAGAGTAGTACAAACGTACTTCCTTTTTTATTTTTTTTTGTTTTTTCGGTTTTTTTTTTTATTCTTGAGTGAAAGATTATTTTAAGAATACAAGTTAAACTCACCGTGCAAAATAACTAAATTAACTAAACGCACACATTTTTCCTGCTAAACAATATACATTACAGAATTAAAATAACGTTTATAAAATTAAAATTTGGGCAGCGGTTAAATTTTACTCCAGCTTATTGGTCTTTAACGTCATATTCGTCCGTAAAAACGACATTAAACCTGGACAATAGATTAGTGGACAAATCGCATCATTAAAGGTAAAAATAATTTTAAAATTTTACAAGAAAAGAGAGTATATGGAAAACCATTTCCATCCTTAGAGAAAAATCTAACATCGACCGTTTTATTTTCGGAAAAAAAAAATTACATTATTAGATTTATATGACACACTGCCTATCACACTTTTAACGTCCATATACTGTATACCTAACAGTTAAACGTTTTTCAAGTTGTTACCGCACGTTGTGCGGATTTTTCTAGCCAAGTTCCGTACGGTCAGATACGTAACATAAAAATTTATCATATGCTTTTTGTGGTGTATTCAAAGGATTTAATTAAGGATTTTTATCGACTTCCGAGCCGCTCTTTTTCAAATCCAAGATTATAGTTACTAATTCGTAAAAATATATAATATAATATAATATATGTACATTTTTTTTTTACAAACAAAAGTGTCTTCGGACTTCAATTTAAAACTTCTTTTACGTAATTTAAATATACTTCTTATATATAAAAAACTATATTAAAAAATGAACGAAAAATCCGAAATAATAATAACAGCTAAAAGTGAAAATTAAAACTTTTTCAATTTTTCCATGGATATTTTTATTTTTTATATATATATTGACTAAATGTAATTGTATATAAAGTTTAGTGTTTATTTTATTGTCTACATATGCCCATTAACATAAGAATCCTTTGTAATATCTATGTATAATGTGTAATATTTTACAATTTTATACATGTTTGTTCTATAAATTAAATAATTAATAATTATTTTAAAAAAAAAAAAGGTAAAGTCTACCTTTGTGTTTTTTAAAACATGTTTAAATTATAATACTTCGGCATTATTGATTATTTATAAACTTTTTGAACTAGAATGCGTGTTTAAAACGATTTCATGATAGTGCATAGCAAATTTTTTCGCCAATTTGATTACCGGGTGTATAATTATACAAATATGATTTTTGTTGATTTCTCAGTTACCTTGGCAACAAGGAGAACATACGACTAATAGTATTCTGTTTAGAATCGTTTTTGAACAATTTAATTCATTTTTAACAATAAACAATTGTTTATTGTAGCATAGCATACAGATGTAAATTAAATTATTACTCTGTATATATTCTCCCTTCCAACTTCCCTTTTTAAATAATAGCACATCCATCATGTAGTAACAGCCTCTTTAATAATATATTTACGTACTTTTCTAACTGTCGTTTTTTCGTTTGTCCCGCGATACCAACAGGGAAAGTATAGCCAGACACGAACTGACCGTTTTAGTCAAAGACCAGAGCACGCCGTCCAAGAAGAACTTTGCCCGCGTTTTAATCACCGTGATCGACAGCAACGATCATGCGCCCGAGTTCAGCTCCAACATCGTACAGGGCCGAGTGTTCGAGACGACCGCTGTAGGCACTAGCGTCCTCCAATTGTTGGCTACGGACAAAGACCACGGGGAAAACGCCGCCGTTTCCTATCAAATCATATCTGGTAAGCACGCAACTATTTTAACGTCATTCGGGGACACATATTCCTCGTCCCCGGCATCTGACCGAAATAACTTATTCGTTTATAAGTACCCGCAATCGAGTATACAGGCCGAAAATTAAACTTCAATTTTAAATTGTGAATAAAGCGTGAAATCTGTTATTATTTATTTTACAAAATACAGCAATTTTTTGTTTCCCTTGAAAAATTCCATCTGACAACTGAACTGTCGGAGGAAACGATTTTTTTCGAAAAACTCAAAACAGCGAATACTGCAATTGTTGCAGTAGCTCTATTCGGATATGTATTCGTGATTTCTCGCTTTTATTATGTTTCAACAAACAAATGATTATTATCAAAAATAACAGTGTAGCAGTGTTCGTATATAGAGTAGGTAAATATTCCCAGTTGCTACCGTTGTGTTTCAATACAACCCGATTCATTTCAACCCGATCGTCTGATCTGTCCATGAGTAGATTGCCCGTAATTTTATTTGATTATCGTGTAATTCTTTTTTCTTTCCTCAAAATGTCTGTTCTACTCCACGAACAGGGAATATCGGCAACGTGTTTAGTATCGACAGCAAGCTGGGCACCCTTCACGTTATGAAAGAACTGGACATGTCCGTAACGTCGGAATATACTCTTAACGTGAAAGCCGTCGATTCGGGTTCGCCACCACAGTATTCCACTGTGCCCGTGTACATAATGGTTGTGATGGCCGACAACGCCCCTCCCAAGTAAGACAATACGTCCAAATCTCTAAATATGTTGTTTCCATTGCGATTCTGACCGCGTAATTATCCGGTGGTTCACGTTTCGTTCCAGGTTCGACAGCCCAGAGGGATCGGCCGAGATCTACGAAAACGAACCGTCCGGCACAGTGGTGAAACGTCTGCAGGCCAGGAGCACGTCGTCCCTGCTTTTTGAACTCGTAGACGGCGACACGTATAACCTGTTCGCTATAAATCCGAGTACTGGAGTGCTGATCACCCGACGGCAGTTAGATTACGAATCGTGTCACGTGTACAACCTGAGCATCACGGCTACGAACATGGTATGCACACATGATGGGTACTTGTATAAGTCTATGATTATACGGTACCTTTTCAGCGGTTGTTTGGAGTATAAACCGCGACTCCAACGGACGATATATTACAATCTTCTACATCCTCTTAGTTTTATTAGCTATGTTCTTATTCTTGCGCTACACATCCTCCTGTCCATCATAACACTTCCCGGTTTAACGTAAAATCAATTTTTCTTCGATTTATCCCTACCGCGACTTTCATCTACACGTGACTCATTTATATCTTCCTGGCCAACATCATTGCTCTCATTTTTCTGCTACCTTCTACCCGATATATTTTGTCTTCAGCATTGTTACACGGCATAAATATTCTATGTACACATTATAGGCCGGTTCGAAAGCTATGTGCCACGTATCGGTGCACGTGCTCGACAGAAACGATAATTCACCCGTATTAGTCAACACCAGTTACAAGGGCGTCATTAGCGAAGCGGCACCGATAGGCTCGCTGGTCCTATTGAACGACACGTTGCCAATGTTAATCAAAGCCGTGGACGCCGATTCCGGATCCAACGGTTTGCTGCAATACGAAATAGTGGAATTCGCTCAAAGTCGAATGTTTCATGTAGTTTCGAACACGGGTATGCCTTGGCCACCGTTCTGCTTGGACAATACAGACTATTTGCACTACTAAATTCCCGGTCGTTGTTTGCTTACAGGCGCTATTAGAACTACCGCGTTGTTGGATTATGAGACTTCGCCGAACATAACGTTCCACGTCAGGGTGATCGATCAGGGCAACCCGAGACGTACGTCCGACGTACTTGCCAAAGTATTCATCACCATTTTGGACGTAAACGATTGTCCACCGATTTTCACGAGTTTCGAATACAACACGTCAGTACTAGTACCCACTTACGTTAACGTGGCCGTTGTTCAACTAAATGCTACTGACGGCGATTCGGAAAAGCAAACGAAGTTAACGTACTCAATTGTTAGCGGAAATGAAGCAAACGTCTACACAATCGACGCTGATAGGGGACTCATAACAGTTAGGGATCCGAATTTAGGCATCAAGTCGAGTCCTCATAGTCTGGCCGTTTCCGTCTCTGACGGCAAATATTCCAGCCAATCGTAAGATTTCTAGATGATTTTTCGTGTTTACCATTAGTAATTTCAAACTATAGAATTATATTATAAGAAATAATATATGTGTTTTTTTAGAAACGTAAACATCCGTTGGTATCGAAGTGAAGACTCCAGTCTTAAATTCCAAAAACCCATTTATTATGCAACCGTTATGGAAAACGATACAAAAGACAGATTTCTATGTGCGGTTACTGTTATCGGAGCACATCTCAATGAACATTTACTGTTTTCCATTTCAAATCCGAGCAGATATTTTCAGATCGGATCGACTACGGGAATATTGAGGACAACAGGAATAGCTTTTGACCGGGAAGTAAAAGAAATCTACCAAATTATTGTTCAAGTACATAATTAATTAAATTCATTAGTTTATCTTTTATCTTAAACATTATACTTTTTAATGTTAAGGTCCAAAGCATGGATGGTGATAGTGATTCGTTAAGAGTTGCCCATGTTCCAATTAATATAACCGTTTTAGACATTAACGACAATGCACCAATGTTTGTCAACTTGCCATACTATGCAATTGTATCTATTGATGCTAAAAAAGATGATCTCGTTACAAAGGTAACTTAAACTAACCATTAAACAAAATAGTTTCCAAATTTGTATTTGTTATTTAATCACCATTCACCTGTATATTTTTTCAGGTGCACGCTGTAGATTTGGACCAAGGTGAAAATGCTGCCGTTCGTTATGAACTAACCAAAGGACCGGGTGAATTGTTTAACGTCTCCAGGAGTACTGGAGAGATATTTTTAAGACATAATTTTGAAGGTCAAAACAATGGACGCATAAGCGAATTCAAATTGACTGTCGCTGCGTTTGATGGAGGTAGTTTGCAACAATAATATATCCTATTTGAATAACAATCATTAATGTTTAAAAAAATAAATATAGGTCTACAATCTTATTCAACTGAAGTAGAAGTCAATGTCAAAGTCATGGATCGATCAATGCCTGTGTTTGACAAACAATTTTACTCTGTATCTGTACCAGAAGATATTGATCTCTATGCTCCTTTACCATTATCCATTAGAGCTGATTCGCCAATGGCCAGAAAATTAATATACAGTATTATAGCTGGAAATACATTTGAAGAATTTGCCATAGATTTCAATACTGGTTAGTTTTGTTTTGAGTTATTATTTTTTCCTTTAGCAATCAAATAACCACTCTTCATTATTATCTTAAGCTTAATGGTGAAGGACAGTAAACACTTGATTTATAATATTGTTATAATAATTCACACCTTTATAAAACACTTACTATTTGTTTTTTATTTCTTTTCTTGGTGCTCTCAACAGCTGATGATTACGGTGGTACCAGTGAGTACACATTAGTTATTCTATTGTGTGTGTTATGGGCTTTTTTTCAGTCTAGATAGACACCTGAGATAGAATTTGGACATCATGGATAAAAACTTAACAAAATTCTACTTCTGTGCACAACTAATCTTTTTCCACAGCTTTAATACAAATATTAAATTTGCAATTTCATTTTTGATATGACCAAGTTTTCTCGGGTGTTTTGACATTTATTTTTTTTTTTTTTTTGTCTTCAGTTGTATGTTTGCATTTGATTGTAATCTTTAATCTTTTTAAATCATACAGCTTTGGTTTGCTTAAAACACAAATTAGCTAAATACATGAATGTTTAATTGGGAAAATATGTTGTATGGATTATGTTTATTTACCAATGAAGTTAACTTTAATGATTTGTAAATAGGCTTATTGTATGCTGTTGATAATTTGGATTATGAACAAGTGCAACATTATACATTAACTGTTAGAGCTACTGACAGTGTATCTGGAGTATCAGCAGACGTGTTGGTCAGTATAATGGTAATGGATGTAAATGATTGTGCTCCTGAATTCATTCAAGACTCCTATAACATTTCTATATCTGAATCAGCATCGTTTGGTTCATTTATTTTAAAAGTAACTGCTACTGACAATGATACTGGTAAGGAATTATTACTTCTTAGGAATAAATTTAATACCTGATTATTTATGTATATTATGTAATCATTTTATATTAATAGATATAAATCGGATGATTAAATATTCAATAAAAAATGGTGAAGAAAACTCTACCGATTTCTTTCACATAGATGTTAAAGAAGGTTCAATATATCTGAAACAATCATTAGACCACGAAACACAGCCTCTTCATCATGTCATATTAGAAGCAACTGACTCGGGACTACCGTCTCTAAGTACTATCACTCACCTTTGGATCACCGGTTTGAATATATTATTATTATTTTCTTTATAGCTATCTTTTCATTATTTATAATACAATAATTGGATTTCAGTTTTGGATGTTAATGACAATGCTCCTAAATTTGAACAATCTTCCTATTCGTGTTGGTTATCAGAAGATGCTGAAAGAGGCCAATTTGTAACTATGGTCACTGCTACTGATCCAGACATCATTGATCATTCACGTTTAATGTACGGCATAACGGGAGGAAATAATCAACAAATGTTTGATATTAACCCAAAGTCTGGTATGAATAAAATAATAAAATAATAATACTAATGATAATAATCATATACAATATAAATATGTACAGGTATCATAATTGTTTCAAACTTGAATAAGTTAACAACTGTAAATGAACATGTACTCAATGTATCAGTTAGTGATGGAGTTTACACAAGTTTTTCGAGAGTTAGAATTGAAATAGTGTCAACTAACAAACACAGTCCAATATTTGAAAAATTCCAATACGATGGTCGTATTTTGGAGAATAAGCCTGCAGGCACTGAAATTATTCGCGTACAAGCAATAGATAATGATACAGGTCCATATGGTGAAGTGAGCTACTCGATACCATCAAAAAAGATGTCAAAAATATTTAGTATAAACAATATTACTGGTATGTAACGGCTAATTTAAAATTATATTACACACAACAATAACATGTTTGTATAATTTATATAGGTGAAATTGTATCAAGGATGACGCTAGACCGTGAGCATACATCACTATACGAGATCAGTGTTTTGGCTTGTGATCAAGGCGCTAGATGTGGATTTACTTTAGTTCGAATTCGGGTGAGTGATGAAAATGACAATTCACCAAGGTTCCTTTTGCCAGAATACAAAACATGCATACACAGCTCCTTACCAATCAACACAGGATTTCTCACGGTATAATAACAAAATTATATTTCCTGTCATTCAGCTTACTTTACATCTTTGTTTAAATGGATAGGTTAAAGCTGTTGATGATGACCAAGAACCATCTGGTCAAATTACTTATTCAATCAATGACATTGAACCCAGTGACATTACAAAACTAATGTCTGTCAATAAGTACACTGGTGTACTTGTCCTTCAAAAATCAGTTGAATCTTTAAGTAAGAACCAAATTGAATTTGGATTTTAAACAATTAATATATCTATGTATATATTTAAGATGGATCAATTAATACATATTTCATTAATTTGTTTAGAAAACAATGTATATCAATTTTTCATACGAGCAACAGATAGTAGTATACCACCAAGACAATCAGACGTTCCTATTGAGCTATTTGTGTTATCACCTGAAGATCATCCGCCAGTGTTCCTACAAGAAGACCAGAAATTCAATTTAACAGAAAATGCTCCTATCGGTATTTTTATATATATAAAAATTGCTAAACGATACAATATAAACTTAAATTTTTAATTGAATAGGCACCATTGTAACTACTGTAAAATTAGTGTCAGAAGGGGAAACTAAGTTCAGAATTACTGCTTCTGAAGAGACCTCCAAACTGTTTACAATCAATGATAAAGGTCAAATTACTACAACTGGATTTTTGGATAGGGAAAAACAAGCATTTCACATACTTGGAGTGTTCGCGTTTACTGAATCATCACCTCCATTAACTGCATTAACTGAAGTCTATGTTAAAGTATTAGATGAAAACGATAATGCACCAGAATTTGACAATGACTTATATATCGCCAAAATATCAGAAGCTATTGCTGAAGGCACAACAGTAGTTAAAAGTAATGCAATATTAATTTTTTAATTATTATTTATATTATTTATAACCTCTATATTTTGTATTTATAGCTCGTGCGATTGACTTAGATGAAGGAAAAAATGCTGAAGTCAAATACTTAATAAATTCTAAATCAAATGTACCATTTGTTATTGATCAATATTCGGGGTCAATTAGTGTTTCTGTATCAAACTTGGATCGAGAAGTGAAATCATCATATATTTTTGATGTGATGGCTTTTGATGGTGGAACACCATCGCTTAACTCAACTGTAAAAATACACATATCTTTAGTTGACTATAATGATAATCCATCACATTTTTCTGAATCTATGTATTCAGCATCAGGTACAATTTAAACTTGGAATTTCAATTTATAACAATATTTTACTGAGCTTTTTTTATTTTATAGTTGAAGAAGATTCACTGCCAGGAACAGTCGTAGTCCAATTGACATTAGTAGACAATGATAACGAATTACCATCCACATTAATGTACTACATTCGCGACGGAGATGTGCATTCAAAATTTGCTATTCGATCAACTGGTGAAGTATATGTTGCCAATACATTAGATCGAGAAACTTTAGACAAATATCAACTTACGATACTAGTTACCGACGGAAAATATGTATCAACTACACAGCTATATATCTCCGTCACAGATGTTAATGGTACATCATAAATCATCAATAAAATTAATTCAAAACTAAAAATTAATTTATATTGTATTTTATTATTAGATGAAAAACCTTACTGCCTTCACTACCGCTACAGGAGAATGCTTTCGGAAGGAGCACCAATCGGCAGTATAGTTTTAAAAATTGAAGCTCGTGATGTCGATTTAAATCCAAAATTACGTTATTATTTAACTGGTCATGGAGCAGAACACTTTAGTTTAGATATAGATAATGGTAATTTTATATTTCTGTAACTTGATCTTATTTAATAATTTGTCTAGTTAAATACAATTGTCGCTAAATATTAAATCATTAAATAATTATGTATTTACTTAAAGGGTTATTGAAAACTGCAGTTTCACTAGATCGTGAACAACAATCACGGTACAATTTGGATGCTCACGTACAAGACAGAGAGAAAAGTGACTGGGAATGTGTATCAAAAGTTGAAATTACAATGTTGGATATAAATGATAATGCTCCAATATTTATTGCTAATAACAATAATACTGCTTCGCTATCAGAAGATGCACAAATTGGTACTATTGTCATCAAGATGCATGCAACTGATGCTGATATTGGTAAATTAAAATTGAAAGGTACATAAATACCATTGAACATCCATAGCAAATATATGTACTTTTGGCCTAGGTTTAAATCGAAAACTCAAATATTCTTTGCAAGATTCAGCAGAAAATTATTTTATTATATCACCTGATAGTGGTATTGTAACATTAGCTAAAAAATTAGATCGTGAGACTTGTGAAATATATAATATTACTGTTAAAGCCATTGATCACGGTACTCCACCTCTTTTTAGCCTTACTGAATTAAAAGTTATTGTATTAGACGTCAATGACAACCCACCTATATTTGTACAAAGGTAAATAAGCTCAAAATTCATCTGTAGTTTGTGTAATTTCAACTCATTTACTAATTTCATTCCAGAACATACTATGCTACGGTTTCTGAAATTGCACCCATTGATACTGAAGTGACCAGAGTTTTAGCTACATCACTCGACTCTGGCAAAAATGCAGAAGTAGTGTATTCTATTGCCGGCGGTAATGAGCACAATAAATTTTCAATAAATCCAGAAACTGGTGTAATTAGTGTGTTTGAGATGCTTGACTATGAAAGGATACGTGACTATTTGCTCACAATACAAGCAACAGATCTTGGTGAACCGCCACTAAACAATCAGGCAATAGTAAACATCACAATTTTGGATGCTAATGACAATGCGCCAATATTTGGTCAATTAGCATATACCACTCAAATCAGTGAAGATGTACACATAGGTGAAGTTGTTATTAAAGTTTCGGCGACTGATTTAGATAGCGAACTAAATGGAAAAATACGTTATGCCCTGGTAAAAGGAGATCACCATCAACAGTTTGCTATTGACCCTTTTACTGGTAACATAACAGTGGCCAAACCTTTAGATCGAGAACAGGTATTTAAGATTTTTCTATTCTCAATTTATTACAATATAAATGTATTATAAATATATCATAAATATTTTGTTTTTTTCATTAAATCTTTTTCCAACAATTAAAATATTGATGTATACCTTCTAAATACAATTTATTATCTCCAGGTGTCTACCTATAATCTACAAATTAGAGCAACTGATTCTGGTGTTCCTGAACTCATGAGTTTTGCTTTAGTACAAGTGCAAATAAATGATGTTAATGACAATCCACCACTATTTTCACAACACAATTATTCAGCATTCGTCCATGTAAGGATAATATTATACATATACACTTATATACATACATTCATACATACATACATATATACACACACATATATTAGGTATTCCTATTTGTATTATGTAACATAGGTGTATTTATTTTATTCAGGAGGACAAAAAACCCGGTTGGATCGTTTGCCAACTTTCTGTAACTGATGCAGACTTACCACCTAATGGGGGACCATTCACATATGAAATCCACAACAATGACGATGGTAATGCATTTAGCATTGATCCTGACGGTACAGTTAGAACTGCTTCACAACTTGACCATCGTTTTCAACAGAACTATAAACTGGCCATAAGTGTTTTTGACAATGGTAAGCCATTACTACATTCAGACACGTGGCTTCATATTAAGGTACCTATAAAAAAAAACTTATATTTTACAAATTAACTTTATAATCTGTGTTTTAAAACAGCGGTTTCCAACTTTTTTATGGGTCCTATGTATTGAAATTACCCATGGACCATTCAACATAATAACCTTTTTTTTATTTTGATAAGTTTAAAATTATGGCACCCTTTATTATTAAAACTCCGTAGTTATAAGCATTAATTAATACACAACAGTAAAATTAAATATATATAGTTTCTATTTTTATAATTATTTATGAATTACTAATGACATTTTTTTTTTTTACTTATTAAAACATTTCTTCATATACCACTTACAAGCTTTATGCGTACCACAGATTGAGAACCGCTATTGTTTTAAAATATTACATAAATTATTGACTAACTTAAAACATTTTTTCTAATTGTATAATTTTGTAATTATTATCATTCAGGTAATTGAAGAATCACAATTCCCACCTGTTATAACACCTTTAGAAGTGTGGGTAGGATCGTGGCAAGACCGGTGGGAAGGAGGATCATTAGGACGTGTGCATGCTACTGATCAAGATGAATATGATACATTAGCGTATTATGTGATGAATCACAAAGAATTGTTCAAAATTGAAGAACGATCGGGTGAGATTAGAGCGCCTCAAGGATTGGATGCTGGCTATTATTCCATTAATGTATCAGTAAGCGATGGTAAATTTTTGTCATACTCCACGATTAATGTTGCTGTTGACTCATTAACTGACGACATGTTAAACGAAGCCATCAGTATAAGGTATAATTGAATCAATACAAATGAAGATATTTTACAACTAATGAATTCATAATTATGTTAAAGGTTGAAGTCTGTTACGCCACAACATTTTATATCTAGTCAAAAGAAAATATTGATGCGCACATTGAAATTGAATTTGGGTAAGGATGTAAATTTAATCAGCATTCAAGACGCACCCCAGGGAAATTTAGACATATTACTGCATGTCCGTGGAGTAAGTTGAAAGAATTAAATTGTTTTTATTATATAAACATTTGAGTGAATAGTTTAAAGATGAAAAAAAAATTAAATAATATCAATGTCAACCATATTAAATTTTCTAGGGGACTGATTTAAGTACCATGCATACTGCCCTGCAGAAAGCTGGCTTAATAATATCAAATAATGTACTGCCTTGTAATTGTACACCTGGCCAGGGTGTTTGTAGTCAGCACATCACTTGGCTACCAGACCAGGTCCAGACAACAGTTACAGATATGGTGACATTTGTGGCACCTGCCCATACCCATCAACCGCACTGCTCTTGCCGACTGGGTTTTGCTGGCAAATGGTGCGAAAACAAAATGGCAACAGAGTGTCCATGTTCTGTAGACGAAATTTGTGTACCGGATAATGAAATTGATGGGACATATAAGTGTGATAAACCACGGGGTGTTGGTGACCGCTGTTTAGCTGGCAATGAGATTGCTTGTTGGCCCCCGTTGTTTTCTAACTTACACATAACTTGGATACAATTGACTGCTGCTGCTGCTGCCATAGTCTTTATTATTATGGTCATATGTGTGTTGATTATATGCAGGTGAGTCACTCTCTTTGTCATCTGCATTTATATTGATTCTTGTTCGTACACAAAAAAATTTCCCTTACACAATTCATTGTCAATTTTAGAAAGTGTCGTGTTAAACGTCGAAATGCTCGTCGCAACAAAAATATTAACATGCTAAACACAGAATTCAAAAGAACCACAAAAATTAACAACTTAGAAGTAGCACAGGTACATTTATAGTTTACACATCATAGTAATGTTCTTCTTAATATATATTACTATTGTTATCATTTTACATTGTTTTAATTTTTTTTAGCGACCTGTGTCTTATACAGCTATAGCAAGCAACCCAGAAGCAGCATACATGGCTGCTGTGACTTCAAATCAACTAAACAATTTAGATACACTGAGGAGCTATGGCTCAGCTGGCGACGAACTAGAAAATGTTCCTCTTGATTACTTACGTAACTTGAACCGTGGCAATAACAATAAAATAATGAATGGTAGGTAAAGGTTAGAATAATTAAAAAATAATGATCACGTTAAGGCAAATATAAAATATATGTTAATTTTATGTAAATAATTTGAATAATTAATCCACATATCATCCCATTGAAATATAAAAATAAAAAACTTGCAAAAGTTTTCTAAATCTCATTCCATGTTTTTTTTTTTATAGACCTCAAAGCAATTCCGGATGTTACCCGAGTGCCTAGAAGGTCCATGCACTGTCCTGAAGAAGATACAAAAATATTAGGTGGTTACCACTGGGACTGTTCGGATTGGGTGCGCCGCAGTCAAAACCCACTGCCCAATATCAGTGAAGTACCTGGTAGTGAAGTGCCCGATTCTTCTAGTTTTCACAGTGACAGCAACGACGAAGTGCACCACCATATCATAGGTAAATTTCAACTATGTAAAAAAATGCTCAATGCTCATCATTAACAATACTCAATAATAGAGTTAAGCGAGTACTCGACTTTGAAAATATGTCTGTTGTTAGTTAGATTATTGGTAGAAAAGTTGTCCACAGGAAAAAAAAAATTGTAATATTATACTAATATATTTCGTACATTTTCCTGTTTTTTCCAACTTTTTTGGTTTTTCGCATTTGATGAGAAAACTCTTATAAAATCGAAAAATGATCTCTTTAAAGTACCTTCCCACACAGATTTCCTTTTTCGAAAAAGTGCTACACATAAAAATTAGAGAAAGTCCTCTGGTAGAAAAATTGTCCATAGAAAAAAAATAGTTTTAATTTAACAGTAACTAATCAAATTTTTTATTTAATAAGACATCTATTATGTACTCATATTCAGTATAATCATATATATTATACTCTATAATAAATATGTCTATGTGCGAATACTCGCTTATTTTCGAATACTCGTCAATTTTCGAGTATTTAACTGTACAACTCAACATTAATAAAACCTTACTTGTCCAACCCTAATCAATAATAATTCTTAATGTGTTTTTTTTTTTTCTATGCCAAACAGACCCAGCCAGAGATTTGGAAACACTCGACGAAGAGCTATATTTATCATATCGCAGTGAAGATGATGATGTTGTCACATACGGTTTCCCACAACGATATCCAAGCCAGAGTGAACTTTCTACCAATGTATGTGAAATTGAAGACCCAGATATGCCCATGTCTACGGCTGTATGAAGGTTTCGATTTATAGAACATTCCATTAGATGAAAGTTATTAATTCTAAACTTAAGTATTGACAACTTGTTTTGTTTTAATTAATTTTGTATAGAATTACTATTATTATTTTATCCCATTTAACACGGGAAGACTGAACACTTTTCTTAATGTTTAACTATTTATGTATGTAAAAAAAAAAATGTAATTCTGTGATAGTTTGATGACGTTTTTTTTTAACTTAGTTATTAATTTTCCCGTAGAATAAGTGTTCATAAAAAAAAAATCATTATCCAATGCATAAAAGCATTTTTATTAGGCATGAAATTTAGGTTTTTTTTTCTTTTAATTTTTATTCATTTCCCTTTGGAAAAATGATCTCTTACCATATCCACTGTCTGTGTTTATCGTAATCATATAATACAGTCATTGAATTGGTACAGACTGTAATATTGAACTATTATATAATATTACACCTAGTCCCTATAAATAAAAATTAAATAACCAGTGCTAACATTCTGGTGCTATTTATAGGCCAGTGTTTTTTTTTATACTTTGCATATTATTATTATTAATTAAATTCATTGTAAATTGTTTTTTATTTATTTTTTTTTTTTCATACTGAACGACTGAACGGTGGCTCAGGCAATAAATTTAATAATTTTACTTATGTTTTTATAACATATTTATTTTGTAACTTATTTTTTTTTTTGCATAAAACAAAAACGTAATTGTGTTCATTATTTAAAAAAAAAACGATTAACGTCGATGTTTTATTATGTTGAAGTTCCGCGACACTGTGCCATTCCAAATAAAATGAAAAAAAAAAAAATCCTATTTAGTTTTTAGTTTATATATCCTGTTAATTAATAATACTTACAGCTGTGCATCTGTAATTATTATTAATATTATTATTATCCTCGTAATAACAATTGTGTAAGTTTAATAATGATTAATAATATATTTTATCACACCTTCTCTGCCAAAAGTGCCTAACTATAATTTGTTTCTCGTTTAATTATTATTATACGTGTAATATTATTATTTTTCTAAGTGTTAAGTAAAAAAAAAAAAAATCGAATTACTAAATTATACGAATAACATATTATATTATATAATTAACAGCATAAATGTATTTATAAATGTTAAACATATGTAAGACATCTATGTACACATATACACGATAAATGTTTTTTATAGTTAAATTTATTTAATTGACATTTGATGAAATCGGTAATAATATTATCATTTACCTATACTTAGTTAAAATTGTTTTTGTACCCGAACCCGAATTCAGGGAGAAAATGGGGTAGCGCACCATAATTTTATATTTTCATAATTCGGACTCTTCTGGAAATTGTTTGTATACATACATTAAATTAAAAAATGTATAACCGTATTCCTTTTTTTCTACATGTATGTGTGTGTGTGTGTGTGCGTGTGTACATAATCATATATATATATATATATATTACAATATTTATAAAATGAGTTGATTTATTGTTACGTTAGTATTTGAGTTCTACATATTATTATATTATATTGTAAGTTTCTTATATATTTTTTTTATGGAAAAATGTATAGACTATTTTTGTAATAAACACAAATATGACTTGATATTAATAAATAATGAAAAAACTGTTACTATAAATAATTACGTTGTCTTGATTTTAATACCTGCCATAAGTTTATATTATAATGTTGTTAAGCATTTATCAACATTGTAGAATGAACAACATGAAACTGAAAACAAACCGACCAAACAAGACAATAAAACATGATTTGATTGTAGTAATTTACAATATTAAATAAATTATAAGTTGAATTAAATTTGTTGGCCCAGCAAAAATGGTAGAAAATTTAATAGAAGATTGAACATAAGTTATACCTACTTGGTGGTAAAAAAAAATTTTATCTCTATGCAATAATTTTTTTTTTTATTTCGAGTTTTTAAATATTCGATCATTCAACTGCTTATTCCCTCAATCCTAAAATACAGTAAACATTTATGTCTTAGAACGTGCTGCCTCTCTCTCTCTCTCTCTCTCTCTATTATAACTATAGGTACTTTAGGCTTCACTAGGAATGGAAATCATGATACATCGAGTTTTATTTCATAGAAAAATTAACAACAATTATCAAAATATCGAATACTTAAGATTGGAAATCTCTGACTATATGACAGACACACAGACCGCATAAACACATCTGAAATTGTTTTGTATAAATCTCTTTTTTGGTCCATTCGTGTAATACTACTAAGCCGAGAACTACCTACCATAGAAACATAATGCAATGAGTGTTCCTGCATGGCAGATTACGTTTATTTTTGTTTCGTATATTATACTCACGATTACTCGAAATTTGTGCGTTTAAAGATTTTAATCGTTTTTATTTCTATTTCATTATTAATAATTCGCGCGAAACGATTACATTTTTTATCTTTGATTCACGAGCATGCATTATCTGTTCCTGCGGTAAGATTTTTAAATTATTCGGTGTTCTACCTTCTACGTGAATAACATAGATTTTCAAAACAGTATCGTTTTCGTATAAAAGTAAAATACAATTGATCGTAATTTGTTCGGCTAAAGTGCACTTTACCTTACCACGCTCTTCACGAACTTCAATAGTTTTTTGCCGTTGATTTTGAAAATGTTTGAATTAATTTTTTTTGCCGGGAACCGTTATTTTCTAAAACCATGGCCTAAAACGTCGGGATTTCGACTTGTAAAAATAACATTATTTTCGATTTAAAGTCTCGAAGCATGCGAATGAAATTATCTGAAGACCCGGCTGTCTCGTGTAACGACGTCTAGGTTTACCTACTGATCTTGGTACACTATCCTGCTTACGGCTTACAACTGTATTACACTACGTTTCACGAAACTAGCGACTCGGCAGTAGCGCTCCCGGTGGCAGATTTTCGTCATTTTTTTTCAGAAATCGGCCGAAATTCACGAGTTTCGATATTAGATTACTCGTATTTTGTTATATTTTTAAGCCAATGGGGGAAGGGGATATACCTCTAACCTCCTCCACCTCGGGCACGCCACTGCCGGCAACAATGCTAGTACGAGGTACTCGTGAAGATGGTACCTTTGTATCTACTTATATTTTAATGTGTTTTCTTTTTTTGTTGTACCACTAACCGAAATAACGCCAGAGGAGGCCATGGACATAATGACCGCGGTAAACGCAGAGGAATATATGATGGCCAAGGCGCCTGGAAAATTGACAAAAAAAAAAAAAAAAAAAAGGAACAACGAATACGAATCCGATTCGTTAGTTTCATGATAAAACGTATGGGGAAAACGGACAGTTAATATTTACGGAGCGCCGCGGCGTTACCGATTTCATTTGTTTTCAATTTGTACGCACTATGTTTACTGTCAGATATATCGCTCCGGTCGAAAAACGACAAGAACCATTGTTTTTGTCGCATTTTTAATTTCGTCGGTAAATGGGAAAGTTGTTTTTTGATATCCCCCGTGTGTTTTACATAATAATTGAGTAAAACCGCGAAAAAAAACAACCAGTAGAACAAACGGTGGAGTCTACGGAAATGATAATTACAATAATTTTCAATTTTGTTTGTTAGTTATGATTCGGTTAGGATTATAGACTTGAAAAAACTTTGACAGAAAACATACACCTACAGCGGGTTCCATTTAACGCGGTCGTTTTGATTCTAACAACCGGTTGATTCCGTAACACATTTTTTTTTTTTCTTTTGTTTTTTTAATAATTTTATATTCATATTTATAATTAAATAAAATAATTAAAATAATGAAAAAGAAAAAAAAATGCATTTAAAATAAAGTAAAGAAACTATCGGTTATTGTAAAATTATTATTTCGGCGCTTTTTTTTTCACCTAAAAGTGTATATTTTATGATTTTTAGTACGTATTTTTTCTGCATATTTGGTAATTTTTCAGTGCATAAATATTACAATTTTGCTTTGTACAACGGTACTCCTTTAATCTCTGCGGTATAGGCAATTCAAGTGGCACGGTACCATGGCACTTTTTCCTTATCAAAATTATCTCCTGGCTATACACTCCGGTCCCGTACTTCATACTTGTTAATATTGTGATAATAAACTTTGGCAAATTAAAAGGTAAACAAATCCATTTTTGCAAAATCACAAAACAATACGAATAGGATGACGTCCACGTTGGACTATAATGAGCGGCGACGGAAAGAACGTGAAAACATTGGTTTAGTCGGTGTACCAGGAGTATGGGAAAAATCACCTCCGCAGCCTGCCAACGAGTAATCCGTATTTAAATGTCTAATGTTACTATTATTATTGATTTGTAGAAATAACTATACCTACATTGTAATAAACATTTCATACACTTTTCGATATTTATATCCATCGTATGAAAAACTAAATTCGATAACAGTGAGTCACCATGATGTTGATGTTATTGCAGTTTGTATCAAAACACATTGTAAAATTCTACAGATCCTATAGTCCTATAATACGACTTTTTATGATTATCGCGTTTTTACAACAGTTGATTTGTAGGTGACGTATTTTCGTACGTCCCTTAACATTTTTTTTCAACCACTATCAACCGCATTTCCCTACAGTTGAGTTCTACATACACATTCACTCTTATGACCGATATAAATAAAATTAAAATTATAAAATAGATATATTTAAAAAAAAAAAAAATATATATATATATACGAAATGTACAAATTATTTTGTTTTTAATATTATAGTTTAGATTCAGACAACGAGAACACACTCAATCAAAATCATCTCTCAATTCTTCCAATCAAATGGCACAAGAAAAAAAAGAAACAAAAAGACAAATCAAAGGTATAATAATTTTATAATTTGTTTTATTTACACGGTAGTTATTAAGACAAGTATTTTATGATAAAAAAATATGCTTATAGTTTAATGTTTTCTTTTAGAAGTCAAAACGATTAAAAAAATCAAAGAAGCACAAAGAATCGCACAAGAAGAAAAAGAAAAAGAAAGTATCATCTGATAGTTCGAGTGGCTCAAGTACTGATGGTGAAGGCGACGAATGGATCGAGAAAAAAGGTACCAACTGTAATATTTTGTGCTTAAAAGTTCTATCCAATTATTGTAAAATATTATTGATACATGATTTTTATTTAGGTGCCGCAGAAACCAGCATAGATGATACTGTAGGGCCATCACCAAAGCCCAATGTCACGTTGACCCAAAAAGATTATGGACGAGCTTTACTGCCGGGTGAAGGTGCTGCCATGGCGGCTTATGTACAGGATGGTAAACGTATTCCTCGGCGTGGTGAAATCGGTTTGACGTCTGACGAAATAGCCTCATATGAATCTGTTGGCTATGTGATGAGTGGTAGTAGACATCGGCGTATGGAAGCTGTACGTATCCGGAAAGAAAATCAAATTTATTCTGCGGACGAAAAACGAGCGTTGGCCATGTTCAGTAAGGAAGAACGACAGAAGAGAGAAAACATAATCCTTACTCAGTTTAGAGATATGGTTAAAAGTAAAACCTCGAGTAATAAATAATTAATTACGAGTAACTAAAACAGAAATTGTAATACTGTATATGAAAATTTGTTTAAGTGTATTATTTGTGTGTCCGACTGATTACAGTATATTATATTGTTGATTTTTGTACATTGATAATCTATAACGACTTATAAATATTGGATATAATTATATACTCGATAGGATATCCCGTGTATAGAGAAAGTAATGTTAATTCCCTCCCCAGACCTGGGGATACCACAGAGGATTTCCCATGCATAGGGTTTAAAATAACAAAAACTTAGTATTGTTTTTTAATGAAAAATATTTGTACATTATTTTAGAGTGCAATAATATTACTGAATTTACAAATTATTAATATTGTTAAATTTAAAACAAACCTATTTTGAGAATAAATATTGGTTTTGTACATGATATATAAAACAGAAGGTATTTTGTATTGTGAACAAGTAGCAAATATTAGATTTTCTGGTGTAACCAAAAAGTGTAAAAGTACACACTACCACTTTTTTGTAATGCTTTTATTTTCAGTTGGAGTTTTATTATGTTTTAATTTTGTGTTATTTAATTATCGTTTGTGTAAGCACAGTATACAGACCTCTGGTTACGTACCTGAAAATACCCGTCTCGAACGTGGGGCTGATAGGCAAAAATGTATAGTACTATAATAGTCTGTATAGTAATTATCTGTTTCAGAAATGAATTGTTCGTTTAAAGAATTAGAATAGTACAATAAACTTTGAAATAAAATATTTATATCATAAAGTTTTATGTGGCACGCTTACACTGTCTTGCGTTAAAATAAAATATTATTCAGTGTTCTTTATTCGTTCATCATTACTTCTTTAATTTCTGTTACCTAGGTAACTTAAATTAAACAACATATGACAGTTATTTCTTATCAGTGTTGGGAAGGAACACGTTCCTTGGACAAATTTTTTTCGTAGAATGAAGATTGGAATGTGTTTCTTTTTAAATATAGGAAAGAGTTCCTATTAATGTGGAACGTGAATCTCTGTTCCTCCTATTGGGAAAACAAAAATGAAACTGGCATTTTTTTAGTGATGATATTGTTTAGGAATTGTTTAGTGTTGGCTTCATGACTGTAAAAAAACCCAAATTAAGTGATGCTTTGTTAGAAAAATTACTCCTTAAACAAGACAAAATGTCAGTGTAATCATTTTTTTTTTTTCTTGTATAATTATAAAAATATTATATTTTGAATTTTGAGTAAATTGATGATGAATTTTTTTTCAAGTAATATTTTTTAAATTTTTTTTGGGTAAGAACTAGGAAATTAATTTTATTTAATTTATTAAGATTTTAAACATGTAGAATCGAAGAATTAAAAATAGTTTCCAATTTTAATTATCCTTAACCAGTTCCTTTTTTGGAGTGGGAACGAATTCCTTTTTTACAAGGAACTTTCCCAACACTGTTTCTTATCGAAAAAATCTTTTTGACTTCACACTTTTAAACTATTTATATTGATGTCATTACCATACACATTTCTTATGAAACCATAGATAATAATATCTATGTTATGAAACACGTTTAATCACAATGGAAATAACGTACATTTCGTCGGCGATATTTGATAAGAATGTCCAATGGTGTCCAAATATGTATATAATGTTGCCTAATTCGACTCTAGAAATTCTATCGCTACTGGTTTAACAAGTTGCCTACCCGTCATCCAAAAACCTATTCAATGGCTAACGAGGCGATTTATTTTGATTAAAAAAAAATATTAATTGAAATATATCCTACTGGTTTTGATTATTATCCGCATATTATATTAAATTATTTATAATAAGGTATGGGCTTTGTCGTCCATCTGGGCCTTTTCTGAGAACAAATGTCTGAAACATTTGTTCTCACAGCTGAACTGTAACAGGTCATACTCGAGTTTTTATTTTAACGTGAAACGATTGATATCTTTGCTGAAGAAACATTCAGAAAAATACAGTGTGAAAAACTTAATTCGGTTTTATTACAATTCTCAAAAACGCATTTACTTTGTGTGAGTTAATCAAGTTTCATTTTGTATTATTTTAAATTTTTAATATGTGTATTTTAATAATTTTATATGTAATCGAGTTTGATTTTTTTAGTTTTTCTTAGCGTAAAATATGATTGAAAAAAAATGTCTTACTTGTCTCGTTGTAAGAACCAGTAAACTGTTTAATTCTTATTTAGTCGACTGACAGTTGAAACGTTGCAATATTTATAAGTCATAATTAAATTGTTTTAGTTATAAAACATGGGTAAGTACATTAGGTACTTTAGTATTTACGTATAATATATTACGTACATTTTATACAGAATATGATCGTTATTGTTATAATTTTTGGAGAAATTGGTGGCGAACCCAAAAGTTTTATTATGTAGGGTAAATGTCTTTTTGAACTTCTTCGTAATTTTTATATTTTCGATGACTGATATGTGTAAACGGAAATTAGTACCTAATGACATAATTATCAATGTAGGGTGGGTCAAACCCATGAGCACCCCCCCTCTCACCCCTCATCTTCTGCGAGAACGTCCATAACGCAAACGGTAGGTAAATAAGTCGAGGGCAAACGTTTGATTTGCCGCGGGGCGCTTTAGTTGTTGGCTGTGCTACTGCCGTCAAAGTCATTATTGTTTACAGGCTATTTTCTTTTTAGCGCCATCTAGTTGGCTTCACTTCGCGCATTTGCGTCCATTTATTACCTATACAACGCTTATAAAGGAGTGTTTACGCGGTTTGGGAGTCACTGGACTTTTTATCAAATATTGCCAGCGGAACATGATATACATCGTAAATATTATAAAAAAAAAAAAAACGTAGTCCAAAACATTATGTGTAATTGAATTGATAGTACTTAATACACACATTTATCAAATAATAAGTATATATTGACACGTTTCACACTCTCAGGAAATCCGCTTGACTAAACCGTGCGATTTCCTATATGTATGTAATGTTACATTGAAAATTTAATGTTGTCGATACCATGACGTCGGACAATCAAAATGAAACCCAGTCCAGGTTATATTTCCTCAATGAACAATTACAAAAAATGGTCAAAGAATTACCTAGGTAAATTTTTGTTATTTTTAATTTAGTACACGGTTGATGCACTCTAATATCGGACTTCCTTAAATGCCAGATAGGTAATAATAATAAATAATTAATTTTCTGTTTATCTGTCTATAAATATATATATATATAGGAAATACCAACAACGTATTCCCAATGAGCTACTCTGCGAGTTGGCAGAATGCCTTTTGGATGAAACACTATATTCCATTGTTAAGGAACTGGCTGATATACAACATGTCACCGAAAAACAAATGTTTCAAAAGCGATTGGAAATGATAAACAAACATTCAGGTAAAATTTAAAAAAAAAAAAAAAAAAAACCCATTTCTCATTTTTAATACTTACCTATATTAGTTTTATCAATGAGAAAAATCAAACATTACTTTTGTTCAAGTTGGTATACAAAAACTACTTAAGTCTGATTCAGTCGAACCGGGTAAAACTGAAAAAAGGCTAAAACTTCAAGCGGAACATAGAAAAAATTTAAAAGAATTTGAGAAAAAAATAGTGTCCGAACTCGACAATAAGGTAATCATATAGTTGTTTAATAAATATATCACAAATTTGATATTTATTACCAACATAAGTACATAGTAGTTTTTTATACATGTATGTATATGATTATAGAACAGAATATAAATATTAGAAATTAGTATATTCATTGTAATGCATCTCATAATCTAATAATTTTTAAATTATAAATTATGTATTATGTAAGGCACCATATCAATTTAAAGGGTTAAAGCATTTACACAATAAACAGACAGATAGTTATTTTCAAAGTACTTAATTGCAATTTTAAGATTTATACTTTTTAATTTGTCTGTAGAGAAGAGAACAACAGAATATATTATCAATGGCTGGTGTACCTGGGTTTGAAGTAACAGACGACCCTGGCCGTATTCAAGTTCAGATACGCATATGCGATTTTATCATAAGATTGAGTTTACTCGATAAAAAACCAGAAGATGTGTAACAAAAAAAAGAAAACACTATTGAAAAAGTTAAATTGTCATTTATGCTAAAGAAAAACAATAAAAATAAAATCCCATAAATTGTATAATACAATTAAATTGAAATAATCAGTGGAGTGAAACATATTTATAGAAATATTAATTTTATCAACTCATACTTTAATGTAACACGAAATTTGTAAAATGTACAATTGACAAATATACATTTTTTTATTTTAAGTTTATATATGTACATACCTAGTATATGTTTAATGAATTATTTAATAAAAGAAAAATAATTAAATTTTAAAAAGTCTGATTATCCAATCGCAATTTTTTTTTTATGAATTCAACACAATTGTTTCAACATGTTATCTTTTCAACATTAATACACAACATTTATGTAAAAACTAGTTATAACTTATAAGAAAACAAATATAAGAAAAATGAATCTGCTGAAATAAAAATAATTGTGAAAAAAAAAACTAAAAAAACAAATATCCATTAGTTATTGAAATGTTAATTTTGTAATAGTAAAAATACAGCTGTGTCTGAAGATGTTGCTTGAACCACAACCTTTTGATCCAACCGGTTGGCCGCGTCAATATCGGTTGGAGTGTAATAAATAACATCAGAATCATCTTTTTCTTCAAAACCAATACCCCAAGCCATTAATTTATCTGAAAAAAATTAAAATAAATGTGTATAACATAATATGATTGCTTGTATTCAATAATAAAATGAATATTATTACTGTTTTCTGTAATGACAAAAGTATTGTCTGAACCACATGTAGCTAGTTTAATTTGTGGTAATGATGATAACACTTTGGGTACTTTTTGGTTTTCCGCTATGTCCATACCCAAACGTCCATCTTTGTAATCACCTAGTACATATACAGCGCCTAAACAATGACAAAACCAACCATAACATGAATATTACACCGAAATATTTGATAAATATTATATTTTGTCCTTAACAATGTAATTCATAATTTTAAGTATAAATAGAAAAATCAAAATTTTTTTTTATTATAATATAGTACACATTAACATGCATTATAGTCCGCATCATGAAAACAGACAGGTGACTGTTGGTTATCAAAAATTTGAAATTGTACAATAGTGCTCTGTAGGTATTATTTACAATATAGTGGCGGACACCTGCTGCAGATAGGCGCAATAAAATGAAAGTCACTGTCTATTGGCTGGTTGAAGTACTGAAGTCCGGTTAGAATGGGGGCCACTCGCTACTTTTTGTAATGCAGGTTATAGTTATGTTAGTTGTCGTTAGTAGTTACGTTGAGTAATAATTAAGAGTTAAAGATCTTGAATTGATTATTAATTCATATTTGAAAATACTTAAATTACTAACTTCATTAATAATTATTATTTTGCAAATTAATAATAAAAGTTATATTGATAACAAATAGTCAAACCTTGTTCATCCAGCAAAGTTACATGCTGTGTTCCTGCTGATATGGACTTGATTTTAAGACGACTTAGGGATTCCGAAATTTGTGGAAAGTATACACATTTATCATCATTTTCAACTCCTAACTGGCCATGTGCATTTAGGCCAAAAGAGTAAATTGTCGAATCTGATGAACGTAAAAATGTGGTGTCGTAATTAGCCCAGATATCTTCAACCTTTTTTCGTAAATTTAATAGTTGAGGATTTAACAGTAATTCTGTAAAATAAAATTAAACAAATGATATTAAATGGTGATTCATTATTATGTACTATTTTTAATTTGGATTTTATGACAGATTATGTGTAAGTCTTGTATTTTTGCCATGGTATATTTATTCAGTATTGTTTGATATTTATTTATTTTATTTCAACGCCTAAACAGGCAATATTTTATAATGGAAAGACTTAGATCGGCTACAGAATTTACAAATTATTCAGCTGCATGAAAAAAATCAACGATTGATGAAATTAATTATAACTAAAATTATTCTTGACATTGGCCAAATACCACTGGAAATGCTCGAATGTGTCATTGAAAATTGGAATAACAGAATAGATTAGTTAGCCGCAGTTACAGCCAACATTTGATAGAAATAATTTTTAAAACATAAATGTAAAAAATGCTTCTTTTGTATGATATTAAAGACTATCAGATAGTTTTATTTTTGAAAAAAGAATCACGCATTATATACATGTGCGTATTTAAAATGTTTTTTTTTTCTTTGTATTATAAACATACGTTTGCCAATTCGCGACTCTCTATTGGAATGCCTTTGACATATTCTTCCAAGCTGTCCTTCGTCTCCACATCCCATTGTATATACCTTGTTTTTAGACAAAATGACTAGATGATTAATACCAGATGCAATTTTCTTCGCGTTACCCATAATGAATCGAGGCTTTAATTGTTTATCACCATTTGGATGGAAACCCATATCACCATTTTTATCCTGCGCAGAAAAAATATTAGGTTAAGTATTTTAATATAATTCTTTTAAAGTTAAAATTATTACTTACTCTAAATGTGCCCCAACTATAAACATTACCATTACTGAGAAGTAACGCTGAATGAGAACCACCAGCAGATATACTATATATTTCAACATTTTCTTCAGGAATCTCTACAACACCAGGCTTAGTCTCACTATCTTCAACTGAAGTATCTCGGCCCAACGCACCTTCATCATTACAGCCCCATGACATGAGCTTGAAAAAAATGAAATCTATAAATTAAACGGACTCAGAAATAAAATACAGTGAATTACTTTTCCATCTTCAGTAACGCCCAACACGTGCATACTACCGGCAGCAACCAGTTTAAATTTGAAATTCTTTAATTCAGTAAGATTTGTAAGTTGTTCACGGTCAGGACCTAAACCAAATAATCCAGCAACCACTATGTCTCGTCCTTTAATCATCATAACAGCCGATGATTCAATTCGGTTATCAAAAGCTGAAAATAATTTTCAATTAACTTTAATTATCGTATTATTAAGTTGTACACAAATTTAAAGTTTATTTTTATACCCATTAAATCTGATGATTTTTCAGTCTTGATTCTTTTTACTTCAGTTTTTGGTTCATCGGCCGATTTTCTTTTAGGTCCTATTTTATTTAATACATTTATAATAATGTACATTTTTACTAGGTTTACATGGGATATGAAAAATATTTTAACAAACTTTTTGAATTAGATGATGTTTGTGGCTCAATTTCTGGATCTTGTTTGCGTTTAGCACGGGCATTATCATTGTTCGAGATTGATTTTTTGGATACTGCACCAATTACATAAATAATATAATATGGTATTTAAAATAAATAATATAATTATCATTTACTTGGCGGTTGTTTCTCTTCTTTGTTTGTCTGTTTTTTTTGTGGTATTTTTACTGGAGTTTGTTTGCCATTGGGCATTTCAACTTCCACATTCTTTTTTTCGTTCTTTCGTAAATTTTTTTTATTGCCATTTTCTTCACTATAAATAATAATTTATTACAAATAAATAAGGTAGGTATTAATTTATCAAGTTATTTATCAAGAATTTATTATATTACTGACCCATTTGTCTTTGATATTACATTAGGTTCTGCCTGTACATCTACATCAGTTATACCATTTACTTCAATAGGTTCTCTATGAAAATATAATTTAACATGTTTAAACATTATCTGGTATATTATTTTTCAAAAACATTGTATATAATCAATAATTACATATTTAATAATTTAGAAAAATGAAATTAAATAGGTACATACTCATTTATTCCAGCTGACTTAATTGTAACAGCTTTGGTAGTTTTTTTAGTTACTGCCTTAGTTGGTGCTTTTTTTTTACCAGCCATTTTCACTAAAACAAAAACAGGTAGGACCAATTCATTACTATTTACTGCATTAATTTACAGCTTAAAATTTAAATAGGTAGACAATTTGTATATTTTAAAAAATTCATAAAAAATATCAAACTGAAAATAATAAATTTTATCTTGTTACAATATGCATAATACTTATAAATTACAATACTAATTTACTCAAAAACAACTAGTATTAATGTACTACACTATTTGTTCTTAAGCACAGAATGATTAAATATTACAAGTTATAAATTATGCAAGAGCCCTACTTAGGGGACGGCAGCCCCGGGTCCCCACATAATGAGAGGACTCTATATAATAATTAAGTTTTAAAATTTTTTATTAAGATAAATTTGCTAAAGAACAAAATATTTACTAGAAATACTACTTGTGACAGAATTTTAAAAAAACAAATAAGTTATCAACAAACATTTTATCTTACACTGATGATAAGGAAAATGAGTAAGAAAAAAATTTTCTGGATGATACAGTTGAAATTAATTTAAATAAAAAAACCAGATATAATTTGCACGTGGCCACTGTTAAATGTGAGAAGTTAGGAAGATAGAGGGGAAATTCAATGTATATCTGTACACAACGATTAACCATTGCAAACGAAAAAACGATTCTGATTGGAGTTTGGTTGTACATGTTTTAAAAAGTTGTAATATTTACGATTTGAAAATAATAAATTTCATATATTTTCTTTTTTTTTTTAGAGAAAATGCTTAGAAATATCAAAAAATACCTCTCGAAAGTACCACCCCAGTCAAATTTCTTCTCAGAAAAAAAACGTACAACTAATACATTCCTTGCTCTGCTCTGAATTTCAAATTTTAACAATGTTTTTGTGGTGAGTTTTTCTTTTTTTTGTCATAGAAGTGTTTAATTATATTATCAAAAAAATATCTTTTTCACAATTTGATTTCAACAATTTATTTATAATCTTAAAAAATAAATTGAATTTAAAAAAGCGATGCAGCAAAAAAACTTAATTTATAACTTAATTAAAGAATCCCATCATAAAATTAGCTCCAGGCCACGCTCTTTGGCCCCTAAATTTTTAAGTGGGACTCTGATATCGACAAGTAGTTCGAATATTTAAAATGATAATTTTAAAAGTAATAATATTATTTGTGTTATAATTTAAGATTTAAAAAATACTTATATAACTATTTAGGATCTTTGTATTTTATCTATTAGATACCAAGTTAAGTGTTAAACTTTTGCATAAGATTCTATTATTTTCACCAAATTTAATGTTAAATACATAGGTACTAGAAAATACTTATTGGAATATTACAAATTAAGACTAAATTCTAGATTTCTAACTGGATAAGTACAAAAATTGAATTATATTAGTTATACTCATTGGACAGTAGTATGGTACACATCGGAGAACATATCACTAAATATGACAATTTATTTAAACAATTAACATAAACCACATATGATACCAATAACTAACAATTGCAAAAACCCGGAATAGTCCGTTGAATAGGGACGTATTTTAAAATAATTACTACCTAGGTAACTAATCACTCAAATCTTCCCTCTCCCCCCCCCCAAGATAAAAAATGGGATATAAATGGTACAACAAAATAAAACAGTATTTCGTATGCGTTAGCGAAACACATAGAATACGTAACTGAGAGCTCGTGAATTAGAATTGCTCGTAGGATAGTAAAAACGAAAACCTATTCAATGGAACGAAGAGAAAATTGACGATTCTGCCTCGAAGTGCCGTGATCAGAACGGGCGCGACAGTTTTGCCGCCAAAACGAAGTCCGCCAACGGATTTCGGGTTTACTCATCAAAACACGATACTTACGTTGATTTCTGGTCGGTAGCCGCGATGGATTTCGACGGTTCAATTGAACTCGACGGCCGGTTGTTGTAGTATCACAGAAAATTAATTTGGAAAAAAAACGACGAAACGTGCGATTCGGAGTACGAGACTTGGACCGCGTTTGCGTACCGGTACCGGTCGGTGTGCGTGCGTATAAAAGGATCGACTTAACGGCCACCGGGTACAATTACGAAAAAAAATACCCAGATAAAATAAAACATGCGATTTTTAAAATCGAAAAGAATGGACGACCGAAAACAGACCGGCAACAAGAAATCAAGAACGGAGACCGGGATTCGGTGAAAGAAAAAGTATTAAGTAATCACCCAGCGGCCAACGGCACCCGTGCGTAATCTCAATCTACGAAGGTTTGGTTTTCGGGTGGGGATTTCCTAACGGAAAAACTACCTTAGCGGTTCACTCCGGTAACGATGACAGCTGTTTTTCCGTAATCATCACTGGTTACCGCTTACCGTATTCTGATAATAGACCTTGTATCAAGATGATATTAAACTGATTAAACTGTGCCTTGAATACCGTATAAATACAATTGCACGCGTTTCATGAATCATGAACATAAAACTTTCATCTGTAATATTGACGATTCCACATTACGCACATTAAAATGGCAGAGTTGGACTTTACCGAACTGAGTGAACTGACCAAGATCAAGGTAAACGGTTTAAGAAAACGCAAAGCACCGCCGTCCAGTGTTACGTCGAAACACTCGAAACGTAAACATAAATCAGACACTTCCAGCGTGTTCTCGCTGACGACTAGCTTGGCCTACGGTGCCCGCGATGTGGAAGACCCAGATGATCCAGATGACGAAGAAATTTACGATGAATCCATCTCTGTAAACGAAAAACCGTTAAATGTAAGCATATTACCGTGGTTTTCCGGTCATACACCCGACGATTAATATTAATCAGACGATCTACCTACTTATTAATAGTCTTCTAATTATTAAAATATGTTGTAAAATTCGAAATTGTTTTCATAATTACTTGTTATTTTGTTTACAGTTTGTCAATTTAGATTTATCTACTTTGAACAGAGAAAATGGCATTCTGTTTTCAGAAGATCTAACTGACAAATATGAAATTTGGACATTGCAGTGTCCTGATGATGTAAGTAAATCCTAGTGACCTAATGAAATCATTAGGCACCTCTCTGTAATTATGATATAATGCCATGTGTGGATATCTGATTGATTTCTACTGTCTAAGTCCTGTATTTAAGAAGAAGCTAGATTTGAATTTGTTGTCTCTGTCTTAGAAATGCAAAGTATAAAATATTTGCACCCAGTAGCACTGATTTTGTGCTATTAATTTTTATGTCATAGTGAATTGACCTATTATTAAACTTAAAGGAGAGAACATTATTTGTTATCAGTTTTTAAATTTTTGAGCGAGATATGAGTGAAATAAGCACATATATGTTCTTCTTTCCAAGATGTCTGATAAACTATATGATAATTTACTAAAAAATTAAAACTCAAAATTGGTTCTGCGGAACACAAATTTGCTATTTGTTAGATTATATTACAGAGACAATAAATGGATATTAAGTGTCCACTTAAATACTCATCCATAAATTTGTCAGTTAATTGTGAATCTCTTACTTGAAACATCTAGTTGGTGCTGTTATAGTCATTATATCTTCAAATGTATTGTACAATTTGTAATTCAACCATGTCAAATGTGTTTCAGTAGAGTGGATTTGAATAAATTCAATGGAAAATAATTCAATTTCCTTAATAGTTTGAATTGATTCTCTAATTTAAAAATTTTATATTTTATGTTAAGTTCTAAAAAATTAGAAAAAATCTAAATTAAATTAAAAACAACATTCTTTTTTTTTTAAATTATTTAATTTTTATTTTTCTCAATTGTTATTGTCTATTTATGTTATTTTTAAATTCCGTTGTAATTTGATTAGAAATGCTAGTAGAGAACTGAAATTGACACTGAATACATGGATTTGTAATTTAAAAATATGGCAATATTTTAAGCTATTTATATCCACTTGAAATTTTGAGTTATATTTGGTTTAAAGTGGATACAATTTTTGGATTTATCAAAAATATTTGAAAATGTAATATAAGGTTTATCATAACTTGTTCCTGTGGCTCTACACAAACTTTGAAAATCAGTAGTTTTTGTTTTTATTTTGAACAGTTTGAAAAATATTCAAATTTTAAATGAAGTAATAAAAATCAAATCATAATAGTTTTTCTTAGTGAATATTAGTTTGACTAGTTTAATTTATATAATTATCTATTATATTATATGGGTGTCACTAAAAATTGAATGAATATTGGAACTAAGTAAATTATCTAGTATAAAAAATGTTGGTCAGTACTAATTGTGTTAGTGTAATTTTATAGGTTAATATAAGTGAATTGCAAGATAAAAAGATAGATTTTGATAATGTTTCATCTCTAAAAATTCCAAATTCTATGTCTGAAAAAGTTGATGTGATACCGTATAAAAATCAAGAAAAAACAACTATGACAATTATAACTCCAAGTGAAAATACAAAAAAATTGTCTTTAAGTAAGCAAATTATTTTTATTGAAAATATTGTAAATTGTAATGTAACAATTTTAAATATTGATTGGTAATGAATGTAGGGTTAGGGACTTCTACCATTAAGTTAATATTTCTAAAAGATTATAAAAAAAAAATAACAGTAAAAATAAATACTATTCATTAAGTAAGGAATCTAAATTTTATTTTACAATTGTTTTTTTTTAGAGCATTTTAGCAGTATGTAACTTAAGTGATATAAAAGGACATACACTTATCTTATTGTATGTTTTGTATTATACATACCTTTTTTAAATTTAATAATAATATTTAAAAAAAAGTTTTTGCCAGGCAATTTAAATAAAAATATTTTTCTTAGAACATATTTTAGTGTATATTTTTTTATTTTATTTTTTTAAGCATATTTGCATGTTTTTTAAACCTAGAAGTCCCTAAGCTTAGTGATAATGACAGTAATAATACAATATTTACTATAGGTTGTTCATTTATATTTTATATAACTTAAATAAAATTTAATAGTTAATTCACAATTTAAAATGCATTTTTGTATTATATTATTTTTTCATTTAGATATAGTACCTTTAGCCGGGACAATAATATTATCTAATCGCGTAAAGAAAATAAAATTAGAAAATCAAAATTCACTTCCAGTAGACACAATAGAAGATGCGACCAGGCGACGATCAGAATTGTTTACAAAAATAACTCAAAGATTGTCACAAAAATATGATTTAAGTTCTACGGAAACACAAATTGAGAATGAAAAAGTAACGCCAAAAAAAAGAAAAGGTAAACAAAATAAGTACTTTTATTATTCAGTCTAATCAATGATGAATTAAATATATATTTTATTGAATTCGTTCAGTTCAAAATGGTATCTAACTACTTAAAAATTATAATCATTAATCAATACTATAAAAATAATAATAATAATAATATTTATTGACATTTCAATGGATAATATCTACAATATATAAATTAATTAGTTTTGGTTTCTATTTCAAACGATAAGCTTATGTCGAAAAATGGGTGAGTTCATTATTAAGATGTGAAAATATTTTCCTTTAAGAAAACTATTTTAAACACAGCATATAATAATAAATGTTTTATTATTTAAATTAATTTGTTATACAGAATCAATATACAAATTTCATATGTTAATATACCTTTTAAAACAATAAAAAGATTTTAAGTATAAAATATTTAATTCTTACGTTTTTCACTTATTTATTTGAGAAAGGTAAGATGAGAATTGTCAAAGAGTAATCCCATAGATACCACAGTATTCTAATTAATTTATCAAAATATGACTGACAGAGTCAAATACTTTTTTCAATTCGAAAGTCAAGAAAAATCTCTATTACACTATTACTTCTATCCAAACTTAAATAGATGAAATTCAAAAAGCTATTCAAGGCGTTATTTGTAGACTACAGTTTGTCTACTTAAATTGATTATTAGAAAAATTTTACGTTTATACTAGAATCTTATTATATTTCATACATTTTTTAGATATTTTCAAAATTGATTTTATTAAATAGATAGGTTTGTAATTGGTACAGAGTTCTCAGTTTTACCAATGTGTCTGAGGAAAAAAATGTCCTAAAAATGGACATAAAAAAATATAATACCTATATAATTATAATTAATTAATATAAATAATAAAATAAATATAATTTTAATACGTAATAATATTATTAGGTATAATAATCATCTTAAAAGTAATAAAAATGACAATAATAAAATTTACCAAAAATCTATGCAATTATTGTATAATAATTAAAATTAATATAAAAAAATATATATATTATTCTACTCTACTATACTATAAGCATTGCCAACATAGTGTGGTTAATTTGTGTTAAATGGTACGAGAATACCCATTTAAACATTATTTTGATGTATTTCTATTAAGTTTGATTAACTTATGAGTAGTTATTATTGTAAAATTTAAAAAAAAATAAGAAAACTTTACGTTGATAATATATTTGTTTGCATTGGTATGTTACAAATCAACAAAACGGACCAACTGATAAGAAAATAATATCAATGTAAAGTAATAAACCGTATTATTATTTGTCATATTGATTGCTCATATAGAATCACAATCAACATCTATATACAATGTAAAAATAAATTATATAGACTGTACAACCCTTCATAATATCAGTTCTAATCAAAAGTAAAACCAATAGAAAATTATAAATATTAAAGTAAAACCCGTTCCTATCGACTTGGGTTAGTTCTTGTTATCTAGCTATACCTATAGTGTAAAAGTTGGATATTTTTACCTCCGGACATTTTTTCTTCAGACATTTTTACCTACAACCATAGAGTTTACTATCCCTTGATTTACATAAGGTAACAGTGCAAGTTTTTTTTAAATTGCATTGGAATACCAATGCTAGAAAGAATTTCTTTATTATAAATAACTCTTAAAGAAGTTGTATATGTTTAAGTATTCTATTTGTAAGTTTTCCACGAAAGAAAGTAGAATTATCTTAAATAAATAATACTCATAATGTAACCTCAATTTCGTTTAAATTAATATGTTCTAATTAATTGAATTATTTATATAACATTTTTCATGCATATCTGATCAAGATAAATTTTTGTAACCATTAGATTTTATTATGTCTGAGATACTCTTCCCATTATTAAAAATTTAAAAGTTAGATTTCTTTGTGATACCTTGTTTATTAGTAACTAATTTATCATGTTTATTTTTAATAATATTAATAGGTTTGTTAGTTTATAATCACATGAATACGTGTTACTAACCTTTCTGATAAGGAACCAAACTTTTTATTATTATTGTGGCTCTGAAGTTCCTTTTTATGATACATATTCTTAGCTACCAGAATTAAATTTTGTAATAAGTTCTATATTTAATTTAATCATCGTTCGCTTTCTTATTAAACAAATATTTTAGTTTTTTAGAACATAATTTTTCTTTATGCTAATTGATGTAATAATACCACTAGATATCCATATTTTAATTCATTTTTTTCTTACATTACTTATACCTTTTTTATTCTTGTAGCTGAAACACTAAATATGTCTAATCGAGTTAAGCAAGTAAAATTAGAATATCAAACAGAACTTCCAGTTGGTTTTGACACTACAGATGACGAAAACAAAAAAAAAAAATCAGCAAAAAAAAGTACTCAAAATGATTGTACAGAAATACAATTTAAGGAAGAAGTAGAATCACCTAGAAAAATTAAAAAAAAAAGTAAGAGAAAATCAACAAGTTAACTATGGTTGTTTTAATATTCAATTTTCTTTGTGAATAAATAATTGTTTTTAAAATTTTAATTTTTTAAAATTATTTTTATTGAACCTTCAGTTATATCTACAACATTACTATTATAATTAATTTTTTTGTTGGAATCCTAAATGCAAAATAAAATAGAGGATTCTTCCACATAACTTCTCCATTTTCAAACCAAATTTTATATACATTTCATTGTGTATCTTAAATTTCAATACAGGTTAGGTTAGATATCGTTGTTAATATCATATAAAATCAGAATATAGTAAGTAAAATGATGCAGTTTTGACTATTTTTGTATAAATTTGAAATTTAAATGCTTTTTAAAAAAAAAAAATTGTGAATTCAGATTTTTGATATTTGTTTGTTGCCATAAGAACAAGTTATACTTACCTTATATCAAATGTGTATCTATTACTATTCTTACTGAAACACCCAAGGCATGATATTATTTTAAAAAGAAAACCTTTAATGCCCAATCATTTAAAATATTATCTACTACGCGACAAAAATACACAACATAAAATCCATTGATGTGATTTTATAATATTTTGATGTGGTTATATTTACAAGTTATTATTTTATTTTTTTCTGTAGTTATTGAATTCAATCAATAGCTAACCGGCTGTAATTTGATTTAACTCTTAAAATATTTGAGTTACTTGTCCAGCATTTCTGTAAGCGACCAGGATAAATATTCATTTTTTCATTAATTAATACAAATAGCTGTGCGTACATTAGAGATGTCTCCGGTATTATCTATTATTTCTCGGTTTTCACGATTTCAAAAGTAAATCGCCGTGGTCGCGCCTGTGCGATTTTAGATTCCACAGAGAACAGCTGTTACGTAAACAAAAATTGTTGACCGTGTACGTAATTATAATTTTTAATTGTGCTATAATATTCGGGCTGCTGTTGTATGCGTCCGTTTATGGTTCCAACGACGTAGGTATATATAATAAATATTTCTACATAATATTATTTTTAATACGCGAGCGTAAGCGTACACTTAAACGCTCAATGACGAGTTTCGTGACATTTTGCCAACGTATTATTCCGTCTGACCGTAAAAGTCATTTTTTCGACTCTCGAATCTGATTATTTTTATTTTCATGTCGGTCGTAATAAGTTTATCCCGACGAATAATTATAACAATAACAATGGTACTTTGTTTGCACCGGACTAGCTTTGTGTATATTTATACGGGGCGATTCAAAATTGATGGCCATTTGATATCGTGTACATATTAAAAATAGAGAAAAATTTACCGTACGGTAGTTTTTCGATTTATGAACATCTAAAATAATTGTTTTGTTTTTTTTTTTTTTTATTTTCTTTGGAGATGGGTTTTGCGGGTCAATTTTGTAACTCAAATGGAAACCTATAATTATTAAAAATTCCCGAAATTGATGGAGTGTTAATTTAAATAAATTTTGGCGTCGACAGTTTTGATTTCTGTTCTTTTTTTCCTAATTTTGGTAGGTGGACGGATTTAAAAATATTCAAAAAAACCAAAATCGCCAAAGGGGTTTCAAAGTCCCCGCTCTAACGGTTCTAACCCTGTTGAATAAAATTGTCTCAACACTGATTAACCTAACCTAATCGCAGAAACAATAGACGGGGAACTTTTACAAACTTTTTTTTTTGTTTGAGTGATTTTTTAGGGCTTTTAAAGTGCGTGTATAAATCCGTCCGCCAATTACAATATTAACCATTGCACTGTCGTACAAACTACGATCAGGTAATTGGGTAATAATTATTCGTTTACGTCTAATATTAATGTTACGGGCCGCCGTTAAGTCCGAGTCGGTAGTCGTCACGTTCCCATCCGCGTATCGGTGTGTGTATTTTCACCCATTTCCAATACTCGGTGGGGGGAGGGGGGCTACAGGTCTCGGCGTACCACGCGCGCGTAAACAGTTCACGGATGTTGCCCACACGCGTAATTTGAAAACCCGGTCGTACATAATGACGTATAACGATGGTACCGCGGTGTTTTTTTTTTTCCAATTCATTTTACGCCCTGCCGTTGAAAACGTTCTCCCAATTCGTGTTCCGTGATTTGCGTTTTACGCTCCGATTCCATCCTAAACGCCGGGGCGGTACGTTTTCGCTGTTCGCACCGGTGGCTCCATACCCGCGACGAAAAATATTCGTCGAAACGACGCCACCGCGGCTACGAACAAAACATCATTTCGGCGCGTCGCCGACGGTAAATCCACAATCGTGTACATTCGTATTGGTTTATAATTTGTGCACACCCGAGTGGTCGGCGACTGGGTGGTGCCTGTGTTGTAAACCTCTTTGCCGGCGGCCGCGCTACACACACGTCGATATCGTTTAATTCGTTCAACGGTCACGCGATGATATGAATAATCCGCGTGTTTGATCCGCTCGTTTAAAAAATCCGTAAAGTTTGCACGCACGTGCATGCTAATTGTTCGGGCACGTGTATTTTCAATACAATACGTTAAAATTCGATAATGTGAACGACGGTGTCTATAATACAATTCGCGGGGTAACACGGGGTGAAGCCGTTACGGGGGCAAAACTGATATTGTTTGTAACGCGTTATTCTGCGGATAAAAATTATCGGTTTTAGATTTATTTCATTCTCTATAATGAAACGTGTTGTTGTTATCACTATTAACATCAACTGCGATTGCGTTTTTTTTTTTTTGCTAATTGTTATTCGATAACGAAGGTAATTATTATTATGTTCACATATTTTGTATTTAAGATAAAACTATGATAGAACTCTTCTACAATCATCATACGCGTCTAGTATGAATCTACAACTTGTAAAGATTGTTTTACAATCACTAACCAAATTTTATTTAACAGTATTGTATAATTAATCAACAATTTTGTAAAAATTATGCTTTGGGACAATACCGATTGTTTATCAGTTGTTATGCGTACCCAATCGTCGATATCTATTTATTTTAGGTTAGGTTAGGTAAATGCCATACCACGCATCGGTATTGTCCCGTTACAAATCGATATCGCTCCGGTATCGGGGCAAGGCCGATAAAAAATGTTAAAAAATAAATATGAATGATATTCATTGTATTGTAAACAAGAAGTAACATAATTTAATACAACTGTGCAAAAAGATTAAGTATATTTTTATAAGATCTTGAATAATCATGATGGTATTCAGTTTTCCAGTCGGTATTACAATAAAGCGTACCTATCCGGGCGAGTATACTAATATATTATTATAATTCGTCAAGATTTGTTTTTTTTTTTCGATTACGTTTTGGAATTATGCAATTATATAATATTTTTAAAAATGCGTCATATCCAATGAGTGTAGCGAGGAATGTATTGGTTTTACTGTTATACTTTTTTTTTTTTTTGTGCGTCTTTAAACCGCTATTCTACCAGAAATCTTGTTCCAATCAAAAATTGTATAGGAACTTTGTTTCGATCCGGTTAGTGTGTCGACAAATTCATTTTTTGATTTTCCTTATAAATAAATGGGTAAAACTGACAATTTGTATAATTTTTGTACTTGATTTCTGGGTTATTTTGGCAAAAAGGGAAATATAAGATTACTAATACTTTGTTCAGAATAGCTTTTCGTTAGCGTATCCTCCCATTTAACTTCCCTCTTAAAACAGTCGTCATCAACAGTATCAACCTTTATTATTGTTCATTTAAATCGTAATATTTTTTTGTTTTAATCACGGTCACGTCACATTACAGTTGATCGCAATATATAGCAGATGGCATGATGACTGATTCAGTACTCGAATTTTGAAAAATAAGAGTGATTACCTATATATTATATATAATATACCCATATACCCGGGGTTATAGGATTCGTCGTCCGCCACAATTCAATATAGGTATAATTAATAATTGTACATGTTATGATATAATTAACTTGTGTTGTTATTTTTTTCATCAATTTAGCGCTTGTTCTCGTAAAAAAAAATTAATATTTCGGTTAAATTATACTGACTTTGTTATTAGTCAAAAGTACAATACAGCAAAATATAATAATGATAACAATGTTTTACTGAACAATGAATTCGCCGTTCATATGTATCCTAAAAAACAATTTACGATTTATCTGAGTTTATGTTAAGATTAGGACGGGTTTTAAGAGGTGTACCGTCCTACCGTAATATAAGAAATGGACTATGGGACATTCGGCTTCCGTTTTTCGAAACGGCTACCGTTTTACAAAAATGTCAATTCCTTAACGGCTCCTGTTGTTGCAAAACTCAATTTCTGAACGGCTGCCGTTTCACAAATACGTACCAATTTAGGACTGTCACAAAAGAGTTTAAAAAAAAAAGAAAAAAGTTGGTTAGAAATATATTGGTGTTTTTTAATTTTATATGCAAAATAAATTTTTTTTTCAGAGTTCAATTAAAAAAAAAGTACAATATATAATAAATATTAAATCATATTCAAGTTGAAATGTTGTGTTATTGAAGTTCAGGCAGTTGAAGGTAAGTTTTTAAGGCACAATTTTTTTATATATTCTGTTCGAGTTATTTTATTAGATGAAAATTCGTCAATGATGGCTCCAACGAGCTCCTGTTTTTTTATTGATTTAAATTTATTGCTAGAAGTATTTTCATGATTGCAAGCTTTCCTTTGCGTTTCGGATTGTATTTTGGTCAGTATGTCAATAACTAAAAATATTGGGATGAACGGTCTTGAATTCCTTACTGAATTTACCGTGGAACGATTTACATGCATTTACGATTACATTACCTAAGGTGGTTACCTTATTTCGATGAGAGCCGTTTAGGAATTTACTTTTTTATAAAGCGGGAGCCGTTTGGATTGCACCGAAGAAATGTATAGTAAAGGAACGCTAAAAAATAAAAAATTGTAGTTAGATCCGTATTCTTGCACACCACTTTCGCAACTCCGAGCACTGCGGTTACTATAGAAATCGATTCACATTCCTATTGATTAGTATTTTACCAAGATGTGCGATTTGTTTTTGTACTAGTACCACCTACCAAGGGACTTTGGCCCTCTCGTTGGCTGTGTTAATAAAAAAAAAAAAAATCATTTAAACTATTATAAGCATTGAAAAATTAATTAATTCCTATTAATTGCGAATAAAATAATCACTGAGTGTTTATATTGCACTATTATCTCAACTACTCGGTAAGTACTTTGCAAATTAACCTCGTGAAAAAGGCTTTAATTTTATTTACAGGCATGGTTTGGCCTCTTCTCCCATTGAAAAATCTTTAGTGTGACATCCGCAGACGGTCTCACTGATGATTATTTTATTAAGTGACAAAAACACATTAAATACGTGTCCGTGCGAAGGAGAAATGCGTGAAAAATGTTTCGTTTTTATAGGACCGTTGGAGTATAGAAAGAATTTGGGAAACTGCACCTGATAATTGTAAAACGAATATTAATTTTTCTATTCAATTACGTTAATTGCAATAAAATTACTGCCGAGTACTCTGGTCGTGATACCAGTAAATATACTGAATCGAATAAATGTTGTACCCAGTCAATAATGAATTATAAATATTATGATAATTAATTTTATTTTTAATAACAAAACGGGCCGAGCCCCAACGCAAGAGAATGAAACGGTAATTAATATTATAATTATTGTAAATTAATCCAATCGAGCTCGCACGAATGCGTATAGCGATGTTCATTATCTTCGTACGGGCATATAGTTGCGAACAAATAAATAACAAAATAATGCGTTTTCTTTGTTTATCCCGGTTGCGGTTATCGCGGATTAGATAGGCTACAAGTACGTGCTAGTACTTATTTTTCATTGCCACCGGCGAGACTTTTTATTGTCGGTTTGTAAAAATATGTAAAACTATTTTTAAATAGTAGGTAAGTACTATGCGACAAACGAAATTATAGTCTATTTTACGAATAAAAAAAGCTTTTTATTTTGTAGACAATATGCACTTTGATTAAAACTAATTTGGATTATGAAAAAAAAAAAATAATAATAACGATTTGCTGTGTGTTAACGTTGTTACCTATCTAATTATTTCGACGGCGCGCGGCGGCAACAGACCGTACAATAATTTTATATTAATTTATGTAACAGCAATCAGTCGCATCACTATGGATAATTATTGTATTCATACGAGTACGTGCAAATTCAATTATTCAATAAAGCATGTAGCGAGAGACAAACAAATTTCTCAATACACGTAGTTTACTCGTCGACAAACAATATTCAGCTAAATTGTCCGATTGTTACAATATGCATGTGCCGCGCGGCACTGAATTCGTTTAAAGAAGTGCATAGATATCTACCTATATTTGTTTTTTATCCGTACGTTAAATTCCAAAACCCCTAAAAAAGAAAAAAACAATAAAAACCCGTACCGACGCGTAATATTTTCACGTGCCGATCGCGAAATAGAAAAAAAAAATAAAATCTTTTAACATGATCCGGAGCCATGTATTACATTATGCGTGTACCTCGTACAATATATTATCGTGTGTGTGCTATTTTAATCCTCAGAAGCGGTCCAATTATGGGCGTCCGTTATTATACCGAGAGTTAATAAACATTTTTTTTAGATTTTGAATGCTGCGATGAATCTCTCAGCTTTACTGAGATGTTTGTGTGTTTGTTTTTTTTTTTTTTTTTTTTTTTCTCGGGTTTAAATTTAATATATTTAAATTTGGGTTCATGATATTTGATTGTAGGTATCACTGCGATGAATCTCTCAGCTTTACTGAGATGTTTGTGTGTTTGTTTTTTTTTTTTTTTTTTTTTTTTACGAATATGTTAGACATTAGACGAATTGTATCGGGTATTTAAGTAATCCAAAGTAACAAAATGTTTAAAAAAACACCCGATAAAACCGTATCTTATTAACGATATCACGTCGAGCGATTTACACGATGAACTGTAGGCATAAAAACGAATAGGTAACTTAAAAAATATACAATCGCACGTGATAAATATTATTGCAACATGTTATGCGAACGTATTTATCGCATTATTGTGTTACGATTCGTATTATACAAATATTTATAGTTAATATTTTTTTAGAGTTTCGATGACATAATATGTTATTATTATTGGTTAGAAAATCGGTTATCAAAGGAGAAATATATCAATACAATATAAATCGCTTTTCTCCGTGTTGAATACGTTTTCCGTTTCCGTAATATCCTACTACCCAGTCACCGCAGCAAATATAAAATATTATAATGCACCCCCAACATAGAATTGTAACAGTATACGAACTCTAGTTATAATTAGTAGTTTTAAAATTGCGTGGAAAAATACATTTTTTTTTTTTAAAATACTATATTTATCATTTGCGAATTTATGATTATTCTCCGTAAAAGATTTTTTTTGAAAAAATTTCTGTCGCCTGCTTTGTTATATTTTGTACGCTATTTGAAGAAGAAAAAAAAAAAGTTTTGCTATAAACATTTTCTAACGTGCAAAGTACCTACCTATACATGGTCACTTTTTCATCACGTGTTTTATTTTTTTTTAATATTGAAATAACGAAATACAATAATATTACAGTTTTATTGCTAAATATTTTAGAATTCCGATTGGATAAGAGGACATGATACTTGTGCCAATGTACACGTGCTGACTGCTGTGTCTCCGTCTCATACTAATAACGTGCGGCGTAATAATATTATAGACACATCTACGCTCAACGGGACCGATTTTGTACGATATCGGTTTTAATACCAGACGAGTGAATTATATTCAGTCTATAATCAGACTTAAAGGTTATCGAATTGTATTGCGGTATAGCGGCGTTTTTTTTTTTTTCACAATATTTTTATGCACGTGAAAAGTAACATATATGTGCGAAGACGTATCGCGTCCAAAAATTACAAAATTGAACAAATATCGCGCGTGAACGACGTACAAGAATGATGTTATGATATTACGTTATTTCACATAATATTATAAAATATATTTTCCGTTATAGGCCATTTCAATCTAATATTAAAACTGGACGGCGCGAAATCGGTCCTGTTCGCAACGTCGCGCGTTTGTACGTTTAGACGGAGGCGGCGCGCGCGGGCGTCACGTCCTCGTGAGCAAAGGAACTGTTTGGGTACCAGGCACCCATGTGGGGTTTTATAATAACGGAGTGCGGCTATTATATAATTATTTTTAATAGATCGTTACACATTTTTTTTTTTTTTAGACGGGAATAAGAGGGGGAGAGGCTTTAGTGCATCGGGGCGTTGGCGTCATTCGGCACCGTTATTGTATCTTTGGTCCCAGAAAATCAGGGCTCGCGTCGATTTCCCATCGTTTTCCATACGGGCAAACTGAACTTTGAAAATTTGCCACACAAATGAACGTGATTTTTTTTGCCGGACAAACGGCTCATCGTAGTGACTCGAGATGAGATATTTGGATTTTCAGTAGAACACGAGTTTACGAGTACCTTTACGCACACGTATGCCCGTTTTAGACCGAACAAATGAAACAAATAACGTATTACGAGAAAACTACATGTAGAAGAAAAAAAAAAAATAATAATAATAATAAAATAATAAATCGACAAGCTTTTTTTTTGCCCGGGCTCAAAGACTTACAGATAAAACATTAAACACGCAAATTCACCAATTATTATCTGTGTACAATATATATATGTATATACGTGATTGTTTTTTCGACACCCGGATAGCCGCGGAATCGACAAAGTATCGGTACAACTGTTTCGACGATATTGATCATGTATCGTTTTATAACGAATCCGACTGCAGTTGCGATCGCGGTGCTGTTCAATTCTACACGATAAATGATAATATGCACATTACGCGTTACAGTATGGACTCGCGTCAGCGAAATCGGCGAAACGACGGGCGTACAACAACGTAATAACATAGTGTCCGATACGAAAAACAAAAAAACAACAAAACAACACTTCTGATTTTTTAACGTTTACGCGGTTTTTATATTCAATTAATAATAATATGCAGTGTATCAAAAATGTTGTTTACCCGTTCGAATTTCGATGCGAGATTCGTCGATGATAAATCGATTTGTCGGTTCCGTTCGACTATTTTTATTATTACGCAGTGCAGCGATTTCGCGCGGGTTTCCGTGAAAAAAAAAAAAAAAAAACAAAAAAAAGTACATACGTTTTAACGTTATTATAATATATCGATCGCATATTCTGCTATAGCGTTTTGCGCGTAATCTATGCATATTAGTTAAATGACGTTTGGATAACATGATTTTCGCTCCGGGGGGGATCGAAACAGCGATTTTTGTAGAAAATTAGTCAATTAATGACAGGCGAAAAATTACGCAGGTTTTAGAGTTTGATACGTTATGCGCGCATCTTTCGGACGGAGTTTTTTTTTGGAAATCTATCAAAAGTCTTTGTAATAACAAACTAGTACATCTACTCGAGAGATACGTAAAAAAAAAAAAAAAAATTGTTATTTTTCGAATTAATTGTGAGTATTCGAGTGACAAATTGATAAATATCGCGAAATCAAAACGCATCCGAACAAATGACGTGATGTACATATATTACCAGCTACACGCGTTTGCTTTTGCTCGAATAAACTACATGCAAATTAATTATGTATACGCCGTTTCGATTTTTAGAAGTGTGTAATATTAATAATATTATAAAAACAGAAACAGTTTACCCGTTCGTATATAATAATATAATAATTTGATATTGATTTTCGCGAGATTTTGCGATGTACGCTGGTAACGTAAAGCGTTTTAATTTTCTCGAAAAAAAAAAAAAAATCGCGTGTCTAAATCTGAATTTTCTCGTTTATACTTTTGCGTTTTTACAAAGTTTTAGCCGTCCCGTACGTTATCCTGCTGTGTTGTGGACACGCGTGTAAACAATTCGATTTTTGTTTGTATTTAATATTCGTCTATCCGTTGGTTTATTCGTTTTTTTTTTTTTTTTTTGGAAAATTAAATTTCGGTTTTACGACTCGCGAGCGATTCTCGGAAGCGCAGCGCTGCGATATAATATCCAAAAGAAAAAAAAAACATTTCGTGTGCGCGCGCGTTAACTGCACCAGCGGTGATTATTGTAGTATGGTTTATAAGTATTGTTAGTTTTTTTTGTTTTTTTTTTTCTCTCTCTAAAGCGAACATCATATTATACGTATTATGCACGCGTATACGGAGTGAAAAAATAGCGATTTATTTACAACGTTTCGAAACACCACATCTTAGAGTTGGTACACATACAGCGTGACCGTATACCATGAGCAACAGATACGTATAGCAATAATAATATTATAAATCGTTCCGTGTAGACGTGCATTTCTGACGGAATGCATGCAGGGAGGGAACGGTGAATATAAATAATATTATGCGCAATGACGCGGACGCCACCTGTTCTATAGTCGCGACTCCGTGCAATACAAAAACGTTACACATTGTAACATTTACGATTAAATAGTCTATAGGGGACACATTTTCGTAATCCTTTGTCTACGTTTTTTTCTCTCATTAATTATTATTATTCATAATTACGAGATTAAAATATTTTTTATAAGACGCGAAAAACGGAATTAAATCTCGTATACAGTAAAAATAAACCAACAAAATAATACCTAATAGAATAATTAGGTTAGGTTAGGATCTTATTGCTATTCGTACTCGAATTCGGTTATTTTATTGAAAAAAAAAAGCCAATAATGGACGTGTCACCGATTTAGGAGAGAAATATTAGAATGGAGGATGTATAGAGTAATTTATTTTATATTTGCACGCTACAATAAACCGTCGTTAACGAAAAACGATTCTTATTAGTCGTGTTTTTTTTACTTTGTTGCCAAGGTAACCCAGAATACAACCATTTATTAAGAAAACTACAAGAAAAAAAAAAAGACAAAAATAACCTCCTCAATACATCAACTGTAGGAGAAAAATGCTTTAGAACGTTTCTGTATATTTTTTGATCGGAGTAAGATTTTTGGTAGAAAAGATGTTTACAGGTATAGAGAAAAAAACGCGTCACATACGTCACGTCGCGTCATATTCCTTGGTTTACCCACTCTAAAACGAATTCTCCAGTATTAGAAAAAAAAAAAATTTAAAAAGATCGTGTCTTTTATAAGCCTTCTATTTATATACCGCAGTTTTATAACAGTTAAGTAGGTAAGTAGCGAAACTCGAGAACTATAATGATTTATTATTTTTAATCTCGCGTTTCGCTAAACGATACAAACTATAACCGATCAAATCAAACATACATAATATTAATATACCAAAGATAATAACAAAATTATAGCATTAACGGTTTTTAACAAATCTAACAATAACCTTGTTATTCGACAATAAGATTTATTTTAGAATTTCGGCTGTATAATCTATATTATATATATTTTTTTTAAGTACACCTACATTTAATAGTATTTACATCGATATTTATACATATATCCAAGGTTTTCGCCACATAAAACCGACGTTTTTTTCGGTTATAATAACAATAATAATAATGATAATAGTATTAAAAACTTTAAAAAAAAAAAAAAAAAACAAAAGAACAAAAACCTTTTTGAGGCACTTCGATGAAAAACGGTATACAGTTATCCGTACATAATAGATGATAATATCGACTCGAAACCACTATATAAAAGTATAAAACTCGACAAGTGTTAATGTTAGATTATAATATGTACGAGTAGTTTGTGTGTCGGACAGCATGTATTCGAACGTGTTCTGGTGTGAGTATAGAAAAAAACTGACGAAAATACTATGTGTAACGGATTTTTCTTATGATCACGTCATAACCGAATGAGTAAACTAACCGAATTATTATAATGTAGTTAAGAATAGTAAAACGGACCAAAACGGTTTTTGGCATAGGGACGCGCGCGCGATGTCTCCCCCACCACGAAAACGCGTCTCAAAGTCTTAAATAGGTTTTTGTCGCGTAAAAAAAGTGTGGCGATTCGTTTAAATTTTTATATGGAAACGATCAAAAATACATCGTCGCGTTACGGATTAAAATGCATAATATTTTATTATTAGAGTACGGATATCAATATGCAAAATGCATTTTATTTTTTTTCGAGTTGTCTCTGGTACGCTATGATGTAATAATTCATTTCAACTAGACGATTCGATTCGTGTGTAACATACATTTGTTCCAATATCGTTCTTAAGTGACGATTTTCATTTTTCACTATTATTTTTTATTATTCAGTATTTTTTTTTTTTTTTTACGGCGGGGGGAGATTATTGCGGTGAAAAGACTTTTTTGTCAATTTGTCTATAATCATTGATACATTTAGTACTGCGTCATGGGCCCTAGCAAAAAAATTTGTATTTACCATCACGTTGGATACGATTTTATCAGTAGCGGATTTGAAGCTCATTTAAAGGGTCGGTGAACTAGTATCCTAGGTACTGACTACACAGGTCAATATAGAAAGAAGACACTACGGTACTTTTTACGTTCAAATGTACACCCTTTTCTTCTAGTTACGGTCTTGGATACCTATATATAATTCAAGTAATAATAAATACACGGGGTAAATTGTTACTTTACCCCCCCCCTCAATTAGCTATTAAGTTTTATATATGGTCGGATTGAATGCGCTAATAGGGTGGGTTATTGTCTCCGTCTTACAAACGTGTGACCTAGCAAATTTGCATTCATACAGGGAAAATAGAGAGATATAATATGAGTATGTGATTAGTATATCATAATTTATTAACGCTTACATCTAACGTTAAAGTTTAAATATTGAAAAAATAATGCCCACGTTACACATTTAATGTTCATATCTTTAAGTTTGATTATAGGTCAACTCGCTCTAATATTAAAACTAACAGCACAAAGTTGTCCCTACGAAACGTAAATTTGCTGTCGTAGTTTCTAAAACGGAGACAGCACGTCATGCGGGTATCATGTCCTCTTAATTACGAAAAGTCCTCTATACTTTTTAACAATGGAAATACTCATTATATTACCTACCACTGTCGCGCACTGTGCAGGTCCTATATTAATGCAAATTTATTGTTTTTAATAAATTATTATTATACAATGTTATCAATACAAATATTTACACGTCTGAACTTTATCTCTTTCTTGGTGCACATTGTATAAAACGTAATCTATATGCGTTAGTGAATTATTCGCATATACAGAAAACATATTATTACTCATATAAAATAAACACTTAGATGCATAATAATATGTACCTAGCTATACTTACATAAGGGATAATAAAATAATCCGATTGGTTTTCGTTTGAATTACTTACTGTATATTATTATGTGTAATGCGATCAAAATTATATTATGCATAACATCGTTTACTATCAATCCCGAATTAAGGGAGGGGAGCACTTTCTTTGGGCCCTTCAGATGTAAAGAACCCATTGTTCCCTCGTTTGTATATATAGGTATGTATGCATATAATATATTTAGTCTCGTGGATGGATAGTCTTGCGTCCATTTTGTATAGTTTTTAATAAAAGTGAATTAAATTATGAAAATTGCAAAATGCCACAATAGCAAATTGCTAAATTATTGAACGGCCTATCCCCGTTGCAAGCGTTCTCATTGACTTAAGTCATGTAATTATATGTCTATAGACTTTAATCTTTTTTCCCAAACAAAAAGTACATCATAGTGACATAAGATATTTTAATTTGCAATATAACATGTGAATACGCATACACTTAATATGTAATTTAAACCAAAAAATAAAGGGGAAAAAATGATATTAAGAGATAAGACACAATTATTATAAAAATAAAAAAACGCTAACAATTGACTTGAGGTTTTCTTCTCTGGGATTAAGCCTTCCCTGTTTTTTTGTAGTCAAAAAATGTATGAAAACTATTACTTTGACCCCGGGGCCTGGATTCTTAAAAATAAATATAGCCTGAAATACCATTTAAAATAATATAATATAGATACCTATAAAATAATATCTTATTATAGTTATACCTACTGAAAATCAAAATCAAAATTCGACGCCTATAAATATATTAATATTTGTAAAAAAAAAATGTTAATTACTTATATTTACAAAATGTATAATAATACGTTACTGTCGCAAATAGGAGGGGAGTTTTGGGGCTTATCCCCCCTCCCAAAACTCAGCCGAGTCCTCCAAATCAAGTTATTATCTAGTAAATATTAAGAATATTTATTATGTATGTATAATCAATAGTATGGGGGTTTAAGCCCACCGAAATATGTGTGCTTTTGCGGGTATTATTGTACGCGTAGGTACTTACTAATACATATAATTTCTATAATATATCATTCAATTTTTTCGACTACCAATCTTAAACTTTCGTTTTCAACATCAATCGAACAAAATAAAACCTTTTTATAGAATTTGGACAAGTGCCTATGACCTAAACGAAAAATATTTGATGGTGTATACATACAGTATTATAGGCGGTGTTGTATACAAATAAAGAGCGGTTTGTTCGCTAACAACTCTTACTTTAATTTAAGAAATAAAGTAGGTATCTTATTAATATTGTTAATATGCGTATTATCTCTAGATGGATTTATCCGCCGTGGTCTGCTCGTTATTTAAATCCATTAATCAAATTAAACCCCTCGGTATAAACAAACAAATATCATGTTCGCTTTTATCTAAAACTATTTTCTTCTTGGAAGGGAAACCATATTAATTATTGAACTATACGTGGTAATAGGTAACAAATATAACAAATGTTCGTGTGAACCTTTATGTTCGTTGAAATTTCAATATTTCAATATTTCCTAAAAATAACGAATTTTGTTGTAGATTCTGAGCGGAGTGAGGAATATATTGGTTTTACAATGATGATTATATTTTATTTATTTTTATGTAAACAATTTCTACCAGAAGGCTTATTTCGATTATCAAGTATAGCGCATTTTCCGAAAGGAAATGTTGTCTGGGTAATACTTTAAAGAGGTCATTTTTTGAAATTATCATTAATATTCGAGAAAATCAGGAAAATCTCGGTCTTAAGGTTAAAAAAGATTGAAAGATTAAAAATAAGGTTATCATTGGCAACCGTTTTTGTTTATTTTTTGCTATTATTAAATTTTTATTATTTTAAAAAATAATTGTTGTTATGGAAAGTTCTCATTGGAAATGCACTTTATTGCAATCATTTTACTATAATATGACATATATATTGTTGATAAAGCTACTCTGCCAATTGAACTTCGCTCGGAATCGTTTTCGTTAGCAATGGTTTATCGTTGTTTACAAATATACATTAAATGCCCGTCTGCATCATACCTTCCCAACTTCCCACTTACAACAGTGACTGCACCCACGTGCGAAGTATGTCCATACTATTTTTTTGAATACTCTGTTCAGGAGAGATGAGATATTAAATAGGATAAATTTATATGCCTATTTTTAACTAACTGATTTAATAATAAGACTTGGTTGTTTTAGCGAAATTATCCGGTGTACGCTGTTGCATACTATACTGGATAAACGCAAATATATAATTGATTGTAATTTCCGAGTACAGACTATACGCAGTTAAAAAATGTAATAGGTAAGTACGATTTTAAACTACGAGAAACCCTTTAAAAGACAATGTTCACACCAACTGTATATAATAACGTTATTGTAAAAAAATAATCTATTTGGTTTCTAATAATGTATTTGACTATAATATCGAAATAAATTAAACCAGACAAATTTGTATTTTTTTTTTGCACCACATAAATTGTAGGGCTTTGTGTAAAATATGTACACGGCTTCATTTTTCAAACCCCTTGAGAGAAAACAAAATGTTTTAAGGATATTGTTTTCATAATGAAATTGGTTTCAAATACTAATTTAACTACATTGAATAACGATAGAAAAAAAAATGTTCAGTTTTACTTGATTTAATTTTTACTGTTGTTTTTTTTAATATGAGAGCTATTTAGTTATCTTGGTTTTTAACCAGAATTATTCAGAGTTCAGTTTAATCTCGTTATAACGTTCATACGGATAATCGGATGTATCTCTATAGTCGAAACACGAATTTCGTCAAAAAGTGGAACTGTCTGGCAATAGTACAAAACCCTTCAATTTAATTTTTGAGTAGACTATACTAAATGAAAATGTATAGTAAAGTTCAGTTTGTTTGAACACAATATTAAACATATGAACATCTATTTGATTTGATCACAAATAAAAATATATTACTTTAAACCATTTTTATTGATAAGTATAAAATTAACTTTACTGTGTAACGACGAAGTAACAAAATAAATAAAATACTGTTTATATATTATTTCCAATGCTGATGTTTATACCTATGTAACCTACTGTTTTTTTTTTAAAATATCATAACAACAACGAGAACGACAGCAAAAATGCTTTTGGACGGACGACGAACTTGATGACAGCTTGAAGTTTTACGCAATACCATTCGCCATATATTTAAAAAAAAAAACAGTATTAAATACGTATCAAACCGAAATTCGTGCAAATCGATTAATCGGTAAACGGGGATATATCCTCTATGACTTTTTTGATTTTGTTAAAAAATGTTTAAAATTCATTATTACCCTCTATGTAGCCACCCATGACGCACGCGTTAAAATCTAAAATATTAGTTTGACGAAAAATTCGACTGAACCGTATTATATATCCTCGCACATTATGAAGGGCATAAAACAGACCCTATCGGCCCTTTATGGGGTCCGTTTTTTTTATCAAGATCTACCGACCAAAATACATTGAAATGAAACTCGTTCGGGTTTTTTCGTTACATTTTTACAGTTTGGTTAATGTACGAAATGCACCCGAGAGGTAATAGTAGGTATAGGTATGTATACGATAATAACAATGCATATAATGATATACAAGCAGGAATTTAAACAATTACGTCACTGTAACGCAAAAACCCTATAGATTTACGAATAATTTCGCCTTTGTATTCTATGCTATTCAAACTATTCAAACAATCAAACAGGGTAAATGCATTGTTCGAAAGAAAAAAAAACTACGTTGATGGTTTCCGTAGTACCCATTAGATAATTATAATTTTTTCAATTAAGATGACCGTTTTCGATATTGTTTGTTTATTTTAATAATAATTGTCAAGTGTTTGTATTCGTTGATTTTACAAGTGCTTCACGAATTCTGTTTACAAGCGGCTCGGAAAGACAATTGTACTGCAGACGAATCATCGAACGAATTTAATACAGTTATAATATACAATTTAGAAATTAGAGGTGTAGGTAGTTACTCTGGTCTTTTTTTTTTTTTTTCCACTCTGTAACCGCCCTTGGTATAATATAAATACAGGTAGGTAATTACCTAATGTATGAAAAAAAACGAGAGAAAAAAAACGACATCGTTATAAATATAATATTATAATATAAGTAATAACGACGTCGCGGGTCTTCCCATGTAGGGAAGTCAATGAAAGTCGGCCGGCAGCGGCGGCGGCGGCGTCCGTGGCGACGGCGGCTCTGCGGCCGCGGGTAAAAATAGACGGTAAACGCGAAAAAATCGGCGTAGGAAAATTTCGAATTTTGGACAATTTCGAGCGGCGGCGCATTCCCGGCGGACGGGCGGTCGAATAAATCGCGAGGGGGGTGGGGTGGTGGTGAAGAGGGGGGGGCGGGATGACGGGTAAGGAGCAGCGAAAGCGGGCGACGGAGAAAGAGCGAGGACGACGACGGGGAGGGGTATGGGGGGGGGGTCGGGCGGAGGGCGCGCGTCGCGCACCGCGATGCTGCGGCGTGTACGCGTTCGCGGACGGGAAACGTCCGGCGGCGGCCACGGGCCCGGCAGAGGGACCCCGGGCGGCCGTGCGACGCGGGGGGAACGGGGTCGCCGGCCCGAGCCATATATGGCGGGCCGGCCGCGTAGGGCTGTCGCGGCGGTGCCCCGAAAATAGTGTTTTGTGCGCCCCCCGTCGCCATAGCCATGTATGGGCGGCGGCTGCCGGGTATTTTTGGACCGGACCCGTTTATAAAACCGCCGGGACCGACCGAGTGTTCGTTCATTAGCACGTCCACCGAGGATCACAACACTAGCAGCCGCTCACCACAGCCGCATCGTCTTCCTTCGTAAACCAGTGAGTACACAAGCCGACGCGTCTGCATCGTCCACATCATACTGTTATACGCGTAACACGCATGCCTATAGTACATGGCGCACGCCGTGTGCACATATTATCGTTCGGTTTTTGTTTTTATTTTTCCTCGTCGTTATTAGACATTTCGACTTGTAACATTTCACCGCTTGCCGAACAAACGCGAAATTTAAACATTTTCACAACTATTTTAGAAGAAAAAAAAATAAAAAAAAAAAAAAACAAACACCGAAAAATCGTTCGAGTGTTTAAATAAATATTATACATTTGAAAAACGATATTTTTTTCTCTATTTCCTTTACGTATGTATGTTTGTTTTTTTTTTATTTCATTAATATTCTATAAATTACAAGTGTATTCATAAACTATTTGTAAAATTATTTTCCCGATCCCCTCGTGATTTTTTTCGACGTTTAATTTGCAAACCGTTTCGTTTCGTTTTTCCTTTTGCTCTACGCTTAAAATCGTTTCGTGTTACAAAAAGCGGCCGCCGCCGTTACTTGTAGCAAAATAAAATCCGATACACAAAATAGATTTTCTGTCACTGTATTACTACTATACGATTTCCGCGAACCGGCAAAAGTTTCATTTCGTTTAACGCAAGCACGCCGTTAAAGTCCAATACGTCACCCGAACGCGCCACGGCGAGAGTCGGTGGCGTTCGTGGTGTTCGTTTTTTTTTGCATTTTTCGTAACATTCTTATTTTCCTTTTTTTTTTCTACAGATTCAAAAACCTAAACCAGCAAAATGTGTGACGATGATGTAGCAGCTTTGGTAGTCGACAATGGCTCCGGTATGTGCAAGGCCGGTTTCGCCGGAGACGACGCTCCCCGTGCCGTCTTCCCGTCCATCGTCGGCAGACCCCGTCATCAGGTGAGTTATACGTGCGCGCGCGCCTCGGATTTCCGAAACGAAAATTCCCGAACGAACTCCCGACTTTTCCGCGATATTTTCGAAACGTGTAATATACGCGGCGAAAAAAATTTGAAAAAGAAAAAAAAAAAAAACGTTCGATATCGTAACGGGAGGATAACCCTCCCCCCCACATCCCCTTGCCGCCACGGGATCCGTGACCATAAATGGTATGGCGTCCCGAAAATAGGACACCGGAGTCCCGCCCACCCGATCTCGCCGCCGCCGCCGGGGTAAAAATAAACTCGCCTGCAGCTGCCGCCGCCGCTGTGCGGGAGCCAACGGATTGGGTTTGAGCATCGCGTTTTTTTTTTTTCTTTCGTCATTATTATTGTTGTTATTATTGTTGTAAGCTTCTGCCGCCGCCTAGCCCCGGCTAGCCCAATAAAAATAGACCGAAAACACGCGCCGCTCGCCGCGGCCGCTCCGGTGCATCTGGAAACGCTTCGGGGGAGTCTGGAACCGCGGGATAAAAATAAACGTCGCGCGTCGTCGGCCGGACCGACGGCCCCGCAGCGTCGCGCCACGAAATTACACCGCGCCGCGACATCATTACAATGTTATTATAATCGTTTTAATCGCGTCGTGTAAATTTAGAACCGCCGCGGTTTTCTCCCGGAACACCCGAATGTCCGGTCGGATGCACTTCAGCGGCACACTCCCCGCCCCCTCCACCTGCCCCGCCGCCGTACGGGGTAATATTTCGTCGTTTCTCGCGGTGCCGTGCGTCGCATGCCCGCGGGGCCGCCGAACCACCGAAACGGTTAATCGCCATTATTGTTATTATTATTATCGTCGTTGTTGTTGTTGCGGCAACGCCGCCGCCGCCGCCGCAGCCGGTGTAGCGTACACGGACCGGACGATACGTTTCAATAGTTACAATTACGATTATTCGCGAGACGCCGCGCCGATTTCCGATCAACGCGTTTCCGCGATCATCCGCCGGCCAACGCTTTACGTGCACGGGAATCGACGTCGTTCTCGCGGTACATCCCACGACAATCCGTTTACACGGAGACACCTATTACCGATGCGCCCGGCTAAAATTCAATTACGCCGAAATTCCATAACATCATATCCGGCAAAGATTAAGCGTAGCGGGACTGCATTACGCGCGTAGTGTGCTTTATCGGCGATAATGTCTTTAGCGCGGCCCGCACGTATTTTCAGCTATTCCGAACCAATGACGCGCGCCTACGCGGCGTACGACATTTGAATACGCACCGCTCGCCGTTATTATACACTATTGAGTTATTGTCCGCGTTCGTCGTGGCACTTCGACGTTTGTCTGATCGATGGATTTATCGTTTTGTTCATCAGGGAGTCATGGTCGGTATGGGACAAAAAGACAGCTACGTAGGAGACGAAGCCCAAAGCAAACGTGGTATCCTCACTTTGAAATACCCCATTGAACACGGTATCATCACCAACTGGGATGATATGGAGAAAATCTGGCATCACACTTTCTACAACGAATTGCGTGTCGCCCCAGAAGAGCACCCGATCCTGTTGACCGAAGCCCCATTGAACCCAAAGGCCAACCGTGAAAAGATGACCCAAATCATGTTTGAAACTTTCAACACACCCGCCATGTATGTCGCCATCCAAGCCGTACTCTCCTTGTACGCTTCCGGTCGTACCACCGGTATCGTCTTGGACTCTGGTGACGGTGTCTCCCACACCGTACCCATCTACGAAGGTTACGCTTTGCCCCACGCCATCCTCCGTTTGGACTTGGCTGGTCGTGACTTGACCGACTACTTGATGAAGATCTTGACCGAGAGAGGTTACAGCTTCACCACCACCGGTACGTATCCCGTTTTCCCGACCCACGGCTGACATTAAATAATCCCCCATATACTTACCTCTAACGAATTATTATCGTATGATTACAGCTGAACGTGAAATCGTTCGTGACATCAAGGAGAAATTGTGCTATGTCGCTTTGGACTTCGAACAGGAAATGGCCACCGCCGCTGCTTCCACCTCATTGGAGAAATCCTACGAATTACCTGACGGACAGGTCATCACCATCGGAAACGAACGTTTCCGTTGCCCAGAAGCCTTGTTCCAACCTTCATTCTTGGGAATGGAATCTTGCGGTATCCACGAAACTGTATACAACTCCATCATGAAGTGCGATGTTGACATCAGAAAGGACTTGTACGCCAACACTGTACTTTCCGGAGGTACCACCATGTACCCAGGTATCGCCGACAGGATGCAAAAGGAAATCACCGCTTTGGCTCCAAGCACAATCAAGATCAAGATCATCGCCCCACCAGAACGTAAATACTCCGTATGGATCGGTGGTTCCATCTTGGCTTCTCTTTCCACCTTCCAACAGATGTGGATCTCCAAACAAGAATACGACGAATCCGGCCCAGGAATTGTCCACCGTAAATGTTTCTAAGTCATCACCTCCCAAACACATACAAAATCAAAATTACAATCACGCTTTATGTTCATTTATACTGAAGAAAACCAATGTGTTTTTTCTTTTTGTACATATCGAAACGATTTTTGCGTCGTTTTACACGGGGATAAAATAACAGTTCGAATGTTGAAAAACAAAAAAAAAACAAAAAAATGTATTTATTAGCGCGTTAATCGTTTCGAAATAAACGTTTCTATACTACTTATGTTGTTGAACTTATTTTATCGCATTGGTATTTACAACCTATTATCTATACAAAATATTAAATATCAATAACGCAATGCTTAATGGCATGAAAACATTTGAGTTTATATTGAAAGTGCCCATTATACAGTAGTAATCAATCCACAACTATATGGTTGCCCAACTATACAGAAAACAAACAACAGAAAACGTGACCTCAGCAAAATTGACGTGCATACGAGTATTAGATTAATAATTATTACAGTTTTTATACAACTAATATTATTTACTATACATGGTACTATAATATTATGATGCGGTGTCCTCAAATGCTAAACACACCGTCTTGACGGTTCAAACTTTGAACACTAACGAATAGATTACTACAGCGATGCGAGAATACAATTTATACCAATACAATATGCGTTTAATACTGTTAACGAACGTAATTGTATTAACGTATTGTATAACGTATTGTACTAGAATAACGATTAAAAAAAAAAAAAATAATAATAATAATAAAAAATGACCCATCTCCATTATATTTAGGATGATTTCACACGGTAAATTGAATTGTACGTCATTACATCATAATGTTTTATAATATTTGAATACTAAACCGTGTATGCATGTATATGCCCCCCATCAGTTACGAACAAAAACATTTTACGGATCGTTTATTTGATTAGATCAAAATGCTGCCGATTTAAAAATATAACGCGCACCGCAGGCGGATTCTAAAGACGCGGATGCCAAATAAGGTAAACTTGACTTCTATTAATAATATTATAATAACGAAATTTATTTTCGAACAACGATCCTCTACGATGGCGTGCGTGATAAAATATATATATTTTGTTTAAAACCGGACGATGTTTCGTGAACGGTAATAACGCACATGCAACAAATTCGTTCACGTTTAATTATAATACCTGTATGTATTCGAATTGTATAAAACAATATGTTTTCATTTTTTTTTTTTTCCATCAGTATAATGTGTTTAATGGGTATGCTTTATCTTAATAATTATAAGCTACCTACCGAATTAAAATGTATCTTATTTAAATGTTAAATAGTTGTTGTAATATTACTGTATACAGATTATACGTACAGGTATAAACGTTGAACATAACTAACAGATAAAAACGGTAGTCTTACACGGATATTATATACCTATTAATAAATGTATTTCGAGTATTTATTATAATGAGTACAAGAACATAATATTGTATCTCCTTCGATAAAATTAGAAACACAATATAACGGTATAGTTTATTACACAAAAATCACAATACAACGCGCCGTTTCAATAAAGCAATATTATAGTTACACGTGTATGCACTAAATGTCTTGAGCAGTTATGATGTAACCTAAGATTATATACTAAGACTATCTCGTTCTAATCACATTCGCTTTTAAAGATCGGTTTCTGCGGGTGTTAAATGAATATCCATTGATTTTTTTTTTCTAATTCAATAAAACTGTTAACACTTTATTACAGATGAGAGTTGGGGAATAACGAGTACAAAATTCACTTTTCGTTAATGAATCTGAAATGTAAATCTCAATACCTACACTTACAAGGTGTAGGTATTCAAATTTACGTTTAGACCTATGGTTTTAGTAAAATTATATTTTTTTTAAATAGTTTACAAATTCTCAAAACAAAATATTTCCTCGTTCCGCTTTGAATCTAGAAAAAAAAAAAAATTGAAAAAATAAACCGTTTTTTTTTTTTTTGTATTCAATCCTTCAAATATTAAATCCAAATTTTCGAAATAAAATACTGAAATTCGAAAATGTCATCCGGTCGATGACATATGTACACTTCTTTCTGAATTAAAATCTATTACGGAATAATTCTTTCGTTTCACTGCATTTATGGAAAATCGATCTAAATCGCTACGCTGCGTGTGTATTAGATAAAGAAAGAAAACGTCGGTATCCAATATCCTGAACACTACCGCCCCGCGTCCTAACAATGTACACAACTGCTGCAATGTTTATAATATTATATTGTTATTGTATTTCTCCCGGCCCCCCTTCCTCCGACATTAAAATGACTAGTTTACAATAATATCTTATATAGGCTTTGTATTACATTTTTAGCAAAATGAGTGATAGCCACTTTCAATATATGTTTGTTTTCGGTTTTCTTCGAAGTAAATCGTGTTAGAAACAACGTTTCCACTTCTATTTTTACACGTATTTAGAATCTAATTTTAACTGTTCTGTTTTATTAGTGTACCTACCGCACAAAGTAAACAGTGAACAGTTTCAGAACAAACAATATTGGTACTTATAAATAATACTTAATGCGTTTCTATTATCTTTCCGTAATACTTCATTTGTACCGCATATGTCCTTGTATTATTCATTTACGGACTTGGATATCTTTACTGATAAATTAAATCTAGTGTTTTTACAAAATCTTTCGTCCTGAACGATCGCTTCGACTAATTTAACACGATGGCGAGTTTTACCCGTGAATTTTAAACAAATTAATAACGACAGTTTATAACATTAATTTTGAAACATTAATTTTTATGGGGGTCGTAAAAAATTTTGGTTCTTCATACACGAAATGTCTGGAGATAATGCAAATTATGAACACAAATGGTACTTTAGGTGATTTATCGAATTTCACTGTAACGATTTTTACAGCGTACTTGTATACACTAACAATCGCGTTAATATTGAAATTTTGTTACAGCTACTTATTGAGAAAAGATTGTTTTTCGAACGAGAGTGTGTGACGACTGTGGAGTACGTCTATTATCTATATTTCTATAACTGTTACATAATCTTGTTTATTCTAGCACCAAAAAAAAAAAAAAAACGAAAAAAAATTGAACGATATCGCTTTATAGTGTTGTAGCATGATTTTTAAACGAGAGTTTGGCACGTGAGAGATTTCTAAGTGTTCGAAACGATTAGCACGCGAACTGTTATCTTAATTCGGTACATGTATTATTATTATTATTATTATTTTTTTTTAATGCTTATTATTAATGTTATTTCTATTTGTATTTAGAGTATTTCGATTCACCAGTTATTGCCATGCAGTTTGACATTGCTCTATCATAATCGTCAATATTTTATAGTTTAAAACAACTCTTATGGCATGCTCAAGTAACGAATTTTTAGTATGGGCACTGTACACATTGTACAAGACAATAGTATCAGTTAATGTTTTATGATATGCCGAATTATATCATTACCTATACCAATAGAGATAAAATGTAGCCACTCGAAAATTATGGGAAACTAGAGGGTATAGTGGGTATACGATTGGATTATTGGGCTTAGTGTTATACTGTTCAAGTGATGTCAAACACGTTTTAGTGTTTCTATTGTCCTCGGAGTCAAAATCAACGAACGAATCTTTGTCTACAATCTGGTTTTAATATACCATGTGTCCATATTTAACACAATTGTATCAAGTACAATCGTTCTTAAAAATATTTTATACAGAATTCGAAGCTAACCATGGGAAAATTATTTAAATTAAAGAAATGAAGTTTTAAATATCGGTTTAAAAAACTTAATACAATCGAGTCGCGATAACTCGAAAAACTTAACAACTCGATTTTTTTTTATTCCCCTAGAAGTTATCATAACACTCAATATATTATAAGTCTTATTAACTCAAATTAAAAACTGTGATAAATAGCGTAGTTGAAGTATATTAAATATTATACAAATATATTTCGTATATTTTCCCGTATTCCCTCCGTTTCTTTTTCGGTTTTTCGCATTTGATGAGAAAACTTGAGAAAATCGAAAAACGACATTTCTAAAATACCTACATCGATTTTTTCTACTGTATCTAATAAATAATACATATTTATATACTTATAATACCATTGTACCTATTTTAGTTTTTGTATAACATTTATGTACATATGTATCATAACGTTTTTATCGTAAAATTCTAATATATATATATTAGGTATTTATTTTATTGAATCATCATCAATTACGAAGTAGATTAAAATTATACATTATTCAATGAAAATAAATTTCAATGAAAAATAGATTTGAAAAACAAGAAAACAAAATAGTAGGTACTTTGATCAAGCTGTACCAAAAAGCAAGCTTGTGGAAGGGAGCAGCGAGTTAAACAAAAAACAGTTTCATTACATATCTCGAAGTAATTTCAATAAATTCGAGTTAGGTATCTTGAATAATACATAACTCGAAGTGAATTTTTATCTCCCTTCGACTTCGAGTTATTGCGATTCGACTTTATATCATCTTTTAAAATTGTTTAAATAATGTAAGTACACTATAACATTAATCAAAACTCTCGAAAAAGGCATTAATAAAATAGTAAACAGAATTGTACCTACATCATGAAACAAATTTAAAAAAAAAACAAAAAACCATAATGTAAAATTGTAATCATATAATATGTTATAACAGGGATGAAGTGGATCAACTCCCTCCCCATCGGCTGTGGTCAAACAAATAATTATTGATGTAATGATTTGAAAAATAGAATAATTATAACTGGACCCTCTCCCCATGACGAACTCTTAACTGTATGAATCGTATTTATGGCCGATAAAGCTTTAAAATCCGTACTCTTTATAATCAAAACCGTAACTTCAAAAAACTCGCTTGAAAATTAAGTTCTCGATATCCATCATCCTCGATTACTATACGTATTACGTAGGTAGTCTTCGTTTGTTTTTTTTTTTTTAGAACTTAAGCGTCCCTCCCAGCCTCGTAAAAATTGCTTAGCTAGTTGAAATTATTTACTACAAACATGGGTATGCTATATAATATTATAGAAAAAATTAACATTATGGAAACAACCGAAAACGCCTTGCTTCCCACAAACACCGTTTTTGACGCGGTTCAATACAAAAACAAAATGATTTTAACACTGATACGTACGTTGAATATTTGCATACATGTAAAAAAAAAAAAAAAATCGTGATTACATCGTATTAACAGTGATTTCTGTTTATTATCATTTGTATTAATAAACTACCTATAGCTGTTTATTGTCTTGTTTGTTTGATTGCATAATAACATAAAGTTTAACACATTCGAATGCTTGA